GCTTAACAAGACCAAGCCCATCTGGACTCGCAACCCTGCTGACATCACCCAAGAGGAGTATGCCTCCTTCTACAAGACCCTCTCCAACGACTGGGAGGACCACCTCGCAGTCAAGCATTTCTCTGTCGAGGGTCAGCTCGAGTTCCGTGCTGTGCTCTTCGTTCCAAAGCGCCCACCATTCGATCTCTTCGAGAGCAAGAAGACCAAGAACAACATCAAGCTCTACGTCCGCCGTGTCTTCATCACTGATGATGCCACCGACCTCATCCCAGAGTGGCTCAGCTTCGTCAAGGGTGTTGTCGACTCTGAGGATCTCCCTCTCAACTTGTCTCGTGAGACTCTTCAGCAGAACAAGATCATGAAGGTCATCAAGAAGAACATTGTCAAGAAGACCCTCGAGCTCTTCAACGAGATTGCCGAGGACCGTGAGCAATTCGACAAGTTCTACTCTGCTTTCAGCAAGAACATCAAGCTCGGTATCCACGAGGACTCTCAGAACCGTGCTGCCCTTGCTAAGCTCCTCCGCTTCAACTCCACCAAGTCTGGCGATGAGATCACCTCCCTCACCGACTACGTCACCCGCATGCAGCCACACCAGAAGCAGATGTACTACATCACTGGTGAGTCCATCAAGGCTGTCCAGAAGTCTCCCTTCCTCGACTCTCTCAAGGAGAAGGACTTCGAGGTTCTCTACCTCGTTGACCCAATTGATGAGTATGCCATGACCCAGCTCAAGGAGTTCGATGGCAAGAAGCTCGTCGACATCACCAAGGACTTCGAGCTCGAGGAGACCGATGAGGAGAAGAGCGCCCGTGAGGCCGAAGAGAAGGAATTCGAGGGTCTCGCCAAGTCCCTCAAGAACGTCCTCGGTGACGCCGTTGAGAAGGTTGTTGTCTCTCACAAGCTTGTCGGTGCTCCTTGCGCCATCCGTACCGGCCAGTTCGGTTGGTCCGCCAACATGGAGCGTATCATGAAGGCTCAGGCTCTCCGTGACACCTCCATGAGCTCCTACATGGCCTCCAAGAAGACCTTCGAGATCTCCCCCAAGTCCCCCATCATCAAGGAGCTCAAGAAGAAGGTTGAGGCTGACGGTGAGAACGACCGCAACGTCAAGTCCATCACCCAGCTCCTCTACGAGACCTCTCTCCTTGTCTCTGGATTCACCATTGAGGAGCCAGCTGCTTTCGCCGAGCGCATCCACAAGCTCGTCTCTCTCGGCCTCGATGTCGATGAGGAAGAGACCCCAGAGGAGAAGGCTACTGAGGAGACTCCCGCCGACGAGCCCGCTGCCGCCAGCGCCATGGAGGAAGTCGACTAAACTCATCGCCTCCGCTTGAAATGAAAAAAAGAATCAAATAAAACGAAATACCAATGCCATGCGACAATACCTCGAGCAAATAAAAAAAATTACAAAAAATCCCAAAAAAAATCTTATGGAAAAAGGAATGGTGTCATGAATTTCCTATGTTTCTCCTTTTCACTTCCATGTATTTCGATACCACCAACCCAGCAATTACCACGCAGCAATCTCCACCGAAAGAAATAAGAGGAACACAACGCAACAGCATGGTTTACAATGCAGCATGCAAAGCGAGTTTTGACCTCTGTTGTTGTTTAGGGTGTTTTCTCCCCTTCTTAATCTCCTTTTCTCTCTGTCTCCCGTCGTCTTGTTTTAATTTGTGTACTTGATCCTGTTGCTTTTCAGTCATCTCGCATTTCTCTGCTTTACCCTTCCAGGTGGCTTGTTGTTAACGGGAGAAACTTTTAGAAACTTGTATCAAGGACTAAACAAAATTAATACAGAGGCGATTTATATTTCATATTTGTGCATTGAATATCGTAGTTTGTAGTTGATAACCAGCTTGGGCGATAAAGGTAACATAATTACGCTCGAGGAGTATAAGCAAAAAGACAATGGGCGAACAGAAATAAAGATAGTCAATAAAGTTGATGTACATTAACTATCATCATGCTCTTCAAGGAATTTTTTTAAGTCTCCCGTCCTGGGTCGTCATCCATCGTGGTAACTAGTCACTAACCATCATCGCATCGAGCATCGACGTTCTCCAAGCAACCACCCAATCAACCACTTCTAAAGCCATTGCCCTTCGTTCCCAACTTTCAATCTATCAGTCAGTCATAATCATCGTACGTACTTGATAGGAAAGACGCATGTTGTAACAGGGAATGCAAAAACAAGAGTAGAAAAGCGAACAAGAGGCGGATGAGGAATTTCGTTTGTGGTAGATACGCGCTCGGCCACGAGAGCGAGGAAACCAGGAGGGGAAAGTAAAAGGGGTACAGGATAATGCATACGGTTTTGAATGGTAAAAAAGGTGGACGGAAGAGGGTAGAAAAAGACATTTGCAATGAGAAGGTAGTTGAAGATGAAGCACCGCTCTCGGAATCAAAGTAGTGAAAATGCAGGGTGAAGAATGGAAGGGGTACGATGGGTGAGGATATTAGGATGGCATAGAAGGTGAGGCGGGGAAATGGACATGGGCAGATAGTGACCTAGAAGACCGGGGATGGGTATGAGAATGGGGCAAGGGGATGGGAATTGTAATGCTAAAAATGGACGAAACCTGCAGGCTCAATGATGGCAAATGAAGCAAGAGTTAATACAAATGTCAAAAAAAAAGGGAGAACAAAACAGAATGAAAACGCTTTTCCAACCGACAGGAGAGAGAAATGACCGGGTAAGAAAGGAGGCGCAGAACAAACAAGCAAAAGGGGTAATGAGAAAATTGTACATCAAAGGTGAAGTGAAGACGGGAGAAGGCATAGAGACCAGGAATTGTAAGAGGTGATAGAAGGTCCTAGAGCCAGGAAGAAGTGATGTCCATCGAGCCCTTTTTTTGGTAAAGGTAGATAGGGCCCATGAAGTGATGAAGTAGTGAAGTGTTAATTTTTCTTTTTATGGGGGAAAGGGGTTCTCGACGTGTCGGCATAAGCATTAGCGTCAGGGTTTAACATCAGGTCATGCTGGTATGAGAATTGGAGAATTCAAATTGCCTGTGGCTGACCGCGGCCCTTGGGGGTGACATTGCCGCTTCCGGAGGCGCTGCCACCGCGGCTGTTACGGGCAGGGTTGTTGTAACGGCCGTCCTTCTGGAAACCACCACGGCCCTGTCCACCGGCGCGGTCACCACGGCCACGTCCAGCACCGCCACGTCCAGAGAAACCGCCGTTGCCGCCATAAGCGTTGGCGCGAGGGCGGCGCTCTTCAACAGTGATCTGTTCGGTGCCAATGGTGTGAGGGTTAGCGGCAACAGCAGCCTTGTAGGCAGCAGGGTCGCTGAATTCGACAAAGGCACAGTTCTGGACATAGATTAGCAAGACAAGTAAACTACAGATAGTAGGGTAATATAACATACACGTTGACGGTTGACATCAAAGTACTTCAGTTTACCGAAACGGGAGAGAGTCTGGCGGAGGAGACTAGCATCGACTTTCTCATTGACATTCTTGACGTAGCCGAGAACACCTTCAGTCTGAGAAGGAGTGTGCTGGCGTGGCTGTCTTCTGCCATGTTCGGCACCAGCAGTCTGCCACTCGGACTGAGCTGGAGGCTGGTTCTCGTTTCCAGCGTCAGAGACAGCAGGAGTAGATTGCTGGGTCTTTGTTGGGGCAGCCGTTGGAGCAGCTGTGGGAGCAGCTGGAGCTGGAGCGGAAGCCGATGCAGTGGCGGAGACAGAGGCAGAGGGAGCGGGAGCAGGTGCAGCAGCTTGGACAACTGGAACGGCGGGAGTAGGAGTAGTGCCAGCGCGGTTTCCGGCAACGGAGGCCCAGCTCATGGGCTTAGCTGGAACAGTAGCAACAGGTTTCTTGTCAGGAGCCGGAGCCGGAGCGGGAGTAGGGGCCTTTGGAGTGACGTCTGCTGGGGAAGGGTCTGGACCCTTTGGCTTCTCAGGCTGGATGGCATCAGCGGAGACGGGGAGAACGGCAGCGGGAGCTGGCTGCTCCTCAGCAGCCTCTTCCTTTGGTGCTTCTTCAGTGGTAGCAGCCTCAGGCTTCTGCTCCTCGGCCGCTTCAGCTTTGACCTCACCATTGACGGCTTCCTTCTCGAGCTTCTCGTCAACCTCATGAGCAGCAGCTTCGGTATCGGCCTGACGATCAACGGCTGCCTCAGGAGCGGGAGCGGGGGCGACAGCAGCAGTATCAACGGCGGCAGCCTGAGGCTCGTCGACGGCTGGAGCCTCCTCGACAGCAGCGGGGCCGTCCTCGGGAGCGAGCTCTTCATCCTCGTCATTCAAGTAGCGGATGATGTCGTTCAAGACGTAGTAGCCGTTTTGCTGTTCGGCGAGAACGAAGGTCTGGACGAACTTGCGAGGAGGTCCTTGGTTGTTGGACATCTCGCCAATAACAACGACCAGGATGTTATCAAAGGAAGCCTGGGAGTCCACATTCAGGACACGGACCTTGCAGTTGTTGTAGTCCAGGCCTTCGATGCACTCTTTAATTGACTATGATGTGACGTTAGCTATTATATATATATATACATAGACATATATGGTAGAGAGGATGGACGACATACTCGCTGGCCAATGGCAACGTTAACCTTCTCAGCTTCGACGCCCGAGACGAACTGAGACTTGCGCGAGTAGAAGAGATGCAGCTTTTCGGGTGTGCGGCTCAGGGTGGTGTAGTACTGCTCGACGAAGAACCAGCCGACCTCGTCCTTGGGGATATCATTCTTGGAGTCGTGGGAGGCGGCGGGAGCTTGTGTGGAGGCGCCCGCGTGCTGCTGGGGCGCGTACTGTGCATTGGAGGCGTTCGCAGCCTGGTGCGAGGCGGCGTAGGGGTCTACCTGGTACGGGTGGTGGCCGTGGTAGGTGCCGTTGGCGGCAGGGACGGTCTCAGTAGCCATGATAGTGGTGGTGGTTGAGTGTTGGCTGTGTTGGCTGGCAAACGCGGTAGGCGGTCCGGAGCAGTCAGAGAGGCGTGAGGATGGAGGAGAGATATCAGAGTCCGGATGCTGGCGCCGTGAAGATCTTCTATCAAAAGTCAGTCTTCTTCTTCTTCTTCTTCTTCTTCTTCTGATGCTTCTTCTTGTCTGCTATCTGTCTGCTATCTGCTGAGTGTGTGTCTGAGTGTGTCTGAGTGTGTCTGTCTTCGCTTGTGACAAACAACACCAGCAGGGAGAAAAAGAGAGCAAACTGACCAGGAACAAGCAGCCAGAGAGATTCTAAGCTGGAGACAGAGCAGGATACCGCACGTATCGAGGAGGCAGTAGCAGCAGGATAATCAGGAGGGCGTAGTTATCTGGATAAGAGGAAGACAGCTGGAAGAGCTTTGCGAGCTGCAAGAAGAACCGCCTGGAACAAAGACAAGAAGAGTGAAGAGGGCAAGAAAAAAGGACGGCAGATTCAGGCTGGCCGTGAGTGGAAGAAGCGAAGAAGAGAAGCAAAGAGGAAGAAGAGAAAGGAAGAAGAGAACGGGGGAAGAAGAGAAGCTGGAGGTGGTGAGCTTTTGATGCTGTGAAGGTGAAGTTGTTGTTGTTTCTTTTTTTTTTTTTTGTGGTTGTTACTTTTTTTTTGTCAAGTCAGAAAAAGGCGAAAAAAAAGAAGAAAAAAAAAAAGTCGTGGCGCTTGTTTTTTTTTGACTCTCCGCGCTAAAAGTCATATCAAGTAGAAGACGACGACGACGAAGAAGAAGAAGAAAGTCGATGAAGATGGACGATGAAGAAGATACATATGGGTTGATAGAGCTATGTTACAGAGATCGCGATGCCGATAGTCGGCTGCAGAAGTATCGGTTCCTGTGCCTCGCTTGTGCTGCAGTGACAGCCTCTGTCCTACTGCCAGGCTACTTTTATTTTTTTGATAGAGGCGACAGCGAGGCGGAAGAAAGGAAGCAAAAGGAGGCGCGTAGAGAGGGTAGACAAGGTATCTCTGGCATTTCATTCATGGTATGTGGACATCATCTACAGTATCATGGATATTAGACTGCTTCGTACACAAAAGGGTAGAACTGGACAGATGGCAAGAAACGAGGAAAAGCAGGACCAAGAAGACAGCATAGCAGAGGGGGGAAAACAGCAGCAACAGAGAGGGAGGAGGGTTTGTTGGACGTATTGACTGCCTCGTTGTATCGTCGTCTCGTAAAAAAAGAAAAGAAAAAAGAAGAGCGGTATAGAAGGATGGCGGTCGATGGGCGTGGAGGTAGATGGCACCACGTAGGTAAGAGGAAGTATTAGGGAAAAAAAGATAAAGTCAGTACGGCGTGGTAGGTAGACGTCGAAGCGGTCGATAGGCTCGGGGCCGTCGGTTTGTTTGTGGTATAGCGAAATATGGGGATTAATGCGAGAAATAACAGAGGTATCAGTGGGCAAGGCTGAGGCCGGTACGCGAACGTAGTAGGGTAAGTTATCGTGGTATTATGCTGGAGGGCGGAAGACCATCCAGGATCTAGGAGGCAGACTTGATCATGTTCTTCTCGTCCAGGACCACGGGCTTGCGCATGACGGCGTCCTGGCTCGACATCCTCCTGCCGAGGGCTCGCTCGACCTTTGCGCCCAACGCCAGCTTGCTCAGGCTCTCTGACTTTTCCGGGGTGGGCACGAAGCGCTGCTGGCTGAGCCGCTTGTTCTCGAGACGTGCGAGGCCGGCGCTGAGCTCCTTGATCTCGGCCATGCGGCTGTCACCGGTCATCGTGCTGCTCGTCGTCTGGTTGCTGATGGTAGAGTATCGTTTCGAGTTACGCTGTGAGGCCAGCTAGCGAGAACCGCCCGTTAGACAGACGACAGGCAAGAAGAGGATGCCAACAGAAACTTACCGAGGGAGCCATGATGGGGCGTTGGGAGTCGAGAGACCGTCTCAGCATCATCTTAGGACAAGAAGAGGGAGAGGCAGGTACAGGAACGATGAAAATAGGGAGGGATGTGCCTGATCTTATGGTGTTTCTAGCCACAACCACGCTACGAAAACTGGAGAACAAAAAGGCAGGGAAGCTGGGCCGTTCGTTGTCCTTCTTTGCCTGCTTCTTCGCCGTCTTTTGCTGGCTCGGTTTTCGTTTGTTTTTCTGCTTCTTCTTCGTCGTCTTCTTCTATCCGTCGAGGTGCCCCCAAACCAAAATAAGGGTGGATGAAGGGGGGGATATTATTTGTGAGCCGGTAGGAGAACTGTCGATCGTGCGACGAGACAGCGAGATCCAGCGGGCAACTGTAGCAGCAACAGCGTATTTTCCGGAGCGGATCTTATTTCTTTTCGGTCCCTTTCTTTTTTTTTTTTCTTGTGGTTTTTTCTGTGTCTGATGTGAAACTTGGCCTGCTCGTTTTAAATAGTAATGTCAGACAGAGCCTGGAGATGGATCGAGGTAAACAGACAGGCAGCAGCAGAAGAAGCAACGAGAAGGGGGAAAAAAGACCAGCCGACAGGGCAGCCGTGAGGATGGGAGGGGGGGAAAAGGGAGCGAATGCCGCGCAGGACAGCAGGCCAGGGGGAGGGAGGTGTCTGCAGGCCAGAGACAAGCATGAACTGGGGGGCCTGCTGGGAAGAAATATGCGACTTACGTCCGACTAGGGGGGGGTTGGTGATGGACAAGGAGAGCGTCACACCAGCAGCAGCACAGGAGAGAAGCCGCCAAAAACAGCTGATCGATGCAAGACAGTTTCCTCTTCCTTCGGCAGCCTTGAAGAAGAACTGGGACCTTTATTTAGTTCGACTGACTCACACTGGCTAGCTAGTAGTTAGTCTCAGGTAGTTATAGTTCGTTCGACCGCGTGGGAATCGAGGGAGGGCCGTATAACACTTATGGAGTAAGAGAGGAAAAAGAGACGAAGAGAGGCTCCATACGCCGTCCGCTCGTATACCGATCTCACCAACAAAGCAACAAAGCCGTCGCTTTTGCCTTCCCCCCTCCCCGGCGGCCAGCGCCCGTCTTCTCTGCGTTTCTTTCACTCTTTCTGGCCGTCGCTGCCACTCGCTGGCCGTTCTCCTTGCTTCCTCCGCCAAACCCAACACGACCGGCCGCCCGCGCAGATTGGTTCGTCACATCAGCCCAGGCCGGACCCTTGTCAGAAACGTGGACGAGGAAAAGCCGGCCCTTGCGAAGGAGGAGGGGGAGAAAAAGGAATAACTGGGTCTTTTTTTAGTTTAGGCTGGCGCTGCTGCTGGGTGGGCGGAGCGTCTGCATGGCTGTTAGTCTGTTTAAGCCTGTGAGCGGGCGCGGCGAGCTAATAATATGAGAGTATATTACTTATATACGGGTCGATATCCGTGTCTCCTCCCATGGTGCAAACGGAGGACAAGACCAGAAAGGGGAAAGGGATGGGCGGGTCGCAGGCTTCTCCAGCAAAGGGGTTGCCATGCGGTGGCGATGGCAGTGGGCCCTCGCTCGGTACCTCCTCGATCACGCACTTTGTCCTCTCTCGGTGCTCGGTATTATATTGTATTATTATTATTATTGATCATCAGCAGCAGCTTCGATATCGGTTGCCTGCCTGACGCTTGATATTCGATTATGCGGTGGTGGTGTTATTAACTAATTCTGATTGGTCAGTAAAAGAAAAGCCCTGCCGCCTGGCCAATCAAAAATCGCCAAAATCAGATCCTTCTATAAGCACTTACACAGCAGTCCAAGGCAGACGCCGTCTTGCCGTCTTGTTGCCTTCTTCTCACAGTCAACGGCGGCTTCGTTAGCTCTGCTGTCGCTGTACGGAGTAGTTATCATCGTTTACTGCCTGTCGTAACTGGCATTGCAACATTTGTCAGTCGAAACGGCGTCAGACAGCGTGCTACCAAACGCATTGGAGCTTCAGAGTCCAGCCCATGGAGTTTGTCTCTCTCGCCTAAAGCATCTTAATTGTCGATCCATCCCCCGCTTCAAACGCCTGAGAGCAGCGTAAGAAGGAGGTAAAACACGCCTCAAAACGAGTGCTTAAGGAATTGAGGCTGGTAATCCCCCCCGCCATGATTGGACAATGCCGCTGCTTCATGAGGTCGATATCACGGCCAGGCGCTGCTCCAGTGTGACATGGCGTTGCAGGATTTAATTCTACCCCAGAGCAGCGAGCAGAGCGCCCTTCTGTTTGTGATCTGTGATTCGATGTGCGATGATCTCTCTCCTGGCCCCGAATCTACCTGAAACCGAGCAATACGAGTGCAATGCACTCCCGGCTGATGCGGCCGTACGCATTAGGTATCTCGAAGGAGAGTTCCCTGTGCTTTGCATGTCAGCTATATGTCTATCATCTCTATAACACTACCACTGCATGCCATCTCCCGCCTTCTGTAGGGGAGCTGATTCTGTACCTGTCTCTCTCCCCTTATCGCCAAGCGGAAACTAGCTAGCATCGAAATGGCCGGGCTCTTGGGCTCTCCAGAGCCCTGTAGTAACAATCATACGACTTGCAGTGGTAAAGTTAGCTTTGTGGGGTGTATTTTGGTCATTGGTATATCGAATTCTTCAGTTGCATCTTATGGTTACTCCCTATTTTCTTTTCTTGTGACTTTTATCTTATTTTTATTTTGTGGTTTTTGGTTTTGATATGCGGGAGCTGGAGGTTTGGTTTTTGCCTATTCGGGAAAAAGTGACGTAGTTTAAGCGAGCTCCGGCTTCTTCTTCTTCTTGTCTCTCAACGTTTCAACATCGGACGACAGACGAAACCGCACATCCCAAGGACAGACAGATTGATAGGCGTCACAGCCGGGTGTGAACGACCATGCCGAAGCCGAAGACGCTGCTGAAAGAGACCAAGGCGAAGAAGAAACGAAAACAGGTGGTGTGTTGCAGACAATTTCCCCCCGCCCGCCATGCAGGCAGGCTAGCTATCAAAAACTCATGGAAGCCACCAAGCTAATAGCTCGCAATCGCGCGGATCAATCGGACTTGCAGGCACCAGAGTCGGCAGATGAGTTTCTCGCTGGTCAGTAAAGGAGCAAGGGATACGCTTGGATCTACAGGCACCCGTCAATAGTTTCGCCGGATGAGAGGGTGGACAGGACAGAATTTGCTGACTGCCGTATTTGCCGAAACAGAGGGAGTCGACCTCGAAGAAGCGGGAGAGAAATGGCGGGCCGGAGACCCGGTCAAGTCGATGCGCTTCTTCATGAGGGCCATCGAGATGTATGAAACCGGGTTACGCCGGTACCCTGCTTCGTTCGACCTGGCCTACAACAAGTATGTATATATACCGTTTACGTTGATGGTGTTCGATAGCAGATCCTGATATTGACGTCTTTTTGTCTACACGCAGAGCACGAGTGCAATATGAAATTACCCAGCATCCTAAACTGGTCACCCAGCTACCCGGGCCGATCATTGACATCCTTCGAATCGCACTCGACTCCCACCGAGAAGCCCTACAAAAGGATCAAGATAATGCAGACATACTATTTAACACTGCACAGGTACTAACCAGTGTAGCTGAAGCACTCACTGAAGGCAAACACGCAGACGAAGAGCAGACGGAAGAGGCGTTGAAATGTCTAACAGAAGCTTTGGAGCTGTTTCAGCGGTGTCTCGTTTTACAGGAGTTGCGATTCACAGAGTACGAACAGCAGCTGCAGATGGTGCAGGATCATCAAACTCAACATGACAAGCAGGATGAGCAGCAGCAGCAGCAACAACAACAAAAAAAACAACAGACACAGGGAGGCGTAGGTGATTCTAGGACGGGCTCGACGGAAGCAGAGGAGTGGGCTGCTGTGGTTGAACCCGTAACAAAGAATACACTTATTGACACTGCGATTGCGCAGCTGGAAGCACTAGCAACGCTGTGTGGACTGCTGTCGTCCGACCACGGAAGTACCCTGGTCTGGGTAGAAGAGTATTCGTCCGACCTCCTGCGAGAGAAGATTGCCGCATACGTCGAGGGTACAGACAGGGCGAATGAAGTAGCAATGGTCAGGGCAAAGTTCCTCTCCATCCTGCTTGAAGTCAATTATCGAAGCGGCCGCATCGATCTTGACACATACAAGCAAGAGCTTGATTCTGCATGGAGCAACAACGTGGATGTCTCGCATGATCCTGCGGGCCTTTCCAACCAGGCCGAAGCCCTGATAGGGTTCAGCTCAGCCATTGCCGATGCCTACCCTGCTGTCGAGGTCGAGGGGTTTCCACGGTCTTTAGATCTGCGATGGCAGGCCCTGGGGGTCGCCTTGAGTCGGCTAGCCGCTGCGTCAAAGCTTGCTGGGCCAGATAACCTGGCAAAGATACATATCGCTCGGGGTGACGCGGAATTGCATCGGTGGAGGCTAGCCCAGGTTCCATTTTGTTATGCACCGGCCGTGGACAACGCGGCGACGCTGCTCAAGAATGCCGAAACCTACTATCGCGGGGGAGCAGCCACTGCCAGAAGAGACGGCTGGCCAGAAGCAGAGCGCGAAGGCACAGTAAAAGAAGCTCTGGCAAAGGGGCTGGCTGGCGACTCAAGCCAGATGGGGAGTTTAGCCATAGACTCGAAGGGGTATATGATGCGAGTAGCTGACGACATGGCCGAGGACGGCCACATACCGCCCGAGGACCTGAGTAGGCTAATGGCAGTGTTGGACCCCAACGAGCTATTATTTTAATCCGCATCCAACCACCAATTTTTATAAAACATTCGATCCATAGAGCCACGGAACAAAGATATAAACGAACATTTCACGAAGGTTGCGAAGACCGTATCTCTTCGTCCATTTGCTCTGCTTCTTTTCGTAGGATGTTGTCTTCATCGAACTCGTCCATCGACTTTACTGCGCCTTGTATATCTCCGACGACGGCTTCGAGGCTAGCGAGAAGCTGCTGGATCTCTTGTCTTTGAGACTCTATCCTCGATGCAAGCTCAGTATTCTTTTTCTGCACTTCTTCCGTCTGGGTTTCGAGGGATGACTGCGCTTTTGCAAGAATCGGTGCTAGATGCGCCTGGTATAGCTCTTTCGCCGTCAAAGTATGCGCCCTGTCTGAAATCAGTACCAGCAAGTAAAGGGACATTCAATAATTCTACGTACGGCGCGCTGTTGGCCCCTTCGCCGTTCTCCCTGCGCAACTTGGCCTCTCCCACAAGCCTGTCCAGCTCGTTCAATCTCCTAACCACCCCTCTCTCATGCAGGATGTCATCAAACTCGGCCCTCGCGCTCTCCTCCAGCTTCGCGTTCAGCTGTCTCCACACCGACTCCAGACTGCGCGGAACATGCTTTGCAGGCGTCGGAAAGCAAGCCGAGAAGTTGGCATAGGAGTTTGTGCGGATGGTGTGTAGCAGCGCCTGGGAGAAGACCTGCTGCAGTCGCGAGGCGCGTGGGCCAGGGGTCAGCGGGACGGGCGCGGCGGGTGGCGGCGAGGGCGACGGTTCCTGGGGCCCGTTCTGTTGGGCGGCACTTGTAGGGTCTGAATTGGACGTTGACGGCGCCATTGCTCGTAGCAGTTTGACAATCTGGTTGTTTGTTGGTTGTTTGTTGGTTGTTGTTTGAAGATCGAAAAATGCCAAAAGTTAGACAATTTCGAACGCGCAGTCACGTGCATATATAGATTGCCGACGACCAGGAAGGAAGAAAGTAGATGAAAGAGACGACAGAGTGGATAGATTTGAGTCGATAGATAGAGATGGTTTTGAGTAAGAGAATTCGGTGTATTATTCCATTGCTGGCTATCTAGAAGAGACAGGGACCCGAAGATAGGTGGTTTCGTTAAAAAGACGCCTCCTGAGCATGGACTTGAAGGAGACATTACTTTCAATAGACATTCAACGTCAGGGCAGGAAAAAGCACATAAACTCATGAATTAGGAATAGAAAATCAAATTGTTTATCCCAAAGAGCAAGATCAAGAACGCCGGCGCTGCAGGGGAGGAAAAGAGAGAGTGGAAAGTATTGCGTTAGTAGTTTTGAGAGACGATGCCAGGGGCCGGGTATCCGGCTGCCATCTGAGCCTGCTGCTGGGCCTGCTGCTGGGCTTGTTGCGGGTGCTGGTGCTGGTGCTGGTGCTGGTGCTGTTGCTGCTGCTGCTGGTGGCTGTGGAGGGCCTGATGCTGAGCCTGCTGGGCCTGCAGCTGGTTCAAGTCGTTGAACCAAGGATGCCGAAGGGCCTCTGCGGCACTGATACGCATCTCGGGCCGTAGCTGGAGCATCCTGCTCAGCAGGTCCAGGCCCAGCTGGTCGATCTGAGGGAGAATCAGACGCAAGTCCTGCGTTGCGTAGACGTGGAAGTTGGGCTTGTACTCGGGAAACTGCGAGATTCCGGGCCAGGACCGTTCAGACGGGGTGCCCATCAGCCTGAAGATCTTCTGCAGCTGGTCCTCGTTGGTGGTGCCGGGGAACAGAGGGCGCCCCGTGTACATCTCGGCCATGATGCAGCCGGCGGACCAGATGTCGATGCTGGTGTTGTAGGTCCTGCTGCCGAGGAGGACGTCCGGCGCCCTGTACCAGAGGGTGACGACCTCGTTGGAGAAGGTGTTGACGGGGATGCCAAAGGCTCTGGCGAGGCCGAAATCAGCGAGCTTGAGCTGGCCCTTGTTGTTGATCAGGAGGTTCTGGGGCTTGAGGTCGCGGTGCAGGACCCGGTTGTCGTGGCAGAAGGCGATGCCGCGCATGAGCTGGTGCATGAAGGACTTGATGGTGACGTAGTCGAGCTGGCCGCGGTCTCCCCGGACGTCCATGTACTTCTTCAGGTCCTTGTCCATGTACTCGAAGACGAGCATCAGCTTGTTCTCGGTGTGGATGACGTCGTGCAGGCCGACGATGTTCTCATGCTTGAGCTCCTTCATGAGCGAGATCTCCCTGATGGCGGTGGAAGGGGTGCCTTCTTCCGAGTCCAGGTGTATCTCCTTGAGCGCAACCATCTCGCCTGTCTGTCTGTTCCGTCCTTTGAATACCTGGTCTGGTCAGCCGTGGTCCGTCTAGTTTTTTGATATCATTGAGCAAGAAGCAAGGCCCAACCCAAGGCCCAAGGCCAGCCAACATACTGTAGCATAGGTTCCCTCTCCTAGCTAGACGGACAGTTAGCGGTTATTACTTTTTATTCGTCAAGCTGCTGCCGGCGTCTACTCACCTTCTCGAGCTGCTGGAACGAGCTGGGCTGGTGCCGCTTGTCCATGGCGGCGCGGGCTGCTGAGGGGCGGGCGGAAGAGGCTGCCTGACGGAGATCGAGAAACGGGCGGCGGCGGAAGAAAGTCGCAGGAGAGACGAGAGACGAGGCGATGCTGAGGTACAGGATGCTGCTGTCGCTAGCAGAGCGGTCGTGACGCTGGGAATTGGTCGGCTTCGAGGTGTCGTCCGCGGCCATGCCAGAGCTGGATGCTTGAGGGTCGCCCGGGTTTAAATATTTTGAGTATTTTAGTGACTGCGGGAAGTTTTGAAACGCCGCGACCAGGGGGGGACAGGATGGTATTTTTAGCCACCTCGAAGCGCCCGCCAGTCCGCGAGCTGAAGATGCAGGAGAGGATCTACTTGGGCGCTTAGGATGCTATTTTAGGCTGCGAGCTTTACATGGAAGCAGGTTGGGGATGTATATTTGTCGTATATATGTCTATATTTATCGTAGCGATCTATCTATATGACTATAACAGGGGGTTCGGGAGTAACTTGGTAGACGCAAAGAAGAAACTACATAGTTACAGCGCTGCGAGCCTGGCAGCGACGTGAGGGAGGATGTCCTCTGCCGGATGGCTGCATCGCACCCGGGACAGGTCGCCGGCGCGAGGCTGGACGCTGCCAAACAGCAGGGCTTCGTTGCGGAAGCCGCCCACGTTCAAGACGCCGACGGCCATGCCTCTGTTGACGGCGCGCTCGACCAGGCGCCAGGCAGAGAAGGTCGCCAGGCTGCTGCCCAGGACGAGCAGCTTGCCGGCCTCGTCGACGGCCTCTTCGGCAGCCCGCTTGACCTCGTCGTCGACGGACTGGCCGAACATGACGACGGCCGGCTTGAGGATGCCAGCGTTGGACACTGGCGCCAGCGCCCCATCGCCGTCTGCCTCGACAATAACGGCGGCGGTCGACCCAGGGTCCGGCCGTCTCTCCAGACACCGGGGACAGGCTGGGTATCGAAAGTCCGAGTAGTGCGCGTTGGGCAGGTCGACGTCGCCGTCCGGGTTCAGCTTCAGGCCACGCTGCCGCTGCTGCTCGACGTCGTCCGTCTCCAGCGCCCCCGAGCGAGCGAGCTGGTAGAAGAAGTCAGCCCAGGGCGGGTTGAGCGCGGCCAGCGTCTCCTGGAAGTGCTCGCGGGGTATCCTGTGGGCGCAAGTGACGCAGACGACGGAGCGCAGGTCGCCGTGCAGCTCGACGACGGGCAGCCCGGGATGCGCCCGGCGGTGCAGCGAGTCGACATTCTGCGTTATGACGGCGCTGATGTAGCCCTTCTCGCCCAGCTGGCCGATGGTGTCGTGGGTGATGTTGGGCTTCGAGCGGCCCATCGTCGGCCATCCGATGAAGCTGCGGGCCCAGTAGCGCTGCCTGGCCGCATGCTGGGTCACGTACTCGTGGAAGAAGATGGGACGGTAGCCGGCCTTGCGACGGTATGTGCCCTTCTCGCCGCGGTAGTCTGAGAGGCCCGAGGCGACCGAGATGCCTGCGCCGGTCAGGAGGACGGTCTGCTCGTTGCGGCCGAGGTCGATGCCTCTGAGCAGCGGCGGCGAGGGCGCGGCGAGGAAGCCCGCGAGGGCGTCAATGGCACCGGCGACGGTCGCGGCAGAGGCTGGCAGGATCGTCGGAGCTGCAAACGGAGCCGTGAAGGGGATTCTCATCCGGTGGCTCATCGGTTGTGCGTTGCTGTTGTTGTTGACGTTGAGAGTTGGTGATGAGCGAATGATGTTGAGTTCGTATAGCTAAGTAGTCCGTTGAATATATATAGACAGATATCCCCCTGATATAGTACTAGTATCTATATATATACAACTACGTCTATGATTCTATATTGATCTATCTTCTGGTGTTGAAAGAGCCAAAGGCCTGCTTGACTGAGGCTAGAAAGGCGTCCATCAGCCTGTCCTCGACGACCCCCCGCTGCCAGGAGAAGCCCAGGACGAGACAGCCGTCGGCGCCGGTGACGACGGAGGTCGAGATGGCGCATCCAAAGACATTGGCGCTCTGCGTAAAGACCATCCTCTCGATCCGGGGTTCTTCGTCTGCTTGACCTGCTGTGAAGACGCCGATGTTGGACACTTCGAAGCTCAGCTCTCGCTCCTGGCCGAGCTTGGGCAGGAAGATCTCCCCGACATAGTCCCTGACATACTTGAGCAGGCCGACGGGACTGTTGCTGCCCCGGCGGCTGAGCGCTGTGTCGATCGTCTGCTTTGCCCGTCTGGCCTCGTCCCAGGGGAATGCGAATGCGTCGTCGTCGTCGTCGTCGTCGTTGACCAGGCTGGCCCTGCTGTAGTGTTCGTAGTAGACGCCAACCCAGACGCCGATCGAGTCCTCTGTGATGCGGCCGTCCGTCAGCCAGCGCCGGGCAGAGATGGCTCCCTCGCTGGCCAGCCGGGTGTACTGCTCCGGGATGTGCCTGAACAGGGCTCCGGCGAGCAACACCTGCAGTCCAGCCGTGACGGTCGTCCTGTTCTCGCGGCAGGCATCGCGAAAGGCCGTCGTCTCCCGCTCGCACACGACGAGATGGCGGACGGTGTTGTGCAAGGGAGTGAACGTCCTGGATCCCGTCCAGAGGGCCGGCTCTCGCGCTGGCTTCCACACTTTGGCACGGAAAAGGGACCAGAGGATGTAGGGGAAGGACAGCGGCATCGGGCAGCTTTCCTCGAGAGACGGCAGCAGCGGCGTCCTGGGAGACACCACCACGCTCTTCACGGCCGTCGAGCCAGCAGGAAGGGCGCTGGAGATAGTCCTCAGGGCCGCCAGGAGTGCTCCATGGAAGGCCTTTCCCGACGTCCCGTCCCCGATGGCATGATGCCAGACGTAGACAGCAGTGAACCGCCGTCCTTGCTGCGGCTCGGTCAGGATGCACAGTCGCCAGTACGGCCAGGGAGCGGCAAAGGGTATATTGTGCTGCTAGTTCAGCAGCTCGTCCAGCTCCGTGTCTCTGTCCTCTCCCTCCCTCCCGCCGTCCACAGCAGCCACTTTCTTCTCCCTCTCCCGCTCTCTGAACGAGACGCAGCGGTCCAGGTCGACCTCGGGCAGCCGCACAAAGTAGGGATCCAGCGAGTCCTCGCCCAGCGGGATGGCTGAGAGCGCCGGATGCTCTGCTATCAGCGTCTCGAGCGCCTTGTAGACGCAGTCTCTGACCGGCAGCGCGCAGCTGGAGGGCAGCACATAGCCCGCCGTCACCGCGACGTTGGTGTAGAACCGGGGCGGGTTGCGGGCAGTCGAGTATTTCTCCAGGCAGCCTATAGTAATAAGTTATCAGTTATTCGTCTCTTGATGGTTAACTAGTTAGTTATTGTATGCCTGTCGATGTCTTCGAGTGTCGGGATCCTACCAACTGGCCGCAGTCTCTCCAGCGTGCGCTCGTCCATCGCTGCCTGGTTCCATGCCCTGCTCTGCTTCACTTACTTCTACTTATATATATATATCTACTTATATCTAAGTACTTATATGTCTGCCTGCCTCGTATTCATCCTCGTCTGATCCCGGAGCTGCGCTGCCTAGTAAATCTTCCGACAACTAGCCAAAAGTTGCTTATTCCACCTGCTGGGCTGCCCGTAGCTCCAGCCGCCGCCGCCGCAGCAGTTGAGAGAGAGAGAGAGAGACGCCCGCCAGCTGCAGATCAAGCCTAATAAATAAATAATAATAATAATACACATCAACCGGCCATCAGCACAACTTCCAGAGGCTTTGCTTTTGCTCGCTCCCGCCAGGCCATGATCCGGACGCCAGCCGGCTGCGGGAAGACCAGATTTCGCTCAGCTCGCCTGCTCTGCGCCCTCGTACGCCCACGGCCGCCGCAACCACCGCGCGACAGCGACATCCAGCTACGTGGCTTCAGGCTGCCTCTCCGTCTCGTCCGCTGCCATTCCTCGCTGTCCTCGCTGTCCTCGCTATCTTCACTGCCGTCGTTGTCCTCTGTGGTTGCTGCAAAAAACCCGCCTCGACCGCCGGCCTGCCCCCCCGCGAGCCCTCCTCTGTCTATCATCATCACCACAGCTCGACCAGCTCGACCAGTCCTTGCTCTCGTGCATTCACATTCGCATTCACATTCGCCCTTCACGATGGGCGGCCAGACCAGATCTCACGGGCATAGCCATGGCCACGGCCACGGCCACGGTCATGGTCATCACCACCACCACCACCACGATACCACATATCTGACCTCGAAGAACAAGCAGGATCCCGGCGTCCGCATCACCAGAATCGGCCTGCTCGCCAACCTGGCCATGGCCGTCGGCAAGGGCGTCGGAGGCTACGTCTTCCACTCGCAGGCCCTGATTGCAGACGCCTACCATGCCCTCGCGGACCTGGTGTCGGACTTCATGACGCTGGGCACCGTCTCCTGGTCGAACAAGCCGCCCTCGGCTCGCTTCCCGCTGGGCTACGGCAAGATCGAGACCCTGGGCTCCCTGGGCGTCAGCGGCCTGCTGCTCGTCGGCGGCGTGCTGATGGGCCTCAATGCCGCCGAAGTCATCCTCACCCAGTTCTTCCCGGACCTGGCAGAGGCGGCGGCTCATATGGGCCTGCTCGGCCACGGCCACGGCCACTCCCACGGCCACTCACACTCGCATTTCCCTTCCGACCAGGCCTACGGGCCCAATATCAACGCTGCCTGGCTTGCTGCGGGCTCAATTGTCGTCAAGGAGTGGCTCTACCACGCCAGTAAGCAGACGACCATTGATATACATACATATAGTTACAAACTGCTAATAGAGGGTTGACAGCTATGAAAATTGCAAAGGAGAGAAAGTCCTCCGTCCTTGCATCCAACGCCGTCCATCACCGTGTCGACTCTCTCACTAGCATCGTCGCCCTGGTGACCATCGGCGGCGCCCATGTCTTCTCTGACGCTACCTGGCTGGACCCGGTGGGCGGTCTCCTCATCTCCATCATGATCATCAAGGCCGGGCTCGGAAACACCAAGGCCACTCTCTTAGAACTCGCAGACGCAGGCGTCGAGGAGAGCATGGTCGACTCCGTGCGCAAGTACGCCGCCCGAGCCATCGCTGCTCTTCCACACGGCGCCGAGGTCGAGCTGCGCAACATCCAGGGCGTCAAGTCGGGCCCCAACTACCTGATGGAAGTCGACCTTGCTGTCCCCGGCTCGTGGTCGGTTGCTCGGACCCGCGAGGTCGAGCGGGCCATCCGCGAACGGGTAGGAGCTCGCGTGAGAGGTGTTAAGCGGCTACGGGTTCGCTTCACTCTCGATACAGAGAAGGAGCTGGACTTTGCGGAGGAGTTCATTGCCCCGGACCTCAGTCCTCGTAGCAGCCCCGAGCCCGAGCCTGAGACCAATGGCAACGGCTCTATTTCATCGGGCTCGCAGTCAGAGCCACAAGTTAATGGCACTCGCAGACGGCATTAGACTTGGGGTATCTAACCCATTCCTTCACGTCAATACTCCGTAAATCACCATCAAACACACACACACACACACACACACACACCAGCGTCCACAAGCTTGACTTCGCCGGAAGCGATTCAGACAGCCCACCACCAGCAGCGGCATTACACGGCGGCAGCGTCTCCTCGCTCCGTCTTATGGTCGCTTCCATGTTATGGGTCGATGGATATATATTATGTACATCTACCAACAACTATCTACTACTTCATAGCTCAGCCCGAAGCAACTGTCTATCTACGGCTGCCCGGCAGTGACGCGCAGCAGCCCCAGCAAGGACAGGACCTGTTTCATGCTTGATTGTCTTGTAGAAAGATAGATGAGTACGTCTTGAATAGTTATAATGATGAAATATATTAGTTATTTGGCATCCGGACTATGATTCAATAACAGCCTTACGAGCTTCCCGCCCTGCTCCCTGTCGCTATGATATCATCCCGCCCCCACGGCCAACATACACATACATCTACTGACTATTTATATATTCAACGACGACTGCCACTGTATCCAAAACAGTCCAATGTCCCAATTGCTATAGAAATAACTAAACGACAATGGGATCCCACGACGGACCGCTGTACATCGGCTTCGACCTGTCGACGCAGCAGCTCAAGGGCCTCGTCGTCTCGTCCGATCTCAAGGTCGTCTTCGTCGCCAAATTCGACTTCGACAGCGACTCGAGAGGCTTCTCCGTCACCAAGGGCGTCCAGACAAATGAAGCCGAGAAGGAAGTCTTTGCGCCCGTCGCCATGTGGCTGCAGGCGCTGGACGCCGTGCTACACGATCTCCAGCAGCAAGGGCTGGACTTTGGCAGGGTGAAGGGCATCAGCGGCGCCGGCCAGCAGCATGGCAGCGTCTACTGGAACGAGTCCGTCGAGCAGATACTGGGCAGCCTGGACGCAGCGAAGACGCTGGAGGACCAGTTGCCGGCTGCTCTGTCTCATCCGTACAGTCCCAACTGGCAGGACGCCAGCACGCAGCGGGAGTGTGACGAGTTTGATGCCTTTCTAGGGAGCGAAGAAGAACTGGCGAAGGTGACGGGAAGCAAGGCTCATCATGTAGGTTTTCCTTTCAATCCCAGATATATACATGGTGTGTGTGTGTGTGCTATCAGGTTGCTGACGTGTGGGTAGAGATTTACCGGTCCTCAGATATTGAGGTTTCAGAGGAAGCATCCTGATGCATACCGGAAGACGGCCAGGATATCCCTGGTTTCGTCCTTTTTGGCCTCAGTCTTCTTGGGCAGAGTGGCTCCGTTCGATATCTCAGACGTCTGTGGCATGAATCTATGGGACATACCCTCAAACCGATGGAACGAGAGCCTGCTCAAGTTCTGTGCCGGTGACGCTGGGCCAGAGCAGCTGAAGAGGAAACTCGGAGACGTGCCGCACGATGGAGGCCAGGAGCTGGGTAAAATCAGCAGCTACTTTGTCCAGAGACACGGCTTCCATCCAGACTGTGTCATTACCCCGTCGACGGGCGATAACCCGGCTACTATACTTGCCCTGCCACTGAGACCGCTGGACGCCATGGTATCCCTGGGGACATCGACTACTTTTCTCATGTCGACTCCGCAGTACAAGCCCGATCCGTCAACGCACTTCTTCAACCATCCGACTACTCCTGGATTGTACATGTTTATGCTCTGCTACAAGAACGGAGGCCTTGCTCGTGAACGGGTGCGAGACGCTATCAACGCAAAACTAGACGAGACCAAGGACAAAGACAAAGATGCCTCGAACCCCTGGAGCAACTTTGACAGAATCCTGCTGGACACTCCTCCAGCCGGCCAGAAGTCAGACTCAGACCCGATGAAGTTGGGCCTCTTCTTCCCACGGCCGGAGATTGTGCCCAATCTTCGAGAGGGAGAATGGCACTTCAACTATACCCCTGGCCATGCAGACGTAGACCAGCAGCTCAAGGAGACAGACACAGGCTGGAACCATCCGTTTGACGGTGCCAGGGCCATCGTCGAGAGCCAGTTTCTCTCCCTCAGGCTGCGGTCAAGGGAGCTCGTCCACAGCCCATCGGACAAGAAGGACATCCCGCCCCAGCCACGACGAATCTACCTTGTTGGCGGCGGCTCTCGCAATGCTGCCATCGCCAAAGTGGCCGGGGAAGTGCTCGGCGGCATCGAAGGGGTGTATAAGCTGGACGTGGGCGAGAATGCATGCGCTCTGGGAGCAGCATACAAGGCCGTCTGGGCGCTGGAACGAGCACCGCAGCAGACCTTTGAGGACCTGATCGGGCAGAGATGGAGGGAAGACGAGTTCGTCGAGCGCATAGCTGATGGCTACCAGCCGGGCGTCTTTGAGAAGTACGGCCAGGCCGTCAGGGGCTTTGAGATGATGGAGAAGCAGATCCTCAAGGCGGAAACTAAGAAGTAGCACCTTGCTATGTACTGTAGTTACTGGCTATCTGGCCATCTACCCAGTAGTAGCGTTCCATCCGTGTGTATCGCTGTTAAACGGCCAATATCAACCGGTCTTCCTTGTAGAGCATGATGGCTGTCTAGTTATGGCCGTAGCAAAATAACCAACTAATAACCCGCCCAACACCCGCCTTTTCTCTCTCTACCAGCTTCTTCGCCCTCCCGCCGGTGTTTTCTTTTTCTCCCCGTCCCCACCCAAGACGGCGTTTCCCCTCTGGCTGTTGTTGTGTGTGCGAAGTGTGTTGTGTCATAGCTAATCTGCTAGTCCGCTGGTGAGCTGGAGATTCTTTCTTGGGTCCCGCAGCGGCACCAAAAACTCACCCAAAAACTCACCCACGACCGATATTAATATTTTTTTTTTTTACGCCCGCCCGAACTCCCCTGCGCAAGAGTAGCCTGACGAGACGGAGCTGGATAAGCGTATTGCAGACAGATATCTATGAGATGAACAGCCGGACCCTCTCGCGACCTTCACAGCTCTGCACAGTTGGGTGACTGGGTTAAACTACCTGCTACGTGGGAAGCGAGCCGGACAGAGGGACACTTGACCGCCGGCGGAAAAGGAGCACGAGAGAGCGAGATAGCGAGATAGCGAGAGAGAGAGAGAGAGAGAGCCCGCGGGCCTCGCTGGGAGCAGTCATCATGGAGGAGCAGGTAAGCCGTCCGTCCTCAGTTTGCTTGTCCTTTGCTGCTCGTCTACTGCTGGCGGGCGGCGGCGGCGGCGTCTCTCTGGTTTAGCTACTGCGCAAGGTACTAACGGCAGCGTCATTCTAGGTCGCGAATGCCATAGAAATCGCCGGCAACCCAGCTTCGGACCAGGCGCTCAAGGCGCAGGCCTTCGACTACATCAGCCAGCTTCGCTCAGACCCGTCAGGATGGCAGCCGTGTCTCTCGATCTTCACAAAGTTCCCCCGTCACTCGGAGATAGTACGGCATGTGGCCCTGGAGATTGTCAACAGCGCCACGCAGTCTGGCCAGGTGGATTTGCAAGGGCTCGGGTTCATCAAGGATAGCCTCATGTCCTACTTGCAGGAGATGTATGGGGCCGGGGCCACGAGCGAGCCAGACCAGGCGAATATACAGAACAAGATTGCCCAGACGATTACCTATCTCTTTTCTGCCCTCTATGCCAACGGATGGGACACCTTCTTCGATGATATCCTGCGCCTGACCTATAAATCGCCTGAGAACCAAGTCCGGGACAATGTTCTGGGCACCATCTTCTTTCTCCGTGTTATCAATTCCATACACGACGAGATCGGTGACGTCCTGCTCTCACGTTCACGGGCCGAGCAGGACAGAGCAAACACGCTGAAAGACCTCATCCGGGAGAGAGATGTGCAGAAACTAGTCAACTCGTGGCAGGAGATCCTTACGCAGTGGCAGGACCAAGACAATGTCATCACGGCCATGGTGCTCAAGGCAATCGGCAGCTGGGTCAGTTGGATCAATATCTCCCTGGTCGTCAACCAGGGCATGCTCGACCTCCTATTCCACCAGCTCGCAAAGGCCAAGGATGTAAGCCTGAATAATGGAGGGGAAAGGGTCCGGGATGCCGCCATTGACGTCTTTACGGAGATCGTTGGAAAGAAGATGAAGCCCTCTGATAAGGTGGACATGATCGTCTTTTTGAACCTCGAGAGCATCGTCTCTCAGCTTTCTACCAGCCCGCCTCTGCACGAATACCGATTCACCTCAAAATATGACACCGATCTAGCTGAGACCGTTGCCAAGCTTGTAAACATCACAGCATTGGACATCGTCAAGGCACTTGAATCCGAGGGGGTTGATGCTGCCACCAAGGAAAAAGCCGAAGCCTTGCTACAGGCCTTCCTGCCCCATGTGTTGCGTTACTTCTCTGACGAATATGATGAGATATGCTCGACAATTGTCCCTTGTGTCAATGATATGCTTACTTACTTCCGAAAGGTTGCAAAGAAGAACCCCGAATTGGCATCTCAGCAGAATCACATGTTGCTACCAATTCTCAAGGCCATCATTCAAAAAATGAGATACGATGAGACGTCGAGCTGGGGAAGCGAGGATGATCAGACAGATGAAGCAGAGTTCCAGGAACTACGACGGAGACTCAACGTTCTGCAGCAGATAATTGCATCAACCAACGAGCAGCTCTTTATAGAAGCCGTTACTGATGTAGTTCGTTCCACGTTCTCTAGTTTAAGACAGCCGGGAGCACAGCTGGACTGGCGCGATCTTGATCTAGCCCTACACGAGATGTTCCTTTTTGGAGACCTGGCAATGAAAGCTGGAGGATTGTATAATAAGGCATAAGCCCAATAATCCTGCCGCAGAGCGCCTCATTGAAATGATGTTGGTCATGGTCGAGTCCGGTGAGTGGCTTGTCACATATTCGTGGCTCAAATTTTTCCGGATTGTTACTGACAATAACCCCCTAGATGTCCGCTCGTTCAACCACCCAGCCACACAGCTGCAATACATGGAAATATGCGTGCGGTATAGCGCATTTTTTGAGCACCATTCCCACCTTCTTCTAGGTGTTTTAGAAGGATTCCTCCGTCTTGCCCATCATCAGATGCTCAAGGTTAGGACCAGGTCGTGGTATCTATTCCACCGCCTTGTAAAGCACCTTCGCGCTTTTGTGGGAAATGTTGCGCAAACGGTCGTCGAAGCTCTTAGTGACCTCCTCACAATTAACGCTGAGGTACCTGGTGATAACTCAGATGGTGACGACCTATCTTCTGAGGATATCGGCGGATCTCGAGACACAGTTTTTACTAGTCAACTATACCTTTTCGAGGCCATTGGAACCATCTGTTCCACTGCTTCGTCGGTTGAAAAGCAGGTGTACTTTGCACAGTCAATTATGAATCCCATCTTTATGGACATGGAAAAGAACTTACCTGCTGCTCAGGCGAACGATGAGCGTGCCATTCTGCAGATTCACCATGATATCATGGCTCTTGGTACCCTTGCCAAGGGCTATTCTGACTGGGTGCCAGGATCAACTTCCCCCCAAACACCACCTCCTCCAGAGGTGTCAGAAACATTTGGACAAGTATCGGAGGCAACCCTAGTTGCTCTCGAGTCTTTGAAAAATTCGTTCACCATTAGGACTGCGGCTCGATTTGCATTCTCCAGGTTAATCGGTGTTAGAGGGTCGAGAAACCTACCACAATTACCTAGATGGATCGATGGCCTGCTTACCCCTACCTCCTCAAAGGATGAGATGGCACTATTCCTTCGGCTCTTGGATCAAGTTATCTTCGGCTTCAAGTCCGAAATATACTCCATTCTCGATACGCTGTGGACACCTTTCCTTCAGCGAGTGTTTTCCGGTATTGCTGAGCCGATATCGGGTACGGACGACGAGATTCAGCTAGCTGAGTTGAAACGCGAGTACCTCAACTTTTTGCTTATGATACTGAACAATGACCTTGGCTCTGTTATCATCAGCAGCTGTAAGCCTCCATATTCGCCCTCTATAGTCCCCTCCGTGTGTCCTCAACTAACATTCGCATAGCAAATCAATCTATCTTTGAGACCGTCATATCAACTATCGAGCACTTCGCCAAGGATGCGGATGATTTCCCAACAGCCAAAATGGCGTTCCTTGTACTGGCTCGGATGTCGAGTCTTTGGGGAGGCCCTGATATTGTGGCTCCAGTAAATGGCACTAACACCACCCAACAAGAAACCGCCTTACCTGGGTTCGCTCAGTTCATGATTACCCGCTTCTCTCCTCTCTGCTGGGCACTACCAATGAATTCATCATTTAATTCCAAAGACGCTCAGGCAAAGCAAGTTCTTGGCGAAGCAGCAGCGATGCAAAAGGTAATATACTCAAAAACTGGACCTGAGTATCTCCAATGGCTCCGAACTTCCGAGTTACCGGGAATGGGGATGGGTGAAGACCTTATCAATGAATATGTATCATCTTTAGAACAGCTAGACGTAAAGGCTTTTCGACAGTTTTTCCAGGTAAGATATCCTTCCTCCCCAAATCTCCCACAATTGAGGCTAATCAGAAAGCAATAGGCATTTATACAACGGTTAAGCGCATGATACTAGCGATTTCCTCCATCTGTTCCATTTATCCCCTCGTCTATCACATCTGATCGAACAAATGTTGATGAAAGCCATCCCTTACCACCAAAATAAGAAAAAGTTACATTTACTCTTCGCTAAGAACATTAGCATATGAAGTGTCCTGGATCAATCTACGTTATTTCAACTAGTCACCTTGCTAACCATATATCCTGTCATATTCCCGCCACCATAAAATTTCACCAATTATCCCTCTGCTTGGTTTCGGAAACCCCCATGACATTGTTTTATCGGACAAGCAATTTCCAAGGCAGATTTGCTTTGTGTGAATTCACTTCAAGTCATGGTTTCATGTTTCGCTGACTGTTAGTCCTCTCTCCTGTTATTGACTCGACTTATTTTGAGATTATCCTCCCGCTAGACTTTCTTCGTTTTATTCAAGGTACGATTCAAGGCTGTGGGAGCGAGAAAACATGGAGATGTTGGCTATGCAAATGAACAATATATGAGGGTAGCATAACTATCAGGTCAATTTAAAGGAAGTTCAAAATTAAATCTTAGTTATCGTGCCGGTATAATGAATACCAGGTGGTGTAGTATGTAGTTATTTCCACAAGCCATGTGATAAGAAAGCCCATAAATAGCCTGACCATGCTGCCCTGTAATGCACAGCTCTAATAACTGTATAATAAGTGCAGACCATGTTTCAAGCAAATAGATACTGAGCTGCGAAATTCACATGGTCATCGGCAAATGTAGCTATAGTGAAGTAACTATGATCATAATCAGGTTGGAAGCGCAAATATATATCAGACTCCACACCAGCTTCCTTTGCAGCTGCAAGAAAGTTCTCTGGCAATAGCTGCTTTTGATTATAGAAATTGTCGCCAGTACCCTTAAAGTCGTAAGAAATTAGTGCTGTGTTCCTAGATTATTATGGGTTGTGTTGTACTCGTCCAGAATGCGACATAAGGCGAAACTAATGGTAACAAGATGGACTACATACCACGTCAATCAACATTGTGAGAGGGCCCTTCCACTTTTTGACTAGCTCGGTGGCATCGTGCTCATTCCACTTGTCCTTGTCGCTGCCAAAGTAGCCCTCAAAGGCTTTTTGGCCCCAAGGACAGTTGACGGGGTTTGCAATTGGCGCAAAAGCTGAGACTGATTTATACTTCCCAGGATTTTTCAAGAACTAATAATCAGGTCAGCTGGGTCCTTAGTTAAAGGGAGAGTTAGGAAAGAGCTGGATGGGACATAGAATCCTTACAAGAGTCAAGGCACCATGCCCTCCCATACTGTGCCCGGTAATACTGACTCGATTGGAGTCCAACTGCGGAAACTCGGTGAAGATAACTTTGGGAAGTTCCTCCGTAATATAGGTATACATGTTATATCCCTGATCATACGGAGCTTTGGTAGCATCGACGTAGAATCCAGCTCCGGTCCCAAAGTCGTATGCATCATCTTCACCGGCAATACCCAAACCACCTATTATAGCCATAGTTAGCTAACTACTAATTACGTATTTGGGATAGTCAAAGTCGTACGTGGGCTGGTATCTGGATATACAATAGCAATACCCTTTAAACTGGCTGCGTGTTGAAGAAATCCTTTTTCAGAGCAGTTGTCTGGAGTGCAAGTCAAGCCTGATAGGAAGAATAGAACGGGAGCCTTGTACCCAGAGTCTGAAACTGACTGTGGCGGGAGGTATAGGTTAAATGCCATCTCACACTTCGTAGATGTGGCATTATGGGAGAGCTTCAGTAGCTTCCCTCCAAAGGAGGAGATGGTAGCTTTGGTTGTGACGGCCATGCTGTCGAGAGACCAACCCTATCAATTATCAAACTACCAATTATCAAATCCTGCCACTCGTCTTTGCTTGTGGATGAAAGTGCTGTCTGATGTTTGTAGTTCAAAGGTTGAAATAAGCTTGGCTGCAGGTGGAAACTTGGATGCCGGCGCGGGGCTTATCCGATCCTCCCCGCACCACCAAAAATATTGCTATCTTTAAACCAAATATAAAAGGGAGGCCGAGTTGATATAGAGTAAACTACACCATAGAGCTTCTATATATATGTACACAAGCAGATAGCCTTCCGATTTCTCCAATCCAAAGCTCCTGCAGCGTATAGTATGCCAAAACCAAGGGTATATTCTAATATCATAAAAGTAGCCTAAAAAAAAAAAAAAAAAAAGACAAAAATGACAGGCAACAGAAATCCGTCACTTTAGAAACACAGGAACTCCATATAAAACCGGTGCTGCTCCATTCAAGTATTTGAGAATACAAGTATCCCGGGAGCCAGCTACGGCGGTGTCTAGGCCGACTTGGCCTGTGTGTTTGATACCTGAAGCCGATGCAATGGGCCTTTTCGCAGTTGTATCTGGGGTTGGAAAAAGACCCCATCGCTCAAACACAGAAGTAGTGAACCTGTCAATATCCTTATCAGTGACATCCCAGAGAGTTGCTACCAGAGCCGGTGTTCCAGCATGCATATAGTTCCATGGGGTCCCATATGGCTCGAATTCACCAGCCTCTGTCATGGCACCACTGCTGCACCCCATAAGGAAGGTCACTGCGCACTTATCCAGTCTTCGAATAGTTCGGCCTCGGATATACTGAGCTCCACTGCCATGTCCAAAGTATAACAGGATGTCCTTAGTCCGCAACGATGACTCAAATTCTTCTTCGGTTGGCGCCGTCTTTATTCGGCCGGACCAGCCTTTCAATACGGAAAGTGGCTCTTTGAAAATATCCTCTGTGGATTTGAGATCCCCAGCTGGATTCAGTAAATAAGTACCGCTATCTCGATTAGCATAGAATCCGAATTGGCCACCTTCATGCCTCTCCTGAGTTGTCAGCCGTAATATCTGGTCTCTCACGCAGTCGAGTGAGGGCATGCGTGAGACTGAACAATTTCTCAGGCACTCCATAGACTCCCAGGGAAACGCATGGAGTGACTTATCCAGAACCAATATTGTGTGTCGAGGTGGTGTTGGCGCTTGCTCCCACTTGCACCCGTCCGCATAACGATGTAGCGAATCTAAGGTTTCCACTACCATCATGTCGAAATCTATTTCTTCGTACGCGTTTGTCTCGCCGTGAAACTGAAGGATATCAACGACATAATATAACAGATCCATAACAGCATCTTCTGGATTCATCTCGTCGTTAAGTCTGCCAATGTTGACAAAAAGTTCCATCACCCAAGGATCAAAATCTGGATATGTAGTCTTGGCCTTTCCTCGTTTCTCCTTTCTTGACGGAAGATGCTTGTCAAGGATTTTGTTGAAGGAAGCTGTAAATTTCCCTAACAGAAGATCATTCCTAGTGGCTTGAGAAAATATGCCACGGAATCCCCCAAACCATACTGTCTCAATGTTTTGTAGGAGATCTTGAAGTTGTTTGTCAAGATTTTCCCGCGTTTCCCACCATGCTTTCTTCTCCTTCTTACCAAGAGACGTGCCGGTGTTATGAGCACTAGCATTGGCAAGACGAATGATTTCTAAAAGTTCCGCTTTGCCCTCCTGGAAGCTAAATGTATCCTCGTCCATGTCATCATCACCGCCTCTTTTGAGTGGTAGACGCAATATTAACGGACATTGGCCTTGGCGCAGTTTTGATATGATAAACTCGTCTTGATTCGGACAAAGGGTTATTGATATGACGTCCCATTCTGGAGGGAGGATCTCGACGTAGTTTTCCATGAAACAGCCCTCCTCCGAAGACACTACATCCAAATTGGCTGATGGAAGGGCGGGCCAATCCAAACGACCCATCTGATTTGATAGTTCCTTATCCGACACAATTGACAAATGGTCGCGTGCAAATGCGGAATTGCGGCCCAGCTCTACAATCACGTTAGTATAGGAGCTTAGTGTAGCGTGTAGGGCAACATACCGATGGAATGAGCAATGAGGAATGGATCTGTGTCAGAGTTTCTCGTTGTTGATGTTGCAAAAGCTAGCATAGACGTTCGGCTTCGAAGATATGAGACTTCGTGACCCTCCTTACTAGACCCATGTTGAGATATTGGCAAAGAGATATCTGCAAGGACTTTGCTTGCGGTGGATAGAGTTTCTGAAAAGTTAATTTCAGAATGTACAGTAGATTTCGCCGTTTTTCCAGACCGTGATTTTGATCGCGAGCTCCCTTTCAAACCGTGGCCTTCCGAATGTAAGGATGGAAGTGAAATAGTTGACTCTGGGAGAACACAATAGACAGAATGGGCAGAGAGCTGCTGTACTGCTAGCCCTAACATATAATGCACCCGACAAAGTTTATGACTGGATATTGCTGTTTCTGCCTCAAGGATCTTATCCGCTTGGTCAAGTAAACTGACGACTTGGTCAAACTGTTGTGATGCAAGCAAAAGCATGGCTTGCTTTCGGATGAGACTGCTGTGAAGTCGTGTAACAAGCGTTTGATTTTGTGCACTTTCTGATTCTCCAATAATAGAGATGTTCGACCGAGCGACCGATTTTGCCTGGAGTGGTTTTCTAGCACTGCGAGAGCGCGTAGTGCGGGTAGCAGAGCGAGAACTTGGTTTTTTCGGGGAAGAGATATTCATATCCCCCGTTTGTTTGACAATTTCCTTGATAGGGTCTATGAAAGGGTCCAGAGAATCCACGGTGCTGACGTTGGTAAAGCCCGAGAGAGCATTAATGCAATCGGAAACAACACGATAAGCGCATTCAACTTCCTTTCGCTGAACATGGAGAGATGCCGTATGCATATTGACTGAAATGAACAGGGGAAAATCGCATTCTCCTTGCGGTAGAGCCTGTACCTTTTCAAGGAGCTCGGCTCCTTTGTGCGTACGGCCTGCACGAATAAAACGATCGCCTAGCTCCGCTTTAATGAGGGAGGATAGTGCTTGAGAACCCACCGCATCGCAAACAGCTATTGCTTGTTCTCCATGATAGACTGCATCCTGGAAGATTCCATTGTGATCTGATATTCTTGATAGTTGAAGTAATGCCGCGACATGAGAAGACATATATGGCCAGTAAACTGAGCCTTCGAAGTGACTTTTTGATGGGCTGCTGTCATTCGTACCAATATGGAGAGTGGCTATACCATCGGCAAGGGTGTCTGGATCTGTGTTCTTATCTTTGCAATGCTTCTCTGACTTTGCTTCGACGTATTTCTCTAGCCGAGCCCATAATCGGCTACTTAGCTTGACAGCACGCTTTGCATAGTATGCTGCTTCATTAGGATATCCTTTAGAGTAGAAAGACCGAGATAATATAGTCGCAGCGTCCGTTGCCAAACGCTCACATGCAGCCCTCGTTTGGAAAGTTTCCTTTGAAAGATCCGCGGAGACGTTATCAAACACTGATTGAACTTGAAATATGCTCTCGATACTATTCCACTGTTAGCGCTTAACCATATGAATGGAAATGGCACTGCTTTATTTGTACCTCTTTGAGTGATCTCCCCTTTCTAAACTATACTCTGCAAAGCTCAGATGCCAGGAAAGCAATGCACGGGGAGATATTGTATGTTCTTGTATGACTGCCTTAGCTCTGTTAAGCATATAGTCGGCTTTGTGCAAATACCCTAGTCGGCAGTATTGGAGGGCTATGGATGAATAACAAGAAACCATCATTGAAAAGTCTGGCTTGTCTTGCAGAACAAGTAGTTGGCTGACAGTAGCAAGGGCGGATATCCTCAATCTCCACAGCCCTCTGATTTCAAGATAATCTGACAAACTGCGTAAATGAATGATTAAGGAGAGAGGGTCCCCGATCCGGTTTTGGACAGCTTCCCATGACTCGCAGCCTTGAACAGTAACCACCCAGGTCTGGATGGCATTCTCAAAAACATTCAAAGGTGTCATACCTGAATAGAATGCGACAGTGATCATTAATGATGCCTGAAGATCGTCCCGAAATAGAACCAAAGATTTATCTTCGGACGGTATAATGGAAGAGGACAAACACTGGGCCGCTTCAGTAAGAATAAATTTGGAAAATTCCTTGCTGGAATTCGCATTAGTTTCTAGCAGATACTGCAGGGTTTGATGAATAATCCTTGTCCGGCGGATCGGGTAGGTGTCCAAGGGCAACAAAGAGAGTATTGTTGACAATAATGGCGGAAGAGTCTCCGTCACTATGGATGACGCGGAAGGGCCATTTAGTCCCATGAGGATGTTCAGTTCCTGTTCAAGAAGCGTTGCTCGTTGACATGGTTCGAGATCTTCAACATCATATATCACCGGATTTGCCCCTGAAGCGCATTTGATTTGCTCCTTGATATAACAGCTTAAAACCCGGCTGAGGGCATACCCAGGTCCTTTAGGATCCTTCCAAATAAGACGTGGATGTTCCTTGGATGACAGTTGACAGGCAGCCGCTAAAACCCCTGCTTCAAAATGCGCATGAATTGCTGAGGTATATGCCTTAGACGATTTTTTGGAATTGCCGATTTCTGAATACAATGCTGCTTGCCTCTCGAATTTAATTGCAAGCAGTCCCGATATCTGTTCCGTGAGGGCAGAATGTTGCAGGGTACTTGTAGCCTGTTCCACGGGCTGAAGCAATTCAACAGGGTCTTTACCAAGGTCTTTATAGCGCATATATGTAGCCCAGTATAAATTCGATATTCTCAGTAACCGAACTGATGCATCCCCAGATGGACAATTCTCTAGTTCACAGGAAGGACCAAGTTTTTGCAGTAGCTGACTGAGCGAGACACAAATGGGCAAAAGAGCCTCAACTTTAGCCCAGGATAGCGAACCGCTGCTTGAAAAAAGTTTTCCAACGGCAATCCCCGAGTCTATTGCTGCCAGAACAATGTTACCGGATCTTTGCAGATACCGCGTAACGGCATCAGTATCATCTTGCTGAGAAGCGTGAACTGCTGGTGCCAGGTAACGTATAAGAAATTTCAGAAAACTTGTCAAATAAGCTAGGGCTGAATCATTGGTCGTGGTTGCGCCATCTAGTGGTTTCTTGGAAGACGGTCCCGTTTGAGATATGTGTTTCATAATTATTTTCTTAAGGAGCGCACTTTCCATGAGTAACTCGTCCAGTTCATTTTGATTACCCTTCATGGATGCAGTCAAATCTGTTGCAGCTTCATTGACTGCCTGGAAAGCTTCGGACTCTGAAGTAGACTGTGACTTCAATGATTCAACCTTCAATAAAGCCTTTCGACATTGGTATACTGCACGTTGCAATGGCCGTACATCGCTGAGCGACGTGGAGGAAGCCTCACAAAGTTCAGCCGCGGTTTCTAGCCGGCCAGCACTGTAAGCTATTTGGCCAAGTGTTTTTACAACTGCAGCCATCGATGAAGACTTGTATTCGTCATTTCCTAGGGGCTTAATTGACTCTAGCCGAGCTTTCAATTGATTGAATGCAGCCTGGAGGGCATCAAACTCATGCTTGTGAGAATTGGGGCACCGTCGAACATAAGTCGAAATAAATCGAGAAAGCGGACCCCAAAGTTCCTTGGCTAGGTCCAATTTATGGTCAGACAGTTTCCACCAGATACAGCGAATTTCCAATGCTAGGAACTGAAGTAGTAAAGGGACCATTGGATTTTCTGGGCGCGTGATTGGACCTTGCTTTTCTTCTGCGGGGGAGAGTATAATGGAGAAAGTTAGCACATTTTGTGAATGAGACTGGAGCTGCTGGGCTGCCCTATCGTCAGGAATGATTCCTATTTTGTTGGCTGCTAGAATGGTATTGGTAGGGCTACATGGGTTCCCTAACCGCAGTTGTTGAAGAACTTTATGGCTTGTGTTCAAGTTCCCTTCGATTAAAAGAACTTTGAGAGCATACGATTGAAATGACACCATAAGTTGTAGAAGTGGCCCATTTTCGGGGAGGGCTTGAAATTCTAGAAGTGATTCCAGAGAGGCGTTCTGCGAATCCAGATACTTTCTCTCGAGCCCATTGGTTCTTTTTGTTCGCTCCGCCTCAATGGCAACCAGAAGAGTGGATTTCAGCATCCACAATCCCTTTATGGCCAAGTCCTGAAGTTCAAGAATCAATAGTTTCCCAACCAGTATATTTATTCCCTGCCCGAGATGAAGGTTATTAGGGTCGAAAGTGTCTTCGGAGATTCGTATACTGCGGAGAGTCTCTAATGACAGCATGGCACACTCCGCGACTAGTTTTATTCGGCAGTTCCCGTTGCGTTTTATACTTTCTTCTGGGGTGTCCTTCGGGTTCTCCGCTTTGTGCACTTTGGGGTTAGGCGATGTTGGCTGCAACGGCATTTTTGCTGGACTGGTAGTCCTAACTCGTTGACTTCCATTCCCCCCCGCTGTCTTGGTAACTCGCGAGACCGAGTGCTTCTTGATATGCTCAGAGAGTAGTTTGGATGCGATATTAAACACTTCCGTCGCAAGTACCAGTTTCTCGTGTTTTGACAATGCCGGCGGGTTTTCCTCGTTCGTCGGTTGCGGGGGAAGGGTATTCTTCGAACTGCCTCGGACTCTAACAGTTCGCGTGGATTTTGAAGATGGCTTGCTTGCCGTTGCTCGTTTTGGTGTTTTTGTTTCCTTTGGTAGCTCATCGCTCCCGGTACCTATAAACAGCTGTCGCAAAGTGGTCACGGTTTTGATCGAGCATTTCGATGCGTGCTGGAGATCATGCTTGACCGAATCGGCCAGCGTAGGGAGTAATATGCCGCCCATTCTCTCCTGTAAGTGTCAGAAAGCCGTGGATCTCTGGTGTTCTGTACGCGCATCCCATCGCCATCTCATCCTTGACGTCTCTTTTTACCGCCAGGAGTGAAGCTTCGTTGTTGGTTTAAACATCGAGCAGGTTTGGTTGCCCGGCAACGCCTTGCTTATGTAACACACGTGACTATAAAGTTAAAAAGTGGAACGCGAAAGTTGAAAGCCTCGAAGAAAAAGAAGCATCAAGCATCAAACAGCTGTCTGCCCTTGCTCTCCGTGTCATTGCTCTCCGGGATTTGGTTCTGTGCTACAGAGCGCTTTTGCACCGTTAGAATGGCTACCATACTGTCTAAGCCTCAACTGAGGGCAGTAACTCTATCGAAACGACTCCCAATCCTCCCGCGAACATGCTCATGTCAATCTCGATTCACACTTCAGCAGTACCAATGCATCTCGACCGGACGGATGACACCAAAGATTGCGGATGCATCGATGTGGAATTCGGTAATACCCAAATTTCTACGGAGCGGAAGTCAAAAAGGACCGAAGCAAGGCGCAGATGCGGGGATCATGGAGCGACATCCATCAGTTTTCTACATCCTCATGTTCATACTAATTGGATCCCAAGCAATCCATCTGCTTCAACTTCGAACCTCTCATGAGAATTTTCTGCGAAGTACGAACTCGAAGATACGCCAGCTAAGTGAGGTCATTGACAGGCTCAAAAATGGCGAGGATGTGGATGTGAGGAAGACCCTTGGTACGGGAAACAAAGCATCAGAGGATGAATGGGAAGAAGGTAGTTATACCACTGTCATTTCTTTGTAATCGAATAGTTGAGACTGAAACAATGGGTTTGCTGACTTTTGGTCCCAGTACTAAGAGAGATCGAACAAGAGGAGTTGGAATGGAGATCGAAACTTGATGCCATACAGTCCAATGAAAATCATCAGCATTCAGATACCCCTAAAGACCATGGTACACCGAAGCGCCCTCCACAGTTCTACTAAGTCCTGCCAATATTTTCTCTCGAAGACAGCTCTAAGTCTCCCTTCAAATTCTAAGGTCCTATCCATACTTGCAATAATCGGGAAGTGGGAAGTCTTTGCCTCTATGCTGATTCCTGCCGAATCATGGAATAAACCTCGCTGCTCTCATCAACTCCAGGACATTAATCCACGTATCTCGTGGACTCTCATCTCCCATGAAGCCAGTGGATCTTAACTTCTGGAGGTCGAGGTGCCGGTCGAAATTTAGCTTGGTCAAACCCCAGTTCTCTGAACCATCCATAGATGGGGAAGCAACATTCCAAGCCTTTAGACCGTACTCTTGTATCATACGCTTATATTCCGCCTCATGCGATTGAATATACCTGTCAGGTCCTGGTGACGACGTTTTACTCTTCTCATTATCCACTGGTGGCTCTCCAATGAGCCCAAACCATTCGCAAAGGGGTGGCCACTTCATCTCCCAGCTCCACGGTGTTTCTGAAGATGCTACGTTGAACCCTTCTCCTTTGATCCCTGGGCTAGGATGTAGAGACAAGTGAATAGAGGCCTTTGCGATCATATCAGCTCCGGCATCACTCGCGAGGGCTTTCCATGTTCCGAAGCTACCAGGAAACGGACATGCTGCACTTTTCCCGTTGATAAATCTATACAATGATAAGAACATAGCAATGGGGTAGACTGCATTATACGAGTTCATTCGTGGAACGAATCCTTTGCGATAGTGTTTTCAGCAACATATGTCCAAGAGGGGAATTGGGCTCTAGAGACGAGAAGCCAAAGTGGTTAACATACCTATAACTTCATCTGGCCGCGTTTCACACCACTTCCATGGCTTGTCTCTTGAGTATTCGTGCATCCATTTTGTCCACACTGGGTAGTGAAGCCTGTCAAGAAGTGGCTTTCGCAATGGGGGCAACGACTCCGAAAGAGGAGCAGTGTGGTAAAATTCCTCGGTGAAACACACCCCATATATAAAGGTGCCGTATTGAAGGTGAATAAACTCGAGATTCGGGGCAAGGCTTTCAATCACCGTCACTGTTTTCTGGAGAGATTTGAGGCTTGCTGCAAATGGTTCGTCATCGTCGTAATTAGATGGAGGGTCTTGTACTGGCAAGTCAACGAAAGATGTCAGCACATTAGGTATTCCTGCAAGTGTTGATCCCGTTAAGGATGCGATAAAACACCACGCACCGAGATAATATAGATGTGTCACTGTGTGTATATCTGTCACTTCCTTCTGAAACTTTGCCATCAATGTCTGCTCCTGGTCATTGTGGATATCGAAGCCAGATACAAGGCGAAATGCTGGGTCTTCATGACTCTGAGGCCAGAAGGAGACTTCCTCTCTGCTCATCGGCTTCCGAGTCACTCCGGTAATACGGCTCCAAGTGCCGGCTCGTGGATAGCCCTGCAGTAGCTGGTTGATGAACGACCAGCCTGATATGCCTGATGCGCCCAGAACCAGAGCATGTCGGGCATTTGAAGCAGCCATCTGAGATATAATTTCACGGCCCGAAGACTCCCCTTTGCCTTGTGAGGATGATGTACACTGACATGACCATTCTCCATCTACGCCCTATCAAGCCTTTAAATGCCTTGATGAAACCAAGATCTAATCTAATCTCAGCGAATACGAGCTTCCGCACGCACACAAACATATGGGGATCGATAACGCCGAGACGTCGGTATGTTTGAATGCCTACGGCCTGTAACTAGATATTGCAATAATTCAAGTTGTAAATATACTGTCTATCATCATCAAAAATGGTACTAGCTGTACGTTGTAAATGCAATAGAAAAAAGGAGATGCTCAGCCGCTGTCACCAACGGGGGGGGGGGGGGGGGGGGGGCTGCATGTTGGTGCTGCCAGCGGGCGGCGCCAATTGAGCGACGGGAAAGACGACTCGCTACAACACAATAATATTTAGCCATGTATGGAGCATTGAATAATTCCTCTTGATGGCAAGCGAGAGCGATGCCGTGAACAGCCACGAAAGTTGTGCTGGCCGGCTCAGTACACAAATGGCCTGCTGCGGGTGGCTGAGCCTCCTTAGTTGGATCCAACTTTCCAGATTGCTGGGCGGCGTAGTTCGCTAACTAGTTCAACATCTCTGGCCTCAAGGCTGAACCTGAAGGGCTTGTGAGTAAACTGGGCCTCGAAGCGCTGTGTGAGAATCGCCTTGCAGCCTGTTTGTTCTCTAACCATGGACCAGATATAATTTCTGCTTTTTCCTCCACAGGCAACTGTGAGGAAGATAGATCCATAGCTTGCTACGATGCCGCATTTCAGTACCAACGTCTTTCGAAGGGCCATCAGTTCCATTTGCTGTACTGGAATATCAAGAAAGGGAGAGAAGCCTGAGAGAACTCAGACAGGAAAAGATATGGCGCTGCTGGCTAGCATTGAAGACGGCACTTTTGCTACCCTTAGTGATACCCAGGCAGTTCAACTCTTTGGAGCTACCTTCTACTGGGAACTCGACCGGCTGAAGCGTGCAAAGCCCACTGTAGAGTCTTCCGGGACAAAAACACTAGGAAATCTCGATTATGATGGTCTTACACCGTCACAACTCCTGTTTGGCGAAGACTTCGTGGAAGTCAACCGGACGCTCGTTGGAATGCTCGCTTTGAAGTGGCTATGGTCGAACGACTACGACTCGTTCACCTATCATCAACATCCGGAGAGAAGGCTCCAGCTTGAATCGTTTGAGAGACTATATGCCATTTTATCTGGGGGCCTTCCGCATCCATACGAGATATACGCTCTTCTCGTTGCGATTGTGGTCAACGACCTTGGGAAAGACGACAGCCTTCAGGCCTCAGTCGCGGAGACCACGGGTCAGACGTACGATAACCATGATGAAGTCCTTTTAGCGGCTGCGAATGCTCAGATGATACCCTCCATCAATACCCTTCAGCCGGATTTGAGATCAGATCTGATGTTGGGACTCGAGGTTGGTTCAAGCTTTAACCTTGCACAGTTGGCTCAGGCAGAGAACGTTCCTGCGAGCCTTGAAAGCATATATGCAATGCGTGACAGAGAGAGGGCATTTTTCCTGAAATATATGGAAGTTCTTTTGGATATTGCAGGAGCTGCCGGTCACATAGACTCTCGAAGTGCAGGGGCGATGGTTGAGCCAGTATTTCGAAGCTACCTCGCAGTATACGATGCTCTAGTTGGAGCCATCAGTGGAATCCTCTCTTTGAACCAGGCGTACGACCACGTTCTGACTTGCCGTGCAAGGATCCTTGAGGAGACTGGGTTTAGGAGCTTATCGGCTCGCATACCGGAGGAACGAGCGTTACTACGGCTGTTGACAATGGGACGAGTAGCAGACATATCTTTGGCAAAATGCTTTTCAGAGGCATTCGCCAATTTACCAGAAAATATAAGAAAAGACCTAGTGGATGGGCTAGGGGCTGATGGCCTGAATATGAAGCCAGCTATCCTGCCGTACTACTCCCCTGGACTAATCGCAGAGGCACTGAGAAGCTGTGCCGGCAGCTCACAAAATACAAAAATACATGTTGTGGGCGCGTTGATGCGGTTTCTTGCCCGGGTCTACGGCGAAGCTGCAACCAAAGCACCAGAACGCCCGCAGGGAGAAATTTCAAATGTTATTGAGGTTGACTTATCCTTTGCTCAGCCGGTGGTATCAGGTGAGAATTTTAGACTAGATCCAACTGTGTTAGATGCATTACCAATTTCCCGGCTACACCGGCATGAATGAACTAGAACTATCTTTAACGTTTGATCTCGACGGGTACATCTCCAATTCCCGTCATTCTGCTTTTTCGAAAGGCTGATGTACCAACGCCCTCTACGGAGGTTAATCCTAATCTTGCTCTACCAGCGCTATGATAACGGCAGCTGATGCACGGCCCTCCTGAACGCTGTTCATATGTATTGCATGGAATAAAGTCATGAGGTTGAGACAAAACGGGTCACAGAGACGCCGTGGCTTACCTGCATGGGAGCACTCCGTACGGAGTAGTTATTTGCAATACAGAGGAAAAGAAAAACTTCATGAAATCGTGGCCAGCCCCCATATAAACGGTGGAAAAGGAATATGTTAAAAAAAAAAAAAAATAGGAAAAGAAAAGAAAAGAAAATGGCAGAGAAGATAGGGAATAATGGGTCCATGGCACACAAAAATGGTGATATCAAATCGAAGAAGGCGCAACGCCATTAACTGTCGTGATCCTTACGAGACGGTACTAGCTGGGATCGGCGCGCTTCTGCCATCAACCGATCCTTTTCACCAACGGCGTCCCAGTCTGGATCAGTACGGTTTGCATATGCAAGCTCAAGCCAGTTCTCCCACGCTTGGGTCTGCGGAACCGCGCCGCTAACAATCACCCAGTTAATCTCCTCCGTGGCATGGATGGCATACCAGAGAGTCCGTGTGAAGCTTGGCTGGGCGCCATCGCTGCCAATCTCATGGGCTGCCTTGACGTTGTCTGGGGTGACGTCTTTCCAATCATAGCGAGACATATCCCATATCCAACTCTTAGGCATCAACGATGATCCCCAGTACATGGCGTTCATGAGCATGTAAATTGCGGACACAACAGCCTGCATCGTCCATTCACAGTTCCCGAGTAGCACGACGGCAAACATGATGAGGAACGTTCCGATACCCACTAGAACCCTTGCCCACTGCTCACTAAGGGAGTAGTTGCATTCCTCCGTACCAGTATAGAGCTCGCGAGCTAGCTCCTCGGTGCATCGCACGACAATAAAAGCGCCCTCGCGCGTCCGTATGATGATGTCTCCCCTTGGCACAACTGCAGACGACGGCCGCACGGCCAGATGAGGCTTCCAGTAAAAAGCAAATCCGTTCAGCGTCGACACCATGGACATTAGGAAAATTGCAACTGCTGCCGTCCCATCCCTTATGACTAGCGCCCAAGCAAAGGCGCATGCGGTCATCAGGAAGGACGAGATGGTGATCAGGCTTAGAGGCGACCACTTATTTGGAGTAATTGCATATTTGTTTCCATGTTTATGCGGAGGTGGCACAGAGACAGGTCTTTTGGAGCGTAGGCCTTCGGGCATGATCAGCTTTTCCAGCTTGATGCTCTGTGATTTCTCGTACTTGGTTCTTTTCTCGGCCCAAGAGATCTCGTACACAACCACTTGGTACGGCTTCAAGTCGGCGATTGGATGAATGATATTGGGGAAGTAATTCAACTCATGAACCAGTGTCCCTGAATGCACGCCGCAAACAACTGCTGGAGGGCTTGGAAGCCTCACCGGGCGTGTTGCACGAAGCAGGGCCTGCGGTGCTGGTATCAAACGCGGCAGTAGGGACAACTTGGACGCAGTCAGCGGCTGGGCTTGATCAGCCACAGACGACTCCCCAAGCACGGCGAGAAGGCCGACGCCTTCCAGTCGCCATCCTGCGGTATCGAACCTCTCAGTCGGAAACCATCCAGGCATTGCGTTTGACGCTGCCGGTCCGCCGTGCTGTCCCGCGAAGACCCTGGAAGTTGGGAGCCCTAGATGTCTCTCTTTGTGCTTCCTAGTTATCACGGCCCAGGTATTCAGGATTACCCGACAGCCAACTCACCAGGTAAACATGTCCTTTAAGATCGGTATAACGTCTGGACCACCTTAGACGTGTAAAAACGAAGCCCTCGAATTGTTATGGATTTGCTGTAAGACCCTGTTACGAGGGCGTTCTCTGATTTGCCGCCGAATCAGCAACAAAATATTGATACGGATAATCAGTCAATCGACGGTGGCATCATCATTTCCCATCTCAAAGACGCCAGATGTTTACGTCAACTCCCAGCCCTTTTATTCCATTGCATTTGTTAGTTAGTTTTGAACAAAAAAAAAAAAAAAAAAAAAACAAAAAGGGAGTGGATCTTCAGGAGTTCGTATTTTACCGTGGATATAAATAGTCTAAGCCAGGTAGCGAGGCCTCGGAATTTGATGCAGGCAAAAAGTTAGGCCCAGGGATATGGACCATGTCTTAAACAATTATTGAAAGAATGGTCAACATGCGTTGATTTAGTTATTTGGGGGCCGACAGTCCACATAACTAACTAACTAATCAGCTAACTCTGCGCTCTGTATGGGCTGGTCCTTGACTCCCTGATGGCGAAGATCTTCTCAGTTGTCTCACCTTTTTCCTATCAAGACTACAAGGATTTCTGCCAGTCTTTCATTGATGTGCTCGAAAATCGTCCTGCAATTGCCACCGATTTGGGAGATATTGGATACAAAGCCTCAGAACGGCGCTTACCCAGTAGTTAGTTACCCTAACTACGCGCCTTGGAGTTGGCTAGTTTTATTGAATATGCGCTCTGTACGCCATAGGAGAATCCTTGAGGCCCTATTCCGGTCACTTTTCGAGTCATGATGGATCTCCCTATTGAGATGTTGACAGAAACCCCCAAGTTTAGAACGATTGTTTCATTCATTACCTTTTCTCAAAGGGTGGTCAGTTATCTGCCTTATCGACGCTCTATAACTCCGGGTCTCTGGGATTTCCGGATTATTTCTGTAATGCCCCAAGCAGACGAATTCCATGACGGGATTGGCTAAGATCCAGGCTGTTCCAAGTTTAAGTGTCGTCGAGTACATGAATCGCGCATCATGCAGCCCATATCCCCTTCCAGGTAAGATGCAGCTTCCCCAGACATGGAGGGCCAGCATTTGATATTCCACAAATGGTGTACTCCGTAGTCTGTGCTTTCAACTAAGAAGGTGGGGGGGGATGAATGTGTCCTAAATACTCTGCATTTGGCTGAGAAGCTCTTACAACTGGGAAGCTGGGAAGCGTGTAGGCTGACAACTCCAAGCCTAGTGTGGTAAGTATTAAACCATAGTTAGCGGTTGGCGTGCATCTTGTATGGAATCTCGGTGTGGCCTTAAGTGCATCATAAGATACTGGACACGGGTACGAATATTCCACTAGTCTCTCAAGCCATGAAATAATTCTAGTCTCTCTCGATAGCAACGCACATTGTCCAATATAAATCAAACACGCCAACGTATAAAACGGTATTCAGTTCCTGCGCCCTGGAGTGCCACTGCATCCAATATTTCTCACAAAATGTACACGAAAAGTAAGTCGAATAATAGAGGCATAAGGAAAGGAAAATTGATTACCTCTAGCATAATAATAGCTCTGATTGCATGTTGTTAACCGCATGAAGCCACGCTAAGATTCTTTGCTCTCTATAGCGCATGTCTGGTGGTACCCTCTCCGTTAACTGGGAATGTGAACCCACAGCAGTGGCATACATGAGATTTTGGCTACGTTGTTCTGGGAACAACATCCGCAAATAGCTCCAGATTGCATTCCGTAGTCGTTCGACAGACTGAGAGACCAGGCTCGCGAGAAAATAGACATTTGGTTCCGTGTCGGATAGGACTCTCAGCCTCCCCGGTAGAATTTCTGGTGCTTGGAGTGAAACTCCGGTAGGACTGTTGTGCCATCGTTGCTGTTGGGTTGGGGATGAGGATGATAGTCTTTGGATCAAAGTGAATAGGTCTGTAATGACAGGCTCATATATCTGGAGAAGATTGGTGTAGCTAGATATAATGATTGGAAAACTCAAGGGTCGAGAACTTGGGCTGGTATGACAAGGGAAGGCGATGGCCGGCTGGTTGTATGATTGGCAGTGCGATGGTCTATCCTGGGAGACATCACTGCAGAAATCAATCTCGGATCCGGACATGCTGATGATTTGGACAAGTTCGTCAGTAGCACTGAGAATTTCAGCTAGTGTTGCATCACGGTTAGGGTACACTGTGTTTATTAAAGGTTGGGTAGACGGGGAAGAAAAGAAAGCGACTAGATCCTGAATCCTAGTGTGAAGACGGTAAATTTGATAAAGTCGACGGTAAGATACTTCTTGATAGCTTTCATTGTTGGAGCTATTCGGTATTGTGGCAGACAAATCAGGGTCGAGGGAGATGGACAGTTGTGTTTGAATATCTTGGAAGCCAATATCTTGAAACTGAAGATTGTTTGTTATATTTTGCTGGTTATTTGAGACACTGGTGGACAAGTTATTCGTGACGAGGTCCATGGCCAAACTCCGGTTGTCCTGATCTGTATAGTATCGAGGGGGAGGGGCAACATAATTACGCCCATTATTCGATGCAACTGGGTCAGAGAGTGAGTTGTGTAATGATGGTGCTATAGAGTTATCAGTACCTTAGTTATGCGTAACATCGTAAGGGTCCACTTACTATAGTTCTGTTGAGCTTCTCCGCCCCCGCTATTCTGATATGTATAATTGCTGCCTAAGAGCTCATTAGCAAGCATGAAAGTTACGAGGAGGGATAGCGTACCTAGACTCAATGATACTTCAGAGGAAGCTATATATGAGCTAGTATCATCGGATGGGGTAGTGTTGTTAGAAGAATTCAGACGTCTTCTTCCTCTCGGCCGGCCAAGGGGCAAGGGTGCACTGTACACACAGTCCAATCCAAGTCTTGCACATCGCTTGCATTCATTATCCTCTGAGGTCCTCAAACATTTGCTCTTTAGGTTATGACATTTGTCACAGGCATTTCTCTTCCTAGTTTTCATAGACGGCAAATAAACTGCAGCCATCCTGTTTGAGTTGGACATGAGACGTAAACTTGTTCTTTAGAGAGCAAGTACTCGTAATTTGGTGAAAATTGTGAGCCCCGATTAACCTGGGTATGTTCAATGAGCCTGCAGTATATCTCCGAGCGTAATCAATGTTGTGAAGTTTGGGAAGGTTCATTACCAAACTCCAGATATGGGTCTGGACCTTTGGGTTATCTTAAGTAGTTTATATTTGAGTTTTCAAGCGGTTTCTCCCAACATCCACGGAAAGTCAAATGCCTTTCAGTTCGCCGTTGAAATGGGTAAGCATTCCAATTCTGCTAGTTTTTGTTGGCCAACAAAGATACGCGCGATACCTCAACCAATGTATACTATTAAAAAAATCGGATAGCAAGGCAAGAACTGATGCCAAGGTGATAAGATGTACTCTGCATCACTATTATGCAGTTTCACCATCATAATGAGGTATTCAAATTATGCGGCGCAGCAACTGTGAGCTGCAAAATAAAGACAACTGAATGCCTTTCTTATGCTTGATGTTAGCCGCTAAGGTTGCTACAATATGCAATATTTGTCAGTGACGTCCATAGCTAATTGGTTCCGGTTTTAGAAAACATAGCATGCTACAAAAGTATACTATGCGGTGGGTAGTACAATGCAGGGCGACAAGGAAGAAAATTAGCTTGGTAAGCCTGGCTCATTACGGCCGCAGCTATAAATGTCAGGTCCGGAGGTTAAAGAAGAGCATGATAGGCCGAGTTGAACCAGTGGTGACGGTAGGTTTGAAAGGAGGTGCCAATTGATTGAAAGAATGGGCCACACCCATATCAATCATGTTTCTTCTTCCCCCAAAACCATATCTTGCCTAGCATCAGCCGTTGAGTGTATCACAATGATGTGTTGTGTAATCACCATTTCTGCCGCATGGCACTGTTGTTTTGTTTCTCATACCGACGCAAGATCGACGTTGGAGCATGCATGGACGCGCGAGCCGGGCTAGTTAGCCCAGTAGTTCGCCTGCTAGCCTGTTAACTAGTTGACTAATTGACTGGTTAGTCGGTTCTTTATCGCATGCATTCGTCACCCGCTTATGGAGAACTCCATACCTTGAAGAGAATACGACAGTCGCATTGACCTTCTCAAAGGCAAGCAGAACAACATCCAGCGCTGGCCTGGAGCACTCAAGAGAGAAGCGAAGAAGTTCGGTTGACGATAAATTAAGCTTCGAATCTTGCCTTGACGTTGCGGGAACAGCCGCGGCCGGCGAAGCGCGAATCAGAGCGCTTAATTTTGTTCCTGTGCGCGCCAACGGAACGTCCAAACCTTGGAAGCAGCAGGACCGGACGGAAAAGACGACTGCTAGCTTGACCCCAGTCTGCACCCCCACATCACCAGGAGGGCCTACTGCCGACAACGGTTCCGCCATAACATCTCAATACGCCGAGGGGCCCATCATCTGACCAGCATGGCCCAGCCAGAGACTCCGAAACAATGGGAGAAGAACGTTGGAGGGAGTGCACCGGTCTCACAGCAGTTGGCGCCTAACACATATGCATCAGAAACCGCACTAACCTCACCGGAAGCAGATGTTGTAACGAAGAGTGGTTCGCAGCTCCAGCAGAACGAATCCGCCAGTGACTCGACTTCTCCAGCATTCCTCCAGGCTGCTACAGCGGCCCCTCCTCCAGAGGCGTCACCCAACCCAAGAAGCTGCGTAACATGTCGCCGCAGAAAGGTCCGCTGCAACAAACACCACCCATGCTCCAACTGCATCAAGGCAAAAATCGAATGTGTGTATCCTAGCCCTGGAAGAGCCCCAAGGAAGTCAAAAAAGCCCCGAGATACAGAATTGCTGGCGCGCTTACGAACTTTGGAGAATATTGTAAAGAACCTCGGAGGGCCAGACGCAATAAATGGAAATCCATCATCATTATCATTGAAAAAGCCCACTCTCCACCAAAACAGCGCTATCGAACAACCAGGAAATTATGCAAATACCTCAGATGCAGTACAACAGGATGCTACAATCAAGAGCGAGGTCCCTGATACGAGTGAAATCGAGGAGAATATGGGCAAATTAATGGTCGAAGAGGGAGGTAGCCAATATGTTAGTCATCGATTTTGGACTACCTTTGGGAAAACGGTGCGTTTATATCTCCTTTTTCCATGGCAACCCACTTTTTACAAATATTAACTGTACAAATACTGACTTGTCCCAAGGTGGATGATTTAAAAAGCATACTTGATCCCCTTTCATCAGACAATGAAAATGATACGGTTGAAGAGTCTGCCTTTGATGAGTCCTACGGTGTGAATCATGATGGGTTCTTATTCGGTTTTTCATCACTCGCACAAAGCCTTCGGGATTTTCATCCTCCACCCAACCAAGTGGACATTCTTTGGGAGACTTACATTCAAAATATTGCTCCTATGGTCCCTATTTTCCATACTCCTACTTTAAAACCGGCGCTTTATCATGGTACTAAGAACCTTGATTCGTTGGACAAAAACACAGAGGTAATGATGCTAACGATATACTACACAAGTGCTGCGTCTATGAGTGCTGCAGAATGTCTTGCTCGTCTAGGAGAGCCCCGAGACATTGTCCTGGGCCGTTATCGCTTTGCCGTTGAGCAAGCACTAGGTCGGGCAAAAATCTTACACTCTGGGAGTTTTACTTTGCTTCAAGGATTAGTTTTATTCTTGCTATGTGTGAGACAACACGATGATACTCGTTACGTGTGGTCGATGATATCCATCGCCTATCGTATCGCCCAGGGTTTAGGCCTTCAGCGCGATGGAACTAATTTCAACCTATCACCCTTTGAAACAGAAATGCGCAGACGTTTATGGTGGCATATTTGCATTCTTGATTTCCGGGCATCTGAAGATTATGGCTGTGACCCATTCATATACGAATCTTCATATGACACCCGCATGCCCTTGAACATTAATGATGACGACATTTCTCCCGATTCCGTGGATTTCCCAGAAGAGAAAGAAGGCTGCGTCGAAACATCATTCTTTCTGATTCGGTGTGAGATTGCTGTCGTCAACAAGAGGCTGAGCTTCATCCCACCCAGTTCTTCTTGCAGGCTACAGGTTTCTCGCTACTCCATGGCTGAGAGAGAAGAACTAATTGACAAGCTCAGTTCTAACCTTGAGACGCGATTTGTTCGGCACTGTGATATGACTATCCCTATCCACTGGGTCTGCGCCACTGTTTCCCGGCTGGTGATTGCAAAATTATGGCTTATGATACACCAACCAATGGTTCAGAAATCTCAACGCAACCCGATAGCCAAAGAAACCCATGACCGGCTTCTGATGACATCCGTGGAAATCCTTGAATTTTCTCGACTTTTAGAAACGAATGTTAATACGGCGAAGTGGGGCTGGCTTTTCAGGACACACATGCAGTGGCATGCAGTTGCATTTCTCCTGTCCGAGCTGTGCGTCAGGCCACTCTGCCCTGGAGTTGACCGTGCGTGGAGAGCAATCAATTCTGTTTACGAGGCTTGGAATATGCACTCTGAGAAAAAGAACGGTATGCTCTGGCCAGCCATTCGCAAGCTGATGGCAAGAGCGGTGAAATTCCGAGAAAAGCAACTTCACCAGCTTACTCTGCAGCGCGGAAAACAAGACCTTGATATCCCAGGCTCATGTGCAGCTACTCCGTCCACAGACCCTTCTAGTACATACCTGACCTCCTCCTCCTCACCACCACATTACCTGCGTGAACCAACCAGCTATTCCAATTTAAGTTCAGACATGCACATCGACAATACTACTCTTAACCAGAACTATAACCTTACTACCATACCACAATTGGGCACCGCTCTAGAAACCCAGTGGGTAGATCCGGCGGCGATCACGCAGGTCGATACTAGCATCTTGTCATCTGCTTCCCCATCTTGGTCAGATTGGGACCAATTGGTACGTGAATTCCAGCTGGATGTCGCCCAAGGTGGCCAAGCGAATACTTCTGCGCTCACCGGGGAAGTAGTGATCCCTGATTGGTTTGAATAGTACCATCCACTATCACTAGCTGGCTTGAATTCCTTGCTTTTCTACTCGTTACCCTCGTCTTATAATACCGAAACACGTTATATCATAATGTTATTGAATGGCATGGTGGCCTGCTCATATGACCAATGTTATTAATTAATCCGCATGCATTGAATGCCGGTGACTACCTTGACACTCGCTTGCCAGACAAGGCATTTTTTCATTATAGCAAGTTCTTCTTATACCCCCCAAGTTCGGATCTATAGCGTTCCAGTGTTATTTGGCAGAATTGCCCACCGATTCCGGCAACTTCAGTATCCCAGAGATGATTGCCGTGAAATCATCATAACATGTTATTAAAAAGCTGTCCAAATCTAGCGTTTCATTATTGACAGCAAACAAGTCAAGTCTGTATAACAGACCGCCAATGACGAACGACAGTACCAATACATCAGAATCTAAAAAAAAAAAAAAAGAAAGAAAGAGAGAGAGAGAGAGAGAAACAAAGGAAGGAAGAACGAACGAACGAAAAGAAAAGAAGGAAAGAAGGAAAGAAATTGGCTGTAATACCAGAGCTTAAGCCCTTCCCTGCTTAACGGGAGTTGCTTTGACCCATAGAGGTGCCTTGACATACGTCTGGTAGTTGTCGATATGGTCCCAGTTGTCCAATGCACCGCCATCCTTGGGGACAAGCTCTAGGTCAAAATGCCAAAGCACTTTGGACATTATAAGGCGAATCTCATAATATCCCATCCTAGATCAATTCCGTTAGCAAAAGTTAAGTAAGACACATATTTTTCGTGTACATGTCACTGATTTTTGAGTACAATGCATGCTGTCTTGGGTGGGGTGGGGAAGGGATACTTACTTTTTACCGGGGCAATTGTGTGCTCCGTACGAGAACGGCTGGAAAGCGTTTCTATCATCCTTTGCAAATCCCGGATCCAGCTTTTGAGCATCAGGAAGCCAGCGCTCCGGGATGAACGAATCGGGCAAATGATAGTAGTTAGGGGAACGAAGTAGCGAGAACCCGGCAACTGATATCAGAGTCCCGGCAGGGATCATCTCACCACATATCATCGATCCGCCTTCTTCCACCACACGGGGTAGCCCATTCGTGCATGGAGTGTACATACGAATAGACTCCTCGACGCAGGCAGAGAGATAGTCCATCCCTAACAAAGCATCGTATGTGATCTCCTCGGAGCTAGAAAACCTGGTGCGAATCTCTTCGACCAGTTTTTCCATGCAACGGGGGTTCTTGAACAAAAGAAAGGTCATGCAACGCAACACTGTAGCGGCAGTCTCGCTCCCTCCAAAAACAAGGATCGGAGAATTTTGCTGCAGCTCTGGAATTGTGACGCCGCCTTCAAGCAGCTTGCCGAGAATGCTATGTCTGCCTTTTTCCGCCTTAATCCGCTCAAAGTATCTTGCGAGCTTATCGGACGTGTAATTGAGAAATTTCTGTCGTTGGCGACTCAAAACGCTGTGTGGCACCATGTTCCAAATCACCCGGAAAAGCAGGTACTCGTTCAGTACGACTATGATCGCAAATGCTTTCAGGAACTGTTGGACAGATTCGACCCAGGGGATGTATCTGGAATTTTCCAGCAGGCCCAGAGACTCGTCAAAGAGCAGCTTGCCGATGACATCGAAGGTCGTGAAATTGTACCAGTCTGACATGTTCATGGGGCTCCCCTTGGATTCTTCCATGCGTTGCACAAGCTTGTCCGCATATTTGACGAACGTTGCTTCGTTTTCTTTCAGGTTCTTTTCCGAGAATGCAATGGTCATCAGCCTCTTCTGCCGTGTATGGACGTCGCCGTTCGCAGTCACGACGGAATTGGCACCACCCTCCTCTTCGACACCACGAATGGCGCGGGTGCCCCTGGCATTTGCGCTGGTGCCATAGATCTCCTTCCAGCCCTGCGCATGGGCGAAGCTTAGCTCATCGCTGGCAATGCGCACCACGTCGCCGTATTTGCGGTGCAGATTAAGCCGAAACTGCGCCCGCTGTCCGCGGAGTGTGGCCCAGGTAACTGGGAGTCGGGACAGCGCTAAATGTTTGGGCCCTGGAAATTTCCGGAGCGGGTGGAAGAACAAGTTATATATCGCTGTTCCCAGGATATACTAGTTATAGGCAGCCCCTTTCCCCACCCGGGGGGGGAGCAGTCTAAATTAGCCAGCCGAAGCGGATGATTATGATGACGTGCAGCGTGGGTAATGGGAAAAAATAAAATAAAATAAAGGTAAATAAATACTAGTAGATAAAAGGGGAGGATAGTGATGTCGACGTACCAGAATGACGAGCCCTCCGGCTGCAATGATAGTAGGCGAACTGGCAAGGGGGGCGAGCGTCGCCATCATTGTACAATAAAGGGTTGCTTGCTTGGATGCTGCGGTTTCCCTAGGAACTAGAGCCTTACGGCAGGGGAGATTTTATATCACAACTTCTCCAGGAGAGAGGGGTCTGTCCGACTTGATCTCAAGGGCAGAACAAGAGGAGCGATTGATGCGACAGCCCGATATCAAATAAGAGCCAGGAGAGGACTATATACTTTAACTATGCCTTTGAGCGATCTTATTGCCAGGTTATCAGTTCTTCTCTGCATGCGAGGAGCAAAACAAAAAAAAAAAAAAAAAATAAAAAAAATAAAAAAAAAAAAAAAACCTTTTTTCACAAGGCACAATGAGAATGAAAATAGAATGAAGTAATAAAAAGCGAAAAAAGGGGGGAAAAGGTGACATATATACGATAGGTGACTTATTCTAATACCTTGATATCCGGCATGCAATATATGATGTAAGTACGGAGTATGATATTATTGCATATACAAGTTCGAACCTGCTGCTGACCGGAGCACATCCCGCTTGGGCCGAGAATGGCCACTGGAGCGTCACGAAAGATATTGGCTGGTCGAAACCTCGACTGCATTGGTGGAAAGTATGCACGGAGGATGGAGGTACATAACTAAACATCGAGTGACAAGGCATGACAGACACGACGGCCGCTGCACGCCAGCTCGTTTAACTGGTCATCCCGTGGCCCCGTCTTGGACAACACATGCCTGCGCCGAAGCTAGTTAGCTTACTCACTGTTTAGTTACATATGAACACTTGCCTGCCGGTGATCGAAAGGTTCCATGTCCAACCCAACCCCCCTTCTCGAAAGTATAACGATCCCATGCTTCTGGCTCCGACCAGAGAGCTGGGAAGATTTACCCCCGCGCAGCCGTAGATATTCTACCGTTTCGCCGGGCCCGAATTCTTCAGCCTGTCGCCAAAGCACCGGAACAGCCTCACAGTGTTAGGATTACCCCTTTTTTTTTCTTTCACCCCTGAGAACTGGAGTTAGTATGCCCATGGGAAAAGGGGAAACTCTGAACTCTGGGATGACTTGCATTACCTTTAGCTAAGAGGAATAACATGAAGATAAAATATCAGAATATAACCCACTTTGACGCAGAATGCCGGCAGGGTGGTCACACGGTTACAGAATCGTGCGATCACCAAAGTGGAGGTTTCATATGTAAAATTAACTATGGGGGAAAAGAAATGGGGAGAAAATAGTAATGAGAGAGGGAAGGGGGAAAAGAAAAGAAAAGAAAAGAAAAAAAAAAAAAAAAAAAAAAAGTGGAAAAAGGAAAGGGAAAAGAAAAAGAAAAAGAAAATATAAAGGTTCGGAAAACCCGAGATCGCCTTCTGCTTGTCATTTACTCATCTGAATATGCTGTGGCGTAGTCATTGGTTCAGGGAGCCCAACTTCGTTGAAGTTTTATTTTCTTTTTGCCTTCAGACGACATTTTCTATCCTTGCTTGCTCGTTGCATGCTGCATGGGATGGGCTCCCTCCATGGCGCGGCAGTCATCAGGTATCTCCGGTTACCGAAAACCGAAACGAAATACGCAGCCTATTGGATGCATATTTACTCAAGACCAGGAGTTGCTTCCAAATACGGGGTTTAGTAACCAGCCCGTTGTCCAAGAGGGTTAATTGAGTGTGATATTGACCGGGGTCAAGCGATCTCGTTGGAAGAGGTCAAATTTAATCTTTCACGTAAAGTTGCTTTGGTCTCTTGCCGGGGATCAAAACATGGCGTCTGTCCAACCGCAGCGTCCAGCGTTTTCAGGGTTGTGGAATTCTTTTTTTTTCCCTTTTATACTTCATAGTTTGTGTAAAGTTGCTGGAGTTTGTCGTCAAGACAGGATCGTCGTTTATAAATTGGACATATATCAAACTCTGGAGAGTAACCTTGGCCCACTTTCAACCATCTCCGTTACCGTGTCCGGAGTACGGGAGTAGTTATACGCACTTGTAAACTTAGAAAGGAAACATGCAGCCGGTTCCTCAATGTCCCCAGAGTTTCGGCCTGTTGGCGAAGGCTCACTCCGTCCCAGCATCCACCAGCGCGGGTTTATAGCTAGCTTAAGACTGACTGGCAACCTCAACCATCTTCAACAGGCACAGCGCGCAAACCGGTCTGTGAATCTGGCAGTGTAGCTGATCCTTGCCTCCAATTGAAGACTGATTTTCGCCCTTGATAAGCCTGTATCGCAATAATGAAGGGTTGTAAACGGAGATGGCCACACGGGCTCAGCCACCTTAACTGATGTCTTCTTTCCGTTCCAGTGTAATAGAGTCATACCGGAGATTCTTATCATATATATGGAGCAACTGTTTACATATCTAAAACTTTCTGTTGTGGCACAATACATATCGTGTTGGGTTTTCAGTGTTGCCATGGCGTAATGAAGGTCAAATCTCGAGCCTCCCTGGAGTTCGTTCTTCAGAGGGCCTAAACGTCTTCCAGCAAGAGCGAACGAAACGTCCGCCGTACTCCGTCCGGGCTCGTGGGTCTCATATTGCCAGTTCTCGGCACGCTAAACTTCAGCTGCGGGGCCTCGTAAGCGGAATGGCTTGAGGATTGTGATAAAAAAGGGATGTGCTGTCAGGATCTTCGTTTTCCTGGGAACAAGAAGGATGTTTATAGCCCAAGGCTAGTCCTTTCCTGGCAATCTGGCAAGGACGGGGAGTCAAGCAATCTCCTCAGAAGTCGAGAATACGGGCGAATGGCCGTATCTACAAAGCGTATGGGTAATCAAGCGCAATCATGGTAAATTCAGGTGTCGATGGTTCGGTTGTAAACTTTCGTGTTTGTCAGCTGCACGGAACAAGGAGGCCAGTGAAAATGTTATTGACATGATCGTTGCTCGCACGGTTGAACTTGCAAGAACATGTGCGGAGACGCCATCCCCAGCACAATTGGAACCATGGTCATAGGATGGAAGAGGCCCACAGGTTGTGGGCCACGTAGGGCAGATTTGTTATTTTCAGCGCTTCGTTTGCTGTCCGCGTGAAGTTGAAGGCGCTTTTTTTTCAAATTCTCCAAGGACCGAGTGTCCTAAAATACATTCATCATCTTAAAGTTTAAAAACTGGACTGAAAATGAATGAAACGAAATCGCCCAGCGGGGAAAGGGGGTAGTACTTGCTCATACTTTATATAAACTCCACGTCCGACCTGACTTATGGGAAGACGTAGTATCGATATAAAATTCCATCATCCACTGTTCTGATAATTGCTCCCATCATGTCGTTCCCAGCTATTTTTCGATGGCTTGTATCTGCCATAACAGCACCACATTCAAAAATCCGGGGACTGTCTGCACTCCTTCAATCGCCTGCAAGCAGCCCCAAGAAGGATGACTACCAAATTCAGCAGGAAAATATAATAAAACTCCTCAAAGGAAGTTCATATACAATCCCTCACCTTGAGGAAGTCCTTAAAGGATGGTATATGGGAGTCAACCCGGCGTATGACAAGATAAAAGCTGAGGAGGGAGAATTCTTGAAAAAGTAAGTTGAGTCCGTCCATGCCGCATTGAATACTCTTAGAGACACCAGTCTGACAACTTTCTCGATATGAAGATGGATCGAAAGACACAACTTGCGAGAGATGGCAGTCAAGGTTGACTTGAGTTTATGCATTGCTTGCTTTTTCCCTCGAACAACGGAAGAAAAATTGCAAGTTCTCTTCGAGAAGATGGCATGGGTATGTATTGATGTCTTAAAAGAATACTTCGAGTGCAAAGGAACCGCCACTAATCCCTGTTTTATTAGTTCTTTGCCTTTGACGATGGTAATCACCATAGCCCTCTAGCCGGGTAAAAACGAATCACAAACATATACTAACAAGTCCTACCGTTAGATGTGGACAGTTTTCTCACATCAGAAGAATTTGTGAAGCAGGATCCCGCTGCTTTCGTGAAATACTGGCTTGACCCGAGTCGTAGCGGCCCAGAGCCATATGTTCTCCCAAGCTGCATCATCTACCGTACCGTTGGTCCCAAGCTTGCTGTGGGGTGGTCAAACGGTAAGTATAGACCATTAATGCTTCCACTGAGACTGAAGATAATGTGCAAGGCTAATATTGGTATGTCCTTCCAGAATCCAAGTTCCAGTTTCAAAAGACGACAGTTGAATATATCGACTGCTTAATGGAAGTTAGCAAACAGCGAGAGAAATACTTACCGTCACTGGATGAATACATTGAAGGAAGGATAATCAATATCGGGGTCTATCCAACACTTGACTTGATACCGTAAGTCAGATGCCGTAGTATGCAAATGGCAACCGCAGCTAATATGAAATATAGTTACGCCGCCGACATCGAGGTATCCGCCGAGGTGCTAAGGCATGAGTCTGTGAAGACAATACGATATCATATTGTCCGAATCATATGCTTGTGGGTATCGACGTCCCGTGGTAATGGGGCAATGCTGACCGATAGTGACGGTAACGTGAAGAATGAACGACATATTTTCAGTCAAGAAAGAGATTGTAAGTAGTCCCGAAGAGGATAGCAACAGGGCTCAGTGGCTAACTGCATTGTCGGCGAATATTTAGAAAGACTGCCAGTTCGATAACATAATTCCCCTACTTTTGGTCCACAAGGGCATGAGTGTCCAGGCCGCAGTGGACTACACGGTTGGTTTGATAGAGGAATCTTATCGGATTGTGAATGCAGCAGGGGCCCGCCTCCCCAAGCTCGAGGGTAAAGCGAAAGAAGATTTAGACACCTATATTGAGCAGTGCAAAGATCAAGCTGCAGGGTGCATATATTTCCAGTATGGTCAACCCAACGAATATGGTCAAGGAGACTAGCTAACTTAACAAACGTGACAACAGCCAATACTCACCGAGATACCTCTGCAAATCTGCTTTCCAGGGAGACAAAATTGTTGTTCAATTATAATAGCGTGGAGTCAGGGAGATTTAAGTGAGCGTGCGTTGTACTCGGGCTTCTGATTCAAATAAATAGGCATGTTTTGTTTTTATTTGTTGTTCGCTTTTCTTTTTTCCCTCGTCCTTGTTCCTTGTTCATTTTCCATGTTTCTCCAAATCCCCGTGTGTTGAATTTGCAACCGCATGAGAGCCGGCGCTGGTGTTGGTGCTGGTCTTCTTGTTGACGCAATCATACATGCTTAATATGGCACTGCATTGAAGTATCAAGATTATACATGGCACATTGATGGCCACTCATCTCAATAATAATGCGTATTTCATGGTACTAGCAAACTCTCGCTGCGACCACCCAGAACAGTCGAAGTACTTGACTCGAAATGTCCTTTTTCGTACCCACTGTCGAGTTGCGCATGTAAACATATGGCTCTTTAGGTTTCGACCGCACAGATCAGATAGCAGTAACCTTCTCGGCTAAGGCTGAGATTTGAGGAAGCTGGGGTCTTTATATGCCCGGTGCGTACGCTGTAACAACATCTCAATGGAGATGCTATTTTCACACCCCTATCTTTCAACTCATTGTTGTATCCATCGGGAAGCAGAGGAGGAAATGTTCTCACTGCTTTTAAACTTCGTAACCATCTCCGTACTCGGAATCGATGGATGCACGCCGTATTGGTCGATACGAGGGCACCATCCTTAGTACCAATGTTGGGTATCAGCTGGCAGTTTCACTCTTGCTGCAGCAACACGATGAAATGAAAGCTTCCCAGTCAAGGTCAGATTTGCATCAGGGCCTTTCTGCACGTAATAAGAAACCCTGCGAAGATCGCTCTTCATGGCGTACGGAGTACTTATAAGCCCCTGTTCACAGTCTTCACCTTGTCGTCAAGTCTTTTTTGATGTTATCCTGTTGTTTGTTGTTTTTTTTTTTTAATTTTTTTTTTTTTTTTTGGTCGGGGCGCTGCTTATGTCATCTAAATAGGCACCTAATCACGTGAACAGACTGTCGGGCCGAAAGTCGCCGAAACAGAATTGGAAGGTCCAGGCCAAATCAGGAAAATAAAGACGTCCCTCCATCGTTCGAGGAGTAACACTTGGAGTCGCGATTGTTTTGATATCGAGCAGCTCCAGCGGCTAAAAAGCCGCTCTGGATGTTTATTATACCGTCGCTTGTGTTGAGTGATTGAAAGTAAACATAGCATACGGAGTATCGCAGTTCTAGACACGATTTGGGTCCTCAGACAAGGGGCTAGTTGCGAGTTAACTCGCTACTAGTTCGTACCCGGCCAAAGACCCCCCGAAGCGTCCGCAAACTCGCAGCAATTATGCGCTCCGGAAAACTCTCTGTGCCAATCACCTTGATCTGATTTACTAATCTATGCATAAGCAATACTCCAGCTGAGAGTCCATGCCCAACGAGAATTCTGTTGTTCTTTACGAGTCGTCCGCCATCTGTTGTTGCGGATGTCCACCGCAGGTTTTGATGAGTTAACTAGTTAGCTACGAGATGATGAGGCTATAAGGACTGTGCAAGCACTTGCGCCATATTGCGATTTCGTGCAAGGACGCAGAGGATAGGCTCTCTCTCTAGAACTTCAAGGGGAGTCAAGTTTCATGGTGGAGAAGTTTAAGCTCCAAGCCACCTCCAAAGCTTTCTTCGTTGTGGATATACCGACACTTCCCCCGAATCCCCCCCCCCATGTCAAGGCTGAGTCAGGTCGGTTATCCCAGCAACTAGCGGAGAGACGTGAGCCGGTTGAAATTTGTGACAGACCTGAGCGTGACTGTGAAGGCTTTTTAATTCTTGTGACAACTCCTTACATATAACAAGGCTCTTCGCTTTCGCAATCGTTTGACCGGGATTTACTTAATAGCCTCCTGACTCCATTTATCCTCGAAAAAGGACCACTTGCGAGCATAGACAAGAACCAGAGCGACCTCATTGCATAGCCGAGTCTGTTTTCTTCACGGCCCAGCTCCGGGGAGGTGGGCTTATATCTATCCTGGAGCTCTTTAAATCGTCGTCATGGCGAAGCCAGCACCTAAGCTGCCTGTACAGCAGTTTGTGATACTGGGTAGGCCCAATGTTCACGCTTTCCACCCCGAGCGCATATACTTTTTGAAATATCATTCCTGGCTAACCACGATGGCATTACTCCTTTTAATATTAGCTGTTTGTCGATTTGCTGAACCCGGTATATCCCCGTATCCTCCAATTCAAGTCATTCAAACCTCATAAAAATGACGCTGATATGCGAAATTTCACTATATAGTTGTCTTTACATCCGTCTTTCCATACCTAGTATGATACTCCATTTTGTCTCTAGTTTACATCAGGTCTATCGGTGTTATATCGTGTGACATCTGTTGACCCCTGTGCACAATTACTAACGGGTTACATTAGCCTGAAATGGTCCGGACATTTGGTGTTGTCGAGAGAGATGTTGCAAAATGGGTTGGCGTCCTATCTGCCATATTTGCCCTTTGCCAATGCATCACTGCTGTTCCCTGGGGAAATTTATCTGACCGAATTGGGCGCAAACCCGTAATATTAACGTGTCTCTCTATTACGATGTTTTTTACCCTTCTCTTCGGAGTCTCAACTTCGCTACCCATGGCTGTGTTAGCGCGCGCTTGTCTTGGGTTCAGCAGTGGGAATGTTGGGATTATTCGAACCGTCGTGGCCGAGCTTGTACCCGAGCGTGAACTTCAACCTCGGGCCTTCAGTTTAATGCCCCTAGTATGGACTATTGGGAGCATATTTGGCCCTGCGTTCGGAGGAGCTCTTGTGAATCCGGTAAAGAAATACCCAGAAATTTTCAGAAATAGTCATTTTTTCAAGACGTACCCATTTGCCCTGCCAAATATACTTTCAGGAGGCTTCTTTATTATCGGAATTATCACGGGTTTTCTATTCTTGAAGGTGAAGCTCATTCTCGGAATGTCAACGAAAACAAGTTTATGGCTGCTGTACTTACTTCTTCGCTAGGAAACTCTATCATTCAAAAAGAACGAGCGAGACTATGGTCTCATCCTTGGTGAAATGCTAACTAGCGTGTGCTGCCGCTGCAGAAGAAAGCCGGTAAAGAATCCTGGGCATGGAGACGACGAATCCACTCCCCTTCTTGGTGATCGTCGGATACCTGTATCGGCCGCAAGCAAGGAACAAAAACGGCCGAATACCTCTGCTAAGTGGACGGAGGTTTTAACCTTCCAGTCTGTGATAATTCTCTCAATATATGCTTCGTTAGGGCTCCATAGTGTTGCTTTCGACTCTGTGCTGCCCGTGTTTTTAAACCATCCAAGGCAGAAACTGGAAAATAACCCGGATGTGAAACTTCCGTTCAAGTTCTCCTCTGGGTTTGGTATAGGTATGTGATCGTCACCAACCTCTGTCCTGATATCTCCATTTTCAGATTTTTTTTTTTTTTAACTATTTATCTTGAGAACATGAGCTAAATGACCTTTTAAATTAAAGACTCACAGGCCATTGGTATTTTGTTTACCCTCAATGGAGTAGTAGGAATGATTGTTCAATTTTTCATTTTCCCCCCAACAGCCAAACGCTTCGGGGTCCTACGTTGCTTTAAAGTATCAGCTCTCATGTTTCCAGTTCTTTACTTCCTTACGCCTTTTCTCGCCCTCTTCCCCACAGGTAGCACTCGTCAGCTTGCAACAGTAATCCTGATGGCAATCAAGCTGAGTGCTGTGGTTTTTGCGTTCCCATCATCCATCATCCTTCTTACAAATTCCGCTTCAAGTGTTTCTGTCCTTGGAACCTTGAATGGAGTCGCAACGAGCGCTTCTGCTATAGGCAGGGCCATTGGTCCGGCTGCACTGGGGGCCATATTCTCCATTGGCGTCAAAGCAGGATACATGATAATACCTTGGTGGACCCTGGCGTTCATAGCAGCTATCAGCGCGCTCCCAGCTTTTTGGATCATTGAAACAGACGGCTTCGCTGGTGATACAGAAGAGCAAGATAATCAAGACACAGTCGTTGTGGTTGGTGATGCGGAACAGGATAGCCCACCCCTTCTAGAGGTAGGTAATGTGCGACCTGAAAACACAGCTGGCCCAATAGAAGCTAGCAATTCAGACGGTAAAGCCGCCGGCGATGAGCCCGCCTTGTCAGCACCATCCAGCTCCTAATCTCGTTACGAATACAAACAACGCTATATACGGACTCAGACATATCTCAATTCCAAAAGAGTTACCATTCCGGTATTTCCCCTTTTCCTACAGGAAAACCTTTCCGAAAATTGATTCAAATATGCAAGCAATATTCCGGTTTTACGTTTCTCACGATGCATAATGTGTTCAGGCGACCTTTTACATCCTTTCTATCTGCTAAACATATAGATAAAGGCCATAGAAATGATAACGAAAATTTCCAGTTACCAAATGTATTGGAATAGAAATATATATATGTATATGTATATATAAGTGTGACAGTTATATAAAGACTGGAAGTACTGATATCATCCCAACAATTCAGTGGCGTCGTCGATCTTAGATTTAATAATGTCCCTCCATTTCTATACAAATAAAACATTTTATTAGCAATAGACACGAAATTTAATTAGTGAAAACCACAAGTTCCTTAACTCACCTCGGCGTTCTTTAAGTTATTGTCTTCAAAACTTTCAACTAGGCCCGGGAACGTGGCACCGGCATATCCAGTCCATCGTCCTGGTGCAAAAATAACATGTCTGTACCAACTTCTGTTATCAAGTCCTTTATCATATAGGAACTTTCTTTCAATATATTTGTATTTCTGGTTAGCAAAGCGAATTTTGAAATAGAGAATAAGCCTACTCCACCAATGGCCACCTTTCTCAAGCTCTGTAGCAAGTGACTCCGCATAAGCATCGAATTTAACGGCATTTTGGTGGAATGCGGAGATCGCATCATCCATGGGAGAGAAGTCAAACTGGCTCATAGTATCAGGGGAGACCTTATCTTTAACCGAATCCAAGTATTTCCTCAATGCAAAAGCATAATCGGTGGCATTCAGAGCAAGAATTGGGCTCTCTGCTAGGTACGCGGCTGTAAGAGACCACATTTTTGCCATTGCAACGTGATATTTGAAGCCAACATCACCGAATCGGTCCATCCAGTCAAAACTATCATAGTTGGAGTGGTATTGATAAACTGGATCGCCTGCTCCAGTCGTAAATGCAAAATCAAGACTTGGAATTCCAGCAAAATCCTGGAAGGCCGTAAAATCACTTCCACTTCCCATTACACCAATTTCCCCGTCCCAGAGGTCAAGGATGGTCTGCCCTTCAATCGTCTGATTTGGAGATAGGACAAGTCCTGCAGCATTATAGATCGCTTTGTTGAGCAAGGGGCTAGCATTGACCTGAAACTTCTTTCCAGACGTTGAAACGTCAACATTGAGGTATGCAACGTGAGCACTTGACAGCCACGAAATATTTTCTTCGACCCATTCCGTTGATCCAATCAGTGCATACTCTTCGGCATCCCAGCTAGCGAAGACAATCGTTCTTTTAGGTTTCCATCCACCCTTAAGGGCTTCACCGAAGCTGCGAATGACTTCATTAATTACAGCAGACCCACTATTGGGATCGGCTGCGCCTCCAGCTATCCAGGCATCCCGGTGGTTGCCTAGAACAATAACCTCATCCGGGATTGAACCTTTGATAACACCAATGACATTCCATATAGGAGTAGTTACATACTCCTGCTCATTATAGAGATTGATCATGACGTTCTCTGGAGATGGACCAATGTTATAGTCAACACCTTTATGGACCAAACCACCTTCCCACTCTTTGCCAAACTCTGAGGGTTTAGGTCCATGGCCATTGAGAGCTTTTAAGAGAGGGATGGCGTCTTTGTAAGAAATTGGCAGTGAAGGAATGGAAGGAAGAAAATCTTTAGGATCCTGTCTAGGACAACCCGGGTTGGAGGGGTATCCAGGGGTCGTCGGGTCGCCAGCTCCGGCAGCTTTAGGAGTAAACATAAGTCAGAGATTTGACAACACTGCAAGATATAGATTATCAGAGAGACGCTTACGCAAAAATCCAACACTCCCTCTCTGTACAGAACTTGGGTTCCTAGCAGGTCCATCAGGATATGCCTTGTATCCGTTTAACTCAGTCATATCTCCATCTTCCTGTGGATCAGTATAGGTAATGACTCCGACCATACCAAGTTCTTGAGCACGCTTAACCTTCAGTCCACGCAAGATTCCGCTATACTTCACCAGCGCAATTTTTCCTTCCAAAGTCACGTTTGCCTTGAGGAGAGCTTCATAATCATCGTAAGCTCCATTGTTCACATAAACGTATTGAGCAGTAACATTGCCGCTTGCCGAATAGCCGTGGAACGTGGGAATCCTGTCTCTTAGCTCGCTAGTGGTATCTTTATCAAGCTCATCTTCTTCCAACGAAGCCTCGTACATGACTTTGAAATCATGACTCTCGTTTTTGCTCTCGAGAAGTGCCAATCGATGGCTGACGGGATAGTTCAGGTAGACTTCATAGGTCGTGAGTTGGACGTCTGGGACACCAAATTCCTCCCATTTCTCCTTTGTCCAAATAGCCAAGCTGAGGTTTTTTCCCGCAAGATGGGGCCCAGATGTATAATGATGGCTCCAACCCCTTATTTTGTCTGCACTTGGTACGGTCTGCAGTAGGTGCTGGAGAGAAGCATAATCAAGGCCGTTGCTCGATGTCCAGGGAAAATGATCGGATATTGAGCCGTATCCGCGTGGGAGCAGAGCATAAGGTAGGAGTAGCACTATGACTGACAGTGCTAATATTGAACCTAGACATGTAGTACATAATCGGCGGATTCTTCTATGCGGGTAACGTGGTGGGGGCCGTGTTACTTCAACATAGAGCAACGGCGTGGTCTCGTGCCGGTACTGCCTGCTAGTATGGTCACCCATTAGTTAATAAAGGCAATTAAATCAGACGATGCCCACTAAAGAGGACAAAATATTGCAACCAAAATGTTGCGAGGTGATAAGTGCACGGAAGAGAGGATGTCAACGATGAGAATGTTGCAGCCTGCAAGCTGATCCTTTAGATGCTTCGTCACCGTGCGCATGCCGTCATAACACTTTCTCCCCACGGGGCGCTTACCAATCGGCTATTGCCAGGTAACTATTGTGGCACGTGATCATGGTTTTGCCGAGCCTAATATGCTTTTTGCACAGCTACAGCTGTTTGTTGCAAGATACAAGGAGGCACAGAGACACCTCGAGAGGACATTGCTATACATCTAAAGAAGATAAAGACAGGATGGTCCCTTAAATACACTTACAGGAAAAATGACAGCAGAATAGCAGAATAAGAGAAAGGGAGAGAGGGAGGCGGAGAGGTTTTTAATTCTTTTCTTCCCGCATGGTTATCTAAGATCAAAAGAGCATTGGGTCGTACCTTTGTCTTGTTTCTGCACGGTTCATCTCCCGGTCGAATACTGGTATCACTCTTCGAGTCGAGTATAACTCCGGTTCGATGGAAAGGCCTTGGGTGCAGTTAAAAAAAGTAGGAGAGATGGAATTATGGGAGGCGATAGCAGGGAGAAGGAAGTAGAAGGAGGTAATGAGGAGAGCCATGCATTGATCAGTGATCATTCTGGAAACGATCTGTGATCTGACTCACCAGTGCATCGAAGTTGAAGTCCAACTGAGGTGGGCGTGTTTCTGGTTGTTCCGAAGAGAAGGGAGGGCGGGTGAAAATGCTGAGGATGTCGGTTGAACCAGATGTTTGATGTGTGGCCGTGGCCCATTCATCGTAATATACCGAGCAGGAACAGAATTAGATGTGGGCTTCGCGCAACCAAGTACGCACCTGAAACAACAGAAGTGGGCAAAGTTGCTGATCATCAACTCCGAATAATCAGGACAAGAGTATATTGCTTGGTGAAGAAAGAAAGAAAAACTGTGATACGTTCAAAAGACTTATCTGCTCGTGAAAAAGTCCCATCGTCTCTCCGACGGTGCGGTCCCCAAAACTCCAGAGTAAAGAACATGATGAACTCCTTTTGGTTTCCCCTTTTTTGTACTTGGAGTAGCTGACGAGATAGCTGGCAGTCCGGTAAGTTCAATATATTAGGATGGACGCTTACGCTGGGAGGTTGACAACTTCTTCGGCACCAGCAACAGGCTCTGCTGCTGTCTCCCCTGAAGAATTCTCGTCTATCTGCTGTGGAACAAAGGCATATCGAGGTAGACGGGCCAGTTTTTCCTCTGGACTGATCTCATTGTCGGAATAAACTAGTCTGGTGGACTTAGCCTTTTCTTTCTTCAAAGGTTTACCAGCAGCCCCTTCTTCAGGGGTTCCGGGGGCGGGGCTTGGCTTAGCTGGTAACTCTTTGGCTTGCTTAGCAGCCTCTGAAATCAATTTATCAGCTGATGCTGATAAAGATTCAGAATTAGCATCTGGCAGAGGGTGGGCACGGTTGCCCTGCGCATCTGTAGGCATAGGAACAGCTGGAGGCCCCGAAACTTGGCCTTGGTGCAGCTGTTGCATTTGGAAGGCATTGACTTGCGGGGCGCCAAAACTGGGCCGTTGAGGAAGCCCTGGAGCGGGTGGTAGGCTTGGTGTTCGGGTAGGATAGGAGGGAGATATAGCCTGAGGTGGTGTGTGTGTTCTCATTGCCTGGTGGTGCTGTTGGTGATGGTACGGGAGAGTAGGGCTGGCTCCAACTGGTGAAACAATGGGGGGAACACCGGCCTGTGGGTACGGTGACGTTGACATGTTCGTAGAAGGAGGATACTGATGCATAGGGTAGCTCTGTGGCCCGGTTGGTGGTACAAAACCAGGCTGTTGAGGCTGTTGTGGGAATGCTGTCGGAGCTTGCCCATACGGAGCCGCGTAATGTTGGCCGGATCCGTTCGCTGGCTGCTGAGGGGCATTATACTGCGGTGTACTAGGCTGTTGCTGCATCAAACATATTAGCTTAATTTGAATATCTCACAATAGATAAGCACTAGGAAATAAGAACATACATATGGAGTGCCACCAGGCGTAGATTGTGACTGTTGTCCAGCACCTATGGGCGTAGTGTCTCCACTGCTTCCGCCGGCCGCTTGTTCTGCCAAACGCGCCTTATGCTCCGCAAGTCTCTTCTTCAACTCAGAAGGAGATTCGAACTTGGGCTTTTTAGACTGTCCACTACTGCCTGAAGTGCCCGGTGCAGGATTTCCCGTTGCAGCACGCCGTTCAGCCTCTGCCTGCTGATACTGTTGCAAGACACGCTGGTTGTGGGCCTGCAACACGTCCTCCGGGACACCTTCCATGCCAAAAATCTCAATATCGAGACTTGACCGGTTCTGAAGGGCATTGTCGACCTGGGATAGAGACTCTTTATGGACCTGGCTCATATGTACCGACAAACCTAGAATCGACGAATGTCAGAAAAGAAAAGAAAAGAGCACAATTAAGTAGGCATCATACCTCCGGCTGTGTTTAACCTCCTCCCACACCTCTCGCATTTGAAGTGTTTCGCCTTCTGGTGAGAAATGAGAATCTTCAAGTCATCAAAGTCACGCTCACAGTAATAGCACCATGGCCTTGCGAGCAACTCCTCGAGATCCGGATGGCCGCGCTTTTTCTTCCCCATTTTTCTGATATGAGTGACCAGGTTACTGTACTTGAAAGAATTGATAGAATAAAGCAGAGAATGGAAAAAAGAAAAGGAGAAAAAAGAAACCAAAACAGGGCGAGGGAGAACAAGTATAAGTAAGTTAGTCGAAGTCTCTGGAGAGCCAATAAAGCGCTTTGCGTTCTCCTTCTGCCTCTTCGCTGTCTTCTTCACTGCCGTCTTCGCCAAGTTGTTGAATCGAAGAGGATGTCGCTTTTTCTTCGTTGCTTTCTGGGCAGGCGTCACGTGATGGTGATTACCCGACTGTCGCCACACGAAGGACTAGATGCCTGCGATGATGATGTTGGCTGGTGATGTGGATGGAGATGATATGATAAAAGGAGCTGATCAGGCAGAATGTAGTCAGCTGCTGTTAGAAGATTTCTTTTCCTTTTTTTTTTTTTTTTTTCCATTTTCAGGATAAGTCCATTTGTCCAAGTAAATATTGTACATGCGCGGCCGAAAACTATTTAATGCCATTCCACCCAGTTGTACTACCCCTTAACCAAGCAAGAAAGCAAGAAAAGTAGTCAACGCAGCAGCGAGAGGTATCAACACGTTGCAGTAAAGCAAAAGACAGAGCAAAACATGATCAGAAACAAACCCCTCCCAAAGACCAGTCAGTGTATGTAGTTGTGACAAAAAAAAAAAAGCAGTACGAGTGAAAAAAGCAGAAATACAAAAGCCACGGGCACTGAAGTTATACCAGAGTAAACGAAGCAGAAACCAGAGAGCAAAACAGATATTACAATCGAATCGAATCGCCATGCTAGTAAGTAGTAAGGGATGATGAGAAGCCGAGACATCGTTGGCCAACTCAACTCCACAAAAGGGTGAAAAAAGAAAAGAAGATATCAACACGTTAGACACGCCAGTTGTTCTGACATCTCATCAATTAAGCAGTGCCATGTTCAACGATGGGATGCCGCATGCATATGGTAATGAAATGAACTCCCTTCCCCATGCTCAGAAATAGGTGTGACAGGCTCCGTCTTGCCGTTCGCATCTCGTCTCATCTTCTTGATAGAAGGAGGATGGCTGTCGGTTCTCTCTGCGGAGTTAGCGGCCGTTCTCTTCCGGCTCGCTGACGACGCAACTGATGGATCAAGGCTGGCCTCTCGTTCAGCTACCCGTGCAGCTTCGATCTGGGCCTTAGTTCGTTTGGGGTTCCTTGTTCTACCCTCCTGGTTGAATTTCGCCCAGTGTAGAATCATGGCTTCGGTGCGTTTGGGGTGTTTGGAGTTCTTAATCTTGAGTTGGTTTTTAGGATCTTGAAGGGGATCCGGATAGAATGGTGTGGAGGCCTTTGACGTTCCCGCTGACGTCGGAGCTGGAGATTTTGGTGACTTGGGTGATTTGACGGGGGCACTTCGAGGTGCGCTGGTTGATAGAGCATATAGGGCCTGAGCCAAGGGCCGGGTAGACTTTCGGACAGGTGTTGGGACACTGCTTTGAGGCGTAGCGTGTCTAGATTGTGAGCGGGAAGGGCCGCCGGGGCTGCCTGGTTCGGATGGAGCTTGAGATGTGTCACCAGTAGATGAAGGCTTCGAGCCTCCATAGCGGGTCACACGTTTAGGTACGAGAAGAGCTTTGGCTTCGGCTTCGGCCTTTGCCACGTTAGGAGCTCTCTTCTTCGGCTTGATAACGGGTGGTGGCCGAAGTTTGGGAACACACTCTACTCCATTCTCCTTGACGGTAGCCCAGCGGTTCATCTTCCATGGTTCCGTGCCGCTTAACTTCATCTTCCGCATCTGATCGGCAGTAGGAATGAAACCACCCTGAGCGAAAGGATCCTGATAGCCAATCTGGCTAGCTTTCGGGTCATGTTTGTAACCATATAGCATTGCTTCTTTTTTATCCTCGAAGACCTGCGGGTCCTCAAGTTCTCTTGGGTTGGAGGTCTTCTTGAGTGAAGACCGTGTAGCTCGCTTTATCAGCTTTTCAAGCGCCATGTGTTCATCTTGCCAGACTCTAAGTGCATGAGCTGCATTGACGGTAATTGCATAAAGCTCCTTTGTCGAAAGGGTCGAGGGGTCCTTCATGATATCAATGTATATATTGGGATCTGTGAGGGTCAGGAATTTTCCCGGAGCAGTAGAAGCTGACTCGTAGGGTTGCGGCCGCTCGAACCCATCAAAAGCACCCTCCCAGCGCGACTTGATCTCGTCCCGCTTGCCCTCGTAATCTTCTGTGAAATTTCTAACATCATGCATGGTCCAGTGGCGTTCCAGCTCTTCCTCGACATTGGGTGTGCCTTCACTCTGAGAGGCAACTGGTAGACGACTCCCTTGGTCTGACTCGAGAGATGGAGTGAGATTCTCTTCGGCAACCAGATTGTTGAACAAGTCTTTGGCAATATCCGGATGGTCATCCCGCATGTGCTGTTTGAGACTGTCGAGGCTATTACCAGTGGTTGCTTCTGATTCAGAGGTCCCCGATGGGAACTCCAGCCCGCACCAAGTGCATTTTACAGGGGGCAAGTCAGTAGCTGGGGTATGTTGTGAAGAGGCTGACGGGAGGCTGCGTGGCTCAGATAACCCTCGCTGTACTCTCTGTGTTATGGGAGAGTCCGGAGTGTTTATCAGTGGCATCCCAATGTCGATGTCATCCTTGGGCGCAGAGGTGGACGACATCGTGGCACAGAAGACAAGAAGAACAACAAGAAGAACAACAAAGAAAGAAAGAAAAGGGAACCAGCGAGAAGAAGGCTCTTCTCTCTCCTGCGTACGAAGTCAGTAAACGAAGTGACCATAAAGTAGGCAGAGTAAGTGACTATAATGCTGCTGCAATCACTGCATCACTGCATCACATGGTCTGGAAGGAAGGGAGGACAAGAGTGAGAGGAGACAGCGACATGGAACAAGAAGATGTATAGAACAGTAACTAAAGTAAGCATCGAAGGTGAATTGCGTGCGCAGACGAGCGAGGCGAACATCTTTCTTTTCCCCCGGGTCTAGAGGAAGAAGACGAAGCAGTGATGTGGCAGTTGATGCAGCAGCCGGCTATGTAGACGAAGCGAAGTAGAAAAACTCTTTAACTTACCTCAATAGATTAAAGCCGCCTTTATTAATAATAGTAATACCATTAAGTCGTTGATGTGTTGATGCAGACCAGCGTAGTGTTCAGTGACTTGCGTGAAGAAAAAGTAACTTCCTTGGACCTTTTAACTAGTTAGAGTATCAAACGGCCAATCAAGGAGTTATCAAGGCCGGGCTGATGTTGGTTGGTAGGCGTAGACAGTCAGCTGGGGGAGCAAGTAGAATCGGTCAACGACGAGAAAGCGTAGTAGTAAACCCGCCCAGCGGATCAGCGGAAAGGAGGGAAACGAAATGGAAAGGAAGGGTGAAGAAAAAGAAGAAGAAGAAGAAGAAGAAAAAAAAAAAAGGCGTAGATTAAACAGGGCTGAAGGGGAAAGACAAGATCAGGGAGGGTAAGAAGTGTCTCGATCGTTGATTTTTTTTTCCCTGAAGGATTGATAGTACGACAGTGAGAGACCAACACCTTGCGAGAGAAAGGAGAAGGGAATAGGAAAAAAAAAAAAAAATACTAGTTTTTGGGTTAGTAAGGCAGAGCTGATGGACAAGAAGAACTGGCGAGCCCAAGATGTTCGGCCATCTAGTAAGTAGACGGAGAGAAAAGGGAGAGTGGAGGAGGTGAAGGAGACGAGAAGAATCAGCAGAAGAGAAGAGAGAAAAAGTAAATCTAGTTTGAGGTGGCGAGGAGACGTGGTTGTGTTGTTTTGGGGGTGATGAACGGGATGGTTAGGTTATATGATAGTTATTTCGGCCAGAGGGAGCAGAGAGATGAAGAAGAAGCCGATGATGGGGACTTTCTCTCCAGGAGAGGCTGTCGGGGCCTGTCTAGATCGGAGAGCAATGATGGCGCTGAGGCGAGGGTGACAGTGAACAGTGACAAGGAGGATGGTTGACGTCGGAGAAAGAGGCAGAGCAGCACAGCACAGGACAAGAGAACGCAGGAGGAAGAAAAGGCCTTTGTCGGCTCGAGGACACGACACGGCCAGGGGGGGTTGCTGGTGGTTGGTGCTCCTTTGCTGTTGCTGGGGGAGAAGTTTGCAAGCAGCAGCAGCAGCAGCATCCACGATCCGATCTAGATGTGGATATTTTTTTTTTTTTTTTTTTTCCTCTGCCCTCCCTTTAGGTAACTAAGTAGAAGAAGGACGAGGAAGAAAGGGAAAAGGACAGGAAAAAGAAAAGAAAAAAACTAATACGGAGTAAAATAAGTTTAGTTTCCAAAGGGACAAACAGCTGCTCGACTTTCGCTCTCTCGTCTCTTTCGCCGGTCTGATACATAGTTGGGTTAGTCAGCAGGGTGAGGCCCAATCAGCGGGCGAGAAAGTCGCGGGAAAGTTACATGGCGTCAAAAGTCGTTACGCGATGATACGGCGGACAAGGACAGGCAGGGCATGGAGATTGAAGGCGCCCGGCCTGCTGGATGACCTCGCCTGGATGAATGGCCGGGCAGCTGTGTTGCTGTCTATTGAGCAGCGGGAGCGTCGCCTATTGACAGGACAGCTCCCTGCGTCTTGGCCTCCCCCAGTTCGTCCACCCGGTATCGCGTGTGAGATTTCGGAGGCGTCTCTCATTAGCGCGCGGTAATGCATATCCTCTGCTCTCTACTTTAACCTCATCTCCAGTCTCAACTGCGGCAGCAGGTAGTTATTGATCACCTCGTCTACTCATTGTTCATATATTGCCAATAACCGACAGACTAAGAAGCTCATGGCCTATTTATAAAACCTACTTTCGTCATATTGAGTGCTACTGCTATCTCGTATACAGAACACGGTGTCGCAAAGCGAATACACTGCACACTGCTGCATAATATTCAGCATGATACTGAGTTTGATAACATAGCGGTAGGTTCAATCACAGCTTCCCTGTTTATATATCGTGTTTGATAGCAAGCGGTGGCCTTGACGGGTATAAACGTACGGCGTAGTGGACGTGGCGATCGATAGTTCCCAATATGCTCATTCATTAGCTTTCATCTTTACCACCATCGCCAAGACAGATAGCACCCACCAAGCATGATGACCATAAGCACCACATACAGTGTGAGACCGCCATCCATTTGACGTGGTAAGGAGTATCAAACAAGATGCTGGCAGGCATCGAGCAGGAAGCCAGCGAGCGCTACCTGTGTCATTGTCGTTTTGATACTGAGTTATACTTAGTAAGTGCTAACCCAAAAAAAGCTAGCTGCAACACATATGTAGCCAATCATCAGGGGTAAAAGTATCAGCCAATCAGAGAAGTATCAGCTGACCCACTTCCCGCAACACACATTTCGCATGGGTAAACACAACATGAAAAATACAACCACGATAATCCTTATACTGCAATTTCAATGGACGGAGCATAATTAATATCCCTACAAAGGACATACGGCTGGCAGTATTCATCCAAGACGGGCTAGCTACCACCACTCACCCTGTCCCTGACTTCACCTTTTTACGTTGGACCGTACTTAGCCTCCGGTTCTACTTTTTCAGGGAGAGCAACACAATATACATAGAATCCTGCTCACGCCAATGCTCTCCACCACATGAGCCACAGCGCACCATCATACATGTCTGCCGTCTTATCTCTCACTGGAATGCTCCTCTGATTGAGCAACATAGCCGTGGCATCCGGATATACGCTGTGGGGGCGAAGCAGGTCCAGTAATAGATCCCAGCGACCATCTCCGCAATTCGTTCGAACTCCGGCATCCAGGCCAAAAGATTTGCTGGTTAGCGCAGTGGAAATGACAACTTCAACATGACGTCAATGTCACTGCCCGCCGGACTCGGTTCGTGGAGAAGTGGTCTGACAGGCGAGACAAGGTGTGTTCGTGATAATGCGAGATGGTTTCAATTGACCACCCCATTCCGCTGCGGGTGGTACTTGGTCTAGGAGGACGAAGGTATCTAGTTCAGCCTAAGAGCTGCATGGCCCGCAAGTCCAATGGGTTAATATTCCCCATAACACAGGCACAAGCCTGGAAACAATTCAAGACAGAGATGATAACCCATTGCAGAGTTTCAAGGGAGGTTGCCGGACCTAATATGGACTCTGGTCATAAGCATAAACAACAATTTGGTCGGAAGATATAGGTGGGCAACCAAGTTCGCGAACCCCATTTACTATTCTCGAAGAGGACAAATGAATCTATACCGACGAGACAAGGAGGGAAAGAGTTTGGGAATTGACACAAGCTGAGCCCCAAGAAATATAATCTATCCCTCTCTTTCCAGGTCAAAAAGCCGAGAAAGACGAACTGGTGAGGAGAGGGTTGCTGGTTGAATCAATCAGACAGCGATTTTTAGCTGGAGTATATCTTGTCCCATTGGACTTCAAGGAGACAAACACAATAGTTATGAGCAGGCCACCAATCTCTAACGGATTATCGCCCTATCAAAGTCTGCCACTACACTAAAAGGAGTGAGTCCACACTAATGGTAGGCAGAGCTGAAGTTTGACACGCCCTCAGCTGGCTTCTCAAGGGATCCGCTCCTATTTTACATGACTGTGCATATTACTGTATACCAGTAAGTGCTTGAATAGATACTAATTATGATAATCATGAAAACAGTGGAATGATGGACATATGCGTGCTTGTTCGGCCCAGAGCTTATATATTGAACGCCTCGAAATTCAACAATATGTAAGTGATAACCAACGGGCGACATCTGTCCCGGTGGAATTATATTTGAGCTAGAACGCCAATCGTGCTCCGGTATTTGTTTGATTGGGATATTTATTCTATAAACAAGTGAAGCCTATCTGTCTGCGGGGAGACACTCACAAATCATGCCTCGCCTTCTGTGTATATGGATGATCGGGATTTTACGGATTTTTGCGCGATAGCAATCTATCTAATTACCTAGTTGCTTATCACCCTGGTGGCAATCTCACCCCATTGGCTATCTAGTGAGCGTCCTGCAAACCACCCCACTAGTTAAGAAAATGCATATGAAAATCGTCGAAGTCTGTCATTTGCACGTTCGAGAAATCAAGCTCCTTTCCTATTTTAGTCGCTCTTGGCTTGCGGCTCGGCCCGCCACCGAAAGAGTAAACGCTTGAGGTCTTCTCACCTCGGTGGTATAGTTAGTTAGCTCTCATAGCTGCTGAAATGTTTGGGGTAGAGTAGTTTCTCAATTCACATTGATTTAAATTAATAACCATGGAGGGTTATTCCTGTATCTCCCTTGATAAGGTCTTGGTCCATTATTACTTTAGATGACAAGCTGCCAACTAACCATATATATATAAACAGTAGGTATTAGCCACCCCCTATCCTGATTCTCAGCTCTAAATAGTCTTTAACAATGAAGCCGAATCCCCTAGTTACAAAGCATAGTGGACGATGGACTACGCTATTCATACCCGGCTAATAGATGCCCTCAGTCATTCATCTCCCCCACATCCAATGCGACTAGAAACCTACTGACGCAATTATACCCCGCTGTTGTAGCCGTAATCTCAACAACCTCCTTCTCACTAAACACTCCTTTAATCTCCTGGAACACATCCTCCGGAACCTTCACGTTTCTCGTCATGGCACTCGAGTACCGATACACAGCCATAAGTTCCTTGCTATCCAGCTCCCTCGCCAACTCCGTCTCATCACACGTATCAAGCTTGATCAGTTCAATGGCTTGATCGGATACACCTGCAGCTTTGAGTAATGGGAAGTGCTGTTTCCATTCGAACCATGCTTGGTTGATGGCTGCGACGCGGCAGATAGCTAGTTCGCGGGCGGCGGCGGGGATGGAAGTGCGAGTGCGAATTGCGCCAAAGAAGGAGTTCCAGCCATCTGCGATGGGGAAGGAGTGTAGGAGGGTTAAGTCTAGGGGAAGAAGGCCATTGGGGCCGCGCCGGGCCTGTATTCGTTCGAGAATGGCGATTTCGTCGGGGGTGGTTGTTGTGGGGGGGTTGGGGGTGTAGGAGAGACGCATTTTATGGTGTTATTGTGGTAAACGCTAGCTAGTTTTTGTGGTGGACAACTGACTAGTACGGAAAGAGAATGAGGTTGTTATATGCGTGCTTACAATCTAGTATGAGGACAGATATTGTATGTTTATACACGAGTGTGGGGGAAATGTAAGAGTAATGATAGCGGCTCAGACCCCGCTGCCAATGGCGCTTATCGGCAACGACCGGGTTGCGGCAGGCAGGGAATAGCGGCTATTAAGCACAGGGTGATAGCCGCCTGACGCGGTATACCCGCCAGCCGAAACTAATTGATTAAGATTGGACGAATCAGAGATGATAATTAGGTATAAGAGGTAGAATATGACACTAGGAATAGGCACAGGGAGGAAGGCGCAAAAGGATAGAGGTAATTAGGTCGATGGAGGCACTGAGCACGTCTCGCTCTATAACGGTAGCAAATCATATCAGACTGACAAAAAGGTAGTAATAACTCCAAAAAAAACACAACAACCCGTTATTCAGCTGTATGGGGCTGGTTAGCAGTTCCAGCGGTGCTTGGATTCGCGTTGGCTTGCTTGTTTCCCAGCCATGGTGGTTTGAATCAATAGGCGCGTACCTTTCCTTCCATGGAGACTCCACTCCCTTTGACGCCCTGAAAAATGAACGAGAGAAAAGCAAGACATATAAAAGACAACGAAAAAAAGTACAGTGATTCCAGTTTGGTTTGGACTTTCCCTCTCATTTTCACTTTTTTCACTTTCTTATTTCTTACTGTCTTGCTCGGGGCACGGGGAGATGCCAAGTACTCATGTTATAGTTCCTGACCATCTGCCACCGTCTCCTTGAGCCGGGCAGAGTCTTTGAGAGTGTTAGTAAGTCTCTCCACCGGCGCCATTGTGCGCCGTGCCTACCATGGCGGGATATCCGTAAGCTGCGCCATCCTGCTCGTTCGGGTCGAGACTCCCAGTCAGAAGGTTGTTGGAAGCCTCGGGGGGTGGAGGGACTGCGAAGCCTGCTGGTGGTTGTTGAGCGGGTGCTGCCCCGGCCATGCCTGCGGGTACTGGAGCGGGACCGCCAACTGGGCCACCGGAGCCATATCCACTGCTGGATGGTCGGTTCTGGTTTTCGCCCCTGGCAGTTTGGGTCTGGGGAGTCTGGTTAACATCTGGCTTTTGACGGAAAAGGGAGAAGACACGGGGAGGGAATACCGTGGTGTATATAATGGGGAGAAGAGGTAGAGGTAAAAGGAAAGAAGGAAAAGAGAGGGGGAATATGAAGAAGAAGTGCATACAACTGTGTACTTACTTCCCGGTATTTCGTGAGGTAAATCTTCAAGGCTTCGGCGTAGTTTTCGAATCCGAGCGATGTCATGGCAAAGAGGATATCTTCCCCATTGACAGTCTTGCGTTTCTCTCCCTGACACTTCTCCGAAGCTATGTCGTTCCATCCACCATGCGTTAGTATCTGCCTTTCCACTTCAAGGTGCAATTACAAATTTGCCACCCTTGTCACGTTGCACGACGTACCTTCGCTGGTGATGAACGATATGAACTCGCTCACACACTCTTGCATGCACTCCTTTGCTTCCTTTGCTATTTTGGCATTCTCGGGCAGGGCAGTCTTCATAATTCGGGCCACTATGGGAAGTTAGAGAGGAAGAAAAATCACATGTTAGGAAAGCTGAACGTTATTGATAAACATGAGGGAGGAGGAGCATGGGTGATATGAATGTCTTTGGTGATTGGACCAAGCTGCAGCCAGATTCAAGGTTGCAGCACATCAGCTTGAGGCTGATTGACTGTATGCGCATGTAGCTTGCTTTGGGAAGAAGTGGGGGGAAAGCATGGACATCTGAGGCTGTCTTTGCCTTGTAGAAGGGACTTTAGACTTGACAAGAGGGGATTTGTATATTGGCGCCGGCTAATGTTGGTGTTCTGTGCGCGCATGGGACAGTGACCAGTCCTTTTGGTGTATCCTTTTTGCGCCAGTCCGGGTTTCTTTTGTGTGCGAGAGGAGTTGAGGGAAGAAAAGGTGGTAGGATAGGTAGGCGGGTGACATCCAACAAAAGAAGACGACGGGATTGACAACAAGAGGGCAAAGAGAGAGAGAGAGAGAGAGAGAAAGGGATAAACAAACCATTTGCAATTGGCAGCCATCGGTCCTGCTCTTTGACCTCGAATTCGCCCTGGCCCTGCGTCTGTATATCGTGGTGTTCTCTTTCCATGGGCTCCGCCTCGTCTCCTGACTGAGTAACTGGTTCCACCTCTGGTTCCTTTGGAGGAGAGGCCGAAGACATGGCTTATACGTCCGTTGGTTATGTATGTACGGGGAAGTGCGCAAAGGGGCTAGGGACAAGCAAGGCAAGGGGGCAGAGAACGGCTCTTGCGGCAAACGGAGCGTATGGGATGGCGCTCCTGCTTCGAGTAGTGTGGACTTGACACGTCACTCAACCCTCCGTACAAACCCTAAAGGGGGGGGTGATAGGATGTGAATTAACTATGATAGTCTGACTTGGTCCTGTAGGTCCCAGACGTCAAACGTCAAATGGCCGTGGGCGGGCGCGTTGGTGTGTCCCTTGTGTCCTGCATCGAAAGGGGGACCGCATTAGCTTCAGCACCCAATGAGCACGGCGGTCTTTGCTTCACGATCGCCTTGGACCGGGCAAGGCATCTTTTCTTCTTCAGACCAAGACAACAAGAAGCAGCCGGAAGGAACAGCAGACAGCAGACACAGAAGCAACGCAACAGAACAGAGGCAGAGAGAGGCAGAGACAGCGAGAAGGGGGGTGGATACCTTGGATACCTCGAGCCGTATCCGCGGGCAATGGGAGGCCGTGGAACAAGCAAGGACCGGGCGGCTGGCCGAACAGCGCAGCAAAGGCAGGGCAAAGCCAAAAAAACAACGAGGGAAAAGGAAAAATAAAGAATCAAAGGTAGTGGGAGCGTCGAGTGCTTGGGGGGGTCGGCGGGCTGCCTGTTGACTGGATGGACGTACGGAGTGTATGTTGTTCGAAGGCCAAACAGAAGAAGCGTTTCCCCCCAGGGCAAGGCAGGACAAGGGCTGGCTAATCCGCCGAGTCGCAAAAGGAGGCTAAAAAAAGCAAAACGCGCTGGCCGGCCGCAGTGCAGTGTTCTGTGACTTTCGCCCGGTGCGACTCGACTCGACTCGACTCGACTCGAGCTGGCTGGCGGTCGGTGGAAGTGGAGAGCGTCGCTGCGCTGCGCTGGCTGGTTGGGCGGAAACCGAGTGACAGTGACAAGCCGGCGTCTTCGTGTCGGCGGCGATGCTTTTTGGAGCTCTCGAGGGCGAGGCAGAGGGACGCTGCGGTGCGATGCGATGCGATGCGATGCGAGGTCGAGGGTGTTGTTTCTGCTGGGCCGCGCTAGCCAGCGAACCTGTGCTGTGTGTGTTTGTTTTTTTTTTTTTTTTTTGTTTATTTTTTATTTTTTATTTTTCTTTTTTGCTTCTTCAGCGGGTGCTGCTGGTTGTCCTTTTTCTCGATGCTTGACCGCAAGTTGGGTATACGACAGGGCGATGTGACGGAGCTGCGAGCAGGCGGCGGGCGATGCAGAGGCTGGCGCAGGCGGTCGCTGGTCGCTGGTGTTGTTGATGGACATGGAAGAAGGCGAGTTTGGATGGCGGAAGAAGATGAAGATGAAGATGAAGATAAGATTAGGTTAGTTGGCTATTGCTTATCTTGTTTTTGCTAGCTAGCCTGCTGCTGCTGCTGTTGATATATATATATCCATGATGTAATGATGGATGACGCTGGAGCTGGCCTGATATTGATAGTCACTGGCGGCGATGGTGATAGCACTGCCGTCTACGTACTGTTTACGTGCTGTTCATGGCTCGAGCAGTTCAGAATCAGGCCAGAGGAGCTGCTAGTCAGGTAGCTGTCAGCTAGAAGAAGCGCCCCTACGGCAAGGCGATGCTACGGCATCATGGCCTGCTTCCTAGGCTGACAGTCATCTCGTTGTAGACGACATCTGAAGTACTCCGTGCTGCTCTCTACATTTGACAAGCTGCATGGCAAGATGCATGTACTGTAGCTATCACAGACAAGCATAGCAGAGATCAAAGGCCAGGATGGTCAACCACGCCGATCGCCCAACCGTCTTCGTGACAGCCGATAAATGATCTGTCGCCTGCATATTGTACACAAGTCCTTAAGCTTCTCTCTCTTGCTCCCTCAAAGACGATGATGGCCTCACTCACGCATGCCGACGTCGATACCCAACCGGTAGGCCGCTTCCAAACACACGGGACCAAGCATACACAGAGCTAGCCGGCTGCTTACTCCCAGCTGGAGGTAGCTTAGCCTGTTTAAAGACAGTGCAAGCGAGGACTTCGCTTGTCTTCCAAGTTCCGTCCCCGTCTTGTCCGAGCGCGTGTCTGTCCATGCTGGCTCCGGGTTGGTTAGGTAGACGTGCATCCCACAGACAAGCTTAATTCCCTTTGTGTCTTTTATGCGCTGGTCAGGGCCCATGGTTCATCTCGGCGCCTTGCATAGTCACTGAGAGAGGAACGTCAGCGTGGACATGGCCAGCGTTGTCATCCTGCCCTGCCGTTTTCAGACACTCTATAGCACTTGCCCCTGCGGCACAGCCAACACACCATGAACCAGCTAGTAAATACCAACCCGTAAAAGAAGCGTCCAAAGTAGAAAGGAGGGGGGTAAAAAAAAAAAAAAAAAAGTCCATAACTCCATTTCATTTTATGCCCGTTATTCATGCCCTATTGCTGCACAACCTGGATATGGTTCTTTTTCTTCCAGCTGTCCATCTCGTCTTGCTTGCTCTTATACTGCTTCATGAGCTCGTCGAGAACCTGCTTGAGCCCGTCTGCGTTCGTCTTCAGCGAGGGGATCACGTCCTTCACTGTCCGCTCGACAAGCACGCCGTTGATCATGCGGAAGCACTTCCGGTCCAGAGGGAGGGGCTGGAGGGATTCTATTACGAGTCTTGATGGTGTCAGTGTGTCAGTATGTCTCGGATGGGCGGTAGATGAGTAGGCAGAAGCAGGTATTCGGGCTGGTGCGGGTAGGTACTTGTGTTCTTCGGCTTCGGTCTCGATGTCGCCTATCTTCTGTGCGAGCTGGTGCAGCGTGGTCTTGAAGTTGGAGTACTGCATCTGCAGCTCTGCGGGGAGGTCAGTTACTTCAAGGACGGCAAGTAAATAGCAAGAGCGAGATGGCTGGACGTACCCTGCTGTCTCTTTGGGTCGACTTGTGCCGCCATGGTGCTTGGTGGTGATGCGCTGGCGTGAGATGTTGATGTTGTTAGTTATTCAATTCGTGATGTTTTTCGATGTTCGAGCTGGTGGAAGTTGACTAACTAGTTAGTCTGCATCACCAGCCAACGTCAAAATCTACTCCATCCAGCAACAGCAAATACTCAAACTGATGTATAAATCGCTTTATTCCATCTATCGTGCTATCCGGGTCCAAGAATTCTATATAAGTCAACTATATAAGGCAAAAGAGGGGGCAAAAAAGGAGAAAAGGAAAAAGATATGAAACAATGTGGTATATATACATACACATTACCGGGTACAATTAGCAAATAGACACTATATACAGCATAAAAACCCAACGCGAAAGCAAAACCGAGCCGAGAAAAGGAACTTTTCCCAACCGTCCGTGTTTTCCCCTAGAACTGAAACTGCTCGTGGAAGAAAAGTAGGAAAAGGGGCCCCCCGTTAAAAGAAGTGAAAAAGAGGTTGACCATGAACGCCGGTCCTTGCACCGAAGAGGTGAAATGTAAAGTAGTATAGTATAATATAGTATGGTATGGAATGGCATAGTGTAGTGCAGTATATAGTTATATCGTCGTTAACATAAAAATTGCCGTAAATAGATGGGATGGGGGTATATATATAAAGCAAGTTGGTCGATAAGGTGGAATCGGAGACGGTACGGAGTGTGTATATAGGTGTGTAGAAGAGGGGGGGGATCGATCATCGGCCAGGACCAGGCAGCGACAGCCCTAACTCTGCAACCAGGTACTCTCCTGGAAATAATCCGTCAATCCTGGATCATGCAGGTATAGCTCGCGCCATTCATCTTCCATGTCATTTAGATTTTCAGGAACGACAGCTCCACAGGCGTCAGATTCAAAGGTGAATAGCTGTCGCCAATCTGGTCCCTGGCCTGGCGAAGGAATATGTTCTGAGGCTCGGGGACGGGGTTGTTGCGGTTGCTGCTGCTGCGGTTGGGGTTGGGGTTGTCTTTGTGGATGAGGTTGAGGCTGAGGCTGCGGGTGAGGATGATGAGGTGCGCTGACGGGGCCCATGGGCTCAGAGTGGGAGAAGTAGGTTAGTCGTTCGCCGAGCTGGGCTTTCGGCCACCAGCTATGGAGCTGTGGTGGAGGCAAGGGAGCCTCGACCTGTGGTGATGGGCCTTCGGTAGACTTGGACACGGAGTCCCCTTCCTTGTGCGGTTGGCTAGCATTGGTTTGCTTCGATTTGACCATTTGCATATCGTACTTGAGCCGCTTGGAGCTCTCGAACAAGTGCAGGATGCTCTCTGCGTTGTGCCAGTATTCCGATAGCGCGCGGAGAGAGACGAGCGTGGAGTCAAACCGGCGCAGGGCATTGATTGCAAGAACTGGGTTGGAAAAGCGCAATTCCACTCTGATCTGGATCATGGCTGTGAACAGCGTGTTAACGGCGGATGACCAGAGATACTTGACCCGGTCCTTTTCGCGGAGCTCCTCGAAGATAGACACAATTACACCTGCGGCGGCACTGCATATCTCTGCGTCGTTGTGGGCGTAGGTGTCTGCGGAGGCGCGCGGGTGAGGACGGTGCAGCAGGATGAGGAAGTTGTTGTATGTGAGATGGAGCAGGGCGGGCCAGGCATGCATGTCCGAGGTGGACATGCGGACCGTATCAGGCAGTTTGATAGACCAGTTTGCCAGTGCCTTGTCAGCTTCGGACAGGATGCTCTTGCGCCGTTCGGGAGCAATGCGCAGACCAAAGCGCTCGCGGACAATGAAGGATATCATACAGCACAGCTCGGTGAATTGTATCACGTAGTCCTTTTGGATGTTGTTGCCGCAACCCTCGAAGTCTGCCTCCCTCAACGGCTCGACGTCGCAGTCGTCCAGGTTGATCGCCTGCGGACGGCCGTACTGCAGGGAAACCATGACATCAAACTGGACGAGAATCCACCATGCTCTGCGCCACATCCGTTTGTCGTGAGGAACGAATATGCTGGACCCGGAGTTCCGGTGCATCCCTAGCCCCGTAGCTATCCTTGCGGCGACGCCTACCCAGTAATGGGCGTTTGCGGCGACGTCGTCGTCCACTGGGTCTGAATACCAGGTAAGCAGGAGGGCCGCCTGGACCATGATATCCCTGTTCCGCTCCACCCTGGCCTCGAAGAGGAGCTTCGCTCGCCGAAAGAAGGCCGCCTTGAGGGTGTCTCGCATTGGTCGAGGGCGGGAGACGTGCGCACCGGCAAGCAGGACAGCCTGCAGAATCAAGAGGGAGGGAGCATCAGAGGAGTCCCGCCCCTTGTACTGAGCCATGAAGATGTCCTCTGCCAGGATGGGGAAACCGGGATTGACATGCTTGAAATAGGCGTCGACCAGCTCATCAGCTAGGGCGGGTTCGGGCAAGACGAAAGCATCCCGGGGAACCTGTTCGAAGCCACACTCGATGTACTTGCGGGAGATCTCGTTGGTAGCAAAGTGGTACACCTCGTCGTCGCGGTCTACATGCTGCTGGCGCAAGAGGAAGTTGAGATTGGAGACGTCCTGCCCGACGTAGATGACTCTGACGTTCTTCTGGATCTTGCGGTGCGTCGACTCGTCGTCGATCAGCTTTGCAAGCTGCTTATCCCGCTCCGAGGACTCTTCCTCGTCCGGCGAGATGTCACGGTAGTCCATGACCGAGGCTGCTGGATAGGACCCCTCCTTCTGATCCCGATCCTGTTCCAGCTGGGTTTCATGATGCTGCTGCTGCTGCTGCCGGTGTTGCTGCTGGTGGCGGTGCTGTTGATGCTGATGTTGATGTTGATGCTGGTGCTGGGCGGTAATGTCGAGGACGGACATGGTGGTGTGGTGCGAGTCTGGCATGGGCGGGTTCGACAGCGCGGCCTGTGCATGCGGCTCGTCCGATTCCGGAAAGGGAGCGCATCTGATGGGGACGGGATGCCGCAGGGACCTGGAGGCGGTCCGTTTCTTCTTCTCGTGGATGCGGCAGTCTAGCTTGCCGGCGGTCCTACAGTTGGAGCAAGGGACCCCAACGGTGCGCGCATCACAGCGGACCTTGCGCTGGTGGCAGTGAACACAAGCGGCGGGCCCTAACATCTGGTCAGCAAGCAGCACTACTTTCTTCGCTTCGTTATTTTTTTTTTTTATAGTGAAGAGGGGAGAGGGGGAGGAATTGGAAGTACTCTTCCGCTTGAGGCCATTCTCGTCGGCCGGAGACGGGGGCTTGACATCCATGGAGAGGCCAGCCGGTCCAGTCGAGTCCTGCCCGGGTCAGGTAGAAGGTCAAGTCAGGTCCAGCGGTCTCAGAGGGTCTAGGTTATATCGCACACGCACTCCACGAGGCCGAAGAGACCACCAGCCATGCCACAGCGGTCTCCTCGCAGGTCTAATGGGCTGGTAGATGCAGGGAGCGGACAGAATTGTGCTTGTAGAGGGCGGTGGGAGCCGGCGGTCGAGAAGTGGTTGAGAAGTGGTGAGAAGTGGTGAGAAGTGGTGAGAAGTGGTGAGAAGTGATGGATAGCAAGCGGAAAGCGAAGACGCAAGAAGAAGCAAAGCGAGAGAGCAAGACGAGCCACGTGAGGTTACAGATTTAGGTAAGATGAAGAGAGCCGCTGACTAACGCCTCTCCGGCTAGGCAGGGCGGGGAGGAGGCCAGAGGGCGGGCGGGCGGCCTTGGGGCGTCTCTTTAACTAAGTCTTTAACTGGCTTTAACTGGCTTTACCTGAGCTTTAACTAACTCTTAACTGAGCTTTAACTGAGCTTTAACTAAGGCTTTAACCAAGGCTTTAACTAAGGCTTTAACTGGGCCCGAGACCAAGGCCGCGCCAAGACCAAGTCCCCTGCCATCGCGCCGTCTTCTTCTTCTCTGCTGCTCTTCTCACCGTCCATCCCTCGATGATAATAGTAATAAATATCCCTTCATCCCTTCTTCTTGTCCTGCGATCCCTCCTCTTAACCTCTCGTAAACTGCCCGGAACCTTGGAGAAAAAGCCTGGGCGCCGCTTTGCTGCCTGCTGACTGGCCGCCCGCCCTGGACTCCACTAACGGGGATGAGGCCTAAAGTCACTCTCGGGTGAGCGTCCAGGGGCGAGTGACTCCGGCTGGCTGCCTCTTATACTTCTTGGTCGAGGCACCACCTATACTTAGTTAACGAAGGCCCAGGCAGGTCCTTGATCGGCCGCTGCTTGCTTCTTCCTGCGGCGCCTCGTCTTCTCCGCGGGCTCACTCGACCGCGACTTGGTTCCTGTACATACACTGCTATGACTATAGAGAATAATGCTTCAACTGCTCACCCCTTTCTCCAGCGCTCCACTTACCGTATTTAACCTTTGGACTCGGAGATGCTCCAGCGGTTCTTCTGCTCTTCCTTTGCTCGAGTTATCAAGTGACCGTCTTGCTCTCCTCTTTGTCTGGCCGCAGTCGCAGGCTTGCTGGTTAGCCGACAGGGCCGGGCCCCTGGGCTCACCCCTGTCACCTTACTTAGTTAGATCCCTATTGTGACTTTTTTTATAGCCATATAATTATACGCATTAATTATAGACACTTCGAACGCCAACTAAGGGCTTATGCCTTAGTGAACTAGTGATCGAACTCGTCAGCCGGCAGCCGGCAGCCAGGACCAGACTTGATTCACGGCCGCCTCTTGCCCGCTGGTCTTCGCCGTTGAAACCGTATATGCGGGTTTCCCTCGCCCTCTTTGCCTCTTTCGATCGCCCGCTGTCGGCCTTGCTTCGGCTACGGCGGTCTCTTGTCTCTTTTCTGTTCCTTTTTGTCTTCGTCGTCTTTGCTTCTTTACGCTCATCAAGTTAGTTGTGCATTTTCTCGGCTCAGCCCGAGGATCTCAGCCCAGACATGCATATCTACCATATCTACCATATCTACCAATGTATGTCAACTTCTACCCCCGAAGTTACATCAACTTTGACAAACGGATCTAGAAAAAAGCAAAGAAGGGCTTCATCTTGCCCCACGTTTTGGCTGCTTCGAAGCTAATAACTAACCGGCTAAACAAACTGCTGGCCAACGAAATTGCTATAAAACTCGCTGGAGCAGCTCAACATCCGGCCGAAGCATTCCCCCGAGCGGCTTCCTCTTCTTTTTTGCTGTGATCCTCCACTCCCTCGGCGGATGTCATAGACAGGGCGGAAGTCTCTTTTAACTCCCCTCCTTTGGTGCTTCTCTGGTGACGTTGTTGCTTACTGATTATCTGCGATCCATCTTAACTAAGTATATATAAGTTCCTCCACCCCGCCAGGCACATCCCCGCTACATAACTAACATTAACATCTACTTACTTGAGGGGAGCCGGGATAGTTGGTGATACTTCATAGCCACCTTGCCCGCCGCAGCCAGCGTAGTTAGATTTATATTGCTTGCTTCACTTTGGTTCTCTCGACCGGCTGTGGCTTAATATAAAGGACAAAACAATATATTACTGCATACATAACAAGACAGACCGATGGCCCCCCACGCTGCTGCTGGTGCTGGTGCTGGCACTGCCGGCGATGCGGCTCAGAAGGCCGCCGTCGTCGAAGGGACGCTGACCGTCGCCAACGTCGCCGCCAACAGGACCAGGTGTGCCCTCCCCAAGGGTGTCGCCGCCTTCTCCGACAGCAGCATGTTCAAGAGCGCGGTAAGTCCTCTTCCTCTGTGTCTTGCTTTTTTGCGTCGTCGCCCAGTGGGAATAGCCGGCTTACCCGTACACACACCAACAGGCATCAGCGTCACAGCCGAAAGCGAAGAGATGGGACCGTGAGTGATGAGACAGCTGGCAGACACCCTCAAAGGAGCGCTTTTTACTGACTGGCTGGCACTTCGACGGGACAGGCTACCTTACCGAAGAGAGCAAGCTGCGAAAGGTCCGTCTTGACGTCCATCACCCTTTTTGTTCTTTAACCAAGTAACTCCTGCGTATATTAAATTAGACTGCGGCCACTGACCTCTCTTGCAGCCCTCGACCCTGAAGCAGGTGGCTCTCTACATGGGCCCCAGTAAGTTTTTGCCTCGCTCCCATTAGTTATTTATATGCACAGATTTACGCTTCGAGGATCAAGCTGACGCCGATAATAGATGTGATCTCTCTGGGGGGTGGCCTGCCGTCCCAGGAATACTTCCCCTTCCACGAGATCTCCGTCAAAGCTCCCAGCCCTCGCCAGTTTGCAGACCCGGCCCCGGCTAATCCCGAGTGCGTCTTCTCCTCCACCAAGCATGATGTGGCAGACGGAACGAGCGATTTCGATCTCGAAGTGGCTCTCAACTACGGCCAGTCCGTCGGATACGCTGCTCTCGTGCGATGGATCACCGAACATGTCGAGGTACGGATGCCTTCGACCATCTACCTCGAACAACTCTAGAAGTTCTCGCTAATAATATGTAACTAGATCGTTCATAACCCTCCGTATGGAGATTGGGAAATCACCATGGCGCCCGGGAGCACGCAGGGATGGGACTTTGTTCTGCGCATGCTCTGCAAGCCCGGCGACATGATTCTCACGGAAGAATACACTTTCTGCTCTGCCATGGAGGGTGCCGCTGCCCAGGGTGTCACCCCTTTCCCCGTCAAGGTCGACGCCGAAGGCCTCCTCGCTACCTCTCTGGACGAAATCCTCACCAATTGGGACCCGGCTGCACACGGCGGTGCTCGCAAGCCAATCGTGCTCTACACCGTTCCCTCCGGCCAGAACCCAACGGGCGCCACACAGAGCGCCGAACGACGCAGGGAAGTCTACAAGGTCGCCCAGAAACACGACATCATCGTCGTCGAGGATGAGCCATACTACTTCCTCCAGATGGAGCCCTACACGGGGCTCAACACACCCACCCCTCCCCCGCCTGCAACCACCGACGAGTTCCTCAAGACACTCATCCCTTCATACCTCAGCATGGACACAGACGGGCGCGTTATCAGACTCGACTCTTTCTCCAAGGTGCTCTCCCCCGGCTCTCGTGTCTCATTCCTCGTTTCCTCCGCCCAGTTCACAGAACGCATGATCAGACAAGCCGAAACTTCCACCCAGGCTCCTAGTGGAATGGCTCAGATCATACTCTACAAACTCCTAGACGAGTCATGGGGCCATGAGGGATATCTCAAGTGGCTCATCCACATCCGCATCGAGTACACAAAGCGCAGAAACTGCATCATGGATGCCTGCGAGGAGTTCCTACCCAAGGTTGTGGCGTCCTGCAACCCTCCGACCGCAGGCATGTTCGTAAGTTTTTCTCCTTTTCCCTCGCCCACCCACCGCCCCCTAACCCCTACCCTAATCCCTGTCCCCGTTCCCGTTCTTTGTTGTTTTCCTCTCCTGGGAGCGAACATAAAAAAAAAAAATTTCCAACACAACAGCAAAAAGGCTAATATCCCTGCAAGAACTGGATGCGGGTTGACTGGAAGAAACATCCTGCCTACCAGCAAGGAAAGGACCACAAGGCTATTGAAGAAATGATTTTCCTGGCCGCCGTCGATGCTGGTGTCCTTGTTTCACGCGGAAGCTGGTTCTTGGCCGACCAGTCGGCTACCGAGGAAGATATGTTCTTCAGGTCGACCTTCGCCGCTGCCCCGGCAGACAAGATCAGGGAAGCCATCAGGCGGTTTGGCGAGGTCCTCAAGGCCCAGTTCAACATCCAGTAGTAGCCAAGACCCCGTTCTTCTTCTATTCGCGATCCTTCAATTGATGAGGTGAGTACGGAGTAGGTACATAAACTTATTCCTTCGTTCAATATGGTCCTAGGGCGGCTTGATGTTGTTTAACCAGTTACTCCTGCGGGTTTTGTGGTCTATAGACTGTGGCGAGTTAGTTATGCCCGTAGATTCCTCCAGGTAGTTGGCCGCTAGCACCCTTCTGCACATGACTTATGAGTAGAGCAAACAAAAAAAGAAAATGAAAAGAAATAAAGCCATTCAAAAGCAACCCCTTTCTCCCCTCTATATTCTAGAAAAGCTGGGCTTTCGGATGGTTCTCTGTTGTACTGCTTAGTCATCGCGCATAAACACTTTCTCCGCCCTCCGTCGCGTCCCAAACAGGCAAGATCCAACATCATCGTCCAGACGTCAGGCCTCAAGCTCAACTTCGACTCCATCTCAAACTATCAAATTGCGATACCCATTTCCTTCACGCTGTTGACGCTCACTCTGCAGCAATAGATGGCGTTGTGGGGCGTTTTCAGCAAGGAGGTCTTAACAGCCTCCGCTTTCTTAAGCTTACTTTTCTTGCCTTTAACGTTTTAATTTTCCCGGTTGATACCCTACTTCCTTTCTTGCTTGCTCGCTGGTCTTTCGACGTTGTGCTCTTTTTATTTCATTCAATTTCATAGGTAAGAATGGAGACGTCTGTACTCGCGGACATCCGTATTGGCCCGTTGAGAAACCCTTTCCTTTTGGTAGCTGGATTAGCCGTAGTTTTTGGTGCTCTATACCCATTGTAAAAAAATATCCTTGTTTATTGCATGACTGGGCCCCGGTATACGTTCCTATCAGGCAATAAATAGAGATATTTAGATATCCTCAACCGTATTGGAAAATGATATATACCCCATTCCCTCGATTTATGGCTACTAACGTTGACATTGTGACAGTTTTCTTTGATTCCATACTATCCTAGCCAGTGGCAACTCTCGTATATACCCAATTCACTTCCTCCTACGAACAAAGGGGCACATACACCAGGCCTATCTCATACCTTTATTTGTTGCGAAGCATTAGCAGCACTCTCCAGTATCTTTCTTGCAAGGCCATCTATCTACCTATCTGGCAGTGCTAAAGTATGTTGATATCCACTACCAAAGGCCCAGGCTGGTCGATCTTGCTTTTGTTGATATCTTTTTTCACGCTAACAAATGGCGCTAATATGAATTTAGATAGGCCCTTATACTATTAGAATCGCCTCTGTATAAAGTCAGACACTGCTTGTCGAGCTTCTATATAAGGGGTCATTAGAGCAGTGAGTCTCTTGTCCTGGAATCTCCTGATATCCAGCCTAAAGATGGAAGGGACTGTCACATACTGCTACTAGATAATAGTCTAGCAACTCTTAAGACCAGACGACCCCCATAACTACTCTATACCAGGGGTTATTTAGATCTATCTTGTGGTGGTGAGCATAGACAATCGACAGGTTCTGTCGCAGTCTTGCACTTCTGCAGTTTTGTAGGTGCTCCCTCTGTTTACTTTTCCAGTCACGTTGTCTCCCTGCCTCCCTTCTTCTCCCTTTCTCCCTCTTCTTCTCCGCGCAACATGAAAATATTTCTCCCTTTCTCTCTTTTCCCTCCCTTCTCTACACCTTCTTGTCCTTTTCTGGCTCTCTTTTACCAGATCTGTGCACTTTCCTGTCGTTAGCTCTGTCCACGCCATTATATGTGCTGTGTGATACACTAGCTTTGATATTACTCGTCCTATATCAGCTATTGCTGTAATAAGATGGGTTCTTCCGCTGACGAGAACGCACAAACGCGTGATGCACCCTGGGGGTACACTTTTCTTTATATTTTCTCACTTTATTTTACTCTCATTATGGCCATTGACTAATTCTGGATGCTTATATAGTGATATTCCAAGTCCCTTACGCGCCCGGGGTTTCACTGGAAGCAGGGAGGACATCCAAGCTGCCAGTGCATATCTCTTCTGCAGCGCGGCAGCGAGACTTCAGAACCTCAATAGGGTTGAGGAGACTGTTACCAATCCAGCTGCTTCTGACTCTGCTTTAGCTCAGGCTCCCAGAACTCAATATCCTGTTCCGCCACCTCTGAGAGAGCGGGACCTCAACGAAGGGAATCCTGAAGTGACATCTTACCTCCAGTCAGAGAGCTACGAGGAATTTTCTGCTCAGGCCAATCCAGTTGATAATACTCAGTACATCAACTCGTTTGAAACTTATCACTCGAACAACTCCCATCTCACTTTTGGATCCGGCCAGGATCCTCACCCTGATCTTAGTCCAAGTACTCCTTTGCCCTCTACTAGGTATGTTTTTTACTGTCATCTCACTGTTATTTTCGCGTACCTCTCTCTGATCCCCGTGTATAGGCTCCCTGAGGAGACTACTGTTCCTCAGAACACTCCAACTTCTCATCATCATCAGCCCAATCAGGTAGTGGACCCGAAGCCTGTCAGGGAGACCTATCGTGCATTCCCCAGGCCTCGCGAACCCCAGGTACAAACTTCCTCAACCCACAAGTTTGACCCCCATTCGCGTCCTTTCCCCATCAGACGCGTCTGCACGACAGAAAACTACCACTATCACGAGGCCCAGCCTGTAAAGTCTTCCAGATATAGACAATACCCACGACCTCAACGCCTCTACACCCGTGGCGAATTCCAAGCGAGGACTAGAGAGCATCTGAAACACGACACCGCTCCAGGCGGTTTCAACGATTTCGACCCCGATTTCTCGAACCGCAAACCAGCAGGAACATCGACTCTCAAACAAGTTCGCTCGTTCCCCGATCCACGTTCTCTTACTGACCCTTTACCAAAGTCGGGTCGCGAGTTCGATCCTAATAGCAGACAGCGTTCGTCCACCGCACCCAAGAGATCCGAACCTCATCCACCTAAAAACAAACCATACGAGTTCAAGACTGACTCATTTCCTCAACCGCATCATTTCTCAACCCTCAACCCCAAATCCCCATATAACCCCTTGAACTTCATCCCTGGTGGGGTCAACTCGTCTGGCTATCTTTATCTCCCAAGCCCTGCAAGCCAACCGGCTGCGCGACCCGAGCCGGATCCAGCCCCACCAGCCGACGTTCCAGCCGAACCTCGAGCATTCCACGCCCAGGGCGACTTTGACTCCCCTTTCAATAAGTCTTGTTCTGCTGTACCAGCACCTGAAACTTGTCCAGCTCCTCCTCGCCCTATCTTTCGTCTTGAACTCCCTTCTGCTCAGGAGATCAAAGATAGGAAGCGAAAGAAAAGCGGAGCTCGGAGATTTACATCCTCGCTTAAGAAGCTGTTTTTCCGCAAAACTAAGTCGGAGTCCGAAAATACCACCGCTGCGTCTGGTCAAGCCAACGCAGAGTATTCACTTGCACCTAAAGCTGAAGAAACTTCCAAAGGCCCTCCTTCAGCAACCCCGCTTGGGCGATTTAGAGAAGAACTGGGTGAAGCTGATTCTACACAGGCTGCCCAACTTGAAGAACAACTCAAGGGCGTTGATTCAGCACAAGCTGAACTCTTTGAAGAACAGCTCAGAAAGCCATTCATTACAGTCACTGTTGATCCACCACCTGAGAACGACTGCACACCCCCACGGGATACGCCCAACATGTTTTCTACAGGTCATCTTGACCCTTCGTCGGCCGTTATGGCCATCACCAAGCAGAAAGCGGAGGCCATGCGACTTGCTCGAGAGCAAGGCTTTATTGTCCGAGAGATGTGCCGTCGGGCAAAGACAGATGTTCCTCCATACACTTTTGAAGAATTGATTGGAAAGGGTTCCTATGGTCGTGTCTATAAAGGGTTTGTATTCACCATCTTCATTACTGTGTGCATAATTACTAACAACAATGAGTAGCCACCATGCTCTAACTAAATCTGTGGTCGCCATCAAGGTCATGGATATTGATAACCTTGACTACGAAACTACCAGAGACTTTAAAGATGAATCTATCAAAGACTTTATCCATGAAACAAAGGTCATGTCTCAGGTAAAGGAAGCCGGTGCAAAGAACATTAACATCTTCATCGAGGCAGTTTCAATACACTCCCAACTCTGGCTTGTTAGCGAGTATTGTCCAGGTGGAAGTATCAAAACCCTGGTAAGTTAGCCGACACAACTCCTACCGCATTTGTATTCTAATTCCCTGTTCAATAGATGCGTGCAACTGGTGATAAGCTGGAGGAGAAGTTCATTATTCCCATTGCTCGAGAGGTAGCTGTGGGTCTGAAGGCGATCCATGACGCTGGTATCATACACCGAGACGTCAAAGGTAATTGTGACATGGATATTTTATGTTCGTTGTGCCCTTGCTAACTTATCTGGCAAATAGCTGGCAACATTTTAATCCATGAAGAAGGAAATATTCAAATCTGTGACTTCGGTGTTGCAGGAGTTCTTCAAAGCCAGCGTGACAAACGTTCGACCTGGATTGGCACCCCCCATTGGATGCCACCAGAGCTGTTCCCAAACAAGCCCGGCGATGAAGTTCATCCTTACGGCAATGAGGTTTGTTTTCATGTGAACATACCTTTTTGGATATTTATACTAATGAGCTGGTTCTAGATTGATGTTTGGGCGTATGGTTGTACTCTATTCGAATGCGCCACAGGCAACCCACCCAACGCTACCTTAAGAGAGAGAATGCAGATCGGCCGCCAACTTAACCGCTTCACGCCGCGGCTCGATGGAGAAAACTACTCGGAAGAATTATGTGGGATTGTCTCTTACGCGTTAGATGCAGACCCAAGAACCAGACCAGCCATGGGAGACATCCTGAATCATCCCTACATCGCTGGTTCCGAACAGTCCCATCCTACTGAAGGGTTGAGAGAACTGGTAAAGATTTATTACCAGTGGTCTCAGCGTGGAGGCCAGCGTATCTCGCTTTTCAATCCTGGAGGTGCGGTTGCAGCGGAAATGCCTGGGGCTAGAGGACCGTTAGATGATGAAGCTTGGAACTTCAGCACCACTGAAGGATTTGAAAAGAGATTCTCGATCATTGATTTGGACCAGATCTCTGCTTCACTTGCAGCCCTGGAAACGGAACAATCTCTAGAGCCGAATTATACCTCCTTCGATCAATTTAACATGGAACCCGAAGAAAGAGAACTCACAGCAGAGGAAAAAGTTAACTTTGATGAGAGAGTCAAGAGAGGCGCTGCCGCTATGGAGGGATTATTCGACGAAGCAAAGCCGAAGTATAAATATGAAACCAAAAATGACTTCGTGCCTGTCGAGCAAGCGCGCAAATTCAATGACTTGCCATTGAGAACTGATACGGATAGATCTTCCGTCGCCTCTACGTTCATTGACATTAACCTTGGAGTCTATGACTCTTCTCATTATGCATCTGCTTCAGGATCTGCCAATCCTCCATTCCAGCTAGCTGATGCCGACACGATTCGTGCTAACCGATCTAGCAGCCGATCATACCGTGCCTCATCAAGCGCAGGTAGCGAGCCGCATGACGAATTCCCGCAAAACCGTGGCCCTCGTCCTCCAACAATGGATTGGAAGTTCCCAACTACAGCTACAAGCATTGAAGAGTCCGAAAGCCCTAATCTAGCTGATGACGAGATTGCTCCACATGATGCCGAGCCTCTTGAGTCGCGAGAGGAGAAGCGAGATACCAGAGCTTGGACATTCCCTGTTATGACCGCCGAAGAAGATGGACCAGGGGACGAGCCCATTGATGAGACAGCACATGTGGAAACTCCTGGTGCATGGAGCTCCGATAATGAAAGCACAACTGCTCAAGCAATGTTTCCGCTTCAACATTCACCTTCTGTTCTCAGTAGAGCCATTGGCAGGTCCGACACCCTCTCAATGGCCAAATCTCCTGATCACCACGCGCTTGCCTCCGAATCGCGTCCATCTACTGCAGAGTCAAAGCAATCCTCCGTCTCTGATGCAGACTATGACCCATTCAGACTAGATAGAGAGGGTTCAGTCAGCGGCCCTTCAACCACTACCCAAAGACGAGGTCTAGCAAAAGCCCCCCCGATCAGAGAGCCAGGTTATCCTTATTTCCCACAAGATGACGAGTACGGCAATAGCCTCTCTAGATCTAATATAGCTAACGGCTTTGGAGAGCACCATGTTAGCAGCTTGCCAGAAAGTGAGACTCTCAGAAATGGAAGTGCTGCAGCAGCACCCCTTTCCCGCTCTGACAGTTCATCTATGTACTCCCAGAACGGCAATAGCAACGGCAATATTAGAGGGTCACTTAATGCTACGCCGGCAGCAGAGAACAGCAGTTTAACCCAATTCCCTGAACTAAAACCTCCAAGCATCGAGAGTCTGACAGAGGGCGCTAGCGATGAGGTGGTCACTGCAGAGCTCGACAGGTTGTTTGGAGAACTCATGCACGGACTTGCTGCTACCGGTGAGGCAATCCAGTCCACGGACTCTGCCAAAGCGGCAGAGAGTGATGTGCGACCAGGAACACCATGAAATGAAAGGAAATGAACACGGAAAATGTCAAGGCGCGAAAAAGTTATGAGGGAGTACTGGAAATCATGGTTTTGTTATGGATATCCTGTTGGGTGGGGATGGGTTGGGTGGACTATCTAATTTATCGTTCTTCTTTTTAATTTCATTCTCAACTTTACCCCTTGGTTCACCTTACTATGCGCTAATAGTAGATGCCGCATTTTTATTCTTCCCCTGTATACCACCGACCCTATTAATATGGTCGTGGCGGTTTCATCCTAAGGATCTTGATGAAATGAGCCAATTAATGGACACAGGCGATATGTGACGAGTCGATGATTGGATGCCTGGAGCTTGATACAAGAAGAAAAACAAAAGCAAGGCCCTAGCAAGTCTGTGATATGCTTTTCTTCTGTTCAATCAATCAATCAATCAATCAATAATATATCCAACTGTGGCCACTGGCCTGCGCTTACGTAACTCAGGAGTCCTTCGACTTCAGCTTCCAACGACCATCGAAACTGTTAATATCAACCTCCATCAACAACAACGTCGAGATCATACTCCGTAATCGTTATGTCATAAAGAACAACGAGATACACCATAGGGGACGTTCCGTGTGGCATCGACCGGACAGGTGCAACGTGGACGCCCCTCGGGTATACAGATGCGTGCTTGGGCCGTTTCTTGTCTGCCTAATAGTTCAGTACTCTCGTGTCTGTGGCTGTGAGAGTGAAAGCGTTGTGCAACTCTGGCGGGCCATCGGAGCCAGTTTATACCAGTCCACAGAGTAACGGAGTTCGATGATAAAATATATAAAAACTACGAAACTGATCGTCATTGTGATTTATTTCCTTGGTCTCCCGGACACATCGAGTTATGGTTGAGGCTCGTTCAACTCTTAATATGTTCAATATCAGATTAAACGGGCCTCGCTCAAACGCTCGGATGTCGACCCGAGATCGAGATCGGTCTCTATATTTCCTGTGTTTCTTTTCTTTTCTTTTCTTATTTTGCCCCCTTTTTGCTTTTAAGGTCAAAGCCACTCGCTATTTGACTGGATTACGATATCTCATAACTACCCGACGAGTCATTTGACGTGTTGTATATCTTGGCCGGAAGGCAATCTATCCCGCTATGGATCATCATCTTATATAACTTCATCTATACCCTCGTTCGATTTTAGGACGACATTTGGATATGAGTCTTGTTTCTAGTGGTTTTTGTGTAGCGGGTGTGAGACCGTATAGACGTTGATGTTAGGCTCAAACATATAGAAATACTATATGTTTGAACTAAGAAAAAATAGAGCTCTTTTTATCTTTTTTTGGCCATTACCGTTTGTTATCCTTCATTGTTTGCTGTTTACTTCAGTTGACGGGGAAAGGCGCGCTATTCTGGGTCTTTGATCAGGCGTCGCGACCTACCTCGAAACCTTTCCGAGTCAACTCTCGATCCATGACTTCAAACTCACATTCTTTTCTTTCCCCGTCAGCATTATGAATGAAGGAACGTTCTCGGTTAACTACCATCCATCTCTAGATTTTTATTGATTCATTGGCCTTTATGCATTTCTGAAGACTTAAGACTACATCATGTCGGTTGGAATTTGGACCCCTCCTTCTCCAAAGTCTCGAACAACTACGAGGATACTCTCGAACCCGAGCGAGCAATGGAAGCTTTCCCTTCAGGAAGTCAAGTTGCTTCATCTAAGATGCCGTTACAAGCAATGCGCTGCGCGTTCCATGGAGGTTTTGACTAAATACGAAGACCAGGTTTGTAGCACTCTCATGAACTACCATCTAGACCTACCCTGCAGGAATCAAGGCTAATCAAGCAAACGGCCAACGCAGCTCCATAAAATCCATGAAGCATACTTTCAATACTACATTGCAGCATCATACGAAAACCTAGGACGAGCCTCCCACAACTTTTCTGGGAATAAGATTCCCCTTTTACGAATTGCCATGGATAGTTTCATAGCTTGCAAATCTTCTCTGGAAAGTGCCTTTACAGATCCCGCGCGTACTGAGGAGCTAGAGCCATTTCCTGATTTTAACAATGCGGTTGGTCGATACCCTGAATGCGAGCCTTATGTTGCCAGTCAAGGATATATATTTTACCAGATTGCAAGGGAGAACTCACGTCCACCCGCTCTTTTTCAGGTCCGATGTTGTGATGAACCAAGTTTGGCAGGGACCCAAACCCGCGCAAAGAGAGGAGGGAGGCAATGCATAGATGTCAAGGCTGATTTCATTCCTCAGCCACTTCAGATCCGCAAGAACCGCAAGGATATTATGCCGCAGTACAACCAAGTTTACAAAAAGCCATTTGCTACTACATCTGGAAGACCTCTCCCTGAGCCTCCCATCTCTATCTCCGTCAGTCCTGCACCAGAAGCTATCAACGGCACCGCAGCCTTCACACCACCTCCAACTCCAAAATTCATGGATAGCTTTCCGGAAGAATTAGAAAGTAAGGAGAAACCGACACCACGTATGATGAGCCTGATTGCTTCACTTTCCTCTCAGATAGATGAGAATGTCAGGGAACTGTCACTGCTCATCAGCAGAACAATGGAACTCCAACGTATCCATAAAGCTAGAAAGATGAATCGTCTGGCTTCCTACTGGAGTTTCACACCTACGTATCCCAATGGGCCGTCTACCATCAATGGAGATACCGAGGCATACGATGCACGGCATGACCCGTGCACCAATGGACGGGCTAATGGACAATCTACACTTTCTGGTGAAGGGAAACAGCAGCGTATTGCGCGTCTGAAAGCCGAAGGATGGAACACGGTTGGTATCAAATCGATTGAACGTGGTTGGAAGGGAACGCTCCACTATGATAGACTCTGCAGTGAAGCACTTTCGGAGCTATATGAGTCCTAGTCGAGGTTCCAAACTTGTCTCTTCTAATTTTTTCTTTTTGTTGTATGGGTATGAGGATCATTTTCTCCGGTATTTATTATTTGGCATCGTGGTTTATGGTTTATGGTCATGGCGTCCTGGTGGTGGTGTTACCATATCTTTAGGGCAAAGGAAGCCATGGGAAGGGGGTTGGCTATGACTCATGAGCATACTTATCACTTACACATTTCTATTACTCCCAACAAGCAGCTAATGAAACCAATTGAACCAAGGAATTATCTTTTTAAGACCTCGTTAAAAGCTGGGGAAATATTTTCTTCCCGCCCTTAAAAAACTAAACAAAAAGAAAGCGCACCAGGAGGTAATCACAACACCAAGAAGCCACGAAAATAGACAAACATACGGAGTATTATGAACACCAAACCACACAGCTCTTTGAGCCTTGGAGTAGGCCATTCCCTTGCCCATATATCCAAGGCGGCGTGATTAAATATTAACCAGCCATTATCCTCGTTAGTTTACTTCCTTTTATCCTTCTCTATTTTCTCTAGGGCTTCCTTTTCGACTTGTTGTTGCTGCTCCTGCTGCTTCATCTCCCGGACCTTGGCGAGGACTACCTCTCTGAATATAGCGCCCCGTGCAAGTCTGCTGAGACGACCCTTGTTAGCCGGTGCTGCACCATCAGACGGCTTGACATCCGCAGCAGGCTTATCCTCGGCCTTCTTTTCCTCAGCTTCATCAAGAGTCGTGCCGGGGATATCGTCGCCTTCATCCTGCATCTTCAAAGCCTCAATACGGTTGGCAAGCTTGATAATTTCGATTCCGCGCTTCAGCCTATTACGAGCAATGTAGGTCTTGAGTTCAGGAAGAATGTTGTGATCAGTGGCTGTTTCACCCTTGAGCCATCTGTGTTGTAGAGCTTGTTCGCTAGTTGATCTGAGAGTTGGGTCTGGCTGGAGGAGAGTGAGGATAAAGTCCTTTGCGTCCTTGGAGACATCCTTCCAGTATCTTTCGTGGAAGACGATGCGGCCCGATCGACACTCTTCGATCAGGTCATTGAGAGACTCCGACCGGAAAGGGGAATAACCGCAGAGAAGCGTGTATGTGATGACGCCCATAGACCACATATCGACGGCCTTACCGTGGCCCTGTTTTAACATGACTTCTGGAGCAGCATATCCAAATGAGCCGGCCATAGATGTAAGCACTTCTGTGTCGCTGTCAAGCATCTTCGCGATACCAAAATCCGCTAGGACTAAGGGAGATTCTTGCGCAGTAGTGAGATATAAAAGGTTCTCCGGCTTCAAATCTGTTAAATGTCAGTGCCTGCTAAAAAAAAAAAAAATGCGGGTTGGTCCTTTGCATACCTCGGTGAACCACGTTACGCTCATGGAGATAATTGACGGCATCTAGAACCTGTCGGATCGTTTGTGAAGCATCCTTCTCGGTAAATCGTCCGTAATCGCAGATTCTGTCAAAGAGCTCACCGCCAGTGGCTAGCTGAGTGACGATGTAGTATTTGTCCTGGCACGCGGTTAGAATAGAGATCAACCCGCCGAAGAGTCCAAGAAGTGCGCACCTTTGACTCAAACCAGTCATGGAATCTGACTATGTTAGGATGGTGAAGTCGCTGTAACATGTCCAACTCATCGTACACCATCTGCTCGTTTCCCTTCACGTTTTTCTTAAGAATAATCTTTACGGCAACCTTGCCGTTAGGGCTGTCTGCCTCCCGAACAATGCCATATGTCCCTGCACCAAGTGTCTTTCCAAACCGATACTGTGCTCTAAGGGAGATATATGTAAGCCATGAATTCTTCGTCATCCTGCCAGTAAACGCTGGCAGTAGACGGTGACTTATGCGTACTTTTTATCGTAACTCTCTGGCTGCCCTTGCAGCTTGTTAAGCATGTTCGTGACTAGACGCAGCGGGGAAAAGGAGAATATGTCAGCTCTCATCCTCAATTGCGACAAGTAACAGCTACCTCGAGCATCATCGGCAGACAGACAGACAATGTTGACAATGATATTGGCGTCTGTGATGAAACAGGAGGGACCGCAGTACAGCAAACGAAACCAGGCCGACTGCTCGAGAGGCCTGTACCCCTCATCGAGGCGCCTTAGCAGACCAAGGGGGAGATGACGGGGCGAGAGTCGCGTAAGACTTACAACTCATCTTGCAGGTAGACTGTCAGCCACCGCTTGTTATTCTATCAGTTGGTCGTCAGAGGTCGTGGAGGGTGTGGTCGGAGAGAGAGTGTTGCAGGTGGTTGTTAGACGTTGAAGAAGAGGGGCGGCGCTGCTGCTAGTTAACTAGTTAGTTATAGCGAGTAACAAATATTCCTCGGAATCCGTTCGATAACTAACTGGTTAGCTCAGCCAGCGGTCTCGATCGAAAAAGAAAGTAAAATCCGCCCTTCAGCCTGGTGACGAGCAGGGTTGGCGCTGCGATATGCCTGTATTGTGAAGGTTGATGATGGTGTTGTTCAATCATCACCAACGCCGACGATGATAACGAGCCAACTAAGATACGAGAAGCGCCACAACGCAGCTCCATAGGCTCAGCCACAGCGGGAGCTGACGCCGCCGAGTACATGCTTAGCATATACCAAACGCTGTGCTGATGTGCCGCTGTTAGCGAAGACAATGTCTGTGGTTGCTCCCAATCTGCTCCGTCTTAGCTTGAGTATGGAGTAGCTAATCAAGAAACAGTACGGAGTACTTGATGCAGAAGATCTGAATAAAGCTTGGGGTGGTTGCATCCGTCAGACTCACTGGATAATTTCCCAGCGGTAAGTTAGGGGATGTCCAAGAGTTGACTTCGTGAAAGAGCAGGTTTTCGATGTATATATATAATGATTTGATTGATTTTATTACCGTTTCCAGGGGTCATGCTGTGATGAGCTGACAGAGGACACGTTACTTTGGCCGTGTATGTCTAGTATCCCTTTGCAACATATGGAATTTAGTTCTGATGACTTGCCAAAATACCATCCTCTCATGCATTTCATATTAACTTAATCTGCTGCATAATTAGTTTAGTTGAACGCCTTTATAGGCCAGGTTGAGGCTACCTGTTCAGACCTTCTGACCACAATGATATTGTTGATGTCTGCGGTCGACTATAACCAGCGAAGGCAGCCAGTAGGCAATTTGCTGACTTTCAAAGGGCACAAATAGCTTATTGAATCCATGACCTGGATCCTTTTCAAAACCAAAAAAAGACCATACTAACTTCTACCGTAACGTAGTAATGCATTTTGGATGCGATGCTTCGACTTACCGAGAGGCCCATACACGGTCAACTGTACATTTGTATGAGCTTGTTCCAGAAACTCGAATACTGAGCTGCTGAGAAAATCAACACATGTGGTAGCACGACCAAAGACTTGACTTGGAGAGAACTGCTGGATATGAATTACCAAAGGGGCAGGCTAGTATTAGGAATCTATATCAGGCAAGTTCAAGTCAGGCTATATTTCCATGACGGCACAGTCAGTCGTACATTGCCTGGGGTTGGTCAATGGCTTGAACGTATTTGCATTTTCATCGGGGTATATGCGAGTAGTGCGCCGGAATGCGGGTGTGGCTCCTGGTAATCATGGCCCTAGTTCTAGCTAAACGTAAATGCATGACATGATAACCCAAGGACTGGGAGTATAAGCTATATATCCTGGAATTAGTTACGGATGAGACATGTGTGTTTTCTGAGAAACCGAAATATAAAAATTCACGCTTAATGTTGAAGCGACGTGAAAACAACCTTCAACGCTCGAAATATTAAAAATGCACGGTCCACCGGCTGGATCAGGTGACGAATAACACAGGAACATCTATTATCCTCTCCGAACAAGGTTATTACATAATCATATCAACCCAAACCTTATCAAGAAAGTTTATTTAGAAGATTTTCTCGACAAAAAAATATATTGATAAAGATGGGAGTACGACATGCTTCGTCTTTAAGGAACCATTGTAACCAAGGCAGTCATGTTTGCTGTTCCAGGGTGGTCTGTCTCTTCTTCGGAGCTTAAGCTTCAGACGGAGACACCAGCAGCAAAAGATGCGTCCAAGTCTCGGGATACTGATGGCTCGTCCAAAAAACGGAAGAGAGCGCCTGGTACAGATGACGATGGCGGAAAGGTCACAAAATCAAACGTGAATGAGATGTGGAAGAGATACATTGAAGGGGAAATACCAAAGCAAAAGAAACCACGGCCGGAGAAGCAAGTAGCTCAGCCAGTTCAAGGGAAGGAGAAGAAGGGAGAAGGCGATGGAAATATAAAACCCGATATACCAGCCTCAAAGGGCATCAAGAAAGCCAAAAAGTCGAAGAAGGATAAAACACCTAAAAAGGAGCAACAAACAGGGAGCAATATGACACCATTAGGTACCCGCGAACCAAGCACGGCTTCACCTACCATGACTTCCTCGCTTCCACCACCACCACCTCCTTTGCCAGAAAATTCGAAACTTACTCCACTCCAGCAATCTATGCGGCAGAAATTGATTTCAGCTAGATTCCGTCATCTCAATGAAACTCTTTATACAACGCCATCCACTGAGGCAATGGAGCTATTCACGAATAACCCCGAAATGTTCGCCGAATATCATGCCGGTTTCTCACGCCAGGTTAAAGAGTCGTGGCCGTCTAACCCCGTGGATGAATACATTAAACTGGTACAAACCCGAGGCGAAGTTCGTCCCCAGCATAAACGACAGGGGAAGAAACCAGCTCAAAGCAGCTCCAGCCTTCAGCCTCTTCCAAGGAAGGCCCAGGGCCTCTGCACCATTGCTGACTTGGGATGTGGTGATGCCCAGTTCGCCCGGGCTCTTTCATCTTCAAAAAAGGCAATGAAACTCAAGATCCATAGCTTTGACTTGCACGCCCCCGATCCCGTGATCACCAAAGCTGACATCGCCAATGTGCCACTTGAAGATGGCAAGGTGGACGTCGTTATATTCTGCCTAAGTCTGATGGGAACTAATTGGGTATCATTTGTTGAGGAAGCGTGGCGTATACTCAGGAGTGATGGCTTGGGTGAATGCTGGGTCAGTGAGGTAAAAAGCCGATTTGGAAAGCCAAATAAGCAAAAATCGGCCAGGGGATCCATTGGCAAAGTTAAGAAGGACAAGTCTAAGAAGAAACAGAAAGGCGACGAGGAGGAGGAAGATGCTGGCGAAGATATATTCGCGGAGGATCAGGTCAAAAAAGCGGATGATGACGATCAAACAGATATCTCAGCCTTTGTGGAAGTCTTTGCTTCGAGAGGGTTCGTTCTGAAGCAGGAGAGCGTTGACAAATCCAACAAGATGTTTGTGAAAATGGAATTCACTAAATACGGGGAGCCGAAGAAGGGCAAGTGGGCGAATCCAAATGGCCATGTCGAAAAGAAAACACCATACAAGAAATGGGGTGCTTCATCAATCCCCAGTGACACGGGGATGACAGCGGAGGAGGAGAGTAAGGTGTTGAAGCCGTGTGTCTATAAATTACGATAGTATATACAATTACAACTTCCGAATATTGGTAAGGAATATTCTGGGGTATATCTAATGGTTTCTACTTGGTCCCGTTGAATTTTGTTGCGTGAACGTTATGGCCTTGTAAGATCTATGGGATTTCTTGATAGCGACATTAATCAACCCAGGCCGATGCAGTACTCAAGCCCCATATTAATTACTCCCCAAGGTAGATACAACTCGCCCCATGTCCTCATCGCTATAGATCTGGAATCCTTTCTCTTTTGTGACGCTGGCAAGCTGAACGTTCTTCTCGTCGAGCTTCTCTTCCATGACTTGTTTCAGTGTCTTGAGAACCAAAGTCTCGGCCTCAGCCAGTGTCAAAGAACGATGATATTCGTTTTGTAGTTCGGCCTGCGCTCCCTCACTTCCGGATCCTATAGCCTTTGCATCATAACGGTAGAATGTGCCAGATGGCTCAGCATGGTACCTATGAAAGAATGACTAAGTTAGCAACCGAACTATGGCTTGTGATGCATTGATGTTAATACGTACAACTGCGGGCCATCCTCATCGTATCCAGCAATCAGCAAAGCCACTCCAAATGGCCTGCTCATTATACTCTCTTCGCCATCAGCACCCTCTCCAAACCGAAGGGCAAGGTCACATATTGCCTGAGTACAGCTCTCGACTCTTAGCGGCTCTGAATAATGGAATCGATGGTTTTGGGTCTCCACTCGTGCGTGTTCCACCATTGACCGAGCATCAGCTTGCAGGCCGGACATCGCACATCCTATGTGTTGGTCTATCTCAACGATCTTCTCGACCGACGAGGTCTCCAACAGAGTGGAGGTGACTCGCTTTTCAACACCCAGAACGACACCCTCAGAAGTAGCAACCTAGTTCATGGTAACAATAGCATGTCAGAAAAAGATCACACACAGCTCTCTTTCGGGCGAGGATAATTGCGGATAGCACCACGTACTCCGATCGCAGTGGAACCTAGTTTTATAGCTTCGAGAGAGTACTCTACTTGGAAAAGACGGCCTTCTGGCGAGAAGGTGCTGTACGTAGCTTGTATAAGCAATCATGCGCTCGAATCAAACGGTCAATCGTATAATGATATGCTTACTTGATTCCACGATCTGGAGGGGTGGCCGGTTAGCACACGGTACTTACTATGCTGGAGGGACTATAAAAGCGGTACTCACCATACTCGGACCGTGCGATAAACATGGTGATATAGATGCTACTCTGAACGAGGTTTCAGTAGATCGGCTGTCGATGTAGCAGGAGTTACCCTTGAGCGCAGCTTGGGAAGTGCTCGTCTGGAGCTGTCTGCAATGGATGTTGTTGATCTCGGCGGTTGAGCTCGTCCGCCTTCTTGCTGCTGCCTTTCTTTGGTCCACGCAAACAGAAGAAGTGCCTGGGCAGGCCGCGCTAAACCCAAACGGGAGCTCCATCAGCATCATAACTAGAAACGCGGTTTTGGGCGATGAACGCTCATATCAAACTCCTTGCGAACAGGTCCTCGTTCTCAAGCAGTCAGGTTCACGCCGGGATACGTCTTTTTAATGACTTATGATTATGAATTCCCCGTCCTCCGCAAAGCCAAGGGTGGCACAAGAGCGCGCTGCAAGCTATAGCAACCCTCTCAGCAGGCCTGGAGTCCCCTCCGCCCGCGCTCATGGAAGAGCAACATCCAGACAGGAATCACCATTCTCACGAGAGACCACCCCAGTAGCCGAAGGCCGGCCTACTATAAAATCCATAAATAAGAGTCATGTCACTTCCAGCGAAGTGCGCACGGAAAGAACTAGCGTAGTGACCAGGGAGAAGATGCAGAGCAAGCAACGATCTGCCAAAGAGAATATTGCGCCAGGGAGTCCAAGGGACTGGGACAAGAGTCGCATGAATAGGGACCAGCATAGAAGCAATTCAATAGCTATGGTGACTGAAAAACCTCAGGTTGATGGTTTGTTCGCACACCATGATCCATCCAATTTTCATCCGCCAGTTACTAACTGATCCATTATCCCAGTGCCTTGGAATCCAACGGTCTCCCTTATACCTCATTCTACCGCGCCGCTTGCCAGTCGAGTTTCCATCCCACCTTTGTTCTTAGATGTACCGAAGGCGCTACGCCCAGGATCACTTCGAGATCTCTCTTTAGATGCGCAGGAATCAGCAATTCTACAAGACTTGCTATTTGTGTTTATGGGATATGAAGGCCAGTACATACACTACGCCAATGCATACAACCCGTCTATGGAGACAGATCGTTTGGTAGGGCCCTCGTTTCAAATAACTCCAGGACTTGATCCAAGTTTGAGAGACCTGACGATTGCAATGTTGAAAATGGCTACACACTACAGCGCAATGGAAGCATTTGTAGAAGTGCAAAGCAGATCGGAATTTGGGGCTGTCAATCATGCTCTATGCGCAGCAATACGGAAACTTCTCAAGGATTATTTGATTATGGTGGCTCAGTTAGAGACTCAGTATATCAATAACCCGAACTTCACACTGCATGTCATGCACCTCCATACAATGCCTACCAGCCAGACCCTTGCCCAGCTGTACTCTCTCGGGCAGGAGCTGTTGAAGAAGAATTCGCTATTGGCTCAAGATCCAGATGAGTCAATTGACGATTTTGACGATGTTGATAATATCCTAGAACAGCTTCGTGAGGGAGGGGAGCTGGCTCCGGGAAGCATGTCTAAGAAACTTTGCAAAGGTGGTAATGTGCTCGGTCTCATTAGCCAACGCCTGGCTACGTTCTCAGGGGACCCGGCTACCGGTGTATTACTTCAAACATTGCTACGAGAAGCCAGTCGGCCATACATGGCCATGTTGAATGAGTGGTTGCACCACGGTGGGATAAGAGATCCTCACGCTGAATTTCTTGTCAAAGAGCAAAAGGGTATTAAGCGTGATAAGCTTGAAGAGGATTATACCGATGAATACTGGGAAAAACGATATACTATTCGTGATCACGAGGTCCCTCCTCAGCTGGATGCTGTTAGGGACAAAGTTTTGTTGGCTGGCAAATACCTGAATGTTGTCAGAGAATGCGGTGGTGTCGATATCAGCAAGGAAGTAAAGGATGTTCCCAAAACATTTGACGACCCACGTTTCCTCGATAATATAAATGGAGCATATGCGCATGCAAATGCATCACTCTTGCATCTTCTCTTAACGAAGAACTCTCTAACAACCCGTTTTCGCTCCTTGAAACATTATTTCTTTCTGGATCGTTCTGACTTCTTCTCATATTTCCTTGAACTTGGTGCTTCCGAGCTTCGGAAGCCTGCAAAACATGTTAACGAAGGGAAGCTTCAGTCTCTTCTTGATATAGTACTGCGGCAGCCTGGAAGCATTGCTGCTCAGGACCCGTTTAAAGAGGATGTGAAAGTCAGAATGAATCAAATGGGCTTGACAAAGTGGTTGATGCGTGTCGTGAGTGTATCTGGAATTGACCAGGATAACCCTGAGGGGGGCATGGAAAAATACCAAACTCCGGCCCCTCAATCATCCGATAACGAGAAGGACATCATTGGATTCGACGCCCTCGAACTCGACTATCTCGTCCCATTTCCTCTTTCGCTAGTGATCAGCCGCAAAACCGTTCTCCGGTATCAACTTGTCTTCCGACACCTTCTATCCCTGAGACACCTTGAAACGTTACTTGTTAACTCATGGCAAGAGCATAGTAAATCTACCAGTTGGAAACACAAATCCTCAGACCGCAAAGTTGAGCTTTGGAAAAGGAGAGCATGGACACTTCGTGCAAAGATGCTTGTGTTTGTGCAGCAGCTTCTCTACTTTTGCACTGTAGAGGTGATGGAACCCAATTGGCAAATATTAATGAACAGGGTTAACGGTGATGGCACTGAGGCGACTGAAGTGACAGTAAATGGGACGAAACAAGTCAACAGAACTGTGGATGAGTTAATGCAAGACCATGTCGACTTTCTTGATACTTGTTTAAAGGAATGCATGCTTACTCAAGGGAAGCTTCTAAAGGTAACATCACAGGCACCCACAGCATGACCCGTACTAAATGCTAACTTACAACTGTTCTAGATTCACTCGAAACTCATGACATGTTGCACAATGTTTGCATCCTGGTCTGCGTCCTCATTGACTCGCAGCTTGGCCTCAGCGGATCCAGACTTGTCAGGGTCAGTAGATTCATCCAAAACTTATGACCCCTTAAGGCTTGCAAAACTAGAGGACACTCTTAAGCGATATGAGGATCATTTCAGCCGGCATCTACGAATTCTGATGGACAGGTAAGGCTATACAATTTCCACTGCAACGTTCAACGCATTAGCTAACCTTGAACCTAGTCTCAACTACTTCGCTGCTACAGAGAGTGTAGTGCTACTGAAGCTTGCTCACTCTCTAAGTGCAATAGGGAACGAGGAGTGATGGATTTTATGACTTATGGAGAGTTCGCAACAATTTTCGGCTCACACTATGCCGAATCCGGCTTGCTCTGATTTGAGAGGACCTGAGGCTAAATATAAATAATGCCTTCAAGCCCATTGATGGACACATGGCAAAATAATCAGGCAGATGACAAACCCCTTCGCGGCCGCCAGGACTTTGTTTATCTAAATAAATGCTGTCCTGGCTTAGGGATAGAGGAGGGAGTCCACCAGGAGTCAACTCACTGCCGAAGTTATTGGGAGATGGCCTTGACTGGCCGCGATGATATAGCCATGCCATGAAGGGAACATTAGGATCTGATATCGGCTGAATTCTTGATCATTCATGATGGACAAAGCAGCTAAATCAAAGGATATCAAAGAAGTTTATACCGTAGAATATATAATAAACGCCTCAAACTCCAATAAGAAACGATAACGAAGCAAAGGACTTCGACTATCATTTCAAATCATGCTTTCTCCTTTTTTGAGCGTTTCTTATCCTTTACTTTTGCCTCCGCTTCATCTTCAATCTTCCTTTCTTCACCCTCCTCAAGCCGTTTCCGCTTCTTCTTTTTCTTCTCCCCTGTATCCTCCTTTGGCGGTATGAAATCTTTCTCCTGCTCCTTCATCTTCTCCGCTCTCTTTTCCCTCTGTTTCTCCATAATCTCCTCCTTTCGAGCTCTCTCCTTGGCCTGTTTACTAAGGAAATATTCACCACTCTCAATCTGCAGATCAACCTTACTCTTCTCCTGAGCTGGTGGGAATGGTGTGTAAACCTTCTTAGATTTATCTGTAACTTTGAATGGTTTTCGTCTCTTGCTGAGAGTCCGTTTCTTGAGCTGCGGAAGAAACCTGTCCCATGATTCCTGCGCCAGTTGAGGATCCTTAGCGAGTTCGCGTTTGATCATTAACTCCTTGATGTGATATATGGGGTGGATGTTGTTCATGCAATCTTCGACAATTCGCCGGACTTCCTTCAAACCCTTGAAGGGACCCATTGCAGCAACTGTGTTTCCCTGGACGAGTAGATATGTACCCGTAAGAAGCTCAAGGGCTTTCAGCGTTGACCCGGAAGGTCCCAGAATGCGCTGTCTCCGTTTCACGAACCTCTCCTTGTTCCGGACTAGATTACGAATCTTGATGATGTCGCATGCAACGTCATCCTCGAGAATTTTCAATGCCTACATGCATGATGGTTTAGTTATACGCCTTAGATAATAAATACAACGTATATAAATTTGCAGGTTTTCTTACTTGAGGGGCTGGAACACTTCTCGCAAGGAGTTTGATAAGGTCTCTTGCTTTCAAGATAGCAGCAGGGTCAAATGTCTTTCGGGTGGTCTTGACGGTCATGCTACCCTCTACAAGATCAAGGGTGCAGGCGATACCGCTCTTCTCCAGCGCCTTGGTTACCAACGGCCATACCTCTCGAAGATATATTTCTCGATACTTTGGGAACAGGCTGACGAAAGAGGATTCTTCCGTGAATGTACCGCCGACATTATCGGAGGGTTTGAATTCTTCAATCTATTCGTACCAAAGGGCTGTATTAGTAAAGAGGTCGCATGTAAACGGTCGGAGCGCAATATACCTTCCATTTGTCAATATCATCTGTATCCCAAGGCTTATCCCTCTTATATGTTGAAGGCATTGTGTTCTTATCACAGAACAGACCGCGCGTGCCCTCTTGGTCTCTTCCCGCGCAGCTTGAGCTGTTTCGATATCGTGATGAAGATTAACAGAAAGCAGCTTGGATGGGAAAAAAAAAAAGAGAGAGCAAGCTAGTTTAGGAAAGTAAGCCGAGACCCAGCCAACGGTTCCCAAGACAGAAGGTTTTACGAGGATTATGTAACATTTTACACTATTATCCGTCTCACGTGCCGTACTTGCCCAAGCAGGCAAGACTATGCGTGTGCTACGCGCTAAATACAGCCAAGCTTCGCGTGACCCCACTATTTCTAAGCGACCGCGGTTCCTAGCAAGCGCCGCGAACCGTTGCTTTGGCACCGGCTCCATGCATCTTATTTCGAAGTCATAGCGATTCAGACAGAAGGGATAAGGGAATAACACGCACACAAACGCCGAGGGGGAAGCTTCCTGCGCTGCGGCTGCATTTGATGCCAGCACCGGCACGTACTTCGGGCCCAAGCGACGGAAATTTTACCGCATGCAGGTCCTCTGTCATTCGTTAGTTAACGGCTCGGGAACAGCGATCCACCTTGATCAAAGCGTTCTGCTGGCCCACTGCTCGATATATTAACAGACGGGGGGTGGCATCTATAAATGATTTATGTGGCCTATGTACAAGGAATCCAAGGTAAGATGGATTGCCTGATCTATTATCAGACAAGAGCCCTTCAATCGAAAGCCTTGAATCGAAAGCCTTGAAGGGCCATCTGGATGAAAGCTGTCAACAGTTGTGCGGAAGGAATTGACGGGGGTATTAGCTCGTTAGCTGCCGACTCTTGGAAGCACTCCTCGTTAGCTAGTTAGTTTACTCTGTACTCTTTGGACCCAAGGTTCCAAGACTAAGGGATCGCCACGGACGAGTTAGTCTGATGCACATCATAAAAAGAACATGGTTAGAATGCGAAGCAGAGACCACCTAGAGCAGAAGGCGGTGCAGGTGACAACGAGATCAGGTTTCCATAGCTCACTTTAGGTAGCGAAGGCTGTCAGACGAATAAGAGAGAATGGCAATATCGTCCTATGCTGCTATTCATCAACTAATAAATAAACATAATTAGCATAAGTAAGGCCAAAATAAATGTTAATCCCGAAGTTTGATACTCACCTAGCGCCAGCTAACTTGGTACACTGTCCAAAGTATAATGCGTCCCAGAACCTTGGGAGGCTACATCTCACATCAACACGCAGACGAAGCCGTTGCATCAAGACCTCAGCCTCCTTTCCCGTCAAAATATTCACAATTCTTAAGCCTCCCTGCTGCAATTCCAGTCGATAGCTAAGGCGTCACATCGTGCTGAGGCTGTGGTGTTGAGCAGACAGGACGTCTGCCAGCCTACCACCTTGACACTCTCCTATTTTGCTTGATTCTGAGCCCCCATCCATTATTGTCAGCAACCTGGATTTTATAACAGCAAGAGATCTGACTGCAAGACTCAGAATTTGATTTCGTGAACGCCTATCAAGCGTCTGTTTCGAGGACCGCTTCCTTCGTTGTCGAACCGATTGAGTCGTCGGGATGACCAGTTCATCCATCCAAACCCACCTAACAACTCCTATTCAGCCTACCATGTTTCTCCGGACAATCCAGACATAGTGAAGTCTCGAATGATATTCGTTTCATCGACGCTCATTTGCCAAAGGAAAAGTGAAATCTTGACCTGGCTTCGGCGCTATATTATTACCAGCGTACCCCGACCGCAATTCCAGCACATCGCCACATTGTGCGGCTATAGTGCCCGTCCCAACACACAAAACGGTGTCTCTGACGTTGTGGAACAACCATCGACACCCCAATATTAAACGAGTTAATGAATTTTTGGCTATCCTTGGCTTACCGATGATGTATAACTAAGCTCAGGTCCAGATCTTAGGTCCTGAGCCTGGGATCTGTGAGAAGCCATGAGAAATCATCAAATATCTCGCGAGAACGTGTTTAAAACACTCAATTCGTTTCTCCTTTCGTGTTCTTGGGAGAAATATATTTCAATCTCGACGTGGAATATCTACAGGGCTATCAGAACAAATAATCAGAACTGTCTGGCAGACTCTACCCCTGGACGAAACTTTATAGGTCACGGTTTCCGCCCGATGCAAACATACCTGCAACGTCAGATTCAAAATATCAACCTAGCCGATAGAGGCTACTTACAGAGGAATATATGCCTTCAGTGAGGGATCATCTGCTTCTTGCCTAGCACCTGTTAAAAGTTCTTGGAACTCAACCTCAGACATGTCAAGCCCGTGCATAAATGGATATAGCCCAAGTGATTCCAGAAGAAGATGAACATTCTTTCGGTTCGCCTCACCGATAGCCTTCATCCTCGGATCTGGTTATCAGTTAGCTGGATGCCGTGGGCCAGTTGATAGTCAATGTGGCTGCGAGATCTTATGGGTCTTACCCGTTGACCATCCAGATAGGGGCAGAGGTATCATTTTCGATTCGATATCAACAAGGCCAGCTGAAGCCATTAGACCAGCAAGTTTCATTCCACTTCGAAGATCTTTCACGCCTTCTAAAGCGGCAATATAACTTGTGCTCCATTTTCTCAGGCAGTTGCTTTCGGTCAGTGCTCCGTTGTCCGACTGGACGTTAAAATATACTTCAACCATTTGTGCCCAACCGCCTCGTTTCAAGCATCTAATATTATATGGTACTCCATTCAGCACAAACCGAACCTATGTTGTGGAAGTTCCTGCCGTTTATACCCTCCCAGGACATTCATCTACTCACCTAAAAATATCACGGAGATAGCGTGGCCATCTTTCCTTATCGAGACCGGAAGCAACCAGGCGCGAGTGAACCAAATCAAATTGGTTTGAACGAAAAGTGAAAGTGCGGTTTAAATCGTCAACCTAGTCAGTCCACGGTTAATATACAATGTTGATTGGCAAGCCTTTCAAAGATAGGGAACATTACCTGCAACCAAAGGTTATCCGGTGTATCATCAGGCTTCATATGGGGAGATACATCGATCCCTATTACCTTCGTGATGCCCTTTCTTTTAGTGGTAACCCTTTCCCAGACCTCAGATGGCATGGCTCACTTCGCAGTCTGGATATTGCTCAGCAACCTCCACGGCCCAGGTACCCGATCCGTATCCGCAGTCGAGCACTTTATCCAGCTGCTGGACTGGCGGGAATATAATCCTATCATCGAACACCTTGCTGAAAACTTGCTGTTCCAACTCTAACCTCTCGATCTCTTCCTAATCATGAATGAGCGATGTTTTGGTTTGTAAGGATTGAAGCAGACATCACTACGCACGTCGTCAATAGGAGCGAAGTATATCTGGTTGTCGAGCGCATATTTCTGATACTCCCGTCCCTGGAAGGTTATAATTTCCAAATGCGCGTTATCCAAGGCTGTGGTACCGAAATGAGGATCACTGTGAAATTTGCTATCAGCCATGAAGAACAGACAATGATCGAGAGACTTGGAGCCAATATTACTTCATTCTGACGGTGTGGGACTCTTTCTGAAAGTTTACTCAAAGGAGAAAAATTATTTTCGGCGGGCTTTCTCGATATAATCGATCCACGAGCTATGTCGGAAAGTTTAGGGGAATGATAGTTTGCTTGCGGAAGGCTAAGGCGACTCAAAATATAGGAGAAAGTCCTGCCTGTCGTTGATATTACCGCCGTGCCAAATTGTCACGAGGGGTGGAACTAAATGTTAGGCCATGGAGTCACCTTCCTGCTGACTGGCATTGATAATATCAAATCCTTGCTCAGCCTAAGTTGCGGCAAAGCCGATGCCCCAGGTAGATCCGGTCGTTGGTCATGTAACTTATGACCTTTCCGGATAACATTTGGGTTGGTCTCTATAATTGACAATTCACTGACACATAATAGAGTTCTTTGGACCGAGTACCGGCCCTCAGACTAGCCTTCATAGGCTGTCAGGCCTGTTGCGGAAGGTGCCGATACCTTGATGCACGCCTGAACGTGGATATCCACTATGGGCCAACATAAGCAAGAAATCTTGTTTCTCATTCATGGGAAGGATGGGAATATCACACGTACAGCGGTGGGTCCCTAGGCAACTCGCCGACGAAGTCGATGCAAAGATCGATCTGTTTCTCGCGAACAGACCTCTAACTATTACCCCAAGGCTGTGTTTACCCTAGTGTATGGATTTATTGGTACAGCAGGCTAGAGTTGGATAGAAAGATGAGCTTCAAAAACTTCCCCAGACGAGGATTCCTGGGCTAGCTGTCTTGGATTGATGCATGGCTGAAATACCCTAGCGAAAGGTATGGACTGACGACGAAGTGGAACCTGAATGCACCCGTTATAACGTTCCACGTATTCAGATCAGGGCAGCTCGGAATCGTGAATACCCATTTCCTCGAATTAAACCCCGTCGAAATATTATTACTGCCACTATTCGAATCTCCCAGTGACATGGACTTGGGTCGTTCAGTTACCTTCCCTTTCCCCGCTAGCTTGGATCAAAAGGGAAGGATTCACGGGCCGCTGTCCACTAAATCACCGAATATAGGATCTTCAGCGGGCCTTGATACTAGCTGCATTTTCCTGCAGCCATCAGAGGTATCATGACTAGGGAATATTCCGTCTTTAGCCTACGTTATCTTACTTATTCGTATGGTGTACGGAAACACATCTATATCCGACCCCGACAAGGGCTACTTCTTCTCTTCATGACAAACTATATATTCGAAGCAAGCTAACGCAGGAGCTGACGCAAAGCATGAAGTTGGTGGATCAGATCACCTTTTCACGGCTGAATATGTGATGCATGCAGTCCATTGTATATTGGAGATATTTATACACAGGGTTCGAAGCAACCAAGCACTCGCATAACGCGGTTTTTTAAACATGATTCTGAATGTTATTATTGACGAAGCACAGGACCGAGACAAGTTTATAATAATCATCACAGGGGCGTCCAGTTGAACAAACGGCAAAGAATCCGTATACGGTCAAAACTCGCTTAGAGAGAACGCTACCATCTGTCAACATGGAGGACCTCAGTCAACCTGCCAAAACAGCAGTCCAAGTTCTTCTCACCCCACGACATTGGTTGCAGGCCAAGGTGGAGCTGCACTGTAATGTAACCTGCACTCCTGAAAATGAAGGATTATCCGCCACAGCTATCACGAAAACATGTACTTGCATCAATACTAGTCATGGCTTTATATGGGGCGCGCCCAATGGCCAATGGAGTGAGTTTTCTGAGTTGGTAGCCATACTGATCTTATATATATTATTATTGGAAATTGCGCTCTCAGCAAGAGCAAAAAGAGGATCCCTGGCCTTGATCAAAGCTATCAAACCGAATCGGTTCAGTGGGAGTCTCTCACAGCTATATACATATACCAACCCCTTGCACTCCCTATACCAGCGCATCGGGAGACATCGTTACCCCCTTTCAGTGTCACATTAAACGGAGAGTTGAGATAGGAATGCTCCACGCATTTCGAACAACAGGATCAGCTAAGAAAGATGTGAAGAGCTTCCAATATTCATACCTCATGTCCTATGTGACGCCTACCTGCTACCATGGAGGTATGCAATAAAAGGTTTTCAGCTACGTTAGCCAGCGTGGGTTGTCAACCCCTTCAGAGTGATTGCCTTGCAGTCCCTGCGATAGCAGGGCCTCTTGACTACGTGCACCACGGGGAGAACGGGTAGTCTCGAATCTGGGAGATTCGATATCCGCCCTGTTCGTCCCAAAACAAGGGTTCTTCGTGCATAAGCAGGATTAGTACGTTTGACGGGAATGGACAGGCATCCCAAATCGAGAGATTCTTCCGAGCTCGGATTCTACCCGTAACACTTGGTAACCCTAAATTTCTATTCGTTTTCTGTCGTATTAATTGCAGACCATGCAGCTGCGAAGGAACAGGACAACCAGCTGTATTATTATTATTGCATGCTGACACCGGAGACATGGATTAGCGGTGTACTAGTGCGAAGTTTGTCTCCTTGCCAGCGATCAGGGGTTGTTTACATACAGGGCAAGGTCAACATCAGCGCTGGTCGTGAAGAATCTCTTCCTTGGGAGCAGTTTTCGTGCTACGGGGCACAGAAACGAGCGTACATATATGGACAGCTATCCTTTGGAGAAGCGAGGTTATTTGTAGTCAGGATTTTTATTATGTTTGACGTTTCAGTTAACTCATATCAAGGTAATAATGATACCGGGTAACGCTGATAATCATCACACATCAATGCATGGCCCCAAATTCAGGGATGCATATTCTGTGTTGCTGTATCAGCCTAGGGTAAAAGCAGCGCAGGATGGGGGAGCAATTATAGGGATAGGATTTAGGGAAATCAAACGCCGGCCTTGTCGGACAAAGTGTGAGAAGATATTTGAAATCACAGTCCCTTCTTCCCAGATTCCCTCTCCCTCTTTTTAAGAGCTCGCTTACGAATAGACTCATGCATCGATTTGTTAAAGCCTATGACTGTCTTACTTATAGGCCCAAGGAAGGTGACAATGCTCCAGGCCATCAGAGCGTGGCTCCAGTATGGGACGGAGGTGTAAGCATAGGAGAAGAGCCCCCCACTTCGCCCAACATGGCCGAGGGTAGCACGGACGAAATCTCTTGGGTTTGGGATAGTCATGCTGGTTTTTCTGATCTTAGACATGGCGGAGGTGACGAGGTAACTTTGGGTGAGTTGAACAGTGATCCCGTAAGGTTCTAACTCGGAACCCAAAGAGCTTGACCATTGTTGGAGGAATGCCTTGCTTCCCGAGTACGTAGCGAGCAGAGGAGTTGGGAAAAGGCCACCGAAGGATCCCATTGTCAAAATCAGCCCACGCTTCCGCTCCATCATGCCTGGCGCAACCAACTGAGTGACCCGCAGCGTACCAAGGCAGTTGATAGTGATGATATCCTCCATCTCTTCCGGGTCAGTAAGAACGAATGGGACTGGGATGGAGTGGCTAAGTCCGACGTTGTTGATAAGAATGGAAATATCCATTCCCTTGATGATTTTCTTTAGCTTCTCGTAATCGTCATCGTCGTTATGGGAGAAGTCCATGGCCATAGTCTTGGTTTGGACGGAGGCATTTTTCTCGCAGATCTCTCCGGCCACCGCGGCAAGCTTGTCGGCTGACCGTGAAACAAGTAAGATATTAAACCCAGCGCGCGCCAGCTGGTGGGCGTATTCTTTGCCAATCCCATCAGACGCGCCGGTAACCAGGGCCCAGCTGCCCCTGGGGCCGAACGAACGCAGCTATAGGTACAAAACCACTGGTCAGCACACTGCGCACAAAGAATAGGCTCGAGAAGGTCAAAGAAACTATCGTACCGGCTTCCCTGGAAGCACGAAGATGCTGAAGAAAGCTCGCAAGACGCCAAAGAGCTGCGAGGCAAGGAAGAGGCCTCCAACCGCAGCAACAAAGGTAGACGCAATTGACGCCCACCCGGCCGGTGGCTCGACGCGGAAATTATTGATTGTCTCACACAAGGTCATGTTGGCTGCCCGCTCTGCGCTATGCTCCCTCTCTCCCGGTGCTGTCTGTAGGATCGGATGCTGTCGAGGCTGTCAAGCTGGGAAGACGCGGCGTTCCGTTGGCTTTTGGCAGGCTCAGGTCAGCTAGTTAACTAACTAGGAGCTCTAGTTAAACGAATATTTACTTGCACACGCCAAGGCCCCGCGACTCAACCAGCCTGCCAGCCCCCTTTTCTACTTTGCCAACGCCAGCTGCAGATTTGATAACAGTCTATATTCCGTGAAAGAGAGGCCGAAGAAGAGCTGAGTCGTATAAGCAGCACTCAATTCAGGTTTACGTTTGGCTAGGATGGACGCAATTGCTGCTTACCTCCCTCAACATGCGGGATTCCTGCCCAAGTGGCTCCTCTTTGTAAGTAGGGCCTTGCTCAAGACAACAGCAGTATAGACAGAGAAGAACTCAAGCTAATACGCTCCATTGCATCTGCAGGTCTCGGTCGTATCGTCTCTAAACACCTTTCAGGCATTCGCCAGTCCAGCCTATACCGGCCAGCTCTACTCCGCGGCCCCAGTGACACCTCTATCCTCACGCAAATTCGGAACATGGACGTTCTTATCCTCTGTTATTCGCATGTACGCCGCATATTACGTGTCTAATCCTCAAGTTTACGATCTTGCCATGTGGACTTATGGAATTGCACTGGCCCATTTTGCCAGTGAATGGCTGATTTTCGGCAGTGCAAAGGCACAGGGGAGGTTTATCAGCCCTTTGATCGTAGCCAGTTGCAGTTTGACATGGATGTTCACCCAGAGAAGCTGGTATCTGAATCTGTGAAGCCCGGTCATTAGAAAACAAAGGACGAAGAAGAAATGACTAATAGAGACACTGGCATTTTTTTTTCATGGAATGTTTGTATGACACGGTACGGCAATTGATCGTTGCCTTGGCTTGTGTTGACTGTATTCTAACTCTAGTTTCAAAAGCCAGCTAGTTGAATCTACAAAAAAAAGAAGAAGAAGAAGAAGAAGAAGAAGAAGAGGGAATTTTCTCTGGATTAATTCCTACCGATGGCTCAATATTAAGTCTTCAATGATATCCTATATACCAGTCAATACCAGTCAAGAAGGTAATATCCTGGGGTCAAGCGTTAGAGCCTCTTTCTATACAGCTCTCCCGCGCAGTCTCTTAGCCTTGCTGCAGCTTGCTCTGGCGTAATGTCACGTTGAGGTTCTGCAAGCAATTCATACCTAAAATAAGAGTGAATGTTAGCCTTTAACTCCTTCCTGGCTGAGAACAGGCAAGCAGAGAATCCGGTATGCTGACCCTACTAAGAACTTCTTAACGGTAGCGCTCCTCAGTAGCGGTGGGTAAAAGTGAAGGTGAAGGTATGAGCAGGCAATCTCCTCTTCCGTGCCGTCCAGCGGAGCCTGGTGAATACCCATACTATACGGGAAATGGGTTTTGAAGAGATTATCATATCGACGGGTTAATTCAGCAATTGCCTCCGCTAGATGCTCTTTTTCTCCTTGGTTCAAGTCTATCAATGCCCTTTTATGTTGTTTGCTTATGATCATCGTCTCAAAAGGCCATACAGCCCACCATGGACAGAGGACTAGAAAAGTGTTATTTTCAAACACTATTCGCTCCTTCTTTTCCATCTCGAGCGAGGCATAGTCTTCGAGCATATGGCTGCCATTGTGCTCCTTGCAGTATTTCAACATCTGCGAGAGCTCCTTTGAGGGTTCTTCGGGCAGGGAGCTAGTTGTCCATATTTGACCATGCGGATGAGGATTGGAACACCCCATTGTTGCTCCCTTATTTTCGAATATTTGCATATATCTATATTGCTCCCTTGGACTAGATATTTGCCTTGCTGGTGAGTCGGTTGAAATCCCCGCAATTGCATCCGATTTGTACAGGCATGATTTTGGTGACAGATGAAGTGCGTAAATATCCGTCCAAACCTCTATGATAGGGACAATCTCCTGCGGCAAGAGATCTGCAAGTGTGAGATTGTGTTTGGCAGAGAATGTCAAGACATAGCATCTGCCCTTGACTGGCTGGGCTTGGAGAAACCGTGTTGATAGGGACGCTACTGATTTATTTAGCAACAAAATGCACACTCTACAGCCATCAATGGTATCAATGGTATGAATACAGTCTTCAAACCGACCTTTATCGTCCGTCTCATAGCCTGCCTGGCTCTCCTTAACAGCGCTATAGTCGTTAACGAAGACAAAGACCTTATCGTACTGCGGATTTCGGTCGCCTTGCGCTCGTTTGTTTCCAGGGCATAAGTAACAGTTTTCATCGTACTCCGGAAGCGTAGACTTGGTTGGTGCTTCTTCTTGACCCCTATCACACGGTAATTGTCAGAAAACAAGACGCTCTTTTCCCTTTTCAATGCCTATCAAATTGACTTACTGCCATGGTCTTTTCGTCCGATGTGGGGAGACGAGAACATGCGAGTTGGTAAGTGGGTTGTATCTCCGATGCGATATGTCATCTAGCACCGAATTAACCATCTTTTCATCCAGCTATCTACTTTTCTCTGATTCCTTGCTGAGTTTCTCAATGCTCGATGTCGTGGAGACGTTTGCGGGAGGTTAAAGAAAAGAGGCTGCTCAACCCCCACCAGTTATAACGTCATAACTAACTACTTCACATACCTAAACGGTGTTTATTCCAAGACTCTCTTGAAAAACAACAGCATGTCAATAACGACATGCCAAAGAGCTTGAAGACTGGCAGCTGCATTACATAGTGACATTTCGTGTTGATACCCTTCTTATCTTAGATTGCGTCGCGATCCCTGATTCTCATGCCAGTTGATGGTCATAAAGCATACCAACCAGCCCAGATTCCAAGGACCTTCCTCAGACTCAGGCCCACGAAGCCTGGAATGATCTATTAACACTTTAGATTGCTATATGAGCTGATGATACCCTATTCCCTGACCTTAAGATGAAACAATATCACTCCGGCTGACTCCTGATGGCCCGATTCATGGGACCATCCACGCAAGCTGAAATACGATCGATATTTGCCCGACTAAATAAAGCATATAAGAGTGACATATAGCAAAGAGCCAGGTGATATGACAATAGCAGCTCGAGTTCACCATATTTGTTGCTGCAAGACATCACAGTCTTGCCCCAGTACTCGTCACGTACGCCCATACCCATGGAGCTGCTTTACCAACAGGCCATAAAGGTGGACCAAAGACGGGCAAGGGTCAGGACAAAAGTCATATCCCTTGCACTAAGATAAGACACATTCGCAGCATACTGAGTGTTTCGAGTGACCGACAGGAAACAAACCAGGGTTCATGATCAATCGATCACAGCAGTTCGAAAGGAGATTACTGAACACTTCCTCTCATAGCCCCAGGGGATGACCCTTGGAGGGAACACCACCATCCCCTCTATATATGCAGTGAATCATGTGTGTATCTGCATGAAACTTTACGATATGCAATTATGTCACTGTTATGCAGTACAAGGAAGGGCCTAGCCCTAGCCGTCCGGATATCTTGCATTGCCTTTTCCCGTGGTGACCTAAGGTTGCATCAAGCAGGCACACACCACAGCTGGGATTGATTCATGCCAGCTGTCAACGAGAGGTCTCGCACCAACGCAAACGTGAAATGATGACTGATAACACAACTCTCCGCGCTACCAACTCCTTCCGCTCTCACTCCTTCCACTCTCCAGCAGACTCCTATTAATAGGCAGATGCACAGCTACTACGATTCAGCCGCGCGGGGCTGGACAAGCTTAAGCGACCGTTTACTGCGTACCCGTAGTGGTTCAAAGTCAATTACGGCGGTGTTAGTGAAAAGGGATGCTCGGAGTTGTCAGTTTTAACTACTGGTCAATGCCAGAAAACAAGCAACCATAGACCCCTGCGCATCCGTCAAGTTAAGCGAAGACTAATCAATACATCTATCGATATCTATTATTGACTGCGTGTGTGCACGTATTTAAGTGATCATGTCCATGCCGGTCCCTCATGGGTTTCCACCTCCGCCATTGTTAAATTGACCAGATCACTGCAAATAGATCATGCAGATTCCTCCACCATTCTTACCGGGCGAATTACCAACCAGCTCACAGAGTACAGAAAGAGAAAGAGGAAAGAAAATAAGAAAAAGAGTTTGGGTAGGATCCTCGTCGAAAGGAGGGACCAGGCCTTGTCAGCTACACGCATCTGGATCCTGGTATAACGTGCTGTTTAATGCTTCTCTATCCCTGCTTGATCCGTTTAGGGAATATGCAAAGAGTAGTTTGATTCGACGACGTGCAAAGAACCAAGGATATGTGCACAATAACACGAAGAGGGAAGAGTCCTGCTTTACAATAAGTCCTACTTTACATTATCTTCAGGTGCTGGGCTCGGAAGGCTTCTTTTGGACATTTTTCCCCTTGCAGCGCAGTGAATGTATAGAGAGATGGAGAGCCAAAATATGAAAAAAAGAAAGAAAGAAAGAGGCCAGAAGGTAAGCAACTAACTAACTCTTCCACCCTCCATGCAGAGATCTGAAGGGGAAAAAAGAAGGCTCACAGTGGCAAACCCCCTTCTCCGCTCCATAGTTGTTTTCTCGAATCAGAACAAGCGAGTGACAGCCAACCCTGCAAGCAAAAAGTGAGACTGCTTCTTCACCTCGCTCGTCCGACGCTCCTGTGGTTCCATCGAACTAGAATAGCTCCCTAGGTAGGTCCGTACGTACGCTCTCCTCTGGCGAGTTCGATCAACAAACAACCTTGCGTGCCATAACTAGCTGGTCCCGTGATATCAACTTCACGGGCGTCCAGCCTTCCCTACCACGGCCACTTCCAGACACCCCCTTTCGCTGCTTTGGTGCATTGGATTTATGCAGAGGAAGAAAGGTCGATGAGATAGATGATAAACTTCCCTCCTCCATGTGCATGTCATTGCAGTAAAGGTTACGGAACGAGGAATAGGGTTCAGCCTTGCTCGCCAGCTTGCTAAAAAAAGGTCCAAACAGGACGGTCTCAGTGCTATGGGCTTTGGCTGTGTCTGCCTTCAGCAAGTCGAGGAGCGAAGTCGAGATAGCCATGCATGGATGCAGCATTTTTATCCATCGACTATCGATAGACAGCGTGGAGCCAAAGCTCTTGGGATAGTTTCAGTTAGCTCCGCCGTTAAGTTGAGCAAGTGAATGAACTAGTCAAACTAGTTATCAAGCTGGTGGACAAACTAAACCAGAGAAGGGCAAAGCAGAGAGCCAAAAGCAACGGTTAGCTAGCTCGGGCATAGCCCTCCTGCGTTGCCTTTTGCCCTACAGCCATCCAATAGGCAGAAAGACCGATTGTGAACTCCCCATCGAACTTGAACCGAGAGGCAAAGCAATCATGCAGGTTAAACACAGCACCAGCACAGCACACGGAGCACGGAGACCAGGCAAAAGAAAAGAAGCCGACAAAAGAGGAAACGACGAGAAAAAAAAAAAAAAAATGAGAGAACCACGAGAAGGCCAAAATGAAAAAAAAAAAAACTCTCCCATGCCATGCGGCTATTTCCAGATTTTCCAGCGGATGTGGATGAAGAGGCCCGCACCGCATGTATGGATAACTTATAGTTAACTATATGCAATCGCGCATCGTGCGGAGGTTTGTCTCGTTCTCTCGCTTATACGAATGTGGTACGGAGAAACCCTTGACTGGAACAGGGGGGGCAGCACAGGCCAGGCAGGACATGATGGTTCCATATCCGCCAGTTACTTTTACTTATATTGAACGAGTGACCTACTCCGTATATCGATGTGAAATGGAATATGCTGTATGTACATACACTGTCAGCAGAGCCGTGCAGGACCATGGGTGTTGATCGGACAAGACCGTGTGAGAGTGAGCACCTTGTCGGCCCGGATGTCTGTCTTTTTCCAATGCATCCCAACCCCTCCCTCTATCGGCGCACGAGCGTTCTTGAAGATAATATGTTACGAGAAGGGAACAGGGATAAAGCATTATATTACCAGAAGGAAAAGAGAGGGAGAGGGGAGAGAGAGAGAGAGAGAAAAGAAAGGAGAAAAGGCCATGCGACGAGACCCCCTGCAGATGAACTATTTTTCCGATGTTTCTATTTATACTGAGCCAAACTCGTTAACGAATGATATGTGCAGGTTGACAGCTCCCTCCCATCATATCGTTGAAGAATCGTCTAGTTTTCGGCCTTGATCTGAGCACGAACCGGGGGAAATGTTTCTTTTCCTGTGCTGTCCTCGTACCTGTTGGGAAATGTTCCGAGACGGAGGTCGGCAGGTAACTAGTCATTAATCAGGGATGTGATTGCGTTTCACCGCGGTATCACAAGAAGGTGAAGAGTTGAGAATGAGTGAGTGAGTGAGTGAGTGAGAGAGAGAGAGAGAGAGAGAGAGAGAGCTGTGTTGTGATAGATGTCTAACCAACTAGTCAACTAGTTTATCAAGTTATGCAGTGCCCCCTGTTTTAACTATCTTGACTCTGCCACGCTGCAGCCAGACAGAGAGGAGAAGAGAGACTAACCAACAACCTCGACAACCTTGATCGGAAGCCCAAGAGAAACTTCCGGCGTATCCTCGGCGGCGGTTAAAAGAAAAAGAAGAAAGGCAGAGAGAGAGAGAGAGAGAAGGAAAAAAAAGAAAGGGTTGGTTTGGCGTTGTTGGGATTGCAAGCAGGCAAGAAAGCAAGCCATCTAACTAGATAAACAAACTCAACTGGTCAGTTATTTCATGCCTGAGCTGAGGCGTCTTTTTTTTTCTCCTCTCCGACAGGGCGTATCTATCTTCTGCATGGGGGGGAGGGGAAGGCAGGAAGACATGCACCCGCAGCTCCATGCGTTTCCTATTTTTGTTTCTCCAGATGAAGACCGAGACAAAACTGCATGGCATAACAATAATAATAGCATGGCATGGCATAGCACAGCACATCACCAACACACAACACACAGCAAACCTAGCTAGCTCTAGCATGAGCCTATCGGGTACAGCCAGGCAGAGAAGGAAGCTCGTATTGTTTTGGCGGTTGTGTTACACACGGAGTCGACTCCATGGATGGGGATTTGCGCAGCTGGCCATGTGGACGGAGGCAGAGAAAAGAAGAAAAAGAAAGAGAAGAGAGACAGGAAGAAGAGAGAGAGAGAGAGAGAGAGGCCTCCCCCCCCCCCCCCCTGCATCTGCATGCCCTTGCGCAGCGTGGACATGACATGTGGGAGAGCAGCGGGCGGGCATATGTACATACATGTATGTCAGATGTATAACCCGAGGGCGACTGCGACTTTTGCTGCAGAAGGCGGGGGGCGAGGCATTAACTGAAGAGAGAAAGGAGGAAAAAGAAAGGAGAGGGAGAGAGAGAGAGTATCTACTCTGTACACCTGATATGGAGATGACAGGGCAGGTTTATTATTGTTAATATTACGGAGTATCTGGATGGTTTATAGCTGGCACTCCTGATGTATCTCATCTCGTCTCGTCTATGCCTCAGGACGCAAGACGCAAGCAGCTAGCAGGAAACAAGGTTAAGCAGGAAATAAAAAATAAAATAAAATAAAAAGGCGTAATTGAACTAATTTCATGTCTAGGAAAAGCGAGTGTTAGATGAAAGTTGGGCGACGAGATTGAGGCTCTAGGGAGCCAGGGCAAGGAAGAACAAGGGATGGCCCTTTAATAATAATAATAACACTGCCAACAAGAATCAAGCTAGGTTAGTGTTGATATGTTATTATTATTTAACTATCAGATGCTTTTCTCATCTTTTACCCGAGGGTACGGGAAATCACTCATAAAAGTGAAAAAAAAAGAAAGAAAAAGAAAAAGGGGGTGAGATGAAGGGGGAGGATCTGAAAAAAAAGAAGGGATGGAGGACAAGAAGTTAAGGCAGAGCATATTAAGCTGCTACTTATTATTAACTAGTTGAAATAAGAATATTAAAGAGGGATAAGTGGAATAAACCTGTCCGAAAGGGACTGCTGCTCTGCCCAGTTCGAGGCCTTTTTCTTTTTCTTTTTTTTGAGGCTGGAAGAGAAAAAGACAAAAGATTACAGTTGACGCATCCCCAGCAAACCCCGAAACGCCGGGAGTGTTACTGTTGGCCTGGACGATGGATGGCCAGGCCAGAGGGATAAAGGGGGGGGGAGGGCCTCGACTGTGACTCTGCGGAGGGCGGAAGGGGGGGCGGCGGACAGAGGACAGAAGGCGAACAGGAAGAGGGCCGTCTCTGGAGCCCATCTTACATAGAGCCCATCTTAAAGCCCATCTTATCTCTGGGGCAAAGCTCCCAGCCAGGGCTCTTGCTCCGACTCCGAGTGAAGGGAAAAGAGAAGAAAAAAAAAGAAACGGGGAGGGAGGCCACGCCAGGATGGTCAGGGGTTAGGGATGAAGCAGAAGGAGAAGGCCGGCGCCTAGAGAGCACTTGGAGGGAACAGCTCTGAGATAGAAGACTGGAGAGAGTAAGATGGAGAGGCCCAGGCCAGGTCTTTTGGTCTTTTTGGCCCTTTGATCTTCTTTTCCGCAGTCCCCCCTTCGGAGCAGAAGAAGATGCATATTATTCATTTCACTTGGATGGCGCAAGCTAAGTGAAGTGCAAAAAAAAAAAGGGGAGAGGAAGAAGCAAAGGTCAAGGCCTTCAACTCTTCCCCTTCGCACCCCATGCTCTATTTCTGGACATGGAGAGGAAGTTTCTTTGGCCTTTGGGCCTGGTTAGACTCAGGACTAGCTGCGAGTTAGCTCGTGGTTAGTGGTTAGAGCTGGTGGGTTTTTAATATGTCTGTATGCAAGTCATCAGCTGATGGGATGCCACTTTTACCCGGAGCAAGCAGGGAGAAGAAGAAGAAGAAGAAGAAGTAGAAGAAGAAGAACAAGTAGAAGGCAGAGACGGAGGGAGATAGGGGATCGGGACGGAGGACAAGGCCGTTGCCACCCCGGAGACGCCGTTCAAGCCTGGCATCAATAGCAGTTGTAGCTATAGAGATGGAAGTGAGTGAGTGAGTGTGTGTGAGAGAGAGATAGGGGCAGCCGTTGAGTGGAAGACGGTCTGGGCCTGGGGATTGCCATCTGGTGTAGACGCTGTTTACCTCCCTCCCTGCCTGCCTTTGCTTCTTCCGCCGGCTAGTAAGCAAGCAAGCCAGCAAGCAAGCAAGCAAGCCAGCCAGCAAGCGGTAGTGAGGGCTATCAGCATCGTCATCGGCCTCATCGTCGCGATCCTTTGCTGTGCTGATCTGGACCCGACGAGTTGGTCTGGTAAAAGCTTGACAGGCCGGGCGAAGAAGAAGAAACGACAGCAACCAGCGAAGCCAAAAGCAAGAAGAAGGGCGTCGTACGGAGCAGCCAGCAGCAGACGCAGCGCCCCCCGGGTGATGGACGGGCTGGGTGGAGGAGGACAGGGCAAGGGATGGGCCTTGTTCGCTGCTGGCCTGTCTCTCTCTCTCTCTCTTCCGCTTCTCCCCCCCTGCGGAAGCTGGCGCAAGAGCAGGCCAGCCACCGGACGGAGATGAGATACGTGCGTATCCCTGGCCAGCCTTCTCTTTTCTCTTGCCGCTGTCAGTCAGTCAGTTCGTCGGTGACGGTGATGGTGACGGTGATGGTGAACCGTGACGGCTGATATCAAGCTGGTACAGCGGCTGAAAAAAGCCAGCCCCTGACGTGGAGCCCTGCGCTGCCTTGATGTCTCTGCTTTTCTTCTTCTTCTTCTTCTTCCTCTTCTTCTCCTCCAACTCGCAGCTTGCAACTCCCATCTCGTCCTCGTATTTTTCTTTTCTTTTGCCCCTTTGGCTGGTAAGAACCGTTTCGGCCACGTTGGTACTAAAAAAAGGCCGTCCAGTCGCCGTCCGCAGCCATGAGATGATGGGCCAAGGGTCGGAGCCAGCGACTTCTGGAGACTTTGGGCCAGGGATGCTGCCTCCTCTTAGTCCCGAGCTAGTTTTTTCGTTTTTCTCTCTTAGTTTATGCCCTTCCTCCGGTCGAGGACGAGGGCGAGCAGAAGCAAAGAAGCAAAGAAAAGGGGAAAAAGCAAAGTGGCTGCTGGCCAGACGGACGGAGGTCAGGGTGCGTTGTCTCAAGATAATCTTAGCATGGAGAGAGCATACCGCTGACGACTGACTACAGACTACAGACTACAGACTACAGACTACAGACAGAGAGCATAGTCCGTGCAAGCAGACGGGCAGAGAGGCTATATGCAGGCCTGCTCCCGGTGGTGATAGCAGGCGCTGATATAGAGAGGCCGGCCAGGGTCAACCGCCGTGACGGTCGAGTTTGATATCCTTCAACCACCCACACACTATACGGATTACTCTCTCTTTTAACTCAATCTCCACGAAGAATTGAAAAAAAAAAAAAAGGCAGAAGAAGAAAAAGAAAAAAAAAAAAAAGGTTCAAAGGCTGGTTTATGTTTTTTTTCCTTTTCTTTTCTTTTCTTCCCCAACTTTCGTCCTTTTTTTTTGTATATCTCCCCTCTGTCACCCCCCCCCCCCCCCCCCCCCTGGATGGGGGTTAGTGGCCGGTGAAGCCTTGCCCTGCCTTGCCTCTCCTCTCTGCCTCTCTATGTCTCTTGTCTCTGTCTCTTGGTCCATGCAGGTCCAGGCAAGGTCTGCGTCTTCGTCTTCGTCTGCTTCTTCAGGTTTTGCCTTCTCGCGTGCTCTGTCATACCCTCTCTTTGCTTCTTCCCCTTATCGACTCTCCAGCATCCCCAGAACAGGGGGTCCCTCTCTGGCTCTTTTGCAGGCTTCTTCTTCTTCTTCTTCCTATTGTTGACTTCTTCGTTGCTTTTTCCCTTCCTGTCTCTCCGGACTTCCCTCTCTGTCTCTCTCTCTCTCTCTCTGCGCTTTTCGCCTCCCCCCCGTTGGGCCCCTTTTCTCGGTTCAAGGCCGACCCAGAGCGATGGCAGCAAGAAGTCTACAGAGATAACCTACCTTTTAACTTAGGCACAGCGGCGAGACGAAGAAGAAGAAGAAGCAGAAGAAGAAAAAAATCCTTGTCCGGGGCGGATCTTCCCCCCCATGGGAAGCCCACGTTGAAGGCATATCGTCTGCGTGCAGCTCCATCCATCTCCAGCATCCATCTCGACCGCTGCCCAGCCAGTGACAGGCCTGCTAATTCAGCGAGCTAGCCTTGCCTCCGCTGCCTCTGCTTCTTTGCTTCTTCCTCGCCGTCGTCTTTTATGGTTTTTTGCTCTATATTTGCTTCTTCCTGTCTTTTCTCTTTCTTCCCTGCCCGGGCGTTTCATGGGCCTTCTTCCACTGCCCTCTCTGCCCTCTTCTCCCCTCTCTCCTCTGTCTCCTCTACGGAGTACTTACTTTGACTTATCCTCTTTAACACACGCTGGCTAGCCTGCCAAGATAGGCCCTTTCTTTGCTTTTCTTTTCTTTTGCTCCCTGCGACGGTCTATCAAGCTTGTTCGTTGGTGATAGCATCGTAACTTACTACCCGGCTGCTATATATATACACATATATATATATATATCTCCCTGCCATTCCCCCCCACCCCGCCGGCCGATGCCTTATATACATCTATCTATGCCGTCGGCTCTCCGTTGTTGATACCTCCCAGGCCCTCTTTGCGTCGCCATGACTGTTTCTGTCCTGCTATAACTAGCCCGGTGTCTTTGCATTCTCCAGCGTTCTTCTCATCCGACCTGCATCTGCTGCCGTCCTCTGCTCCTGACTGACCATACACTCACCACACCACAAAGCCCCCCGTACATACTCAACCCGCACCCACATACACCTTATATATACACGCATACATACAGACAACATGGACATGGACCAGGCCTGTCTCAAGGGAATGGACAGCCCGCCGCAATCGGCAGAGGAAAAGTCCTCCAAGGACGCCGCCCAGAAGGCCAAGGGGCCTCGCAAACGGACAAAGACCGGCTGTCTAAGTGAGCCTGGCCTTTATGCATATATCCAACGTTTTAATACCGTGCATTCTACTGACAGCTACTAGCCTGCCGCAAGAGACGCATCAAGTGCGGCGAAGAGAAGCCCCGGTGCAACAATTGCATCAAATCCAAGCGAGAGTGCGAGGGCTACGGCCAGCGAGTCGTCTTCAGGCATCCCGTCGGCCCCATCCCCCATCTCGGGCCTATCCGCCAGATCCAGGGCATGGGAGGCATGCCCGGCATGCCCATCATGGCCGGCGCCTTCGGCCATTCCATGCAGCAGCACATCGAGGCCGCCTCTGCCTCCCGGCCCGCCCTGCTGCCCATCGCTCCCCGCCCGTCCTATCACCACGCTCACCCGGACGACCTGTCCCGGCATCATCAGGCCTATTCGTCTGCTGCAGACCCCTATGCCGCCTCGACACAGCATCATTCCGCCATCAACCCAGACCAGCCGCCGTATACCTGGGACTCGGTCTCGTACAGCGACGGCTCGTACATACCGACTTCCTCCGCCGCGGCTGCCGTCTCTACTGCAGCGGCCGGCTCGGCTCAGCACTACGTCACGTCCACTTCCTCCTCCTCCGCCAGCTACCCGCCCTCTGAAGCTCCCTATCCGCAGCAGGAGTATGCATACGAGGACACCACTGCCTGGGAAGACGCAGCTCAGCTGCATCCCTATGAAGCAGCGGCGGTATATCAGGCCCAGCTCTCACTCCAAGTATGCTCTCCCCTATCTTCTCCTCCTTGTCTATTTTTACATTCTCTTTTGAGCGCATAGAAGACCAACTAAACTAACAGGATAGGGATTCAATCCTCCTTCGTCGATAGTCTCGCCAACACCCGAATGTATGGGCACATACCGATTCATAGTAATGTAGCACTGACTAAAAGGTTTCTACGTCCAGATGTTCGGCATGATCATGTTTCTACTACTACTTCTACTTCTACTTCTACTACTACTACTACTACTACTACTACTACTTACACTGCTGCTGCTTGCTCTGCTTCTTCTGCTACACTGGTGCCCAAGTTGGAGTCAAAGGAGGCCCTGCTGTTTCCCCCTGCCCCTGATTCTAATGATGCCCCCAATCAATGCCGCCAGCAGCATAGCCTGGTGATGCACGATGTTGGAGAAGAGAGTGATGACTATTTTGATGTCGAGTCAGACGAGGAGCTGGAAGATCAGTTTTCTGCTCCCTCTGCTGCCGCTACTACTGCTGCTGCTGCTGCTGCTGCTGCCTGCTATGCAGTGCCAGGCAAAGACAGCCTCTACTACCCTTCCTCTGCTCTCGCAGTATCTAATCCGCCCTTTGCGAGTTATATGAATTATGATAATTTATTGGCCACATACCGCCCGTCTCCCTTAACTTCGCCCCTTATCGACCCTGAGGTCGCCAAACTGTTCTCCCACTTCATAGGCTCCATCGGGACCATCATATCCATCTTCGAGCGCAAGCACAGTATCGCCCCTTTGCTCAGCTTCTCTCTCCTGCCGACCGAGCAGCAGAGCCTGTTCACCTACACCCTGCCGACCCTGGCGCTCGAGAACCACGGCCTGCTGCACTCCATCCTGGCCCTGAGCAGCGTTCATCTCGCCTACACCACCGGTCAGTCCTCGACGGCCGCATTCAGACACTACCACTTTGCTCTGCGGCGCATCAGCAAGGCCGTCGGCCTGCCGCACAGGAGGAAGCAGATCCCGACTCTCGCAGCGACCTTGCTGCTCGGCTTCTTCGAGGTCCTCGCCGCCGAGCACTCGAAGTGGTGCAGCCATGTCGCAGGAGCCTCGCAGCTGATCCGGGAGATCGACTTTGCCAGCATGACCAGACGCATTCGAGCGATGAGAGCGCGGGCGAGGAAGCAGAAATCCGTGGCCGGCGAGAGGTCGTGGACTCGGGCGGGCGATTTCAGGCTGGACACGTTCTTCGAGAACGACATCTATGCGCCGATCGAGCGGGAGATCGACGTCGATCTCGTCAGTGCGATCATGGGCAGAGACGCCAGCTATGATGCGCTGCCCGCTGAGCCTGCCGTTGATCAGCCGCTCACGGCGAAGGATATCGAGGATCACCGCATCCGGACGGACCTCTACTGGCACTATTGCAAGCAGGATCTCTTCCAGAGCCTCATCAGCGGCAACCCCTTACTGTAAGCCCCCCCTTAACCCTAACACTGCTCTATTCCAGTGTTCTATTCCAGGTCGAAGTCCCAAACTAACGAACGGCTGCAGGCTCCCGTACGAGAAATGGGCGCAGACTCCGCCTCGCTCAGCCGTTGGCCGGATTCAGACAGCCTACGGGACAATGGACCATCTGCTGCTGCTGCTCGCTCGCATCTCAGCCTTTGGCGTCAGGGACAGGAAGCGCAAACTCAAGGCCATGGAGAAAAACGGGGGTGAATGGCGTCCGCCTCCCAGCATGTTCCCTCCTCCTGCCACTGCCCCTGACGGCCCGCCGTCCAGGCCCAAGCCAGCATCAGCACCACCGCCAGCACCACCGCCAGCACCGCCGCCAGCAGGACCACCAGCACCACCAGCACCACCAGGGCCGGCGTCTGGAGCACGAGGACAAGCAGCAAATCAGGGCAAGAGCCCGCCCATGTACGGGATGCTGCCAGCGGGCCCCGTCAAGCTTTTCTCGGGATTCGCAGCTGCGCCGGGCGCTGGGCCGACACAGCAGGCAGCGGCGTCTCCCAGCACCGCCAGCAGCAGCGACGAGACTGATCTGGACACCCGCACGGCGCAAGCAGAGGCCGAGTGGCAAGACATCCTCGCTGCCTGCGAGCGTTTTGAACAGGCCATGGGTCCGGCCTTTGCTCCGTTGCCCCCGGACGGCGCACCTCTGATCACAAGCCCGTTTGGCCCTGCATTGCAGTACCGCACCCACATCATTGGCTGCATCTGGGGGCTCTACTATATGGGCCGTATTATCCTCCATCGCTTCCACCCTTCCATGCCTCCCGCTGCCACCATGGCCGCCGTCGTGGCCGCCCCGAGGACAGCCCAGTATGCGCAAAACATCGGTCGTGTGGCTGCCGGGATCCCCTACGACCACCGCCTCAGCAGCAGCGCCAGCAGCTACTATGCGCACCCTTCTTCTTCTTCTTCTTCTTCTTCTTCTTGCCCGCCTGCGGGTGCTAGCTCAAATCTAAACGTTACCATCGCCGGGGTGCTGCACGAGCTCACCGTCTGTCTCTTCTTCGCGGCCGTGCAGTACGTCGATCCAGCGCAGCGAGCCTGGACGGTGGCGATGCTACGTGACATATCGATTATCACCGGCAGCAAGTCCCCGATCGCCATTGCTCGGGGCTGCGAGACCTCCTGGATCAAGGCTGCTGAGGCCGGTCGAGGCCCGCCGCACCAGCGCATGGTGTTTGACTTTGACCCCAGCGACGTGTGCAGTCGTGAGGGCGTCGTTCCAGACCACGGCGACGATAGACGCTGGACCGCTGTCCATCGTGGCAGCTCGATTTCATGGGCCATGGGCTTGCTGTCGATTGACGGTGACTATGCCGTGGCGGAGGATAGGAACAACAGGGGCAGCCCGTCGACTTCAACTACGTGACACAGGCACAGGCCGATCATGACGACGATGTGATGATACGTTTTTCTTTTTTGATGTACACTGGCAGGAGTATTCCTGTCCTGGCACTCTTCACTCTTGTCTTCTTCTTCTTTTTATGTGTTTAACATGTATAATATGACGACGATGATGATCATGATGATGTTATTCAAGCCTGGAATGATAGTTTCTGCTTTCTTATAACACTTTCCGTAGCATCATATAGCTTGTCTGTTCTATATGGGGAAAACATTTGAAAAACATCAATTTCCCTATAAACATCAACATGGCATGTCATTGACCGTAACTGCGTTTACTTGGTTCATTCCCAAGTACAACATAATCATGAATCTCACTGCACTGGGGGCCTGCGTTTGGTCGTTTGTTTTTTCCCTTCTTCCCCTTAGATGAGATATCCAATTGCACCATCAAGATTGCCGTTCGCTGCGTCGAGGGCCTGTATCGCTTCGTCCCGCGTGAATCCTAGATCAGTTATTTTGGCAATCGAGTCAGCTGGCCAGCGCGAGGCTCGCTGCTGGGGAGCATTAGCAGTAGCCGCAGCAGGAGTGGCAGCAGCAGGAGTAGCAGTAGGAGCAGGACCAGGACCAGGACCAGGACCAGGACGAGGAGCAGGAGAAAGGCCAGGAGACGGGCCAGTAGGCGGTGGACGATGTAAAGAAGTTGGTAGTGCAGGTCTCGGAAAGGCTGCCGTCCCGCCAGCCGCAGCCGGATGTTGTACGGCACCAGTCCTGCCTCCGATAATAGCTCCGTCCGAGCCCCTGACCATTGGCTCGTCTTCAAACTCGTCTTGGTGCTTGGGTATATCGGCTTCATGGAGGAACGGCACCGTTTCATCCCGGATCTTAAGCACGCCTTCTTTCAGGTCTATACAAGCCTGGTGGCGTTTAAGCATGTCTAGGCCAAGAAGGAGATCAATATGCTTCCCATCCATCACCGTGAAGGAACAAGGGAGAAACATGTCCCCGATTTTGATCTCGGCGCAGTGGACACGCCCCAGAATGTCGGCGGTACCTACACCCTTTGCAATACCGCCATATCGTCGGTCGATTAATCGCATGATATTGCAGGCCGAGGCGCAGGCAGGTGACATGATAGTGACCTGGGCACCGGAGTCAACGAATGCCTTCACTTTATGGCCGTTCACCTCCACAGGGATGTACAGCATAGTTACTCGTCCAAATGCTAACCCCCCCTGAAGTTAGCATGTCACGTAAATTATGGCCAAGTTAAATCTATCCCCCGAATATAATAAATATACCATTATAAATCATAAAGACGTACCTTCAGGAGTATGCTCCATGGCCGTATGTAGGTTCTCGGTAACAGCATTCTGACGAATAATCTCCTCAATCTCCCGCTGTGCATCGAGGTTGAACGGGTCTGCGTTCAGCATGGCTATTCTGGCCTCCTTTGCAGCCTCGACCCGCGCCTCAGCGCGCCGATGAGACATCATTATCTCTCGAAACCGCCGCGGGTCATCCACGGCAGACGCCAGCTGCGGGTTCTGCTGTCTGACTGCTGCCAGGACCCGTGGATCACCCAACATGTGCAGCCTTATCGTCTCTGGGTCCGGTATCGTCGGCTGCCCCCCGCGTGAAGAGTCCCCTTGCTGTGATGTAGCTCCAGCTCCAACACCCGAGGGGTTACCCTGGCCGGGTCCGGAGGCCGGAGTTGGTACTCGTATATGCATACCCAGCATGTCACCTTCGCTTATGCCCAGCTGTCCCAACGGCTTCGAGTCGTCTGTCAACGGCCGGTTGTTGTGGAAGAGATGCTGCGACTGAGGGGGGATCTGGATTTCACTCTGTATGACGGCCTTGAGGTCCGCCAGCGTCATGTCCTCGCCGACATCGAGAGTGACAATATCCGAGCTGACGGCCACGTTCGACGCGACAACAGAGACCGTGATGCGCCTGCCGACTCGCTGGTTAGTATGGGGGAAACCCTTGCCAGGCTGGAAGCCACTTACATCTTGCACCAGGTCACAGTAGACGGAGTAGGAGTGAGTGAGTGTGTTTCTGACTGTCTCCCTGGGGATCTTCTGTATCTTGGTCTCTTGTATATGCTGTGCGGTCCCTGGCGGAAGCTCCCTCGGTCGTGGTTGAAGAGGACGAAGAGGATGAAGCGTTAGTTATGAAGAGGCTGAGGTTGGAGATGAAGTTGACGTTGACGTCGAAGGCTTTCCAGGCGCCAAAAGCAGATGACGCAGGCGGCTCTTTTTCCGCGACGACAACGACAACGACAACGACAACAACTTCAGCAAAACTCCAGCAACTACAACAGCAACCACAGCAGCCGCAGCAGCAGGTTGAGCAGCAGCTTGAGCAATAGCTTGAGCAGTGGCTTGGAGACTGGCGATTCTCAGCTGCGTCCGTCTGGCTGAAGAGCTAGCTGGCAGGTGTCTGAGGATTGGATGCGGAGGAGGGCACAAGACAGCGGAAGCAGCGCCTGCAGCTAGTTAAGCAAAGAACCCGGCGTTATAGCAGGAAGAAAGAAGCCTGGCCCTCGAGCGGAGGGGACGGACGGGAGTTTTCTTATACTACTTGCTCTGGAGAGCTCGCTGCCTACGATCAAGCTAACTCTATCGACCAGGTCGGACAAAGGAGACGAAGAAGCAACCGGAAGGGAAGAGAAGCAGACAGCAGGCCGTGAATTAGTAACAGTTCGCGCCCATCCATGCAGTCTGATTCATATTGATTGCCTCCTGCGTCTGCGTGCGAATGCAAGGCCGCCTTTTCTGCTCGACTCTTGCTGCCATCCTCAGATACAAACGGAGGCGGGTGTGGGTTCTATTGGCCGAGGAGGGTGAAACTCGAGAAGCATGCACCCGTTGCTCTTTGCCCTGGATGGGAACACAGGAGCAGCGCAGGCCGTTGCAACAGTCCTGTCCGTCATCCCATTCCATCCCGGGATGGTGAACAAACGATTCTCGCGGCCTGCTCTGCTCCTTTCCTTTTTTTTTTTTTTTTTCTCCCTTGCTTTTGCCCTTTTCGTGCAGCAGGCGGCCCGAGATGCTGCATGTCAACAGGATACGATGCGCCTCCCGTCCTGTACTCGCTCACTCAGGTGGAAGACGCAGGGATGGACTGCGTTTGTCGACCGCAGCTGAGTTGTATATGTCTCACCATTCATGCTCTTTGCCGTAGCACTATTCACCAGACGGCGACGCGAGGGGACGAGAAGGGACGGATATCGAAACCTCCTCCCCCCGCCGCCGACCATCCCCGTCATGGCTGCATGGTATCACGGCCGGCACTTCCAATAATACCAAAAACTCCCTTTCCCACCATGACAGAAAGGGTCAAGATCTAGAGGACGAAGGAAGAGGGGAGCGGACACTACTGGCATCCCTTGTTACTCGCTACCCAGGCTGTTATCAGGCTTCCCTGTACATAGCGGTTGGCACCTTTTCACCAACCCCGATCACAGCAGGGAGCGGTCTCTCGAGGGCCCAGATACATATCTGCAGGGGGAGGGAAGTGTGATGCTCCACGAAGCCGTGGATCTGCTTAGTTGGACTTTGAACTTACACTAGCTGGATTACTCGGACTAGTTGCTAGTTGCCTCCAAAGATAGCCATCACCAGCGGCTCTCGAGTGGCTTCTCCGGGCTACTTCCGTTTGCTCAGTTGGTTTTGATATCTTCCCCGGCTTGCCAGAGATTTGAGCTAGCTAACGCCGCTTTCCCGCCCACCTTGTTGGCCAAGCGGGTTTCTGTGGCATCTGGTCAGGGACATAGTATGATACTGAGGCAGTCAGCACTCCGTAGAAGTAGGAGTAGGTGTACTCCGTAGACAGCGGCCGCAGAGTATATTCTCCGTGAACATTTTAACTAAGGCCATGTCTATCAGCCGAACTAGACTCATGGACATCTACCTGGAAGATACCTCGTCTTCCAGCGGTCTCCTGCCGTACCCCAAGGTATCTCCCATGTACCGGCGCCAAGGGTAGCGAATTCTATATTTTTTTTGTCTTCCGCAGCAGTGAAAAATTAGTTACGACTCCGGCCGTCCTCAGACTTCTCGACTTTCGCTCGACTTTCAACCTCCCGTCCTCCCCCCCTTGCCAGGCGCATAGACAAACCACCGAACCAGCACCAACTGCCTTCCTGCCCACCGCCAGCGGCCCCGTCCTCTGCCCTCGAGACGCTCCGCCTCTCAGCCCTATCCCAAGTTTTCCCGCAGTTAGGCTCGGTGCCTCCAGACGCCACAGCTTCGCCAACCTAGCAGATCACCCCTCCACGCCCTTTTGCCAGCTCGACGTCCAGGGCAGTCCCGCGGAAGATAATAACATTACAAAAGGTAGAATCTCCATGCGCTGCGCCGCTATCTGGAAGCTGGCTGTTTGTTTGCCCGTTGCGTTCTGTCATTGCAATTTACCTGCCTACCTGTGCGTGTGCGCGCAGGGCGAGCGAACCCCCACGGCTTGCCACTTTACACTGTAGATGAAGAGGAAGAGGAATAAGGAGATAATACCGTCTTAGCTTGTGATGCTCGTTCTGTTGTCGCTTTCTGCTGCTGTTGCTTCGTTGCTTTTGCTTCCTTCTTGCTTGCTAGCCTTGTACAATCTACACTTCCGAATTAAGCGCCGTCCTGCTATTCGCTCTGTTATTTTCCGTCCCAGAAGCCATGCTAACCGCCTTTAAAAGGAACCAGTATCCGCATATCCGCAGCTTGTAACGAGAAGGGAACAGTTGCCGTGGAACCCTGAAGATAACTAGCTGACACTATCATCTCTTCCCTGCGCCGGAGACCCGCTTGCTGGCTGCCTTGAACCACCATGGCTGAAGGCACATCCATATCCGCGACCCCGGCCGACGAAACACACGAGACAAACCCCCCTGCTTTCCACGCCATTCGTCTGAATGACGTCTCAGGCCTTGCAGGTCGGCCTACGCCTATGCCACGGAAACTCTTCCTTAAGCGGCGATCCGAGCTCTTCAACGGGGCTGGCGCTAATAGGCTATCGGGAGGTGAGGGGGAAGAGGATGATGACGATGACGACGATGAGGACGAGGATGATGATGTTGAAGATATATACCCTAATGGCAGTTCCACCTACGGCACCGACGAGGATGATTTCGTAGCTGTTAACCATTCGGATGCCTCGGATCATCCTTGGTATATGCGGTCCCGGGTACCAGCAAGAAACTCGGAGCTAGCTAAACTCCACCCATACGTGCAGCTGCTCTCCGTCTCGAACCTTGACGACTGTGAAAAGGTCGAACTGGCGTTCCCTGAGTCTGAAAGGTGTTCAAGAGAAAACGTATGACCCTACCCCCTGTGTCCCCTGCCACCGATTCCCTCGAAACATGTTACTAATTAATGAATCCATCCTTAGTTGACTTACCGCCTCTCGAAATGCCCTGAGCTCTCTCTTGGAATCTTCTCCATCCCACCGGCTACTGCAGACAATGAGAAACCAAGGCCCGTGGTCATTGCTCACCTTCTTGCAACGAGAACAACATCGCCCGTGATTACAAATGCGACGATGGGGGTTCCTAAGGACTGGAGAACTAAAAAGTCTACTCTACCAAGCCCAGGCGAAGAGGAGCCTGTCGGCCACCAAGACCAGGGATCTACCATAGCCATCCACTCCCTCGCCGTCCTCCCTGAACACCAGGACAAGGGTCTCGGCAAAATGCTGATAAAGTCATATATCCAACGCATCCAGGATGCGAAAATTGCTGATCGACTTGTCCTGCTTTCCCATGACCATCTTATTCCGTTTTACACTGGTCTTGGATTTGAGAACGTTGGACGCAGCAAATGCACTTTTGGTGGCGGTGGCTGGAACGACATGGTATGTGTAGCCCCTATTCTCTGATCGCTTTCAATCTACTTCAGTTACTGACTCTCATCTAAACAGGTCCTTGATCTCAGCAAGGCCCCCAACTAAGCTTTACAACCGCTGTTTTCCATTTTTGCCTTTTCTATTATTTTGCTGATGGGGGTTTCTGACTTGAGATGGGGGAAACATTGCTCATTCTTGCATCTGGATGGCTTTTGCAATTATTTGGGTGGTCGGTCGGGGTGGTGTGCATGCATCATTATCTATACCTAAACGTGGAGATGGGTGTCCCTAGTGGTGGCTGGAAAAGCATTGCTACGTGTTATGAGATATTATGAACACGCTGCAGATATAAGGGGAGAAAAAGGGTGAAACTGTATTATAGCAACAGCAATAATATCACTGTGCAAATACACCAGAGCGCCCTGTAGACTTAACGCTCGTCTTGAGTGTCATCAACCCTTGGACTCTCCAAAGAGCAACAGCCATCCCAAGATTTAGTAGGATATTTGGCTACTCGCCTCTATGCATGGCCAATAGCTGGATTGTCTCCTCTACTGAGGCCTTCGTAGCCTCCAACAGGCTATTTTGAGGATGTTCAATATTGTTCAATTTGCTGTTGTCGCCATATAAAAAGGGGGAAGTCGTTGGGCTGGCCAATAGGAAACGGCGATGGAAGGACAGGATGATTATATAATATTGCGGAATAAAGATATTAATTTTCCCGAAAGAATCACGTGAATGGCTAAACCTGCCGATCGAAACTGCCAAGAATTCCGGGAAAAACTTCCGTTTGTGGCTGCAAAAAAACTCCCAAAAAAAAAAAAAAAATTAAAAGTTTCCCACCTTCTGATAAAGACGGGAAATTTTGATTTCAAGAGGAAGAAACAAGAGATTCACATCGAGCTTCGACCCTGAGATCAAATCAAAGAGGGACGATTTCTCGAGCTCACCATGAAGACCACCTGGAAGGATGTAAGTAGATTCTCTGGTTCATTTCTTTTGTTTCGCACGTCACCAGTGTTGATTGATTTTGTCTGCGTGGGAGAAAACGGCATCTAACTGTGCGTTGCCAAACAGATCCAGCCGGTGCCCACGCATCAGGAGTTCCTTGATATTGTCCTGAGTCGAACCCAGAGACGGTTGCCAACGCAAATTCGTGCTGGATTCAAAATTAGTCGTATCAGAGGTAGGCCCTTGGATCTATATAGATGAAGTGGTTGGTGTCCAAGTCGGTTAACATTACGACAGCATTCTACACGCGAAAGGTCAAATTCACCTCTGAGACTTTCTGTGAGAAATTTTCGGCAATTCTCGATGGATTCCCAAGGTTGCAGGATGTTCATCCATTCCGTATGACTTTCCCTTCCCTCGAAATAGCTCTATTTGGCCCCCGTCAAATGAGTGTTTTCATTGGAAGTGTGCGCTAACTAATCTTTTCTCCCTAATCTAGATAAGGATCTTTTAAACACACTATATGATGCCGACCATTTCAGAATTGCGCTTGGCCAACTGTCGACTGCCAAACGCCTTGTTGAGACCGTTGCTCGAGATTACGTACGCCTGCTTAAATATGCACAATCTCTTTTCCAGTGCAAACAGCTGAAAAGAGCCGCTCTTGGTCGTATGGCGACTATTTGCAAGCGTCTGAAAGACCCACTACTCTACCTCGAACAAGTTCGTCAGCATCTCGGTCGTCTTCCAGCCATCGATCCTAACACCCGAACTCTCCTTATCTGCGGATATCCAAACGTCGGTAAATCCAGTTTCTTGAGAAGTGTCACCAAGGCAGATGTAGACGTTCAGCCATACGCTTTCACTACCAAGAGCTTGTTCGTTGGACATTTCGATTACAAATATCTTCGTTTCCAGGCCATCGACACCCCGGGAATCCTTGATCATCCTCTTGAAGAAATGAACACTATCGAAATGCAGTCGATTACAGCTATTGCGCATTTGAGATCTGCCATTTTGTACTTCATGGATCTTTCAGAACAGTGTGGATACTCCGTTGTCGACCAGATTAAGCTGTTCAACAGCATCAAGCCTCTTTTCTCGAATAAGCTTGTTTTCATCGTCATCAATAAAATTGATGTCATGCGTCCTGAAGATCTTGATCCAGAGACCCAGGAACAGCTACAGGCTCTTCTGAAATCATCCGGTGTGGAGATGTTGCAACTTTCATGCGCCACAACAGAGGGAGTCACTGCTGTGAAAAACGCAGCTTGCGATAGGCTTATTGCGGAACGAGTTGCTCAGAAGTTGAACACTGGCGCAAACAGCTCAGGGACTCCCACAGGACGCTTGGGTGATGTTTTGGCTCGTATTCACGTCGCTCAGCCCATTGGTGGTGTTCGCGAGACCTTCATCCCTGAAGCTGTCAAGAACCTCAAGAAATACGATAAAAATGATCCAAACAGACGTAAACTCGCAAGAGATATTGAGGAAGAAAATGGAGGTGCTGGTGTTTATAGCTTCGATATGAAGGAAAGCTACCTTCTCGCCAACGATGAGTGGAAACATGACAAGATGCCTGAATTATGGGAAGGAAAGAATATTTATGATTTTGTTGATCCCGACATTGAAGAAAAGCTGGCACAGTTAGAAGAGGAGGAAGAGAAACTAGAGGCAGAGGGATACTATGACTCCGACGAGTCCGTGGAAGATGCCGACGAGGCTGAAATTCGCATGAAAGCGGACCTGATCAGGGAGAAACGAGCATTGATCATGAATGAGTCGAAGTTGAGGAAATCTCTTAAGAATCGCGCACTCATCCCACGAAGCTCACGGAGCAAGAAGCTCTCAGATATGGAGAAGCATCTTGACTCGATTGGATACGATGCAACCGCTTCCTCCGCCCGTGCCAAAGCCCAACCAGAATCCCGTGGCCGCACTGCGACCAGAGATGAAGCCGATGCCATGGACCTTGATACCCCAGAGACACAGCACGATGCGCTCCGACGCGCTGTTAGCCGCGCACGAAGCCAAGCAGCTACCAACCGCCGTGTGGATGGTGTTACTAGCTTGACAAGCAGGTCTAATGCGGAGAAACTCATGAAGCTCGGCCAGAAGCAAATGAACCGTATGGCCAGACAGGGTGAAGCTGACAGACATACTCCTGCTTCTCTACCCAAGCACTTGGTATGTGTTCTTTCTCGTTTCTATTACTTTAAACATCTCTAACTCTTTCTTTTCTTTAGTTTACTGGCAAGCGTTCTATTGGCAAGACTCAACGACGTTAAAGAAATTCAAGTTGATGCTATTTCTTTCCAGGCTCCATATCTTCATTATCTAATGCCTTGTTTTCCAATGACGAGATGACAGTCCTTGTTTTGCTTTCTTTTTAAAATTCGGAAGAACCCCTGGAGTTAGCGGTGTTAAGTGGCTGTGGTTTCCTCCTTTTTTTTTGTATAGAAGGATAATGAGTGATCTTGTCAAGGAGAAAAGTTTCATCCTGCGCCTCAGTTGCAAATACAATATATCTCCACCAAATTCCCCCTGGCAACCCCCTTTCTACATCCTCATCTGCCCTCTTGCCAGTCTGTGTACAGAGTACATCTTGGCCCAATTTAGAGTTTGATATTGAGCTTAATGACTAAGCAAGGTTCCCGGTCGCATGACATAACTTGCCAAGCTTCCCCAATATTTCGGCTTTCGCTCAGCTTGGAGATCGAGCTCTTGACTACAACATCGCACGAGCGAGGCCACATCCGTCTGCTGCATAGTACAAACGACTCTCATTGCTAGTTCTACCTGACAACAGAGCAGCTGCTGTTTATCTATCCATATCCCATACAGTCTTCTACTAAATCACCCGTCCGTCTTTCAGCACCTTCCGATACCCGTCATCATGCGTTTCTCTTCTACCGCTCTCATCGCCTTGCTTCTGTCTCCTCTCGCCCTAGCCGCTCCTCCTTCACTTTTCCGCGATACCTCACAGATACCATTAGACACTGATGGGGACCTCAAAGTCCCCGGTGACAACCCCCTGATGTACTGCGCCGATCCATCGGAGAACCTTCTTCAAATAGAGAGGGTAGACCTCTCTCCGAACCCACCACTCCCGTAAGTCGTTGACTCTCAGCTTGCCTCTTCCCGATAGTCTATCTATGCGCATATACCTGTAGCTTATGCTAATGTACAAATATGTTACAGTGGCCAACCTCTAGTCATCAAAGCCTCTGGCATCACGGCCAAGGAGATCAAAAAGGGAGCTACCGTTCAGTTGCAGGTCACATATGGCTTCCTTCAGTTAATAAACCAGGAGATGGATCTGTGTGATCAAACCGAGAAGGTTGGGCTAGACTGTCCACTCGAGAAAGGCAAGATGGTACTCAAGAAGAGCGTTGATATTCCTCCTCAGGTTCCTCCAGTAAGTCATCCTTTTTGTTGGTCCCCACAAAAATAGGCGGAAGACTAATGCATATCTTTTCGAAACAGGGCAAATACATCGTCCGAGCGGATGTTTCGAGTGCCGAGGGGGAGCCGATTACCTGCCTTACAGCTACCGTCGTCTTTGAAATCAAAGTGTAAAAACCACATTAGGTCACTATCCCCTAATTGGAGTGCCTGTGACTCATTGAGTATCATGACTCGCTGGGTACGGTTAGGGTCATTCTAGCAGTCGTTGGATAACCCTTCCAGGCCTCCTACGTCAGTGGTACGACTGATGTTGGGTTTATATGATACGATACGATGTGTATGAATTGTGCTATGATCCTTTGGATACTTGCGTTTATTCATGTCGATGAAATGCACTGCTTTGTTTAAACCAAACCTTTGGACTAACTGAGCTTTGCTTTTTGTCGACTAGCCCATGTATCTCCGATAACCATGGGATACCTTCCTTCCGGTTTCTACATACCACTTGAGAAATACTAGCGCGTGTTCTGCTGAATTTTGGGTTTTTGTTCCTGCATATCCGCTCAAGCATGCCTTGGTTCCTTGATGATTTTATTTCATATTTCGTTGATGTTTTATCCCGTTCGGTTCATACGTTCAAACACAGATAGATAACCATAATACAAGCAATTAGTGAGGATAGATCATATAGCAGTTGCACTTCTTGGAACACGGTAGTAACTATGTATGACAACCCAAATCATATCTTCAGGTTCTATATTATCACGAACTATCACCGAAATATATAATGATCAAAAACACAACGGTCTCCCACATTTGAAACAGCGCCTACTCGCCAAAGAGTCTTCTCACACGCCGTAATACACTGTCCTTCTCGGGGTCGTAAGGATGGTCCTTGCTTGGAATCTCAAGAACGGCCGGGAAAGCTTCGGTGAATTTATCTACGCTATTGCGTATTCTTTCAGCCACCTGTTAAACACAACAACGTTAGCGGGTTATCCTGACGTTTGAGCTGAAGACGGGGGAGCTGCATACATGCTGGTTTATGAGTAGGACACCGATATCCTTTCTCTCTTGTGTGAAGTTTTTGAACGCCTTTTCAATGGCACTCGTTTCGGTCTTGGAGTCGACAACAAGGAAATTGCGCTGGGAGTCTGGAGGATCCGTTACGTGCTGGGTAGCCCAAGTCAGCTCCTCCGTCAACAGTCACGGACCTCCCTCTATCAAGACAGCGAGGGAAATCGAATGGTTAGCACTGGAGGCGTACTCACACCTATACCTGCAAGTAGAAGTCCGGTCACAGAGCTGTATCAAACATCTAATGTTAACAACATCCCCACGTACATATTGGACGGTAACTTACTCCTCATCTCCGATCACGGCGAGAAATTGCCTGTCCTAGATATTAAAGAACGGGAAAATATCAGTATCTAGCTTGCTAGGCCGTCAAGATATCTGTGCCGCTTGGGTCCAAAAGAGAGGTTATTGTACCTTGGAGCCTGAAGACATACTGCTTCTGACGGCGTAAGGGCGGGAAAAGAAGTGTCTAACAGATCCCCTTGCACGGCCCAGCTGTTATACTCAACAGATAATCGATATCTCTAAAGTGTTCAATTCCCCCCTCGCAAAGGAAATGAGCAAACAAGACGGCCGTTTCGTTGCTTCTCGTCTGCGGGCAAAGCTGTCTTGACGGTCGATCCAAAGTTGGAGCTGCTTATCGGATTGCACATGATCTCATACAGCTTATGTAATCCATACAGATCTCTTCTTCCGCGTTGTTGGCGATTGCTCGAAGGCCTGCAATAGCTAAACGGTAATATCAAGGCTTCATATTTTAGCCAAACCCTCTTAAGAGCTGACCCTGCGTACAGAATGAACGGCCGTTTAGATACCTTCCAATGCCTGGCGCTCTCGCTGTGCCTATATTTTACTAATGTCACGTGATACAATCACCGCCCAGCAACGAAACTCCAACCATAAACAAATACTTTTTCTACTTTCCTACTTTTCTTCACAGCAAGAAAGCAGCAAAGCAGGAATTGAATATTGACACCAAGCCCAGGTACTGCGTGCTGGAGCCTTTGGACAGGTGACTAATTCATCTAGACACTTACAGAGATACCATGCATCGGAATTAGAAGCTCTAGGAACCAACAACTGCCTGCTCTTCACCCCCTGCGCCATTCAAAGCCGGAGCTGGCTCCCACGTCTTACAATGCCCCCTCTCATTCGGCGGAGGCCGCTTCTCGAGCGCATCAAGGCCTATTTGAACCCTCTTGACTTTCTGTTATGGCTTTCGGAGGAGCTTGACTCCAGTGATTGGGAACAGTGGGAGAAGGAGTGGGCGCTACCCGTTGGAATCGCGTTGAACGTTTTATTTCTCGTTGCGCGTGCAAATAGCCAGAAGAGCAGCCGGGCTCATGACGACGTGTTTGGAGACGAGGGAGGTGTAAGCTATGTAGCTTGGCTGGTATGCGGAATCCTTGATCAAAACGGTAGCTTTTTAGCGTATTATATGCTAACGGATATCTCGGTTTTACAGGCATCATTCATCGTTCATGCGCTGGCGCTTCTGTCCATCTCAAATGCGCTATATGCATTTTGCCGGACGCGTCCCTACCGCTTATTTGAAGTGCCTATTGAGAACGTACCATCAACACCCTCTGCCAAACGAGTGCAAGTAAACTCCTCGCCGATGGCATCCACACCCCTGCGCTTCATTTCCGACGTTCTATCTGCTAGCTCAGCGGAGAAGAGGGCACATCCTGATGCCCACCGAGATGTATGGCAGCTCTCTGTCTGGGATCCGCACCCAATCTCTATTCGGCTGTTTTGCCTATTTAGTCCTGGTCATATTCTCGTGTATTGGTTATTCCTGCCGACGCTCTCCTCGGACACCCGGCCCAGTGTAACGATAGTGACGACTATATTTTTGGCATTGCTATTGACCGCGCAAATGTCTGCCCTTTCGGCCTCCTATTCCCAGCAAGCTAAAGATTCAGCTTTGGTCCATAAGGAGGTGTTGAATGAATACGATACGAAATTCGTTCACCCAAGAACAGATCCAGATGTTCGCGATGTTGCCACTCAGTTTTCACAGGCAGATCATTTTATCCCACATAAGGATGAAAAGTATAATGTGGTAGAAACTTATGCACCATCCACCACACAGCACACTTTTAAGACTCGCCCGAACCCCAACTACATCCATCATGTCGATCCCGATTACCGTGTGAAAAACCTACCACAGGTGACTCCTAGAACATCTCTGTCAACACCGCAAGTTACGTCCACCGGTTCTATACAACGGACGACTGATATCCAAACACCCTCTTATCCTGTGGACACTTTTACACCCATTAACAAGAAAAGCGGTGCCATTCGCCAACCACAATTCAGACCACCATCTGGGACGGGCGATGGAGGGAGCCTTGGGGTCTATTCCCATGCTCAATCTCCCCTACGAAAGTCAGCAACACCCTATTTGGACCGGAGGCAAAGTTCTGCCTACCGAGATCCTGACAGCGCGCATAGTCCCAGGAAAACTCCAAGCAGTCCTCTCAAGCGTTCAAGCGTGGCGGGTGATATGAGCTCCATTCTGTCATCCAGCCGGAGAGCTCGGCTTGCGGACGGACTTTCTCCTAGGAGAGAAAGTGGGCGTTTTTGATAAGAGCCTGTCTTCTTGATATTTTTAGTTTGCCTACAATGAATCCGTACATTTGTATAAAAGCCCTTCTCTTTTTTACCTCGCTAGCATTGCAAGTTATAATTTGGTTGATACCTGGACTCCTTTCAATGCCTTTTCGCCGCATAATGCCTTCCAGCACTCTTCATAGCTCTTTCTTTTTCGTTGTACTTGTTTATGATACCCATAGTGCTTGCCTACTTCCTAAGGATGACCAACTGGCATGATAACGCAGGTTTCCCTTTATTACTTTAATTATTGTTTATCTTGATATTTGGTACGTCGAGTTGCTTTCCTTGTGCGCAGTTGCTGAAAGTCCATCGTTTCTAATTCTTACCACTACATAAGAGTGTCTGACATTCTCTCAATTCAATTCTCTACCTTTGTGTGTTATTTTTATCCTGCTTCAGAACATTCTTCGCATTTCCCCATTTCCCCATTATGCCTATGCCTGATCTGACGACCAGTTTTTCGGATAAAGCAAAGGGCAAGCCGACCCAGAAGAAACCTATACGCTCGGGATCTTGGTCGGTATGGCTCTCCGGATCAGTGTTTCGTAACACCGATGCACAGGAGGAACCTATCTCGAATGCTGATGGAACAAATAATGATCCCGCTGCTAAAGCTAGTCCCAATGTTGAGATGGCCATAAACAAGAATGAGAATCACAATATCGAATACAAGAAATGTTCTGCAGGCGAAGAACCTGCTGAAGAAGCGGGAACTGGTACCGAAAGTGACGCCCACAGCGATGCAGGAACTGTCAGGAGACCCCGGATCCCCAGCGGCAATACACCCCCCAAGTTCATCCTACCTCCCGGAACTCTGGGTGACCACAGGCCACGGCCTTCATCTCATAATGATGCCCACCCCTCGCACCGGGATGACATGCTGGAAAGGCGCAGGCCTCACCATTCAGACCGTCAGCGGCCATCGGCTGGTTCCCTACCTTCAGGTCCAAGAAGAACTTCGCAGACTGTGAGTCGGGACGATTTTCTTACAGCTCGCGGTGCAAATCCACGAACTGGAGTTATCAGCCCGGATTTAACAGATTACAGCCATTCGGATGATGTTGACCCACAGATCGAAAACTCCGGGGGAACTATGAACAATCAGAAATGGCGTCTCAAGGGAGATCAGTGGATTAGCCTTGATGCTTCAGAACGGACCCCGGTGCCTACGCCGTCCTCCGACGCAGGTATGAATAGTTCACTGTTAATTAGCTCTCGAGATCAGGCAGAAGCTCATGTGGCCTTCCTATCAGATGCTGGTGTACCGCTAAAAAATCTTGAGGATCGATTTGTTGTCAACATGCCATCCGCTAGGGAGCCAAATCCACCATCTATGACTCCTCGGCAAATAGTCGACTTTCAGCAGGCTTGCAATCGGTTCTATCGCTATGATAATAATATGGTCCATCCCTCAAGAGTACCAAGTCCTCGGCCTAGGACTCCTGAGGGCCCCAGTACTCCTCCAAGGAGGCTTTCTAAAATCCGCGAAGCTCTTCTGCACAATACGGACCCTTTAGATAGAGGACGGCGGAAAGAGAGACCTCCAAGCAACCCTCACAACCTATCTCCTCACAGCTCACCACGGGAATGGAGGCATAACTCCGCTCCTTCAGCTAGCCGACCACAGCATGGGTGGAGAGAGCAGACAAACAAGTATTTTTTAGGTGGTCCCGGCTATGGAAGAGAAGAAAGGATACCACCCCCTCGAAAGAGGGGACAAAGGTACCCTCCAGGGCCGGATCGGAATGCACCAACTGGTCACTCCAGCCACAGGGGCCCTCAGCAGACACCTTATCGGGGTCACCGTGGTCCGAGCATGCCAACCTACCCTCAAGAGCTCCACCCCAGTTTCCGCAGTCCCGGTTCAACAGGGAGACAATGCTTCAGCCATTTCCAGGACAGGAGCTTCTCCAGGGACCTGTATCTGGAACCTCAAACCCATTCCAGACAGACTCTCCAGGTCGGAGGTTCAGAAGGAGACGAGCTGCTTGCAACCATTACCACTACCACTACCACATCCACGGTCACCCCCGTTCGACTCAGTGCAAACGATGTGGAAAACTTCTTCACTCCAACCGAAATCTCAACGCAGAAGAGCTCCTCCGAACAATCTCGCGGTGTTTCCAGAGAGAGTATCGCCACTACCACTACGAAAACAGGAAGTGTAGTAAATGCAGAAAACGCCGAAAATACAGGAAACACAAAGCAGACTACGGCAATTCACGTCATCAAACTTGGGCAATCCGGCCAGGAGGTGGATGGGCTCATCCGAGCCTCAGGGATCCAAGTGAGCGAAACCGAACGCACAGATAATGAGAACAATATGAATAGAAGCCCGATCATGCCTCTTGCCAAATGGGCATACTACTCTTTGTTACCAATGGCAATATTCTACCTCACCCTCATGGCTATGACGTATAGGGAATATCGCGAGTACTGGACGACAGGAATTCCTGGGCTTAAGCTACCACAAGTTTTAAAGTCCAAGAAAATCGTAATTGGTGTTTTATGCGTGGCAGTGGCAGTATCAATTACATTCAGAGGCTAGGCAAAGGCTGTCACGTACGGAGTGTGCCTTCAGGATATAATGAACGCGACTCTCCATCGGGGTATCATAGTCTAAGCATCAAGATGTCCTTTCGAAAGGCCCGTTCATGCATGCTAAGTCAGGAAGCTATTCATACCAATCCTCCGTCTTTCTACACACTCTTTAGAGATAGAAATTGAATAGACTACTTTCCCTTACTACGGAACGAACTTGAGATCCAATATTGGAAATCCATGGAATTTTTTGAACATTAGACTATGAAATTACAAAATGCTCTAAAAGAAAACCTAATCGCTGGTTTACTTATGTTGAAATAGTGTTGAAAGGAAAGGTCATTCATCCGTTGCATCATCTCAATCATCAAGGTAGTGCTTTGTTGAAATCTTCCTTCTTGCTGCGTGCCTCCTGGTCCCATTGCCCGCTATGATATAAATTGAATAAAATGATGCATCTCTGACTCTTCATAGTCATTCCTCTTCCTTCCCTTTTCTTTTTTTCATCTAGACGCCGCTTTCCCATGCATGAGTTGAGTCTAGCCCCAGCAGCCAACCTAGACAATAGATAGCCTATCCCTTTTTATCCCTGGCGTTTATTCCTTTACCATGTCTTTTCTGTGTTTTGTCTCAAACGTGGAGAATTGAAAGGGAAGCTGCGGAGGGTGTAATAAAATAAACGATGAGAAAAAAAAAAAAAAATGACGAATGCCTTGAAACGAAACACGAATGTTGAATGGGGTATTTTGAAGAAGGTTAAGTTGAAAGTAGAACCAAAAGGTAAAAAAATATAATGGAGGGCGTCGACGTCGAAGTGGTAGTGCGATCGTTAGTTGGTAACTGGGTGGTGAAGACAAGTTTAGTTTGCAGAAACAGCTTGTTTTTCCGTCTTTGATGCTGGAGCTTCCGAGTGAGTGCCGTTTTCTGCAGGTTCAGTGGCTTGTTGAGTGCCGCTGACTTCGGTGTCGATGTCCTTGAGAACTAGGCCCTTGAATAGATCAAAAATATCATGCGTCTTATGGAAGTCGTTATTCACTGAATCAATGTGTTAGTATATTCGTTAGAAAGTAAACAAAAAGGTACGGACGGGGGCTTACCGATGTTGACAAGGTACCAGGTATCCATCGTGTTCTGGATCAGTTTCCTACTAGCGCTTGAGGCATCGTGACATTTGGCCCAGTCATCTCCTAGTCTATAGGCCTCGTCCTTCCATGCTAGGAAACTGACGGTCTCGACAATTGTAGGTTGGATGACTTCCTTGGAGGCAAAAATACCCCATGTGACAGCATTGGGCGTATCGCTGGAGTTTGTCTTTAATTCTCCATCTTTGTTGATGCAGTGGTATGTTAGGTCCGCGTTGGACTCAATTCGCCTGACCACCTCATCGATCAGTGTTGGAGAGATGAGTAACTCGAGATAAGCCTTTTGGTACACGTAGCCGTTCCGAGGACCCCATCCGTAGATTGGATGAGAGGATTTGGCACCGTTAATTGCAGGCTGTGAGTTGATGGTAAGGAAGCCCCTGTTGTTGAGGTCGATCAGATCGTCCTTAATGATCTCCGATTCCTGAGTGATTGCACTTTCACTCCATGGTAGCCTGTCGAGCTTATGCTCCAGGAAGCGAACAAAGATATCTGACAGATCTCTAACCGACTTGGGCTTACCCCATAGCTTAATGTTCTGCTCGTTGGTGCCCTTGAGTCCAATGCCATAAACATCAAGCTCTCCAAAGGCAGGAGAGCGTGAATCGGTCCAACGACCGTTAGGGAATTCATCCCAAGACTGGGTGCGTGCAACATAGGATTGATGTCTATGTCTCCAGAAAATAGGTCGAACGTCTTCTTCTCTCCTTCCAAGACCCAGTGACTTTCTCCATGGCAGTGGCTTCTGAAGAGGAGTTTCGGTGGAGGGTTTCAGGTTCAGCTCTTCCAAAACCATGGTCGTGGACTGCGCAAGGTTCATGGTATAGCTATTGAGGACATTAGACCACTGAATAATTCAAAAACGCAATAGCTGCAGGTGACAACTTACAAGTGCAAATGGTTGATGCCATTTTCAAGCAGCTTCCTGCACATCTCGGACACCAGAGCCTTTCCAATCTGCTTAACAGCGGCATCGTCATTCTTCACAGGCTCAAGAGCCTCCATCCAGCCCTTGGGCACGGCACACTTGACCCAGTTGGTACGACGAATAAAGGCAGCATAAGTTGAAATTGGCATGATGCCGGGGATGATGGGGACCTTAATTCCAGCCTGTCGACATTTCTTCACCCAATCCAAGAAATTATCCGCATCGTAGAACATTTGAGTGATGATAAAGGTGCCGCCAGCATCGACCTTTTCCTTCAGGTACTTCATTAACAGTTCGGGATCTTCTTCATCTTCACAGCCTTCAGGATAACCAGCAACGCCGATATCGAAGTGGTTGCCATACTTCTCCCTGATGTACTGCACAAGATCTCTCGCATACCGGAATCCTCCTTCAGTTTGCTCCCACGCTTCCTTCTCTCGAGGCGGGTCTCCTCGAAGAGCGAGAATATTCGTACAGCCAGCTTTAAAAGCACTCTGCAGAGCATCATCAACCTTCTCTCTCGGCATATCAGTGCAGGTGAGATGCATGCACGTCTCCAACCCGTAAACAGACTGGGCAACATGGACCATCTCACAAGTGAGCTCCGCCAGCCGACCTCCTGCGCCCCAGGTTATATCAATGAACGACGGTCCCAGTCCATGCATGCGATCCATACGGTCATACAGATTCTGTACACCCTGGGCTGTCTTAGGAGGGAAGAATTCAAAGGAGATTCCTGGCCGCCCAGCGGCCTCTGCCAGGGCCAATTTGTCTTTGATATGCATGACGGGTTAAAACTGCCAGAAGACACGCAACAGTCAGTAACGACAACTCTTTCACCGACAACGAGCGATGAGACCAAGGGGAGGGAAAAGCCAGTGCAACTAGCTCGATGGACAGGGAGTTATCGAACAGTCGGTGCAATTCGCTCTGCCTTCTGGGGGCTTCAATCCCTCCGAAATCGGTAGTTATAAGAGGCTCTCGCGGTGAATGAGAGAGAAAAGACCACCGGCGAGGAGAAGGAAAAGAGCAAAGAAGAAAGCGAAGGCTCTCCAGCCAGGCGTCTATACGTACTTTTCTGTTCTTTTCTAGCGAACAATTCGAGTAAATAGGCCGAACGAACAGGTGGGAAAAAGAGGACCCAAAAAAAGCCTCCGAGCTGAGCTTAGGACGAGGCCAAAAGTCCGATAAATGGTTTCTCTGCCTGCTGCGATTCCGACCAGGAGCGTCTCAACCGAAGTAGCGTTTGCGTGCCCACCTGTCTGCCAGTATGCGCAACATATAGTGTAGCTATGCGGTTACGTCGTCTATCTCATGTACGGGAGCGGCGGTGGAAGGCAAGTTTCTGGTTGCAAGAAGCTTGGGGAGAGGAAGAAAAGGCAGAGAAGAAAATAAGGTGAGCGCCCCAGCCCCGAGTTCTTAGTTAACTAAGCTTAAAGTTGGCCGGAAGAGAAGGCGACGAACCCGCCGGCAACTTGTGTTGTAGTTTTATGTGCAGTTGTCTTCCGTGAGGAAAAAGCCAGATACGAACAGAATTATTCTTCTGGGAAGACGAAGCAGAAGAGGGAAGCAGGGGAAGTCCTTGAGATAAAAGGGGGGGAGAGGAATGAACGCCCTTTATATAGCTCTTTCTCAGGGCGGGACTGGCTTCTTTTCCCTTCTTTGCTTTTAGCTAACCAGCAGGCCACCTACAGATCCAGGCTTGACACAAAGAGGCGCGCAATTCTCAATAGATCAAGGCCGAAAATTAGATATAATCAGCCAGCCAGCATGGCAGCATTTTCTTCCTGTTGTTTGGACCGTATACAGCATGCGTATTCCGGCTCTCCTTTTTTCTACCCCTCCGCTAACCTAGTTATTACACCATCGCTCCGTCCCGCTTGCCAGGGGGTCCCCGGCCTACAGATGAACTGGCGGAAACCGGGAGGCCAGTTCGACTTTCGCCCAAATTTCTGATCGTGTTCATGGTGCCTTGTTGATGACGCCGGAGAAAGGCAGTCGGGGCACGAGGCTCCCCCATTGTGACTTGTGGGCGCCTTCCGACGCAGGCCAGGACAAGGCAGAAGGATTTGAGGGTGGTCATCACTGTTCCGTGACTAGCAGGGATTAAGCTGCACCGGTTCTCCTACCGGCGCAGGCTCGTGAGGCGTGTGGGAGACGATCTGTTGGCAAGATGTTATGGTCCTCAGAGCCAGGATTGTCCCGTCTAGGAATTGAAATCCCGCTAGCAGATACTGAGTTCTCTGCGCAGAGCCGGAGCTGGAGTAACTATTTCAAAAGCACCTGCATGGTCTGTGAACTGCGGTCTTTACACGTGCAGGATTGCTCGCTCCAACGAACCCCGCGTGGGGTGCGAGTACAAGTCTGCGGGACGCACTGGCATAGTTGGGCCTGCTGAGTAGAAATTGGATTTGGGGAGAAGAAGGATAAGACGAAGACGAAGTAGTTGATGATGAAGAAGAAGATTATGATGATGATGATGATGAAGTAGTTGGTCGTAAGTCGAAGTTGAGGTTGAAAGTAGAAGCCGGTGAGGGGCGGCAGAACGCCTAAAAGGGAAGTGGACGGGTTTTTTTTTTTTTTTTTTTTTTCGTAGACTCGAAAAAATGATATCAAAGCCAAACCAGAGATATCAGCAGTGATTGAATTCGCTTGACACTTCCATACCTCGCATCTGCTTACTATAGTCCTAGCGCGACGGTGGTTAGGTTTCATATACTTCTCTAATTGCGCTGTCTGGTCGGCCGATCGCAAGAATCGTTTGCAGATACCCCGCCGTGTAGCTGCTACTCTACTTGTTCACAGACCACGGCTATATTCAATCGCTATTCAAGGCACCATGCCAGCCCAGGACTCAAACAAGTCTCCGGACTACAAAGCAAACCTCCTCTCGATCCTCATTTCCAGCAAAGTCCTTTCGTTCGGCTCCTACGTTCTTAAATCAGGCCGAAACTCTCCTTACTTCTTCACAACGACCCTCCTCCACACTGCACCGTTACTGCACGCAACAGCTTCTGCCTGTGCTACAGTGTTATCTAGCCCTCCATTCGTCAAAAGTCAGGAAGGGAAAGCTGTCACTCCCAACTTTGATATAATTTTTGGGCCTGCGTACAAGGGCATACCACTCTGCACGGCAGTTCTGAATGAGCTTGGTGTTCGAGATACCCAGGGTGTATGGGATAATGTCAGTTACTCTTTCAACCGGAAGGAGGCTAAGAGTCATGGCGAGGGAGGGAACATTGTCGGTGCCCCTCTCAAGGGCAAGAGGATAGTCATTATAGACGATGTCATCACTGCCGGAACCGCCTTGAGAGAGGCTGTTGGTATAATTGAGAAAGAGGGAGGCATCGTGGTTGGTGTATTGGTCTTGCTGGATAGACAGGAGAGAGTTAACGATACAGAGACCAAGAGTGCGGTTGGAGCTGCACAGAGAGACTTGGGCGAATCAATTCCTGTGCGGGCGGTACTCAACTTGAATGATATTATCGAAGAGCTGGGGGACGATATTGGTAAGGAGAATCTGGAGAAGCTCCTTGAATATAGGGCGAAGTACGGGGCTACGGAGTAGACTGGCGGTTTGGTGTTTATGCGAGTGGTAGATTTAGCTCCAGAGGGCCATATCAAGGCGCAACTTGGAAGTTTTAAGGCTCTTCTTCATTTTTGTTCTGATGCTAAAATATGTAGACCGAGCTTTATAAAATGTATAAACATCGAAACAAATGACCGAAACATAATGCAGATAGGTATTTCAATGCCATGCGTGACTTCAACGGGATAGGGTATTATTAATATGAACACAAGGAAATGTAATGGCCTTTTTGTTATGGTTGCCTCTCCTACCATTCCAAAGGCTCACCTTTGATCTCACCCCGATTGGTCTTGGGAACAGGAGCAGCCTCCACCATGGCAGGTCCAGTTCCATTCCCGTTTTGTCTCTTTAAATATCCGCTTCCATCGAGCCATGGTGTCTCGCGTGTCCGCTGTCCCTCAAACTTACGAATTAAACTCTCCATCTGCATTGTCAAGCCAATATCGTCAAGGCCATTGATGAGACAGTGTTTTCGGAACTCTTCAACTTCAAAGTTTGCAAGCTTATTGCCAGCAGCATCATTGATTCGTTGGTTGACAAGGTCAACTTCCAGCTCATGGCCGGCATCAGCTTCAGCGGCTAGCTGCTGGATAGTAGCGGCATCAGGGATCGCAATTGGAAGCATTCCGTTCTTAAAAGTGTTGTTGAAGAAAATATCGGCAAAAGACGGGGCTATTATGCACTTAATGCCGAAATCAAGCAGTGCCCAAGGGGCGTGTTCACGAGAACTTCCACATCCAAAGTTTTCGCCACTGACAAGGATTTTCGCGTTGCGATATGGCTCCTTGTTCAGAACGAAGTTTGGATTTTCCGATTCATCCTCATTGTATCGTAGAGGGTGGAAAAGGGCACTCCCGAGGCCAGTTCGCTTTATTGTCTTCAGGAATTGCTTGGGTATGATGGCATCGGTATCAACATTGGCTCGATCCAGATGGGCAGCAATCCCTTTTAGGGTAGTGAACTTGGGAAGCCCAGCAGAAGACTTCTCAGCGGTGGTGTTGGTATGTGGTTCGTTGTCTTCGGGGTAGTCCAGGATCCGATCAAGCTCTTCCTCGTCTTCTACCTCTGGATGTATTTCGAATTTAGGTGAGGATTTCTTCTGTGATATCGGGATTGTTGAGGCAATTTTGCGAACATCCGCAAGCTTTCCTACTATCGCAGCAGCTGCAGCCATAGCGGGAGACATCAGATGTGTTCGGCCAGCGGCACCTTGCCGACCCTCGAAGTTTCTGTTTGATGTACTGGCACATCGTTCCCGAGGGGAGAGAATATCAGGATTCATACCAAGGCACATGGAACAACCGGCCTCTCTCCATTCAAACCCTGCATCGATGAATATCTTGTCAAGTCCTTCCGATTCTGCTTGTCGCTTAACCAACCCAGAACCAGGAACGATCATTGCGCGCATAACATTCGAAGCAATTTTCTTGCCCTCTACAATATGAGCGGCAACTCGAAGATCTTCAATTCGCGCATTTGTGCATGAGCCAATAAATACCTTGTCAATTGGGATATCTTCCATTCGGGTACCAGCTGTGAGTCCCATGTACTCCAGGGCGCGACGGCAGCTAGCTTTCTTGACCTCATCCGAGAAATCGTCGGGGCCGGGCACAACGCCAGTAATTGGGACCACATCCTGAGGCGAGGTTCCCCAGGAAATTGTAGGCACGATGTCCTTTGCATCTATGAAAACCTCTTTATCGTAGACGGCCCCCTCATCGGATTTCAAGCTCGACCAATACGCAACTGCCTTCTTCCACTCGGCACTGCCATACTTTGGAGCAAGTGGTCTGCCCTTTAGATATTCGAATGTGACTTCATCGGGAGCGATCATGCCAGCCCTAGCACCAGCTTCGATAGACATGTTGCAAATTGACATGCGTGCCTCCATGCTAAGGCCTCGGATGGCGGAGCCGCAGAATTCGATTACTGCTCCCGTACCACCAGCAGTTCCAATAACACCGATCACATGCAGAACCACGTCCTTACTGCTGACGCCTGGCGGAAGCTCGCCATCCACTTGCACGCGCATGTTCTTGCTTCGTTTGGTGATCAAGGTCTGTGTGGCCAGGACATGTTCTACTTCACTGGTACCAATGCCAAATGCCAAAGCACCAAAAGCTCCATGAGTAGAGGTATGGCTGTCACCACACACTACTGTTGTGCCTGGAAGAGTGAACCCTTGCTCAGGACCGATAATGTGAACAATGCCTTGTCTTTTATCCCCCAGGCCAAAGTAGGTCACACCGAACTCCTTGACATTTTCTTCGAGAGTCATGCATTGTAGACGGGAATCAGACTCCTGGACGAAGCCGGCAACATCTTTGTACGTCTCACGAGACGTTGTTGGGATGTTCTAATGGGTACAAAATGGTCAGTACATGGAGAATTCGATCCAGTAACGTTAGGATTTATACTTACATGATCAACTGTAGCCAACGTGCAGTCTGGCCTCCTTACTTTGCGTCCTGCATTCTTGAGGCCTTCAAAAGCTTGCTGTGACGTAATGTTAGCCTGGGAATCACGGCTAGTTACTTATTGGGCAGGGATTCCATGTTATCCGACTTACGGGAGATGTGACCTCATGCACAAGGTGTCTATCTGTCGGGTTCAAGAGCTCCAGTCAGTTCCTGTCAATCCTAAAGGCCAATGATTGAATGGGGTTGCTCGCGTAAAATAGTACGTACCGATATATAGCAAGATGGTCCCATCCTTCTGCTCGTTCACGATGTGGTCCTTGAGAACCTTGTCGTACAGCGTTTGGGGCGGTTTATCTAGAGCAGGCATTGTTGCTAGTCTGTGTGAAGAGCACCCCCGTATATGATAAAAGAAGAGGAACGGGAGCCTTAGAGGCGTGGAGCTGGGGAGTCAGAAGTTGAAGCTGAAGCTCTTTTCACACCTCGATATCAATGTCTGGCTGCTGGTTATACTTATATTTAAGAACTGGTCATAGCTGCTCTGGTGGGGAGAAGCCGGTATCGGCGGTCAGCAGCTAATATTGTACTCCGATTGGCCGAATTTTGCCAAGGGGCGGATATTAGTCATCGCTTCTTACCGGGCCGAGGTCGCCGCTTTCGGAAGGCTAGCGCGGCTAATTTATATTCTTCTGTTAACTCCACAGTTTTCTCCGTACATACCTAGTAATACAAATGTCTTCTAATAAGGCAACGATATCTATACAAAGCTATACGCAAATCCAGGCCCGCGATTATCCTCTCTAAACACTAACAAGGCGAGCTTGTGGCGGACGAGCAGCGCAGCCACGCCGCATAGAAGCTGGAGGCCGACTATATGCATCGCTAACTTGTCCTCACGCAGCGGTCCAAACCAGAGTAACCAGAGGTTAAGTAAGGTTAAGTTTGTTGTCTCGATAATGTTGCCTTCCTCGTTTCTTTTCACCTGCATGAGGTAGAGTTTGTCCAGCAAATCCAGGCCGGTTGCGATGATGGGGTGCGGAGGACGTGTCCACTCGGTAACGGATGGTTCCATGAGTCCAGTTCGCGGGTTAAACTTCGGCAATCGGTGACGCGGGCAAGGTATCAAGTGAAATAGTTGTGGCGTAGAGTACAAGAAATTGAATATTTGGGGAACAAATAGCAGCAGCAGAGTTTTGCTGAAGTGGCCCAATATTCCAACAACGGCAAAGACCATGCCAGCAAAGTAACAGTATGTATCCCCGACAAATACCTTAGAAGGATACCAGTTGTGCCACCATAAGGCTAGTGAAACGGCAATGAATGGTAGCAGTAGATAAATTGAGAATAGATGAGAATCCGTGGCTGGGTGTGGGTATGGAGTGAATGGCGACAGAAACAGTGCATCATTGGTTATCAACAGGCAAGCTATGGCTATTGACTGCGAAACCTCAACTCCGTTGATTCCGGCCAACATGTTGATACTATTAGGGCAGAAGATGGCGACCGCGGCCATATAGACATAGTACAACCAACCCAGGTCCAGAGAGGGCCCCAAGTAAGCTTGAAGGGGGACAGGCACTATGACATGTGTCACTCCGAAATCGACAAAGTAGACGATTAGCATCGGCACTGCAGCAAAGGCTGGAATGAAAAACTTATGCCGCCACCGTATGTCCAACAGATCGTCGCCAATCCCCAGTATCACTATTGACTGCAGAGAGAGTAATCCAGAAAGATAGGTTGCAAGCTTTCAATGGTTAGTCGTAGCTTCACGAGTAGAAGAGAGGGGAGTTACCTTGTTATGAGGAAATTTGTGAAGAAAACGGCCTGTTTCCACACGATGAACGGGCAGGGGTATATCACGATTTCCTCCGCCGGATGTAGCCGCTACAAGTTCTTTGTAGAAGGGAAATGGAATGAATACGATAAGAGTAAGAATGTAAACAACTGCAACAACTGCGCCCATCGTCTCGGGTCTAGAGCTGGTGTTAGCAATATATCGCTCCAAACAACCCTGGGTATCACCTACATCTCTATCTTCTTAAGCTTGGACATGTCCTTTCCTTTCAGCCCAGCTTTTATGAATACATTTCCTAGCCATCGAATAAGGCTAAAGCTCGCAGCAAATGCGATTCCAGATAATGCCAGTGAAGCCACCAGAGGCTCCCCATATTGAAGTGCATTTTTTACCAATATGGCTGAGCACCCTATCGATAGTGCGATGAGACTCCACGTCTCTCTCCGACTGAGAGTTACTGTCATCGTATCTTGCACATAGCGTGAAGCCACCCAACTATAGTCAAAAGCAAAGACTGTTAGAAAATTCGGCGCTTAAAATTTGTATATACGCCTATATTAGAGTTGCCGCAAGTTGTCCTTTCGGGCGTCAAAGTAAACAGCCGCTGCGCTTATCAGCGTCACGTGTTTAGTTATCCCGGCGAATCGCGAAACTCTGTTATCTTAATCAACTTGCGACAAGGCCAAGTTGCGCAGCGATTGATTCATTCATGCAGGAACCATCCATGTTATAAGCAGAGATGAGGTACTGCGTGCGACTTTCGCGGAGATGACAGCTTTCACCGAGTTCGATGCCGGCCACCGGGACTTGGTTACAGTAACCAAGTTCAACTTCTATGGTAATCGCATCCTCACTGCATCCGCGGATCACCGAATAAAGGTGTGGGATCAAAAGGATGATGGCTGGGAACTTGCAGATACTTGGCGAGCACATGATGCAGAAATTCGTGATGTAAGATAGCCCAGGGAGAGATGCATTTGTTATGATCGGAATTTCGTTTCTCACATCCTCTCTGTCTCAGGCAGCATGGAACGGCCCATTCACTGGCCAGCATATTGGCACCGTAGGGGAAGATATGAAATTTAAACTATGGCAAGAGGATGTGACGCAGTCCCGCAACTCTGGTCGGCGCTTCCGGAATATCTTTCGTCTGACTTCTTCTATTCGCACGCCGTACGTCTCGCTAGACTTTCGAAATATTGACCTCGAATCCTGGCTGGCTCTAATAACTCGCGATGGTCTTCTCACCGTATTGGAGCCTGTTGGTGCGGATAACCTCTCGGAATGGCAACAACTTGACCAGTTTCGTGTTTGTTCGGAGCCCTCACGAGGAGATGAGACGAGCTTCAAGGTCCAGTTCCATCATGATCCAATGGACATGACCCATATGGTTATGCCGTCCTGGGATAGCAAGAGTTTATCCCTTGTTGTTGCGGCGATGAACACTGTCAAGGTGTATCGAATGGCAGCGAACAGGAAGTTTTACCATGCCATTGAGCTGACTGGCCATACTGGTCTAGTGCGGGACATTGCATGGGCCAACGGCTCCGTTCGAGGGTTTGATATTATTGGCAGTGGTTCAAAAGATGGCACCATCAAAATATTTGAGATATACACATCAGTCACGAATGGCGGCAACAGCAAGCAAAATGGATCCGCAAATGCTGCCTCTAGAGCCTCCACCCAATCTGCAATTGGCACTGCCCTTGCAGGTCAGACATCAGGAACACTTGCAGATACTAGGAAAAACACTGAAAGCCCGTTCAAGCATACCTTTAGAGAGGTTGCATCGATTGACAGTAAACATCTTGATGTCTGGCAAATTCAGTTTTCTCACGCTGGTATGTTCTGCCACATTGCATACGCCGTATCATTTCTAACAATGTTTTTTTAATTAGGCGATTGTCTACTCTCTTCGGGGGATGACGGCTCTTTACGCTTCTGGAAAAGAGCTACTTCCGGAGATTGGCTGGAATTTGCGGAAACTTCAATGGAGAATAACTAGCATTCCGTCACCGCAGCATCGCTCTTTCTTCCTAGCTTGGGCTGACTCTGCTAGTTAAGCGGTATCAGCCGTGAGATTCCCAACTATTCCTCAATTTGTCTCTGCTGGCTTGCGATTGTTGCATGGTATGATTGATGTCGTCATGAAAATCTCTTGCATAATACCCATATATCAAGCCTATATGCCACTTTTTCAATGCCTATACTGTTTACGTATGTATGTGATATGCAATAAGCAATAATATGATGAACCGTACCTTTTTCTTTCACCTTGTCATATGTTCAACCACACATGTTGATCAGTCTGTTTTGTTTCTCTAGTTAATGGGAACAATAATCATGCATTGCTATCACTATTCCTATAACTTCTAAACTAAAATGATGACCCCAGTCGAGTACAACACAGAGCAGCTTTAAAGGAAATATGTTGCTCAATACAATTAGCGATGTAGATGTCATAATCACAGGCGGTCCAAAAACTCATCTCTAAGTTGAGTGTTGATGCCATGATGTGCCAATCATTATATTCATCTAGTACACATTCTGACCTGGCCATCCTATGGAAAGGAGAAGTGGAGGTTGATTATGTGCGTTCATATGAAATATAAGAATTTCATAAAAGTGTGAAGAAGAAAAGGAGGAGAAAAGGGAAAGAAATGCAAAATGTTGCATGAAAATATAAGGTTGGTCAAGGCAGATGAGTCACGTGAATATTTCGGATTAAAGTAAAAGCGAATAACGGGGCTCCAAAGGTCACCTGACCGCGGAATCTTACCTAAAAGAAAAATTTCAACTTCCGACTTTCTCTCTCCAAACCACCAAAGGAAAAGGGGAGCAACAACTCATTATTGCAAGAAGACTGCCCTGTCATCGACTTAGACGGCAGTTGAAGCGTGATGTTTATTATTATGACTAACAGTCGAATAAGGAGCCCAAATTTATAGCACAGCTCGACTCTCGTGGCATGTTGAATACCTTCGCTTACGGCCGCACTTTTAATAATGACAACTTCGTTAGAAGACGATATGAACTCCTGGCTATTATTGCCACTGCTACATTGATTACCCTGTTTCTCGTTCTATCTACGGCTGAGCTTTAACACGGCGTTCAACTCGTTACCTAAACCACAACTTTGCCAACATCTTGTGCCTTTCTGTGGTCAAGATGTATACTTCGTTTTAAAGGTCTAGTGGAAGATTAAACCCATAACAGTTTTTAGCAGAGCTGCGTCTTTTCCACCCTGCCACTTTGTTTACTGTTGAGTGCCCAGGACTAATACAGGACGGACATCTTCTGGATCTCCATAGTTATTTAGAAAAAGTATTTAGTACTTCAATTACTTCGATGAACATCCTAGATACTTGACTCTTTATTTTCTATTCATCCATTGCCTTCTTCTTTTTATAGATTCAAGCCTGGAATTATCCAATCTAAGGGAACGATATACCATTACCGCGCCAAAATATCATGAGTACTCCGTAAAGAAATACCAAATTAGATAGGCTTCTTCTTTAGATAAGTAGGGTCTGCTGTTGCGCTACATAGAAAATTCATCAGATTTAATTAACGACAGGAGGTATTGGTGCGTACATAGTTCAAAAAAAAAATATGAAATCATCCAGATAAAAGAAATCAACAAGGAACGACAGGACAGCTATTCGCCTCTTCATATACCACCTAGAGGTGGTTCTTCCACTCCCACTAGAGCACCCGTAGAACATCAATTTTGTCTACTTACCTTGAAGACAGCACGGGCATTAAACGGTAGTGCTTCTTATAACCGGTAAAACCGTGGGGCTAGGCCTGACATCATCTCATACCACCACTCTGTGGCCCTCATTTGCTTCTCCATTGACCCTAAAGCCACGTCATAATAGCCATGCCATTAGTTTTCATTATCACAGGCCGTTAAAAAATGAGTTCACCTCTGATGATGATGATGATGATGGTTTTGTTTGGGTATCAGCTTGAGAAGGTGGTGAGGAAGATGCAGATGAGGGCTGTTCACTAGCGGCAGAGGCCGAAGGAGGTGATTTTGTGGAATTCTTCAATGGTGCCTTTGCCGTACCTTCTATCTGCTTCTCCTGGTCGTCATCCGCAATTAGGTCCATTACCGAAGGGGCAGGGGAGGTAGCTGTTGGCTTCACAGCGGAAGCAGTGGCAGTAGGAGTGGCAGTGGCGGCTGGAGTCATAGACTGCTTCGCCGGCATCTTCCCTGTCTGAGGGGCTGAAGGACGAGGACGGCGCCCTGACATATCAGACGCCTGAGGGCGAGATCCATTGGCAACAGGCTCCGCACTAGTAGTTGGCATTGGTGCACTTTCACCTTCAGATTCAGGCATAGTTGTTGTCTCGGTGCCATTGGATTCTGGTTGCTTCGACTGTTTGACCATACTCTCGTGTTGTGTTGAATGACCACCCATTGTCTGCGGTTTATTTTGGTCACCACTCATCGTTTGCTTTGGTTGGTCTCCCATAGTTAGCTTTGGCTGGTCTCCCATAGTCTGCTTTGGCTTGCCTCCCATGGTTTGTGGCTCTTGAGTCATTGACTGGGTCCCGTCATCACGATTGCCGCTGGGTGACATCGAAGGCATGGCCCCCTGGGCAGATTGGCTTGCCTCAGGTGAGTTTGGCATGGGCGAACTCTCAGTAGTTGGTGCTGGGCTCTCCGCCTGGTTTTCACCTGTGGCAGTTGCCGTAGAATTAGAAGCACCAGTTTCCTGAGAAGCTGCCCCTGTTTCGTTTGCCATAGCTGTCGGACTTGGATTTTCATCTTTGTCCATTTCCTGGAGAGCTCCCGCACCTGCAGCAGCACCATTTCCGGCTCCTGCTTGCTGGCCGCCACCAAGAGCACCACCCAAACCCCCAAGGCTACCCAGAAGGCCGTCTAGACCTAACTGCGGTGTGCGACGATGCTTCATATGGGTTTCATCCCCAACCCTTCGAATATCTACACGAATGTGTGAATATACTGAACAAGGGAGAATTGCCTATTTTTGACCGGAAAACGCACCAATAGCTGCAGATGCAGCAAGCCCAATAAAGGACAGATAAAATAAAGTCTGAAAACGCATCTTGATAATTAGGATGAAGCGCCTTCTGAGTATTACTTATTAGCACAGACTCCTTAATGATGTGAACTCATTAGGAAAGTGCATACCTGATAAGAGTGAGGAAGCTTTTGAAGTAGCTATGTTTACTCTGGTTCCGGACCTCGAGCTTGAGTCGGCTGCTTCAACAGCCATTCATCTCACATTCCGAGAACTTTGAGGCCCGTTTAAATAGACATATTTGTCTCTAGGATATCACCGAAATCATAGATGGTGTATCAGGCGGGGTATAAAATGCAACGATTAACAGAGAACTAGTTTCCAAACATGGGGTGATGCTATAGACGGGATCCAAACATTGTTCATGAGAAACGTTGCACCGACTGAGTACATTCTCACCTTCAACACAGTCCTTCCTGGTATATCTTGCCCAAAATACTACGTATCTTCGGCAATGAAACATAATGTGTAGAGAAGAAATTGTGTTAACAATGAATGGAAGGTGTTGTTAGCCTACAAGAAAATAACTCGTACCTGGACATCTGAGACCATGGTTTTTGAAGAGAAATTACTCAAGTAAGCTCTCTCAACATTTTAGAGGTTAGAGATTATTCCTTTTTGGAGACCAGTGTGACCACCCAGGTATCTATTATGCAACAACTCACTCAATTGTGGTACATGCCAGAAGAACGTATTTGTTTGGACATATAACCCTAGGCGGAAACTTGATAATACGTATTTGTTGTTAATGAAGTCGTGAGGGGCAACGAGCAGGTACGACGGTATATTCAAATACGGACAGTAAAGCGCCATTACCATGTCCTGTGCTTGCTCAACCTGAATACGTACTCCGCCACATCATCGTGCGAGATATTCGGGTTGAATAAAGCCTTCATGTGCAAGCTTCGTCATTTGAATGGTATTATGAGCTCAGATTACCGGGGCTTGACATTTGGATTGCACTAAGGTGTTCCAAGTGCAGCTTTGAGTCGCAGATATCACTCATAGAGCCATATGCTTATTCAAAGTCGGGAAGCATATCCTCAACACAAATTAGCTCCCGCACTGAGACCATAGATTCAACGAAAGAAGCATCTCCTTTCGTCTATAATCAGGTGCAATGACTTGAGCCAGTAGGATGTCTATAGCCAAATATAGAATTAAAGTGGGAATCATATACAGCTTAATGCTTGTATCTGCAGCGAGGGTTGGCAGTGGTCCGATCAGCCAGAAACAGAACTTGGGCTTCCTAAAGTGAACATGTCATAACATCGGTACCGAATAAAAGACGTGCGTGTCACACTCAGTTGTGTTTTACTCTTTTCTGTCATGATTTATCCCTCTATCGTCCGCTCGCGTCAGCGTTTCTCAACCACGCAGGTCAATGCATCTATCGCTATGTTAGCGTAAGATAATACAAGCGTTTTCAGGTCCAATTGGGTTAATAAATGTCATCACGTCAGTGTCGTATGGGTAGGATTGTATGGTCCCCTCATCTTGCAATTTTGACTGTTTCCTAGACATGCAGTGCCTCGTAAGACGTTTCGCATAATTCTGACGCGGACCAGATGAAGAAGATAACTGTGAATCAATGGTCCAGTTTAACTGCATTATATTTGGACACTCTCCCCTCTCTTGCCTGAAATCTTTCATAGGGTGAAATTAGGAAAGGAATATGTGTGTCGATCTCTGGATGTCGATCTCTAGGGATTCGTAGCTTTCTGGCTGTCGATGGCCGCAATTTGAGGTTCAAAGAGGCAGCTTGGAGCAAACCTTACTGCCCCTGTTAGTACTAGTGTGATTAGTCATCAGGAACGCGCATATCAAACTTTCTCCAGATCGATCCGACATGAGTTTCCCGAAGATGGTACAGAGGTGGAGGCGAAGAGTGAGGTGAGGAGATCATTACCTTCCGAAGTCACACAGTAGTAGCATTCTACTTAATACCAAAATTTGGGTAGAAAGTATTGCTCATATTTACGCACTTCTCGGCCAGAAGTACCCACGACTCATTTGAAACGCGGAGATACTTAGCCTTGACGGCGGGCACATTTACAAACAAGGAAATAGTTCAAAAGAGAAAACAAAGCCGAGCTATGGGGAATAGATTGATTTCCAAAAGGTGGGTAACAATGTAAGCAGGAGCAGCTAAAATGTCGTGAAAAGTCATCAACAGAAGGTGTTTACGCCTTTGAAATCCACCCACTGTGGACCATAAAATCGTAGATACGGCTTGATTTTTGGGCATCAATCTAGGTAGAGAGAATGCAAGGTCAGCAAATGAGGCACTTGGTATGAAAACGGCTGTTAGATAAACACCAAGGTGAATGAAGTAAGCCCTACCTTGCACATTGATTTGACGTCCTTTTTCTTTAAATTTCCGCCTTGTTTCATTGCTTCTTTAAGCAGATGTTCTTTAATAGCCAGGTAGGGCTTCGGGTTTAGGTGTAAGATGTTGCAAAGCTCGGCTTCATCCTTTGTCAACAAGTGCAGGTCTGGTGAGTTATCATTTTCAAACTTCCAGGGAACCAGCCCGGTGATGAGCGGAACTGTATATTTGGTCTTCACTGGTTGGGGTGCAGGTGTACCGGCTAAGCTTGGGTTTGCAAACGCCTTGTCAAAATCGTTAAGGGGCGGCTCCGAAGGGTTGGCCTTGGAAGACCCGGGCCGTTGCAGTCGAAGCGGGAGTTCTGGTAATGTTAATTGGGAAGCAGCAGATGGCCCCTCTGACCCTGCCGGAGCCTTCGGTCTGGCAGTGCTGAAACGGTCAAAGGAACCTTGGGGTACAGAGCGTTGGGCTCTCTGTAATTTCTCCTGTTCATACTTCTCGCCACTCTTAAGATCCCCAATTCCCATTGTCCTCCATTCTTGAAGCTGAGCAATAGCAAGCCTAAGATTATGTTCGTATTCCAAGCCTCTGGTGAATTCTTCAAAGTCCTCGTGGTTCATCATTCGGGCAAATGGCTTAGCCTTGTTTAGAAGGTCTCGTTCCTCTTTCGTTCGCTTCTTTTCTTGAGCAGCATTCTTGCGATAATCAAGCAAATTGTGTTCAAATACAATCTTCTTTCGTTCGGTTCTCGCCGTTAACCGAGAATTATAGATATCCTTAACAGTCATCTTAAGCTCCATTTCAGGATCCATCTCACCATTCGCATTGAGACCATTCCCAGGTTCGAATTGCATGTGCTGTACGGCCTCTTCCGCATCATTGGCAAATTCGGTCTCGAATTCAAGTCGACCTGGCATATAGCCCTGGACTTCATGGCAGGCTGGCACCGAAGCAGTTGGTTTTTGCTTTGGTGTTGCAGGAGGTGCAGCCTTAGCAGCCTCTTTGCGAGCTTGAATACGCCGTTTCTTCCGTGCTTGGAATTCCTCCTTAGGTATTTGTTCTTGTAATGACTTGTCATGTGGATCGGCCAAGTCAGGAAGCGGGAAATTGGAGCCTTCAAGATAGGTCTTGATGTAATGATCTCTGACCTCGTCTTTTGTGCGATATCCTCCGATATGATCTGCAATGTCAGCCCATGATCCAAGACCATATATTTCTGCTCCTTCTAACAGTAGGAGTTCCTCATCGGCACCCCAGTCCGGATCATATATCGGAACAGAATTCTGCTCAACGACAGAGTACGGGTGGGTTCGGGGATCGTGGGATTTTGTGGCTGCTCCACGCGCAAAGCAAGGAACACACATATCATACTCAGGACATGCGCTATGAGCACATGATATCCGAACCTTTAGATACCAATGTTAGATCTATTTAAGCTCCAAAGTGAATTAAGTCGGATTAAGGCGTACTAACCGTAGATGTGATGTCTATAGAGCAGACATCGCAGTGGTATTTTGTCCCTCCGTCTGTGCCGCGCGCCGCGGTCTTCTTCCTTATGACGCCCATACCTGTATTTGTCTGCACATCATCCGTTGAGGCAAATATGGTGACAAGCTCCCGCTATAATCGATTTGAAAGGAGAAAACCCAAGTGATTGTCTGTAAGCTAGCGGTCTTCAGCTTGTCATTCGCTGTGAAATGGTCCAGACGCGCCCCGGGTCAAATTGGGTTTTAAGCGTTCGCTGGGAGGTCTCGCCGATTGCGGTTTCGCTTGACAAAGGAAATAGGTGTAGAATATATCATAGAGGAATCTTCAGAGCCCAATATAAGCGCGCATGAGCTTTCGAACAAGCAATCTAGCAGACAGCCAGCAGGTGTTTGGCCGGTCACAACGTCTGAGGTTGAAGCTGGCAATGACGAGCCACTACACGGCGCTAGACCCGATACCGCTAGCCCACCTTCCACGTGATGATCGTGGCTTTGACCAACTCTAAAACGCATTAAGGTTGTTCCGGTACAGCGGTTTGCTGAGTCATCACTCTGGCCCGCGCTTCCAAAAAAAGGTGAAGATGCTGCGCAGTGAAGATAAGCCAGAGTGAAGGGAGCAGGGAGAGACGGACAAGACCAGAACACACAACTTTCTGTCCTGTTCACCTGCAGGTATTTAAACTGGTGGACAGGAAGCCTGTCGTTCCTTTTTTTTGTTCTTTTACCCACTTTCCTTTTCTTCTTCTCTTATGGATGTTATAGCGAAAGATACTCTTTTTACCAACTGATAACCCCCCCACACCCGCCGCCTCCTGTTATTAGGCTCGCTCCTCCTGTTCCTGACGCCCTAGGGTATTTATTGACGCCCCTTTAGAAGAGGTCCGGGCCTCTTTAGATAGACAGCTCTGTCAATCACCAGGGTTATATGTCTTCAAGATGTCGTGGAAATTAACTAAAAGTATAGTAGTCTTCTCAGTCTGGTCTATGGAGATACATTTACCACATGGTTCACAGAGGCTAACAGAGATATGTTACTTATATAGAACTTAAGGAAACGCATCTGGCGCCCCTTGCAAACACTTTCAGCCGGTCCTCTACGGCTTCTTCTCCTAAGGCAGAACCTTCCGCCGACGAGGGAGCTCCTCTCAGCAAGACTCCGACTGCATCGTCTTCCACAAGTTCCATAGGTGAGATTCGGCCCCCTCTGAAGTTCCCAGGGCTGCCTGGGTGTTTACTAGCATATATTAATACGTTCCTCTATCCATATAGCTGCTTCCGAGGCAACCGCCAACCCACCTACAGACTCGTTGAAGCCCGGTATCCTGATTGTGACCCTCCATGAAGGAAAGGGGTTCTCCCTATCTCCTCATTATGAACAAGTTTTCAATTCCCATTATCAAAGCTCGAGTGGCTCATACTCTGCTTCGATGAGGCCAAGCTCCTCTTCTCATGCATCACACATCCCGAACTCCTTTGCCCATCCCATAAGGCCACAATCCACAAGTGGCGGAATCAACGCGGCTCCAACAAACCATGGAAGATACTCTACAAAACATTTGCCGTACGCCCTCCTGGACTTTGATAAACTTCAGGTTTTCGTTGATTCTGTCTCAGGCACCCCAGAAAATCCACTGTGGGCCGGTGACAATACTTCTTTCAAATTCGATGTTTCTCGGGTCACCGATTTAAATGTCCAAGTCTATATCCGAAACCCTGCCGCACGCCCTGGAAGTGGGCGCAGCGATGATATCTTCCTCGGGGCCTGCAAAATCAACCCTCGTTTTGAAGAGCCTCGTCGATTTGTCGAAGATCCGAAAGCCAGCAAAAAGGAGCGCGAAAAGGCTGCAGCAGCTTTTGCCCAAAAAGAGAAGCAACTTGGCCAGCTTGGGTCGGAGTGGATTGACCTGCAGTTTGGCACCGGAAGCATAAAAATTGGCGTTTCATTCGTGGAAAACCGTCAGCGTAGTCTGACTATGGCTGACTTCGAACTCCTGAAAGTTGTTGGGAAAGGCAGTTTCGGCAAAGTTATGCAAGTCATGTAAGTCAACACGGAGCAGCCACGGAAGTGATGTTCACATACCATTGCAGTATCTCAGTATATACTAACTAATATTATCACCTAGGAAACGAGACACTGGACGGATATATGCTATGAAGACCATTCGAAAGGCCCACATCATCTCTCGCTCCGAAGTGGAACATACCCTGGCCGAAAGATCTGTATTATCACAGATTAGCAATCCGTTCATTGTCCCACTAAAGTTCTCTTTCCAATCGCCCGAAAAACTATACTTAGTTCTGGCATTTGTGAATGGTGGTGAACTTTTCCATCATCTTCAGCGTGAACAACGGTTCGATATCAATAGGGCTCGGTTCTACACAGCTGAACTCCTTTGCGCTCTAGAATGCTTGCACGGATTTAAAGTGATCTACAGAGATCTAAAACCCGAAAATATCCTTTTAGATTATTCCGGTCACATTGCGCTGTGTGACTTCGGCCTTTGCAAACTTGGCATGAAAGATGAAGATCGCACAAACAGTATGTACCAGAAACCCGAACCTTTTTGTTTGTCTCCTTTTGCATTTGTTAACGGGAATCTCTCCCTTGTAGCTTTCTGTGGAACTCCTGAATATCTTGCTCCAGAGCTACTCCTTGGCCATGGATATACGAAGGCCGTTGACTGGTGGACTTTGGGAGTTCTTCTTTACGAGATGTTAACAGGCCTTCCTCCATTCTACGACGAGGATACAAATGAAATGTATCGGAAAATCTTACATGACCCTCTTACCTTCCCAGGCCCAGAGATTGTTCCAGGAGCTGCGAGAGACCTTCTATCTCGCCTTCTTGACCGAGATCCTCACCGTCGGCTGGGAGCCAACGGTGCTGGAGAAATCAAAGGCCATCACTTCTTCGCTAATATCGACTGGCGCAAATTGTTGCAGCGTAAATACGAGCCTAGCTTCCGGCCTAACGTGGTGTGTATTGACCATAATTTTGTTAATGTCCTACCTCTTCATTTACTAACTGGTTCCAGGCGGATGCCCGTGACACTGCAAATTTTGATGTTGAGTTTACCTCAGAAGTCCCTGTAGACTCCTACGAGGAAGGCTCCGGACTTTCTAGGACCATGCAAAAGCCGTTTGAAGGATGGTCTTACAATCGCCCAGTGGCAGGCCTCAATGATGGAGGTGGCAGCGTCAGAGACCCTGCTTTCGGCAGTATCCCTGAATAAAGAATCTCATCTTATTCTTCACTTCTACCTTCTGCAGTTATCACGATACCTGCATAGAACCCTTGCATCTTCCACCAACCTCCTACATTTTACAGAGCTTTCGTTTCGTTTCATTCCCGTGACATTTCGACCACCACCACCCCCATATGAATTAACACTACGGGTTTCCCTTCTCAAGAGGATAAATTTCTCCATACAAGGGGCAAAGATTGCAACGATCACATCGCACTCGTGCTTTCAACTCTTCAATTCCTCATAACGTTTCTCTTCTTTCATTTGCTGGTTTGTCTTTATTGCAACATCATCGGTGGGTGGACGGAGCTTTTTCGAGTTTGTTTCTATATATTATATTGCGTTGTTTTCCATCTTTTCCTCTCCATTGCCCCTCCTGTCTCACAGGCCTTGGAGAAATGGTTCCCCTGTCTTACCTCTGATTCTTTCTTTTCTTCTATCTCTCTCCCCTTTTTTTTCATGGGTGTCCACGATGGTCAGAAACTCATTCGTGTGAATGGCTTGACCATTTTCTTTCTTTTTCTCTTGTTTTTACTAGCAATTCTTTGCGCTTTGACTTGACTTTTCTGAGGACGGATGGTCCAGCATCTAAGACCATACTCTGCGTGAATTGCGGAGTGATACCCAATCCGGCTCTTTCATTGCTTCCCAGCCCATCAACTTTACCTTTCTTTCTCTTGACGAATTGCACTTTGATAGTTAGCTCTGGCGAACAGGGGAAGGATGCTTTTTCGTGTCTCTTATTAGCTACCCCAAACAATACAAGATCCGTAAATCGGCCAACAAGTCTCTACGTATATACGTAACACTCACTGCTTCCAAGGTTCAGTTCTGACTTATTGTAATAATTTCGTCAAGAATGTAAGATATTTTATCGGGGGAATGTAAAAATGGAAATAATTCCAATATTCTTAGCATAATAGTCAATATTATGCGAATGAAGCTATTAAACGTAAGAGTTGTTCATTCACTGTAATTGTTCTCATAATCTAAAATTCAAACTACATTTTCTGCCACTGCATTCGTCCAACACTTCAAGGTGTAGAACAAACTAAAATGCGTAAAGATCACTCAGAAGCACCGTTTACAGGTTCTTCTGCAGTTTCCTCTGTGGCTGCCTCATCCTCATCGCCATTGGCATCAATATCGATCAAATTTGCGGTTTTTATACCACCCTCAGCTTCGAGTTTGAGATAATTATCCCACTCAGGGAAAAGGTCATCATCAGAATTTTCAACACCTGGTGGCACACCTATGATACGGGCCACTTTGGTTTTGCCATTTTTCTCAAGGCTCTGTTTCCACTGGACAGTCAGCTCTGGAGTGCGGCTAGGCTTGTAAGTCTGGGCAAAGAAGACAGACTCCGCAAAACGGTTGGTTTGGACGAGGAGGTCAATGCATGCATCCACGTCAGACAGCTGCCACAGAGCAGAGAATGCAATATTGTGCGAGCCAGCCTGCTTTGCTTGCTCGGCCAGTTTCTGAAGGCCGGCACTGTTTCGACTTGACGAGTGTAGCAAAAGTAGGGATCCAAGATCTTTGGCATTAGAGTAACATTCCTCGGCTAGAGAAAGATTCCATGCTGCTAGAGCTGCGTCGCCGACGGTCTTCCATCTGTGCTCAACATCTGTTACTTTAGCGATTTCCAGTGCAATGTCAAGTTTTCCGAGCCCGAGAGCAAGGTCGAAGCGGTGTTCCTGGTCGGTAGCAACGTCGAGCGCAAGGTCTCTATAGCCCTGGCCTTCCAAGAATCGGGCAATTTTGTTCATCTGATCTTTTGGTATATCCTCCAACAATTCTGTAGCAGAGTCCATGTCACCTCGTAAGACAAGGGTTTGATACTCGACAACAGAAAGAGATAGCGCAAAGGAGACTGTTGTGAGTTCTTTATCGGTAAGATAAATTCGTCCATCCCGGGGGAGATATCCAAGGAGGTACATTGGCTGATCGAAGTGTGAAATCGTGTAGGTTTGATCACCGACAAGGTAGTTTAATCGGTTTGTCGAGTTTGTGTAAATGAAACAATCCCCAACCCATTCACCGGTGCGAACGGTTTCATTAACATCCGTTACCACCTCAAATGCAGCCTCAACGCCGTCTTCATCAGCCTGTCCAGCATTGAGTCCCGCAATGTAATCTTCTCTTGAAAAACGAAGGACATAAAAGGTATCTTCACATGCAAGGGTAACCAGTTCTCCTGATTCGGACCAATACACCTAAAGACATTGTTAGTAGTGTGAAATAATAAACGGAGGATTTTATTTGAAGGCGACTGACAGCTCTAGGCTCGACTTCTATCCTGCGAACGAGATTACCAGTTTCCCAGTCAAACATGCCAATGCCACCTTGACCCTTGACGCCGAGGAGGACGCCGGAACTTAGACCCTCAGCGTGAAAACCAACATCAAGCCCGCCACTCTTCTCCTTAAAGTTTCGGAATACCTTAACGCTGGTTGACGATTCTCGGATGGCATAGTCATTGCTGTTGTCCTTAGATCCCCAAGCAAAATCTAACGCCTGCCCAAATGCCTTGTTTCTCCAGGCAAGAGCAGTGTAGATAATATATTCGCCATCTCCGCAAACGGAAACAAATCTTCCATTGGGGGAATGGGCCAGTGTCTGAGGGTATATTTCACAGGAGCCGAGATCCTTAGTTGGCAGGGAGAGAGGTGCACCATCTTTGAGAGTTGTATCACCGCCCTTGATGACAGTAGAGACGACTTCATTGTGCCTAGCCCAGACAATTTTACCAGATCCATCCATAGATACGGCAGGCTCTTCTCTACCCATCTTAACCACCACAGCTCCGTCATCAAATCCCATGGCAATCCCCTGCTTACCCCGTTGGTAGCTAACACACCAGGCCCTTTCCAGGCCATAACTGAGAGACTGTTCTAGCCTATAAGTGTTTGCGTGCCAGAGCTTGATAGTTCCATCTTCGGAACCAGATATAATGATTGGAAGCTCTGGATGATAACAAGCGAAAGATACGTTGCTAGTGTGTCCTTCCAAGGTAGCAATCAATGCCTTTGTGGTGTAATCCCAGACTTTCACAGTCTTGTCATCGGAAGTTGTGAGAAGATACGGCTTATCGGCCTGTGGATAATACTCGACGTGGTTTACACCCTTGGTCTCGTGCGCTTCAAGGGTATAGTTAGGGTTAGGTGAGCCCAAGCTCCATATCTTGACAGTTCTATCGAGACACGCTGAAGCAAACGTGTTGGTGTGCTTGGGATTGATGGCAAGACCCATAACATAATGGCTATGGCCTTCGAATACCTGCACACACTTCCATGACTTGTCCCAATCCCACAATTTGATTGTCATATCATCTGAAGCGGTCAACACAAACGGGTGGGTTGGATGAACGGCGATCGATCGAATGTAGTCTGGGTGAGCTTCAAAGGAAATGATCTTCTCCGAGGTATTGTAATTGTATACTCGCAGTTGGAAGTCATCTGAGCCGCAGACAATCCAGTTCTTTCGCGCAATGAACCGACCAGCCCTTACAGGGACATCGGTAAGCTCGAACGTTTTGATAATTGACTAATGCAATAACCAGGTATCAGCAGTCTGCATGAGATGGTTGTGGTGGAATCAGAGGGACGCTTACCTGGGTCTCATAAGACCAGATGTAGACATGGCCTAAATATAGAATATCAGCAACTGGGGCGTATTATTACTATACCAGTGCAGTGCAACAGCATACCGCTATATAATGTCGTCAGAATCTATAGCAATCATTAGTTAGAAACAAGCCATCCCACTCCATAGGTTTATATGCAGGCTTACCCATGGCTCTGTGGGGTGGAAGTCAATCCCCTTGACTCGCTCAGAGCGAGCAAAGAGTTGTCGCTATTAACAGATGTCAGCAAGGACCTTGATCCCTCAAGCGAAGTGGCATAATAATGAAGAGAGAGAGAGTATTACTTTGACGTCGAACCGCATGTTGGTGGGTGAACGGGGGGGATGGCGGCTCAGGGCCGCTAGACTGGTAGCTCTTAACGAATAACTGATTAATACAAGAAAAAGACCGTTAAGAGAACCCGGTATTCCCCTATATTCAGCGCAGACAAGAAGTGATCAATTGGTGGCTCGCGTTCACCTGGCCAGTGAAGCAACTTGTCCACATAATCGCTATCGAGAGGCGTGTCTAATATTAAACGGCAGTGTTTCCACCAGCTGTCCTAATCGGGCTAGCGTCGACAGGCGCTTTGCCCCAAGAACTTCTGGCTATTTTATCAAAATATTCAAACTCCGCGCAAGAAGAGATACTTTTCCAGTTGATATATGTTAACTACTTTACTCAAGGGGCGCCCTGTGTCTATTCCCTTGGATTTTCCACTTCTATCCGGAGTCACATATACGTTACGTTTCAAGAAAAGTAGAGCAACTACAAATATTACCAGCGACAAATTTCATATCACTAGACAATATATACATAGTATGAAGATACTGTTGGAGACTGGATGGGAAGGCGTCTATTGTATTGTTTTAATATGTGCGCAAACAAGCGTCACAGTATCACAGTTGGTATAGTATACAAGCAAGGAAAATATCACGGCGCACAAATAAATCCCAGAGTCCAGGTTATTAAAGGCAACATGAGCCTCCTCCATTGTGGTACCGTGGAATCGCAGCATCTATAAATGATCATGAGCTGGATTCAGTTCGTTCAAAGTAAGTCCACTGGCCAGGCTTGGGCTTTTCCACGAGTTCCTCCCAGCTATGGTAAAGGTCAGCAAATGTAGGTGGACATATGTGGCACAGTTTGAGAACTTACACTTTGCTCTTGACCATCTCATCAACAAGTCTAAGTTCTCCCTCGGCAACCTGGATCACTTCCTCTATCAATCCACCACCAATCTTGTTTTCAATCTCGGAAATCCTAATGTGAATTTCGTTAGCACTAGTGCAAGACCTAGGTAAGTGGGACTAAACGTACTGTGCAGCCTCCAGAGCTGGCTCTGCCTCCCAATGGATAGTGGGAGTCTCCCGGCGGGCAGCTTCTGCTTCTGATTCCTTTATACGCTCCTCCATCTCTTCTTCACTAAGGTATGCTCCCTCCTGCTGCACTTTAGAGGTATCTCCGCCCCAAAGCTCGTCTTCCTTGGCAATATTCTCCTCTTCAAGCTGGAATGCAGCGTATGTACCATCATCCCGTAGAGCAGCCTTGTATTTGTCTGGGTTCTCAGCAACAAGAGCTCTTACTCGTTGCAGCCAGGCGTCGAACCCCGGTGGTTTCGTAGACTGTACAACATCCAATCGGTGCTTTGTAAGGGCCTCTGTCGATTTGCGATATACAGATGATTCCGGGATCGCCTTCAGTTTCTGGAGAGTTGTGGTATAGAGGTAGATGAGCGTTGGTCGAGGACTAGGGTGGGTTGAAAGGCCAGTAAGACCGGTCGGCGTGAAGGGTTCCAGATATCTTGCTGGCTTGACATTAGCCAAAAGTCGTAGAGTCGCCCTCATGATGTGCTAAAGAGCGATTCCTGCAAGCGCCGTGATTCAATTGCTGCGTCGAGCGATGCAATAGATAGAAGCGTCCTTTCGCCGTCGTCGCTGACCTTTCTACGCAAGTCGTTTCGCCCGCGTGGACTTGCCAACTCGAGCATGTCGGAAGCGGAAGAACTAGCCTGCCGGAAACCGCTTATGTCATCTTCTCTCGACGCAGGCTAGGGAAATCATCAGGGGAAGAAAAGAAGAACAAGAGACAAGCTGACGTTGACGCGGACGAGAGTCAACAGCGCAGATTCTTCGCCCACAAAACGCCGTGGGTGTCCAGGAGAACAAGGCAGCTCAGCGGGCACGAAACACAACGACGACCCTTTCCAGCTTGCAAATATCAAGTGCCCCGGGGGCAGATTTCAACTCGCCGTCTAACCTCTTCTACCGCAAAAGAAACGAGTCGTGTGTTGGAGCCTCGAGATCTCCTACCCAGGCCTTGTGCCTTTCAAGCCAAATTTGGAAGATATCGCCGGTATTGGCCTGTGTGGCCCTATTAATTCATCACAATGAGACGCTCACTATTCTTCCTGTCCGTTCTTGCGGCATCCATATCCCCCGTTTACGGTCTACCAAGTGAGCAGGCGGTAGGAAGGAGAGATGAGGCCGAGAAACCCCTAGGCCCCGATCCAATGTCAACTATTTTCAATGGAGTCACCGTGCCCCCTATGAAGGAACTTCGGGGACCAGATTTTGAGGAAAGCATAAAAGAGGATTACTGGTGCGTTTCGCTCTAAAGCAAACTTACACTCTCGTCAGACTGTGCCAGCTAACCAGTGCCTGTCCTCGTTATAGGTTTGTAAAGCATTATCATCCCGATTGCGGGCACTGCAAAGCTGTTGCGCCAATCTGGCAAACGCTATATGAATTTTATTATGTTGGTGTTCCTTCTCGCCTTGCCTCCTCTCCCTCTTGCATGGAACTAACCCCTGGCCCCAGACCTCCAACCCATTATTATCAACTACCGCGAAGAAAGCAGCCGATAACGAAAAGTCATTGAACTCCTTCCATGGTTACTATGGATTTCACTTCGCATCCTTGAACTGTGCCGCATACGCCGATAAATGTAAGGAGCTTGGTATCGTCGGTTACCCGAGATTTGTTCTCTACCATAAAGGAAAACCATTCGACACATTCTCGAAGGAAAATAAAGGGATGCAAGAACTTAGCACTTTCATCGAAGAGAAATTGGAAATGATCAAACCAGGTTCTAGGCCTCCTGGAGGGGTAAACCTCCCCAAGCCGGGCGATAAGGAGGGACAGATGATCCTACCGGATAAAGACAAGGCAGAGGGGAACTCTGAACCCGAAAAGCCAACTAAGGGCAATAGCAAGGACGCTTCAAAGGGATCAGATGATTCGAAGGGCTCAAAAGACACAAAAACCTCCAAAGATCCTAAGGACTCCAAGAATCCAAAGGGCGATAAGACTCCTGTTCAGGTCCCCACCCCCAAGAAGGAGGTCAAGGAGAAGAAGTATAATCTCTCAGGATCATCTGTTTCTTTGACTGCAGAATCATTCCTAAAACTTGTCACTACCACTCAAGATCCATGGTTTATCAAGTTCTATGCTCCTTGGTGTAGCCACTGCCAGGCACTTGCTCCTGTGTGGCAGCAAATGGCTAAAGACATGAAGGGGAAGCTAAACGTTGGCGAGGTTAATTGTGAAGCGGAGCGACGTCTATGCAAAGAAGCTCGAATTTCCTCATACCCCACAATGCATTTCTTCCGTGGAGGCGAGAAAGTCCAATATGAAGGCCTACGTGGGCTGGGTGACCTGGTTAATTACGCCAACAAGGCAACCGATGTAGTCGGCCTCGGTGTCCAATACGTCGACGCAGAAGCTTTCAAGAAGATGGAAGAAACTGAGGAGGTCATCTTCCTCTATTTCTTCGACCATGCCACAACCTCCGAAGACTTTGCTGCTCTTGATAGACTCACCCTCAGCTTAGTAGGACGTGCCCGACTGGTGAAGACTGATAGCAAGGAGCTTGCTGAGCGATTCAGAATCTCTACATGGCCCCGTCTCCTCGTGGCCAGGGATGGAACTGCCAAATATTATACCGCTTTGGCCCCAAGAGATATGAGAGACTTCCGCGCTGTTCTGTCTTGGATGCAGAGTGTTTGGCTCCCTATCGTGCCCGAATTGACAGCTACGAATGCCCGCGATGTCATGGATGGTAAATATGTTGTTCTCGGAATCCTCAACAGACAGCATAACGAAGACTTCGTCCAAAACAAACGTGAGCTCAAGAACGCAGCATTGGAATGGATGGAAAAACAGACCAAGCTATTCCAGCTAGAGCGTCAGGAACTACGAGATGCTAAAGACCTCCGGATTGAAGAAGCCGATGATCGTAATGACCAGCGCGCCCTCCGAGCTGCGAAGAGCATGCGCATCACTATCCGTGAGGATGATAAGAAACAAGTCGGGTTCGCTTGGGTTGATGGAATTTTCTGGGATCGATGGGTCAAAACTACCTTCGGCGTCGATGTGAAGAACGGAGACAGGGTTATTATCCACGACGAATCGGTGAGTGCTAGACAGCCAAGATTACATGCATTAATGGCCTACAATGTTCCATTACTAACCTTAAACCTAATAGAATCGTCGCTACTGGGACTCGTCTCCAAACGGCGTTGATATCATGCCCAGCCGTACTTCTATCCTCGAAACACTCACTCACATTGCCGCTTCTTCTCCGAAGCTCAAGTCGAAGTCCACTGTTGGCTTCTTTGAGCACATCTTTTTCACCACTCGTACCTTTGTCAGCTCACATCCTTTCATCACTCTTGCATTGTGCATTGTCACCATTGCCATCGCTTCTCTGTGGGCTAAGCGTCAAATCCGCCGAACAAGAACCGTGACCGGAAAACTCGGAGGCTCTTCCATGGGCTTCTTCCACCTAGACGGAAAGGAGAAAGGGCTCTTTAGCTCCGTTGGGTCTGGCCCAAGCAACGGAAAAGTCGATTAAACGAATGCGAGAGGGCTCTCTTCGTATTGTCCTTCATTCGATTTAACAGATAATATTATTCTTGTTGTAATATTCTTTGGACTCCAGGGTTCGACTGATGCTTGATTATCCCGTTCTTCTGTTCTTTCTGCTCTTTTTTGATACTAGGGGTGTTCTTTTCTGTTTCTTCTTTTCCCAGTTGCTATCATATCATACTTATATACCTGGCTAGCCCACTTTCTTCCTTGAGCAGGTTCTTATATCCCCCATCATAACGAACCAAAACGGCGTTAGTATGAATGAAATTGCGTTAATAGACCACGTATGAAAACCACAGAATTTCCTGGTATTTTAGAGTCTTTCTCAAAACAAAGGTCTATCATAATCACCGATGATACTTACCTATAACTTCACCTGGTCAAACCCAATGTTTGTCCACTCGTTCTCACTAATATCCTGGAAGTTCATCACACGATTGCTCCCCTTTGGCCCATACCGGCCCTGCAATGCGCCCCAGTCCCGTCCTACTGCAGTCTCGGGTCTCCATCGGAAAGCCTTCGCCAGTCTGGGGTCTAACTTTGACTCCATGACGTCTACAATGAAGGAGCCAATGGACGGTATATGTGCAAATCCATGGCCAGAACCACCCAGGCCCAGCACCAAATCTCGATGCTCAGGATGGGTGCTGATGAGGAATTTACGATCCGGGGTATCGGCACCTAGGAAAGTGGTTAATAACTTAACTGTAGTAAGGCAAACGGTAAAGAGAAACATACACCAGCATATTCGTGCAAAACTCAGCGGTCTGCTGGCTAAATGTGGCATCGTTTCCTTCAAGAACTGACGCACTCGCTGCTCAGACTCCAGTGGAATCTGCTGCCTTGCAAATGGCCTGCTCTTGAGTTTTCCTGCTTCCGTGACCCAGTTGCAGTATCCAGGGTGCTCGTCACATATCTTTAGCTCATGTTTATCTTCATCCGGCTCCATGAAGAATCCTCGTTCGACATTGAAAAGAACAGGTAAATCTTTGTAGAGTTGGGCCTCCTCGGGCGTCATTTTGATATGTGCCAGGGTCCAAGCGGTAGGTCTCAACTGGTGCTTCATATCGAGGAGATTCTCAGCGGCGGCTCCGGCACACAGAATCATCTTTGCTCCGAGATGGACGTGACCATCTTCCGTACGCACTCCCCTGACAGCTTTGCCATCTGCATAGACGAGCTCTCTTGCATCACCAGCAGGCCCAGAAATGAACGTAACTCCCAGTCTAGCAGCCTCCCTAGCGGCACTCTCCATGCTCTTGCGCGCAGCCACCCACCCAGCCCCATCCTTCTTCCACCAGCCCTTCCAACTTGGAAAGTCCCCCGTCAATACACCCTGGGGCATCGTTTCACGGAACTCCTGTCCCGTAGAGCGTGGTATCCAGCCATTAGCAGATGTCATTCCACCGCCGGAGGAAATGTCTTCTCTTGCAGCCTCCGAAGTAGCTGCGATAATAGCTCCGGTGTCATGGTAATAAGGCTGGAAGACAGGATCATTTTTCCATCCGCTCACCGTTGCCTGTGCGATGGCCTTCGAGACATAGTCTTCAGCAGGGGAGGAGTCAAGCTCAAGGAATTTGTTCACATCATTTCCAGCAGATATAGGAGATGGAAGTGGGTATTTATCTAAGACTTTGATATTTGTGTAGCCTCTGCGGACAAGATGGAGGGCGGTGCTGATGCCCCAGGTTCCAGCCCCGATAATGACGATGTGGGAGTCTTTTGAAAGTTGAGACATTGCAGATTGAAATTATTAATCAATCATATGCCTCTAAAGTGCAGTACAGATGTCTCTTGTAGATATTTATGGTATATCTAGTTCATTGCTGGCATAACTGGGTATCCAACGAGTTTAATGACTGGGCTGCATGCACCTGGGTAGAAATCCATGCGATTGCGGGGAAGGGCGTGGGGGTAATTGGTTTCTATTATCCGGGGAAGATGAGGTGTCAGATAAATATTCCGCGGTAGCAGTCTGGCAGAACTCCGCTGGCGAGAAGTAGTTGTTAGTTACTTGAAGATTATATTGACATAAGATATCGATGATGGCCTACGATCACGATTTAGATGTTCCTGGGACCGAGCGGCTTTTTAACGGCAAGTCCTCTATGCATGTATGGTCACTAGTCACATTAATCTAATGCAAATAACACAGTCGAGGGGGAACAACTGAATGGCCATGCTCAGGCTGAGATCATCTTGATTCCCAAGCCAACGACCGAAGGCAGTGATCCGTTAATGTGGCCAATGTCAAAGAAATCATGGCAACTGTTTCTGCTTTGTATGTTGCATTGCTCAACACCCCTTATACACCGAACTTCTTATCAACGTCATATTAATAGGTCTATATGCATGCACATTCTCATATGGAGAGAACATGCTCGGAGCAGCATGGACAACCGTCTCGCGAGAAGCTGAGATATCCCTTGAAAATATGAACGGCGGTTCAGCACTAAACTACCTGCTTCTTGGGCTGGTCAATATCTTCTGGGTGCCAATTGGGATGAAACTCGGCCGTCGCCCAGTCTTTCTAATCACGACAACCATATGCATGTTGACGGCTGTCTGGCTAGGCTATGTTCACGGAACGGCTCAGTGGATGACTAACCTGGCCATCAACGGGTTTGGAGTTGCTGCATACCAGGCAGTCATCCAACTGAGTGTTTTCGACATGTTCTTTGCCCATCAAAGAGGGAGGACTTTATCCTTTTATCTCTTTGGCCAGCAGCTCGGCTCTATTCTGGGTATTGTTTCTTTCACCTCTCCGTGGACAATCAGCCTGATGACTGACTGACAAAGGTTAACCAGGGCCCATCACCGGAGGTATCATCTCAGATGGACCAGGGTGGAGATGGACCCAATGGACCTGTTCCATGATCTTCGCTGTCGTCCTGATTTTGCTATTCACCACCTTTGAAGAGACGCTCTTCCCACGCTTTTTGTTCGAACAGGACCAAAATTACCCAGACACAGACACCTCCCACAAGAAGGATATTGACACGACAGCATCCCTGCACGAGGTCGATAGCACCTCGGAAGTGTCCTACCATTTCCCCAAACGGACTTACCGCCAACGCCTGAAGCCATGGGTCCATTTCCCACAAGACAAGACGACGTACTGGCAATACTTCAGACGCCCGTTCATGCTCTTCCTCTTTCCCAACATCGTCATTGCAGGGGTCATATTTGCCTTTGGCTGCACGGCAGGCATCGTCTCGTTCGGCACCATTTCCCGCATCACCTCCGAACCACCGTATAACTGGTCCACCACCTCCACGGGCCTTATCTACCTGGCCACTCTGGCGGGTAACATTGTTGGGTGGGCAACAGGTATGTCCAGTGACTTTATCGTCATGCGCCTTGCACGCCGCAACAACGGTATCAAGGAAACGGAAATGTGCCTGTGGGCATTATGCGCTTCCTTCGTCTACGCTGCTATCGGCTACATGCTTTATGGATGGGGAGCGCATTTTGGCATGCATTGGATCACTATTGCAATAGGCTTGGGCTGCATGATTGCGCACCAGGTATCTGCCTGCTCTGTAGCCACAGCCTATGCTATGGAGTGTTTTCCGGGAATATCTGGGGAGTTAGTAGTGGTTCTCTCGATATGTTCATCTGTGATTAACTTCCCACTCTCCTTCACGGTGCAGCAGGTTGTCGATACGACGGGGTTTGGATATGCGTTTGTGTTTTATGGGTTCTGCGTGCTAACGTCCATGGCCGCCGCGATCCCCGCGGTCATGTATGGAAAGTCATGGCGTCGTCGAGCTGCTCCGAAATGGCAAAAATGGCTTGCCGAAAGAGGCCGCGTCGACTAACTTGCGCCTTGCCTGGTGGGTGTACATTTCAAGCGAGATACTTTGTAAATACTCCGTACGTGCTTCGCAAAAATATGATTCTTCTATCAGGATCAACGACGTCAACGACTTTGGCGTCTCGAGTGTCGCGGCGATTCTATTGGATTGTGGGGAAATTAAGGTTGCTTACTGCATATATTCCATTTTCATTGGTCTGTTCCTGAAATTATGACGACAGTGACTGGATGACGCGTTACCTTACATAATATTGGACCAATGAGAATTCTTCAAAGCCGCGGTATAAAATGCGTCTAGACCAACCATCCTTCCTTCTTCTCGGACTCCACTTCCATGCATCTCCATTATTGCCTAATTAGGAAATGATTTACCTGAATCAACATCTACAACATCTACTTATATCAACACCTACGTCTATATCAACATCAACATTCTTCATATACATTGGCGGTCTTCTATATAAAAGACATGGACGCAGAGCGTACTCAGGATCTCACGGAGGAGAAAGGTCTCGTGTTGAGCAGAAGAGCGTCTTTGGAAGCAGTACGAGCAGCACGCAGAGAGGCCGAGTATGGCTCTGACAAGTACTGGAAGCTGCTGAGGGATGTGCTGGAAAAATCAGCAGATCTGTCTGAACAGGCATGGAACCTAAGGGAAAGATTACTAACCCTTCATCACTACCCCCAGGGGGGTCAGCATGCTTATAGACAGAGCGACAGCGCATTCGTTTATCACAAGGAGCGTCTAGATGCGCTGCTTCAGATGATCGATAAGAGACAACTAACACACAGAGCGAGGGAACGGATGTCACCATCTCTAGAACCGGACATCAGCCCCATCGCACAAAGACTTTTCATTGAGCGGGTAGTAAACACCAGGAATGAACCAAAATGCCCACGCCGGTCGTTTGTGACGGATATCAGGGTGGCCTACGGTAAAGCCACGGTCATGGGACGATCGACAAGCTGGTGCTGGTGTACAATAAGGGATAGACAGGTCCCACCCACCGACCTGAGAGCGGTGGAAATCTTCCCGCACTCGCTGGGTCAGCAGTGGATGACCTTCATTTTTGGGCCAGAAGCAAGGGGGCAACTATACACTGTTGCTAATGGCCTCCTGCTGCCACCAAACCTGGCTGAGCAGTTCAATCAGTATCGAGTCACGTTAGCACCCACCAACCATAGGTGGAGCGACAACGGTGATCCATGGACCTGGAAACTCGTGATAGTTGACGGAAAGGGCCTCTGGAACGAGATCACGGACTGCGGATTGCGCTATAGTGAACTTCATAATAGAAGTATACCCTTTCAAGATGTGGTGCGCCCCAATGGCAAGTTTTTGTTTTTCCACTACCTATGTGCGATGCTGCTTCAGGCACGCCGAGACGCGGAATATGGTGCCATGCTCGATGAATCGGGCTTAGAGGACTCCTGGACGGACGAGGGGAGAGTGCACAGTGGCCCCTATATCAGGGACACGGTGTTGGGAGGCATTGTCGAGCAGTTTGATGAGTTTGGTGTCTCGCAGACCTTCAGAACGAAAATCATGGCGCACTCCAGGCCCACGGACGACACGGAGGAGGAGGCCGTGAACGTGCTGGTCGCCATTGACCCCCAAGCTGAGATGGCCGAGGACAGTGAGAGTGAGGAGGAGGCGACCGAGTGTGTGGACGAGATGATCGAAAAGTTTTAGGGAAATGAACCATAAGAACCCAGACAACGGGAGTGAGCTCTATGGGTGAATGTCTGTTGTGATATAGCTAACTAGCTTTCCTGGTAACTCACCAGAGCTCGACAGCTACCCCTGGGTGCTTAACTTTGAGCCAGCTCCATAGCTATGATATCATCATTACCAGAGTGGACTTCCACACTTCCCGTCTACCCCGTCGCCATGCATGTAAACCAGCTAGCGCACCAGCTTTAATGCTCGACTAACGAAGCCTGTCCATGCGCATCTCTGTGGCTGAAGAAACCGAACGTGTCGCCACTCGCATGCATCAGGGCTCCTGCTGGGCTCGAGCTGGGCTCCTGCTTGCTTCTTTCTTTACCTGCCATGCTGCTCATCGCTGCTCTGCTACGATCGCTTCGCAGCCGGCCAGTCACAGCCAGCCAGGATCATCAGAGCTCGTATCAGATACAGAGCAGAGAAAAAGCAAAGGGGCGGACACTCGACACTCCATACCCTCTGTAGCAGGACTCCGTAGTAAGTAGTAGCCAGCCTGTGGCGAGCCATGTCCCAGGCCCTTGTCCATGCTCTGGGTCTCCTGGGGTCGAATGAAGCTAGCAAAGCTGCCTGCCCAGGTCTGTCCCGTTCGACCAAGCATGCGACAGGTCTTCCTCTTCCTTGCGCCGTCTCTGTCTGTCGCTGTCTCTTCTCTGCCGCTGCGGGTCGCCAGCAGCGCCACAGCTGGTTGATATTAACTGACTGCAGTTCACTGTCCCAAGCTGCCTGCTCTCTGTTGGCTGTTTCTCTTTTACTTAAAGAGACTCCCGTGCTCTCCTCATTCCTCCTATGTGCAAATAGTTCCTCCTGCGCTGTACCCACGTCCTCTAGCCTGCCAAGTTGCACTGCCACGATCGAGATCACAGTCGGGCCGTCCAAGAGGAACTACTGGGGGATAACGAGCCAGTCAGTTAGCGACGTCTTGACCACTTCCATCATCACCAGCAGCAGCCAGCACCGTCGCCAGGCCATCGCCAGCATCTCTCCGCTCCAGGGTTGATACCGGCGACCCGCTGGCCCTCCGACCCTTGGTTCAACCGCAATTCCACTTGCTGGCTCGTTGCTTGTCTCGATTATTCATCAGCGTCTCCTGTCGAACTAAGGCTCCGTCTGACGTCTTTTTGCTCTGCTTTTTTGCCTTGGGGACGGGATGGGTACGTTTCGCCCTTTGCTCCGTCCCTTTTTCTCTCCCTCCCACCCTTCCGCTTCTCCCTCCTCTTTCACCTCTTGATTCATCGTCCTGCTCTTCTTCCTCGACGTCTTGACCATCGCTGTCTCTTCCATCGCTTAGTCCGCTGTGCTCTCTCTCTATATATATTGAGGCTCGACTGAGGCTGACCCCAAAGCTAGCTCCAACCACTATAAAAGCGCAGTTCCATCGGGTCGGGTCGTCCTTCTCGACCTACCGCAGCTCCTCAGGCGCAATGCCCAACGACGCCGACGCTGGCTTCACCAACGGCCACTCCAACGAGCGGACTGGCCTGCTCAACGGAGACAGCGGCCGTCATGGCGGCGGCAGCCAGCGCTGGTCCCGCCGCGACGACCGGTTCTGGGTCTGGATCCCCTGCGAGGCAGGCCACTTGACCTATGCCACTCTCGCCAGCAACTATATCAACATCCTGCTCGTCTTCGTGCCCCTCGGCCTGCTCTCAGGCTTCCTGAAATGGTCTGCCACGGCCACCTTCGTGCTCAATTTCATTGCGATCATGCCCCTGGCCTCTCTCCTCAGCTTTGCGACGGAGGAGCTGGCCTCCACCCTGGGAGAGACGCTCGGTGGGCTGCTCAATGCCACCTTTGGAAATGCCGTCGAGCTCATCGTATGTCCTGATTTCCCTTATCGTCCCTCTCCCCCCCGTCCCTGTCTTTTCTTTGAACTGTGTACTAACGGGCGAGGTTGCAGGTCAGCATCGTTGCTCTGTCCAAGAATGAAATTCGCATTGTCCAGTCCAGCATGTTGGGCAGCGTGCTCTCCAACATCCTCCTTGTCCTGGGATGCTGTTTCTTCTTCGGCGGAATCAACTACCATGAGCAGTCCTTCAACAGCACCGCGGCATCCACCATGTCTTCCATGATGACCGTTGCATCGGCCTCCCTGATCATCCCATCTACTCTCTATGCATCTCTCTCCTCCTCCAAGGCCGATTCCAGGGAGAACATTCTCTTCCTCTCCCACGGCACCGCCATCATTCTTCTCATCGTGTATATCATGTATCTCTTCTTCCAGCTTCGATCTCACCCTGACCTCTTCGAGAGCCCCAATGTCGAGGCTGGTGATACCAGAGAGGAAGAGGAAGAAGAGGAGCGCATCCTCAACCCTTACGCTGCTTCCATCTTGCTTCTCATCGTCACTGTCCTGGTCTCAGGATGCGCAGAGTACCTCGTCGGAAGTATCGAACCCATCGTCCAGTCTACCGGTATGAGCAGGACTTTTATCGGTCTTATCCTTATCCCTATCGTCGGCAATGCTGCCGAGCACGTTACTGCCGTTGTAGTCGCATGCAAGAACAAGATGGACCTGGCCATCGGTGTCGCCATCGGAAGCAGTCTGCAGATCGCCCTCTTTGTGACTCCTTTCTTGGTCATCCTCGGCTGGATCATGGACAAGGACATGACCCTCCACTTCCAGACCTTTGAGACCGTTGCTTTCTTCATCTCGGGGCTCGTCGTTACCATCCTCATTCAGGATGGCAAGTCCAACTACCTCGAGGGTGGCCTCTGTCTTGGAATGTAAGTTTTCATTTCACCTCCGTGCATACTCTCTATTCAGCAGCAATGTATACTAACCTCTTGTTTTACCTTCAGGTACGTTATCATCGCTCTCGGATTCTACGTCTACCCTGACGACGCAGGTGATATTGGCGCCGTTGCTTCTCAACTAGCCAGCCGTTTCGCCGTCTTCATTTGATCTGCTGCGTTCTCCTTTGTATATCCTGTACCGCCAAGCAGCAGAGTACTTTCTTCACTCTTTAGTCCCTTTCTTTCTCCATCTATAACCAAGTCCCAACCTCTTGTATTATGCATTGAAAGTAGTAATTGATTTCCATCGCCTCCCACTTCACTCTTCCCCGTCTGCGCATTCTGGAGATGCGTGTGGGCTGAATGGGCTCACTCTTATACATCTTCTATCTTACTGTTGCTCAAGGGACGCGCGTTTCCGGCTCTTCTGACAGGGTGTGGCGCCTGCAACTTTCCCCTATCAGCCGTTCCTCTGCGTCCGAGAAAGCAGCATAGTTTAATTCATCCGTGCTAGAGACCCAATTATATCTGCTTCTTAGCCGAATTGCCCTCTCCTTCGCGTCCAACCTGATTATTTAGTCTAAATTTTGAGATCCATCGACGTCCATTCATATTGCTGTGATTAGATAATCAAATGGTCACGTGTAAATATAACTCTCACCCACGTGACTGGCTATCGACATGAGGGTCTCTGGTTTATATTTAGAGAAGAACACTGCTGCACTCATCAATGCAGTGAGATAAGAGTATCGCAGTCAGATTCTGCCAGTCATCTCGAAGTCTAACGTTTATCAATTACTTTAGGCTGCCAGTTGTTCTTCCATGCACTTTAACGCAGGCGGCGCCCGTAATTTCCATCACGTGACTCTCAAATCGCCCGAATTCGAAGCTTTTTTCAAATAATATCAATCTCAAATTGACGGCGAACAACTCCGGGTTGAATCAGCAGCAGCCGCATCCATTGAAATCGAGCGGTTGCAATACACTTACATACCGCGTATTCGGATATATGCTCGACTGTTGGACATATCCCGCCCTGACCGTCCTGAATCCACTTGCAGGTTCAAAAGTCGTCGCTATCAAAACGCTTTAGAAGCAGAGTCCAGAATTTTTTCTTTGGGCCTACAAACAGAGACCTTATCCAACATGCCTCCCAGAATCCCCGTCATTCCCGCTCGATCGGCTCTATCTTTCGTTCGCGCCGCTACAGTTCATGATACCATACACCAGACCACTCGGAAGTTCGGGAATATAAGTTTACGTTCGTCGAAATGCAATACCCCATTACCTCACAGGTCGTTGAAAGGAGCTTGTTCCTACCGCATGAGCTCTACTTCGTCTGGTAGTAGTGGGAAACAAAACGATGGAGGAGTTGGTGAGCGGCCATTGGGACCAAACCAGGACCAATTGCCGCATGTAAGTGAAGAAGCAGCCGCGACTGCTCAGATCATGGGCAAGAAGTGTGGTGAAGTTGGTGGGCCAGAGCTGGAGCAAGGGACACCGGTAGCAGATGTATATTATACCATTTTAATTCTGCGTGTTATCCTATGCTTCGTCCATGGATGATGCTGTTTGCTGTGCGAGGGGTTCGCTAACTGTGTGATTTTGATTAGATTCTCAAACGAGACAAAGAGGCTCTTAAGAACATGCCCAAGGTCCTACGTGATGAGGCTGCGGCGAGTCAGAATGGAAGTGGTTCTAAGCGATCATTTTCTACCTCCGCAAGACTACACCAGGGCGAAGTGAAGGGTAATTCGCCGGCAGACCCCTCTGCCGCCACCGTTGCAAACATGCTTGCGGCTTCAAATCGGGGAGAATCTGTTGATGTCGAGAAAGGAATCCCAGAGGGCTTCAAGTACGAGCCACCAACTCTGCCTCTGCCACCAAACGAACGATTTGACCGCCGGTATGAGCCATTAGTGGAACAGTTCACCAAGCTAATAATGAAGCATGGAAAGCTATCTCTTGCTCAGAAGGTAGGATGGCCCTTCACTATCTGTCTTTCTTCCAACCAAAATACTTAACGTCATTCAAATAGCACATGGCCAAAATCCTAGAGTATCTTCGCACTGCTCCAGCACCACTCATCGACCCGTCAAAGCCTTTCCTCCCGGGTCCTCCATCCCCGCAACTCCCTCTAAACCCAATTCTATACCTTACTCTCGCCGTCGACTCTATTGCACCTCTTTTTCGAATTCGTCAAATCAGGGGTATTGCTGGTGGTGGTGCTGCACTTCCTATCCCAAGCCCACTTGCTCAGCGCCAACGCCGCCGAGAAGCCATTACCTGGATCCTTGAGGCTGCCGAGAAGAGACGTGACAATCAGCTTTCACACCGGATAGCGAATGAAATCATCGCCATTGCGGAGGGAAAGAGCAGTGTCTGGCTTAAGCGGGCTGCTATCCACAAACAGGCAACTGTCTCCCGTGCGAATATCCGCCGTGCCTCCCAGCAACGGAGAGGTAGGAAGCAATAAGCCCTCGTAACTATGTGCTTTCTTTAACCCAAACGGGATGACATGAACACGGGCGGAGAGGTGCTGGGACAGAGTGTACTTCTCTCTTCCTGTCCGTCTGCGGGGTTAATTGGTTTCAATTGTTTGTACCATGCTCTAGCCGCTGTTCAACCTTCCTTCTTCCGATGTTCCCTGTATAAGTAGCTTGTTTTTTTTTTTTTTTTTTTTTCCTTTTAGTTTTATCTTCCATGTGTGGAACCATTATTTATATGTATTAAGCCCGATGAATGTATACAAAAACCGGTTAATAGTTAAGGCGGCCAATTAACTAGTCAGGTGATATGATTGTTGCCTCAAAGTGGAAATGGTCATTTTGCGGTCCATCGACTTTATCGCGACGTCGACCTCAACTTCCACTTCCACTTCTTCAACATTCTCAACTCCTCTGCATCTTCTTGCTCTTCGAAGGGGCTTATCTATTTTACTTTCCGGCAGATATGAGCCAAGCCGATATCTCGCCTAACTGGCCACCACCAGCAGATCAAAGCTAACAGGCATTGCCGTATCTATGCTGGGCCCAGCCGACTTACAGATGGTGGTAAGCAACGGGAGAGCAACATCACATTTCAAGCGGCGTTGAGCTTCTTTTTTAGCATGGTCTCGCGGCATCCTGCATCAACAAGTTAGGACGGCCGATTCTTCGCATGAAAAAGGGCGATGGCTCTCGGCAAAACTTGTTTCTCCAGCATGACCCCTAGCCCTCATGCACAAGGCACGCTTTGAGACCACATCCTCGGCATTTTTCTTGACCTTCCATATTGAGGGCAGAAAGGCAACCTGCAGGCAAGACGGGAGAACGTTTGTCAGGCCCAAGGGGTTTCCGTTCGTTCCATTGTGAGGACTTGCCAACGCCTTCAACTCAGACAGATGGCTGTCGTTTGTGCTTGTGTTTCAGCTAGTTATTTAGTTAACTAGCAGTTGAGTCCTGGTGAACGAGGTCTCGTATCTGCGACATTGCTTGCCATTTCCCAACCAAGGTGGCCATGCATGGAGGAATGTCTCGCGTGCATGCAAAATGGGCAAGCTTAATCCCCATGCTAATTCCGATAGGCGGCAAGTGAGCGTTATCAGTTGGTTCAGCCCGCTTGGTGGAGCTACTTTGGATGGATCTATGCCGAATTCCAATTCCTTTTACTTAACAAATTTTACGTTACACTGGCGCGACTGGCGTCGCGTTAGGGAGAATGCTGTACGCTCGTTTGCTCACCGAACCGCCTACGGGAGAGGGCAAGCCTTGGGATCTGCAGGCGACCTTCCGAGTCACATCATGCAGCCTAAAAATACCATGGCGAAAAAAATGTCCCGTCCAGGGCAAAACGAGTTGGGTTGAGGAAGCCTGATCAGGAGGAGCTAGCTTCTCTAGACCGTATGTTCCCCTCATTCCTCCAATAATCTGGGGATACAGTTGTTCAACGAGATTGCACAGGGGTACCCGGGAGGAATCTTGCAACCCCATATATTCGAGCGGGGCCTTCGTATGCCCTCGCAAGGGTACGGACATCCCAACTCCGCTGGTAGCCTGGCTGGTGGCATTCTGTCAAATTATACGACCAGATGCCGGGTTGTTGATGACGGAGTCCTTCTGCTATTAGAAGGACCTAGGAACCCACGGATTTCCCCTTCGATTGCTCTTCTGTGGTGCAGATTGCGTCGTGGGATAAATCCGTTCATTCATCCTCTCACATCATGGTCAAGCTTACGGCCTGTTTGCTACTGCTTGTAGCTGCAGTACAGGCTAAACTCCCGGTTACTCCGATCAGCCAGCTCCGCGCAGAGGTAAGATGATACTAGAGCCCATCCAGCTCAAAAATGGTCAATACCGTTGACTCTGTCGTCAGTCCCATCGTAACAAGGCTCTTGTTGCCCGCAGTCAGGATGTAAATGCTGCGTTCCCTGCGCATACTATCCAGATCCCCATCGACCACTTCCCAAAGAGCAGCCGATATGAACCTCACACCACGGAGAAGTTCAACCTGCGATACTGGTTTGATGCTAGCCATTACAAGGAGGGTGGCCCTGTGATCATTCTTCATGGCGGAGAGACTAGCGGCGAAGGTAGGTGATGGCGACTGTGCCCGTTTTGAGATATCACGTCTTGAGTCCGCAAGCAGCACTCACGAAGTGATTGTTTTAGGTCGCATTCCATTCCTCCAGAAGGGTATCCTGGCCCAGCTTGCACAGGCAACAAATGGTATCGGAGTTATCATGGAGCACCGATACTACGGTGGCTCTCTTCCAACTCCCGATTTCTCGAACAAGAGCTTGCGCTTCTTGACAACCGAACAAGCACTTGCTGATACTGCTTACTTCTCCAAGAACATCAAGTTCCCGGGTCTTGAGAAATATAACTTGACTGCTCCTGGTACTGCGCATATCCTGTACGGAGGCTCATATGCTGGTGGACAAGTTGTAAGTAGGAGTATATAACTCGGGTGGTCTCGAATTTCCATCTATACTAACCCATCTGTTGACAGGCATTCCTTCGAACACAGTACCCTGATATCTTCTGGGGAGCCATCTCTTCCTCTGGTGTGACCAAGGCCATATATGATTACTGGCAGTACTTTGAGCCCATCCGTCAGGAGGCCCCTCAGGACTGTGTCCATGTCACCCAAAACTTCGTTGATATCGTTGACAACATTATTATCAACGGAAAGAATGCCAACACCACCAGAGAGTTGAAGAACTTGTTTGGTCTTGGCCGCCTCCGTGATGCTGACTTTGCCAATGCCCTCTCCTCTGGTATTACCGGATGGCAGTCCACCAACTGGGACCCTGCCATTAGCGGCAAGAGCTTCTACCAGTACTGCGGTGAAATCACCAGTGACCGTTACCTCTATCCGGTTACTGCTCAGCAGAAGGCTTCTGCTAAGCGTATCATCGAAGCCGGCGGACACGGACGTGAAGCTCCTGAGATCCTACCCCAGCTGCTCAACTTTGTCGGTTGGCTCAACAAGAGCACCTTGGAGTCCTGCTCCGGCCAGGGCCAAACTGCTGAGGAGTGCCTGAACTCCTACGATGAGGCCTTTTACAAGCAGGATAATGCCGACCAGAGCTGGAGAGCATGGCCCTGGCAATACTGCAACGAGTAAGTCTGTTTTGGCGCTATTATTATAAGTTGCGAACTCTCGTGTTAACTGTGATTGCAATAGATGGGGATACCTCCAGACCGGCAGCGGTGCTCCCAAGAACATCCGTCCTGTCATTTCCCGACTGATCGACCTGCCATACACTTCCAACATCTGCAAGCAGGCCTTTGGCATTACCAAACCATCCAACGTTGACCTTGTCAACAAGTATGGCGCTTTCGACATCGAGTATGACCGTCTTGCCTTTGTCGATGGAGGTTCAGACCCATGGAAGGAGGCTGGTGTCCACGCGACTGCTGCCAGAAAGCGAGGAACCTCCACCAACAAGCCGTTTATCCTCATCCCTGACGCTGTCCACCACTGTAAGTGAAGTCACTCTTTCAAATGTTAGACCTTATGTGTTATGTTACATGATGCTCACCAATGTCCGTTACACTTTAGGGGACGAGAATGGACTCTATCCCAACGAGACCACCGCCGAGCTTCCACCACAGCGGATCAAGGAAGTTCAGGCTGAGGAAGCCCGCTTCGTCAAGGAATGGATGAAGGGTAAGTGAGCCCGTATTCTCAACCATGTCGGCCTGGCCTTGACTGCTAACGTATCACTCTCTTTTTTCTCCGCCCCGCAGAATGGAAGCGTAAACGTTTCCACCACATCGCCTAGAAGAGGGGCAGGAGCGAGACATGACCTTCTTAAGTACATATATACATTGATCATCAGACATTTACCGGCATACGGAAGAACTTATCTTTGATGAATGATGAATTACCTGCTCACGTTCTGCCTTTCCTTGTCCCCCCGTAAGATCTGATCGTGAACCCTGGCTGGAAGTGAACAGCACAAGCACAAAAAATGCGGTATCACCATCTCATGAGCAGCCAGCTGACCCGCGAATCGCCATCTCCTCCTGGGCCTGCGCCGGGTTGTCAGTTGTCGTAGCCCGTATATGCTGCTCACCCATCGGCTATCGTTGTCCCTCTCGTGACCTGGCTGCACAACCAAGCAAAAGCAAAAAGGACCGCCGCGGCCAGCAGCTCTCGCCAGCGGCGGGAGATCCAATTGTGTGCACAGGGCTTACCACGAGGCTGGGTTTCGTAAGCTTTCTCGTCTTTGCTTTTTCGTCGTTTACGTTCATCCCAGATATCGAGACTCTTAAAGCTGCTGTGCTAAGGTCTGGAGAAGTTTTGTGGAGTCATGATGCTGCTGCTGAGTGCTGTTGTGTGTTGAGTGTCCTTTTCGCCGCCAGCTGTACAGAAAGCCGAAAGCTGCGTCTCGATATTTAGACGGTCCCCCGTAATATGACCTGTAACCAGCTGTAGCGGACCAAAGGGCGAGGCTGCTGCTGTGTGTCCCGTAACTGGCTCCAGAGTTTAGCAGCAAGGCGGCTGTAACTGAGATCGACCTGGCCTGCATCTTCAACCTCCCCGGCCGCAACTCCTGACGCCTTGCGCGACTGCAGCGGCAGACACCTCACGAACTTGGCGAGACGAACCCGTGAGATCCGTTATTAATTTATTTCCTTCTTTTTGCTCCTCCAGAGACACCAATTCGCCCAGGGAGAATCCCCGTCCTGACTGATCGCAAAAGCTTGCCTCACCTTGCCTGCTTCCGTCCGGCCAACCACTGACAGCGCGCAAAAAAGTCAACTTCCGCTACAACTGACTGCATCCCAGTACCCACGGCAAGAGACACCTCGTCGAATGACACCCGGGTGTCCAGCAAGTTACCCCGTCGAGCCGCTCACCACTGGTCAGGCTGACTCCGTTGGGTTGGATTCGATTCGCCTGAATCGCGGGCATCTTACCCGCCCCGACGCCGTCTAACCACCACCGGGTCCAGGGCTATTTATGTATACAACACGTCAAGAAGACATCCCGGAACAGCAGTGCGCAGGTGACTACTGGAGATAAATGCTCAACGTCTGCCCACCCTGGCTCGACAAGACGCCAGCCAGAGTTTTGAGCTCGACGAAATCACTCGTCCGTCCGCCTTAGCATCACCCACATCTTCTGCCCCGGTTGCTCGACTCAGATCTGAATCAGGCTCCGAGGTAGATCGAACACATCGCGCCAGGAAGAAGAGTCCCACTGGACTTGCATGGCTCTTTGGGTGGGGGGAAAGGAGGGGTCATCGAAATAATTCTCGCCAGGCAGCTTGTAAGCGAGAGGGTGGTCAACGGCACAATAGATATAAAAGTCGTCGACAAGAGAGAAGTGACGGCACCAGGGCAAAACGGAGGGAGAGTATCGGAGAAGGGAGTCCATATAAAAGCACCTATTTCGGAGAAGGAGGACTACGGCAACGAATATACGAACTAGGCCGTGGATCGCAGGCCCGGCTCGCAACAGAAGAAGAGAACATGAAGTTCTCACACAGCATCCAGTTCAACTCCGTTCCGGATTGGAGTGACAGCTATATTGCGTATAGCAACTTGAAGAAACTGTGAGGGGTCCCTATTTACGAGGAGAGTCAGCAAATTTTCCTTCCTAGGCTAACTGTTCTTGTAGGATATACACTCTTGAAAGACAAGTGAATAACCCCGAGCACGAAAATGGACAACTCGAGTCTGCCCCTCTCCTCGACAGGAGTATTGATACAGATGCCATATTCCGCCGCGCCCTAGATGGAGAGTTGGAGAAGATATGCTCTTTCTACCGCAAAAAGGAAACGGATTTGTATCAGGAGGTAGAGGATATCGCACAGGAGCTGGAATCGTTCGCCCGGGATAGCATAGGAATCAACATGGAACCCGTTGCTCATTCACTCGTCAAGTCACGAACATTGAGCTTTGGTGGCAGAAATCGCCGGCGTAGTGAGGCCTCTCGCCATGCTACCCTTACCCAACATCGCTCAAGTACCATCAGTGAACCCTCTGGGCCTGAGGGGGATGCTGACAGTGATGACTCGGAAGATAACATGGATATGGCTGAGTTCCCACAGCGGAGGATACGGAGACATTCTGCCTCGTCAAGAGATTGGACAAGGGATCCACGGCCTCAGGAGGACCTGTTGAACAGCGAGCTTATGGATTCACGGTTTATGGGAGTAGCGCATGATCCTGAGCACACTGCGATCTATGACATTGGCGTATCATTGAAGAAACGAACAATCGGCATATATGTGTCCCTCTGCGAGCTCAAGTCATTTATCCAGCTTAACCGTACTGGATTCTCAAAGGCTTTGAAGAAATATGACAAAACTCTTGACAGGAACCTGAGAAGGCAGTATATGGACTCCACCGTCCTAGTGGCCATGCCGTTCACAGACCCGACAATAGCCAAGCTTGATAACACCATTGCCAGAGTCGAGAGACTGTACGCTGGGTTTGTTACGGATGGTGATCTGGGTCTGTCTAGACGAGAGCTTCGTCTCCATCTACGCGAGCATGTCGTTTGGGAACGAAATACCATATGGCGGGAGATGATCGGTATAGAAAGGAAGACTCAGGCTGCAAACATGGGAATACGCAGAACACTGCTTGGAGGAGAGCAGGATATGGAAACGGCTCAACGACAGGGTGATGAGCAAGAAGCAAGCATAAAGGAGTTCATAACCCCCGTGGGACGGTGTCCTGTCCCAGCATGGCTCCTATCGTCTACTTTTGCGACACTGATAGTTATCCTTATTATATTCGGGGTTATGCTTGTGGTGCCAATCATGAAGAAGCCCGAACAGCAAAACTGCCTGGCAATGCTGGTGTTTGTCAGTTTGCTATGGGCTACCGAGGTGATACCGCTTTTCGTGACATCAATCCTCGTCCCCTTCCTTACTGTCACACTGGGGATCATGCGTTCAGAAGAAGATCACTCTAGACTGGGCGCGAAAGAGGCTACAAGTGCAGTCTTTGCAGCAATGTGGACGCCAGTCATAATGCTTCTCCTTGGAGGCTTTACAATTGCCGCTGCTCTATCAAAACATGATATTGCACGCAGAATGGCTACATTTGTGCTAAGCAAAGCAGGTACCAAGCCAAGAACCGTGCTCCTGACGAACATGTTTGTTGGCATGTTTTTGAGTATGTGGATTAGCAATGTTGCTGCTCCAGTGCTTTGCTTTTCCATCATTCAAGTAAGTTTGCAAATTTGTGCCTGTGGGAATAACACCGCTAACAAGTGTCCCATCTAGCCGATGCTTCGAAACCTGCCTACCGATTCCCGGTTCTCAAAAGCCGTAATCCTAGGCATTGCCCTGGCTTCTAACATTGGAGGCGCTGCATCTCCAATTGCCTCGCCACAGAACATCATTGCATTGCAGAACATGGATCCTGCCATCAGCTGGGGAACTTGGTTCTTCATTGCCCTGCCAATTTGCATTCTCTCAATTCTGGGAATCTGGGTCCTTCTCCTTATCACTTTCAACCCAAGCCGCGGAACAACCATCGTCCCAATCCGTTCCGTCAAGGATAAGTTCACCGGTATCCAATGGTTCATCACCATCGTCACTATCGGCACCATCTGCTTATGGTGCGTCAGCCATCAGCTTGAAAGCACCTTTGGAGACATGGGCGTCATCGCCATCCTCCCTCTAGTTCTGTTTTTTGGCACAGGAATTCTCACGAAAGAAGACTTTAACAACTTCCTCTGGACTATTATCATTCTAGCGTCAGGTGGTCTCTGTCTCGGGAAGGCGGTCACGTCTTCCGGACTGCTACATACCATCGCCCGCTCTATAACAAGCAGCGTGGCTGGGTTGAGCCTGTACGGCGTCCTCTTTGTCTTTGCGGCGTTGATTCTAGTGGTGGCAACTTTCATCTCCCATACTGTGGCGGCGTTGATTCTGCTACCCCTTGTCAAAGAAGTGGGTATGGGAATGAACGAGCCACATCCTAACCTCCTAGTGATGGGAAGTGCATTGATGTGCTCTGTGGCTATGGGCCTCCCCACAAGCGGCTTCCCCAATATGAGTAAGTTTCAATTACATGCCTGTGTTCGAGAAATCCTTATCTAACGTTTTTGTGTTCGCAGCTGCCATCATGATGGAAGTTCCAGAGACCGGCCAGCGATATCTTCGTGTCCGTCATTTCATCACACGAGGCGTACCAGCGAGTGTCCTCTCATTCGGCCTTGTTGTAACCCTTGGATACGGACTGATGATCGTTGCGGGGCTGTAGGTCTTCGCTGCCATTTTCTCTCTTCTGATACGGCGCATTATATGGAGCATTGACCCCTACCAATATACAGGGGCTTCCCGCCTGTACTTCTAAGTATAAAAGATTTACATTGGTATTGTTACATAGCAAGCGGACCCAGTAGAACATATACAATACAACTGGATAAAAGACATTAAAGTATGAACCATACCGAGTACCCCTGGCCGGCAGGCGACTTTGTCTTTCTATTGGCCTATGCTAGTCAAGGGCTTTCGCGGCAAGTCATTCTCACGTGAGCTAGTTATTTTATGATTAATTTATATGACTCAGCCTCTGAACTACAGCCATTGGTTGGCTGTTTTAATGCATTATGTCATCCGCCCGGAATTCATGTCTGGAATATAAAAGTGGATCACGGTGGTAGAGACTCCACACAGGAACAACAACATGACAACATGAGTAGAGTATTTGTCGATGAATGAACTCGCTTTGGCAAAATGTAAGCTACATACGAGAGAAAATAGATTGTTGAGACCTGGTCTGGCTCTCCGCTTTCTGTCCAGCAATATTCAAATTATATAACTAGCCGAAGGCAGGGATACTAAGGTACCAGGTAATCCACAGACTCTCCTTGTCCAGTAGCCACGATAGATAAGGGTGCATTACGGAATAGTAATGATTATATACGCCTTGGAGTATATATAGCCTGCACTATAAGGATAAGAGAAATCATGCCGACAACCAGAGGAGTATTATCGGGCTAAGTCTACAGAGAGTATTCCGTAACGAGGAGACGGGAGCCGTTACCTATGTTTCAATGTCGTCTAAACAAACGTGATGACATAATCGCTATAGCTCAATGTCAGGCGCATGATCCTTATTATTAAGCAGAGTCACCGGTCAAGTCCGTCCCTGATTACATCATCGCTTTTAGCTACTTAGACTGCGGGAAGGCGAAGAAGAAAAGAAGCAAAAACACGGAGAAGCAAAACACATGGAGCTCCCACTGGCTGCGATGGGCTAAGCTGGTGACTAGGGTGGAGGAGACCTGCGTAGGGGCCCGTGGCGTCGATGCCTGCAATGCGCATATCGAAGCGAAGAGCTCGGCTTTTCAGTCTGCTCTTATGGATCGCCCTGCTGAGAGAGGGCGCTCTGCTGTATCACAGTCGATCGGCATATAAGTAGCAGCTGAGCTCCCGCCTGGCTGAGACCGGCGTTGAAGGCTCCTTCAGTCCTCAACTACCTATATCCCGACGTCTCATCCCCATACCTCCTCCTCACCACTACACCCAACCATGTTGGCCTCCTCAACCACGGCTGCTGTGATGCTTGCGGCATCCCAGCTCTTTTCTGGAGTTCGTGCTGATGGCCCTACTTGCCCTCCTGGCGGCGAGGTGAGTTGTCATAACTCCGGCCCCGTCGGAGATACCTGTTGCTTCAACACTCCTGGTGGCCTTATTCTTCAAACTCAGTTCTGGGATGCAGACCCAGCTACTGGCCCTGAAGATTCATGGACCATCCACGGTCTCTGGTGAGTTCTTTTCTGCATGAGTATGATGGAACGAAACCGAGTCTCTAATGTTGTTGATGAATATTCTAGGCCCGATAACTGTGATGGTACCTACGAGCAATTCTGTGACATGAGCCGTGAATATAGCAATATTACCCAGATTCTCCAGGCTCAGGGCAAACATGATACTCTTGAGTACATGATGAAGTACTTCAAGGACTACAAGGGTGATGATGAATCCTTCTGGGAACACGAGTGGAACAAGCATGGTACATGCATGAGCACCTTCGAGACGAAGTGCTACATGGACTATATGCCCCAGCAGGAAGTTGGCGACTACTTTACCAAACTCGTTGAGTTGTTCAAGGGATTGAACACCTACAAAGTTGGTGTATCCTCAGTCTTGTCGCTCTCTGGGTATAAGCTAACACTCTATTTAGACCCTCGCTGATGCTGGCATCACTCCAAGCAATGACAAGACCTACGCCCTCCGTGACCTACAGGCCGCTGTTAAGTCTTCTTTCGGCATGGAAATCACTTTCAACTGCAAGAACGGTGCTCTCAACGAAGCCTGGTACTTCTATAACGTCCGTGGATCTGCCCAGACTGGAGAATATATTCCTACTCTCCCAGGTGCGTCAATGCCATAGCCTTTAATACTCAATGCCTTAGTGCATTTCTAACACCTCTGTACAGGTGGATCTCCATCAACCTGCCCTGACACCGGCATTCGATACCTCCCTAAGAACAGCGGGGGCACTCAGCCACCAACCACCACCACCCCTGGCAGCCCAGCCCCCACTGGTACCTTCTCTGGAAAGGGCTATCTTACCGTGACTGTCATGGGCGAGGAAGACGGATGCCTCATTAGCAGTGGAAACTGGTACACCACCGGAACCTGTGCTACTTATCGCGCTGCTGCTTCCGGCTCCGGATTCACCTTGACATCTAGCAAGGGTGCATGTGGCATGGTTAATGATCAGTTCAAGTGTGGCTCTGGAGTCACCGCTTCTGTCTTTGGGGTATGTCTCCCTCCATCCTTTCCATGCCAAATACTCTTACTAACTATCTCCCAGGCTTCCGAAGGAAAGCTCGCTGCCAGCGGCAAGTCCACCTTTTATGCTGACAAAATCCCAAGTGGTTCCACTCAGGTTCCTGTCTACACTGCTCCGCGAGCTATCCCACTCACCGTTTCATGGCAGGCCATTTAGATAATTCTTATGATGTACAGTCCAGACACGCTTATATGCGCTCACTCTTGCAAGCGTATTTAGTATCTGTTTAAAGACATGACCTTTTCAGTATATGAATAGATATGAACATGAATATATATATGCCCATATTTACAGAATGTACTCGCTCTCCTGCAAAATGCATCCAGAAAGTTGTAACTGCCCAACGAAAGCAGAGTATGACCTTTTATGCTTTCTGCATAACTCCTGCACTAGTCCTAGGTCGGCAAGCATAACTTCGGCTTAGTGTTCTATTACTAACAAGCTTTGAATATCTGGACCATCCCACTTCGAGACTAGCGCTTTTCTAAATGTAGGGCAAAAAATTGTAAGCGAAGCGACTGTGCGAAATTCAGTTTTATCGACGAGGACGACAAGCTCATTCAACCGCCAACATCTCCGCCCCTTCGACATCAGCCCACGGCGTTTGCTTTTGGTGAAGGGACTACAAAGATAATACAAGGTGAGCCTTCCAATCTGCTTGCCCTTGCCGCATTTCATCCCTTGGGACCGCGGTTTCGTTACTGTCTGGTTGTGGGTGTGTGTGGACTTTTTGTGTGGACGAATTTTGCGCAAGGAGAGAAGACATTGTCAACGCAGCGCTGTCGAGATACCGTGAACGAGATATCAAGCACGTTGTGTTTCTGCTTGTCTTGATAATAAATGTGTTCTTGTGAAGGGTTTACATGATCTGGTCCATTCTAACTGCGATTTTTTCCCCCAATTATAGTCCAATACATCAACCGCAATCATGGGTATCTCACGAGACTCCCGCCACAAGCGTTCGGCCACCGGTGCTAAGAGAGCTCACTACCGCAAGAAGAGGTATGGATATTTTCCCGGGGAACACTCTGGACGAGGAAAAAAAAAATAAAGAAAGAAAGACAAAGAATTGAGGAGTAGAGACTGACGGTGGCGGACATCCAGGGCTTTCGAGAAGGGCCGCCAGCCAGCCAACACCCGTATTGGCCCCAAGCGCATCCACACCGTCCGCGTTCGCGGTGGTAACCAGAAATTCCGTGCCCTCCGTCTCGAGTCCGGCAACTTCTCCTGGGGCTCTGAGGGTCTCTCCCGCAAAGTCCGTGTGATTGCCGTGTCCTACCACCCTTCCAACAACGAACTTGTCCGTACCAACACCCTCACCAAATCTGCTGTTGTCCAAGTCGACGCTGCTCCTTTCCGACAATGGTATGAGGCACACTACGGTCAGCCCCTTGGCCGACGACGCCAGCAAAAGACCGCTGCCGAGACTACCGAGGAGAAGAAGAGCAACAGCGTTGCCAAGAAGCAGGCAGCTCGTGTTGCTGTAATGGGCAAAGTTGAGCCTGCTCTTGAGAAGCAGTTCGAGGCCGGTCGATTGTATGCTGTTGTCTCTTCCAGACCTGGCCAGAGTGGACGAGTGGATGGTTATATCTTGGAGGGAGAGGAGCTTGCTTTCTACCAGCGTGCTATCAGAAAGTAAAACCACACAACAATACGAACAAATTTTTCTGCCAAAAAAAAAGAGAGAGAAGCCCCTTTCTTCATATCTTCTCTTTTTCCGAAGACAAGCATGGTTCTCCTGCAGGTTTAAGGAATGAAAAAGAAGATATAACTTTTATTGCCATAGCACCCTCTGTTTTATGTCTTGACTGGACGGGCGGGGCATTACTGTGCTGGTGCTGGTGCTGTTGTATGTGGAAAGCGGTTTTGATCGGGAGTTTGTGCATTTACCTACTTATTACGATGTTATAAACATTACCGATGCAATGATGTCTGTAGGTCTCTGGGGCTATTGCCTTGGCTTTCTACTCGGAATGAATACATTTTCCTACCCCCTTTTAATAATAGGCTTTTCCACCCAATATAAATGACTAGGTATGTTATGTAGAACGTTAGCCAAGTCTGTCGGTCACAAGGGGAAATGGTCTCTTCTCCTGCCATCCCACTCGTTGTGGCTCAATCCAAGCCAAACGTAAGCTAGTCTATACTACTGCGCACGCCCAAATACTGGTATATGTAGCCCCATAAGCATAACTCAATTCTCTTTTGTCCTCTTAACCGTACGTAGGTTCGTACTACAATGTAGCTTCTGATCGGCGTCCATTGTCCAATCAAACTACTTCAATTGGAGGTCGAAGGGGTGTTTTATATCAACTGCCCGCAGAACTAAGGTGTCCTCCCTCTATGATTCAGACACCAATGGGCGGCAGAAATCAGCTAGTTATGTATGTATGTCCGTGGCTCTGTACTCGATATCAGAGCGGTTATAATGGCGTGAAGTCAGCTGTGAGCTGGCTAGTTTTTCAGGGGTAGATCAGGGATTGTGAGATTCTTTGCAAAACACCTCATATCCTGTCAAAATGAAAGGGTTAGCAGAGTAAATAAACAGATGATATCACGGTACCTCTCTAGGAGTATTTTGGATATCTGTAGGCCAGGAACCAGGACGCCTGGAGCTCTTCCATGTTCAAAGGGCTAGAGATCAAATGCCTGGCCTAAAGTAACTGCTTTAGCGAAGGAGAGGCATGTCCAGTCTCTATTCTTTTGAGAAATCTTCCTCAGAACCTAAGACTTGAGCCTAGAGAACCCTATGCAAAGGCTAAGCTTATTCCAAAGGAGCCAGAGGATGGTAAAACGGTGTTTTTGGGCGTATTTCCTGTGTCCAATCTTCACCTCTGCTGTCTCTTCAAGCCGCTGTTGGTCATCATTGGCGGCGACAAAATATACTTTGCTTCCATATTTGCCTACGTCAACGACTTCGGCTGGACGTTTGGAACGCGCGCACACACAAACCTCGGCACTCACTCACAGCCATGGCGAGAAACGAACTCCCCCTCCCCCGTCTTAAATGCCGCTGGAGAGCTATCTGATGAAGGAAAGGAGCTGTAAGCAGTATAACAGGTTGATGTGGCAGTAGATAGACCAGCTAGACCTAAGCAAATGACACTCGCTCCACCTAAAGTGGACATCTCGTAGCCCCTTCTCTTTAGCCGCGCCTGCTGCAAGTTCATGCACGCCCCCCAAGCAGCAGCGCGGCCGGGAGGCCTCCAGAGACACTCTCTTGACCCCAAGAATTCGCCTGTCCTCAGGTATATGGCGACCTGCACGCACATCCCGGAGCAGACGCCCCAGTTCCGGTGCTAGGGCTCGCCGGCGCCGCAAATGTAAGTGACGTTGCCACTGCAGGCGAGGTATCTTCCGCCGCCCTTCACTCGCCCTTCTGCGCCAAACGGCCTTCACAGAGAGGATAGTGGTAGCCAGAAGTCATGGTTATTACTCTCTATGCGTGTCACAGCCTCATCATGGAGGAATCTGGCAGTAAAAGAGGGGGAGAGGAGAGATGGGTGGCCGCGAAATTCAGGGGGCTGGTAAAGGAGGACATCTAAAGAGTCACAGCCAGAGTTCCAAACTCTCCAGCGCTGAGTTCCAGATACCAGACTTCCGACTCCCTCCCCCTCCTCTTCTTCCTCCTCCTCTTCTTCTTCTGCTGCTTCTTCTTCCTCTTCCTGTTCCTTTTCCTCCTGTTCACCAACCGCCTTTGCATCTTCAACCTCTCTTGTCCCCCCCTTGGGAGAGTAAACAGGTATGTACTCTCTTCCTCAACTCGCAGCCATCACATTTTACCTCATAACTGATAAAACGACGTATTTGCCACAGAAAAAGGGCAAATACAGCACAGTTCTACCGGCTCAAGGAACAGGGATATCTCAAAATGGCCTCTCCTTTAATCATGAAGTCGGCCGCTCCCACAGCAAATCTATCACCTGAGATCACCAGAGAACCAGCAAAAAAGAAACAAAAAGTGGTTCCAGGGCTGGAACCCGGGTACTTTGTCTCACAGAAGTCGTTCACCTCCGAGTATTTCCCCTTGGAGGGCCCTATAGGGTATGGGGGGGAAATTCCTAGCACTATTCCCCTAGCAGTAGTGATCTGGAGAGACTACTGCAATGGCACAAAGAAGACCCTGAACCCCATCGAACTCGACATGTACAGCGGCGAGCCTGGCATCCAATTCGAGTATAAACGCCTTAACGAGATGATTTTCAACTTCCCCAAGGATTTGCCTGAAAAGTTCACCGATGCTTTTGGGGAATTGGCAGCCGCTCGTGTCCGCTACTTTGCAACACATGAGGTTTACAGGAAAGAAAAGACTGCTCTGACAGAGTCATTTGCTATTGCCCAGCAACTCAACGATAAACGACGGGATATCCGCTCCAATCCGGGTCATTATGAGCCGCATGCCGCAGAGAAGACCATTCTTGCACTGAAAGGGTGTGTTGCAGAAGGCAAGCATCAACAAGAGCAGTATAAAAAAAGAGCAGATTCCCTCAAATTTTTTGCCGAGAAATTCATCGAAGCAAAGAAAAAGGCAGCGCCCTTCAGGGATCAACTCCAGAAATTTTATGACGATATCGAAGAAGCCCACAGTAAGGCGAAGGAAGCCGAAGCCAAGAGACTCGAACAAGAGAAGGCCGAGAAAGAAAAGAGCCAGAAAGCAAAAGCTGAAAAGGAGAAATTGGCCAAGCAGAAACGTTCCAAGGACAGGGTCATGAAGGAGAGACGCCAAAGGACCGATGCAGCTACGAAAGCACGTTTGGACCATGACGCCAGAGCTTGGGCCGAGTATCTGGCAAGGAGCGAGCGCATGCGGAACGGAGCCAATGATGCTGCTAAACAACACGGTGGAAAGCAGGTCAACCTTGGATAAATGAGTCCCCAGCTTCCCCCAACACACACAATAAAAAAAAAAAAAAAAGAAGGATTTGACACCGAAGTCACAACACGGAGTCAGGTATGCAGGTAAATTTTTTCATTTTGTGGGAAAGCACTGGATCTCATTTGGCGTTGGTTTTGCATTGATTCAATTGGGGATATGGAAATGGAGAAAGATTGACAAAAGGAAAAGAAAAAGGGAGAAAAAAATAATAAAAAAAGTAAACGTCGGACAGGGAGAGGAAAATTGACATTGATTGATCTTGTTGTTAAGCTGTGTACATTAGACGTCTTCCATGAGGAAATGAAAGCTGTTTTGATGCATATGGTATGTTGCCTCTCTCTGACGTTCAGCCCCGATATCTTGACGTCTTCAGCCAACTATCGCCAAAACCTTGGATGGAAGCTTGTCCGTCACGTGATCAACACTTTCCTACAAATTACATTGGGCAGCACAACGCAGCAACGCAACGAGCCAAGGTCTATGTATCTACGTACATGGATAGTGCATGCAGGATTAGCTGCGCCCTGTCAAGGATCTGCCTTCTGCCAGCCAAATATCGTCGTCGGCGTTTCCAAAAAATACGAAGAAGTCGCCTTTGAGTCACGAAAACACGTGACCTTCTTATATAATCTAACTGACTATTGGCTAGGAGCACGGCGCTAAACCCAAAAAGGGAACATGCCAGAACACGAACTTTTTCCGCTTTGATGACGTCGAAAACGACAAGGCGGACGACGATCGACGATCGACGATCAACGCGCAGGAAGGGCTCTATATAGAACTGTCCTCTGTTGCCTGGGCCAGGATGGCTCTCCTCTTCTCTCGCAACCTCAGATATATGTGAGCAGGTCCTGAAGGCCATAGTGTTAGTTATCCGCAGCTAGTTCATCCATCATGGTCAAGGTCGCGATCGCAGGAGGCTCTAGTCCGACGCTGGGCCATTCGGTTGTTTCAGCCCTTTTGGCAACGAACGGCCGTCATACGCCAGTTATTCTCTCGAGGAAGCGAGAAGGCGGCTCCCCGGCGTCTAGCACGGCGGCTTGGGTGGTTTCTGGGTCGTCTGCTACTGCCGAAGTAGAAACTCGGTACGTCGACTACGAGTCCAAGGACTCGCTGGTAGCGGCCCTGCATGATATCGACACTGTCATTAGTGTGCTCCTTATCCATGACACAGACACGTTCGTCAATACCCAGATCAGACTGCTGCATGCCGCCGAGGCCGCTGGGTGCCGACGCTTTGCACCGTCCGAGTTCTCTGGCGGACACAAGTTGCACTTCTTAGTCGACTTTGAGAGAGAGGCCAAGCTTCCCGTGTGGGAGGCTGTGCTCCAATCCAACATCGACGCCGCCCTCTTTGCGAACGGGATGTTCATGAATTACCTTGGAATCGGCAGTCCTGAGAAAGACGGTAATCGGGCAGAGGCGCTGGCGGGCTTTGCTGAGGGGCCGTTATTGTTTAACTTGGTTGAGGGCTGGGTTGAGGTGCCTGTGGTCGTGTGTGAGGGTGGCAGCGTACCACCACCAGCCGCTATAACCATGACCAACATCCGCGACATTGGCAGGTTCATCGCAGCGGCTATCGACCTGGAGGAGCCCTGGGGAAAACGAGAGCTTGGGATGGCCGGTTCAACTCTTCAGTTCGACGAGATTGTGAGCCTGATCGAAAAGTATACAGGCCGCACGATGGAGGTACGCCCGTTCACCAAGAAACAGGTCGAAGAGCGGCTTGCCAGCCCTGCGGAAGGGGTTTCAGGGATCATTGAGAAGTTGGAGTGTCAGTTGAAGAAAGTGTGTTGCGATGGTGGCATCACTGTCCAGCCAACGCTCAACCGCCTCTGCCCGGATGTAAAGCCCATGACTGTCGAGGAGTTTCTCAAGAGGTACTGGGCGGAACCATCCGGACCCACCGCTGATGCATGAACGATACATAAACTTGAAGCTAGAAGGGGTGAAATTTGCTCTCTCTGCTCGCTTATGTAGGTGGGCAAATGAAAAAAAGTAGGTAGCATCTCAGAATGGAATCGTGACCTCTGGCGCATGTAACACCTCGTATACAATCTAGATCAAAGACACGGGAGGAGCAGTAACCTGATCAGTGGTTTGATATCAAGGTTAAATCTGGGGAATAGCTTCCGTTCCTCACCACCTGCCAATAGCTGACTAAAACTCGCTAACTACTCCTTTGTAACAGACTCTTGCTCCAGCGGCGAATGTACAGGGACCTTTTGATATCGATGTCAACAAACACCAACGGCCTCTCTGGCCCCGTCCAGCAGCCTGTCTGAGATTCTCGCCAGCTCTCTCGACCGGGAGGAGGCACTGTTTCTCCTGAGATGCCCTCCAGCAGTGGGGTTTGAAACCTAGACACACTTCAGGATCCCTTGAGCCGTTGCAGGCCAAGCGGTAATAAATAACTAGTTAGTGAGAGCATCCATCTACGAGGTCACCGCGATGCCATGTGGGCAGACATCCTAGCGAGATCCGCCACCATTCAGGGTTACATGCCCAGCCGAGCAGATGCCACTGCATGTATATCTTGTATTTGGCCCAGCAGCCTGACGAAAACGGCAGCATGCTTGTCTCGCGCTGTCTGTGTGCAGTTAACTAGCCATCATCTGATATCGCTGGCTGATGTCCCGGGATGCTTAACTAGTTAACTAGTTAACTAGTTAGCTACCTTGTTCAATACTGCAGGGAATGGAGAGAATCGCCACTGACCCTCACAGGCTGCCTTTTCGCCTAAGAGATATCGGCTCGACTAATTACCTACCTCTGGGACTGGCATCTGGCCCATATGTTTAATTTCCGGAGAGCTATTTAACCATCTCACTCGCGCGATAAAGAAATTCTTAATTTGCGGGTGTGGAGGTCATCCTTCGCGATGGATGAAGGGAGGGTTGCACGCAGGAAAAAGCAACGACTGCATCGACAACCACAAGCTGTCCTCCGCCTTGACCAGCAAGAGTGAAGCCCTCGCTGCTGCTCACCCTCGATAGCCAGTCAGCGTCGCAGGTTCTGTGGCGATCTACCTGTGAATTGAGCAGGCAGAGGCTGGTTTTTGCCGGGAGTCAGTAAAAGGATATAAATCTGGCCGTCCTCCCCGTCTGCTCCCTGGTTCTTGTTTACAATCACTTACATTCCTTTGCACCTCCTCACTCCTCACTCGCTCTCTCTTTTTCTCTTCCTCTCTCTCGTCCGCTCTGTCAAACAAGAACTACAACTGAATAACTACATTGGCCGGAGAACGATGCGTTTCGCCAAAGCTCTGGCCATCACGGCCGTGCTGCTGTCTGGCGTCGTTGAAGCCACCTCTGATGCCGTTATTGAGGAAGCCCTGAAAGCCCCTACTATCAACCCGCTACCAGGACCGGTAACCTGGTACCTTCACGCCGACGAAGGCCGCAAGTACCTCGCTCCATTTGTCTCATACCATGGACCGCACAAGAGTGGCATTAGGGATGCATGGGAGAGATGCTACAGCACTATTCGTCGCCTCAAATGGTATCCGCAAGCACTCGAGGGCCCCATCCCCAAGTTCGACCCGTTCCCTGACCAGTCCTCCAAGCCCAAAGAAAAGAGACAAAATGCTCCTCCCGGTGCCATGATCAGAAGGGTTAGAGTCAAGGTCAAGGATGTCGATGCAAAGCTGGCTCATAAAGTAGATGAATCCTACAGCTTGACGGTTAGCGCAAAGTCCGAGGCCATCGAAATTGAGGCCCAAACTCCCTGGGGAGCTCGCCATGCATTCACCACTCTACAGCAGATTGTCGTTTACGACGAAAAGAGCCAGCGGTTTTACATCGAGAGGCCTTTCACCATTAGTGAAGGTCCTCTGTACCCAATCCGGGGCATCCTGCTCGATTCTGGCCGTAACTTCATCTCCCCAAGTAAAATCAAGGAGCAGCTCGATGCCATGGCTCTGTCAAAGCTAAACGTCCTCCACTGGCACATCACTGACACCCAGTCCTGGCCCCTTCAGGTCAACACTTATCCTCAGATGACCGAGGATGCCTATTCAAAGAGGATGGTCTATTCCCACGCGACTATCAAGGAGATCATCGAGTATGCTAGACAACGTGGAATCCGTGTCATCCCTGAGATCGACACACCCAGTCACTCTTCCTCTGGCTGGAAACGGATTGATCCTGATTTGGTGGCTTGTGGAAATTCTTGGTGGTCCAACGATTTCTTCCCACACCACACTGCTCTCGAGCCCAACCCAGGACAGCTTGACATAGCCTATAACAAGACTTACGAGGTGCTCGAGAATCTTTACAAAGAAGTTTCTAGCCTCTTTGAGGACGAATTCCATCATCTCGGTGGTGATGAACTGCAGCCGAACTGCTACAAATTCAGCAAACATGTCACCAAATGGCTTGCCGAACATCCAGATATGACCTTGAATGACTTGCTTCAGGAATATGTTGACAGGACCCTCCCGGCTCTCGACAAGATCAAACACCGCCGTTTCATCTACTGGGAAGACATGCTCCTCTCTGAGCAAATCCACGCGGAGAGGATTCCAAGGAACGTTGTCCTGCAGACCTGGAATGGAGGGCTCGACAACATCAAAAAGCTTACCTCCAACGGCTATGATGTTATCGTCTCTTCTGCTGATTTCTTCTACCTCGACTGCGGTAATGGTGGCTGGGTCAGCAATGACCCCAGATACAACGTCATGAGAAATCCCACTCCCGGAACGCCCAACTTCAACTACGGCGGCGACGGCGGCTCTTGGTGTGCTCCGTACAAGACCTGGCAACGTATCTACGATTACGATTTCGCCTCTGAACTTACCGGTCCGGAGAAGGAGCATATTCTAGGCGGTATCGCTCCCCTCTGGTCAGAGCAGATAGATGATGCTAACATCACTCCCAAATTCTGGCCCCGCGCTGCTGCTCTTGCCGAACTGCTCTGGTCCGGCAACCGTGACAAAGAGGGCAAGAAGCGAACGTATCTTATGACTGCCCGTATAAACAACTTCAGGGAATACCTTACTGCCAACGGTATTGGTGCCGCACCACTACAGCCCAGATACTGTCTTAAGCATCCGCATCACTGCGATCTTTACAGTGACCCGAACGCAGTTCTTGGTTAGAGAATTGCAATCTGTCTTGGGAGAAAATAAAAAATAAAAAATTAATAACTGATATGCAATCATTAGCTTAGTTAGCTTCTTGTTAATTAGTTTTATATTCGCATATTATTAGCGTTTTTTAATTTTATCTATAGCCGCCTTCTTGCGGCTGTTCTTTATTTCTGCCCTGCACGGCTTGTATAACTAATGATTGCGTCCCATCGGTTTTACTGGTATAACTCTCTATCCTTATCAACGTTTAACTAAACTTCAATGGTTTACTACTCTAATGCAAATCCAGGCTCAAGCTAATATCGGCCATCCATGTGGTAATTGCAGCACAAACATCATCTACATCAAGGACAACTCAACGGAACACGGAATGAAATTAACGATTAAATATAGCCATAGTAAATCAGGGGAAAGAAGAAGAAAGATTAAAAGGAGAATACCATGCGGAGCCAATGAGGCTGTTGCTTGCCAGATACACTAGGTAGCGCTGGGAAAGAGAAATGCAGGTGTAAGAAGTATTAAAACAAAGGAAAGTATATTCAATAGAGGGCTCGGGCATTGGTATCAAAAAGAGGGGGGGAACATTCAAGAATTATCCAACATGTAGAAGGGAATAAAAACATTCATCCAAATAAAATGTCATATCTTACATGAATGTAAGAGGTAAAAGGGGTTGAAGGAATAAATGGCAATGGCCGACTGCCAGAAAAATGAAAAAATAAAAGGGGAGAAGGGGAATATGAGGAGTGTAGTTGAGGAGTGACGTCAAATATGGGTGATTGAATGCAGCCGAGTTGGGATCAGAATATGGATATGAAGGATAGCGAGGGCTGGGAGGGTATATACGTTCAGGGATGCGCCGTATGAGCCTATTCTTCCTTTACTGCTCCGCCCATTGCGCCACCTTCTCGGAAGTTGGCACGGCTGGCCTTTCGACCGGACTTCAAAAGGCTGAGCCGTCTCATGACGGAGTCCCGCACTGCAGATGCGCTCATGTTGCTACTTCCGCCCGAATTGTTCGTTAATGGGCTAATTGGGGAGTGCTGGCCTCCTGAACGAGCGGATATACCCGTTCGATTGCTGCCGTTGGTCGACGGTCGAGTCTGGGGGATAGTTGAGTAAGTAGTTCCATTCTGTTTGCGAGCAGCCTTCGCCCTTTCGATGATCCGCTGTTGTGTCGTTTTGATGTCTTCCGTGGACGGGGTTGTTGTACAATTGGGCCTTGCTTCAGTAGCGTTGCCGTTATTACTACTAGTGGTACTACCGTTTCCGAACCAGCTGCGGCGTTTCTGTGAGCCATCTGTCTTGCTCTGGGCTGAAAGACTGCCTTTTCTTTCATTCATATCCGCTTTGTTGCTGGCCGAGGTAGGGGCTCTCAGTGGCTCGTTTACCATCGTGGTACCGTTGAGCTTCATTCCTTCGCTGATGGATTGATTTCTCAGGCTGCTATTGGACCTTATTGTTTCCTGGGTAATGGTCGTGACAGAGTTAGAAGGCCCATGATGCGAACGTCTGAACGGGTTAAGGCTTAAGCGACGGCTTGGAGCCTCGGATACTGCGTTGGACAGAGATCTTGAAAGTGAGGGCTTGGGTGGTGGACCATCATTTTGGATATCTTGTACTCGAGGGGCCTGGGTATTTGCAAAAGGATCAAATCGATTGAAGGTGGGAAGGTTGTCTTCTTGGAATTGCCCGGCTACAGGTATGAAGGTTGCAAGCTCGTGGGAGAAGATAGATTCAAATTGACGAACAAGCTCTATCTGGTCGGATTGATACGATGGTCGAAGGTTGAATAGCATGAGGCAACGCTTGATCGCTACAGCATGCTCTA